GGAGTCACCTCGGGCCGTCACCAACAGCAACGGGAGGGGTTCTCTGTTGAAGAAAATTTATTTTTATGATGACCAGTCAACTCACAGAGAGCCCCTCGCCTTAGCTGAAGCTTGTTAAAGGAATGACGAGATATCCCCGTTTCGAGGTAGGACCGGGAGTGACGGGAGCCGCACAAGTATTCGCGGTGATGGGGCCGAGGCCTGGAGAGAGCACTGAGAGGTGTACGTCGTACATACGCCAGACCTCGTTCAAGGATTTACCTCCATCTATTTAGAAGCTTGACAAAAGGCATCAATCCTTGACAACTGGCGGTATGGTCTACGAGTAGTTCCTTGCTTGCGGAGGGCACACGGCAAAGGCGGGATCTATCCGATAGCCCTTTTTGCGCCCACTTTCCCTCGGATGCCGCCCAACAAAGTGCGCAGTAGTGAGGGTGCGATCTCCGCGGGGTGCTCTAGCCTGTCATCCTGTGTGCCCCTCTCCTCTCCTCCCCCAATAATTACGTAGAGGGATTTCGAAAGGGAAGAAAAGAAAAAGAAAGACGAGCTAGAATTGAGCCATTTACAGGTCGGAAGGGATGCTTATTGGGGCGCCCTTTTCTCTGGGTTGCAGAGTATCGATCAATATGGTGGATAAGCGCAATGGACGAGGCATTCCGCTGCAAAGAGTCTTGTCTTTCGAATGGAAGCTGGAAGGTGTGCTGACAGGTAGTGCTGTGGTAGTTTACCGCACTGGTGCGCGGCTCCAGACTACGACCGTTCTACCTTTGCACCATTTATCGCGCAAGTGCCTCAGCTTGGACCATGCTCTTTGTCGAGGCGATCAAATCGGAACAACAGTGCCCCGCACGGAGTACAAGGATGCGCGACATTTCGTGCAAGGTATGATTCCCACCACCTGGTCCTGGCGAGCGATGGACCGCCCGTGGGCATGGGGGCAAGAGCGGCGGACGGACTCTGGATCGACCATTTTCATTATCATTTTTATGGGACCGGGGCTAGTACGATTGGCCAGAGGCGCGAAGGAAACGTGGGACAATGGGTCCAAAAATGGACCGAGCCATTCAGACATTGGCATCCGCGCTTGGGCATCGGAAAAGTCTCATAGAGACGAGTGGGAATTGGGATGGTCCTCCTTGTGCGCTCGCTTCTCGATGAACTCGACTCCAGTTGCTCGTTTCGTCGGGAGCGACGAGAACTAACAACTACGAGCCGTACCTATAGCATCGTCTGCTTCCCTGCTGAGACGAGGCTGGGTGCGGTGCCGTGTAACTACAAGTAAGGGATATGGGAACGGAGACATCATTCCCGGCATACGGACAGGCAGTTGAGACGACCCAAGGGTCACCTTGTGAACAATAGTGTTTGGAGTTGCCATGGAAAAAAATTGTCCCACCAGGCTTATGAAATAAAGGTGTTTATACGACTGGAAGGTTATTATCGAGTATCCATAAACATCCCGAGAAAGGGCGAAAACGGCTAACTCGCTGGCCGGCTCCACTCAGATAACCTGCCGCACCAGAAACGATAAAAGAAGTTTGTCATTCGGCGCCGCCTTTTTTGGAGGAGGGTTTAGGTAATACCTTTCCGTCACAAAACTCACCGAGTGGACTCCGGCGCGCGAGGCCGGGGATGGAGGAAATTCTCGACTCTTCCCGGAGGCAACAAAGATGGAACCAGGGGGTGGCACGGAAAAGAGCGGAAGGACAAGGTAACGCAAGAAGGCAATGTTAGAAGAAAATCAAATAATCAGGGTGGGAAAGCGACAAGTCGCTCTGGTCTCTTTTCTCTCTCTCGGACAGGCCGCCGGCGGTTGTAGGAAAAGGGGGGTTCAGGCCGCCGTGGCGACTGCCTTGCTTGACACCTCCGAAGGCGAGACCGACATCCTTCTTGCAGGCGATACGACTAACCGCTGGTAGCGGGATAAGGGGTTAAAAAAAAGCCCTCCCCTTTAAAACGGTGGTTATTAGGTTCTTCTAGTCAGGTGTGTGCCTTGCTGACCGCTAGAAAGCTTTTCCAGCCCATCCCCGATCCAAGACCGCCGGGCTAAGTAGGGATAAAATGCCCAAACTGAATACCGAACAACGGTGTCGTCATTGCTGCGGCGTTCTCGGCCTGACAGGACTTCAACTCACCCAAGGCCAGCGCTAGGGTCCCGGCCCACCTCGGCTTTCTCTGCTACTCAATCCTCTTCCTTGTCCATCTTCCAGGGCTTTCCCTTCCTGTTCATTCCGCCTGTGGCCGGTTGGTACTGGGACAGATTCCTTGTACCTTTGTCATCAGTCAACCGACCAAATATCCTGTACTTTTCGTACCCTGACCATCTCGATTTTCAGCAGCCTTTTGTTAGTGTCATTTTCCCATCCTTTTGGGCCATCGCAGGACCGCTGCATGTGCCCGCGGAGGAAAATCGCGCAACGCTGTCCTACTTCCTACCTGGGAGGCTCGCTTTTTCTCGCTCCCCGCCCTCCCCCGTCCATTTACTTCGTAGATTCCTCCGCCCGCTCGCTCTCAATCCGCGGCCTTTGTAAAATACACCCTCAGTACAAATTCAATAGGGTCACTGGACACTGTATACGAAATACCTCTGTCCGCTAAAAGGGAAGAAAAAAGCCCAGGAAGCCCTGTCCCCAAAGGCTCGCATCCTGAGTGGATTGATCCAGTGCCCATACGCGGATAAGGAATTACCAGGCCGGACGGGTCATTTGGCTAGCAACAAAGCGCGTCTCTTTTTCTCTGAGGATGGCAGGAGAAGAGAAGGGGAGAAAAATAAAATAAAAGATTTTGCTAGACCTAGTCTGCCGACCGAGATAAGGACTATCATCAAATGTCACAACGAGTCCCTTTTGCTGAAAGAGAGAATAACCGGAGGCCAAGACATGTCCAAGTAAACCCCCATTTTCTCTGTAGGTCTCTCTTGGGTCATGAGAGCCCTGTGCCAAGCCGAGCTACAATTTCACCTAGATTTGAGGATCAACGGCAGAAGAGAGGCGCGTTTGACGGTCAGGACGACATCAGCACGGAGCTCTGGGGGTGGTTCATTTTTTGAGTCCAATCGCCGTGGAGAAATATTTGGGGGTTGCAGAGTGGGGGACACGGACGACACCACGGCGAGGGAGTAATGTTTCTTTGTTTACATCTCGCCGTTGCCGTTTTCAGACAAAAAGCAACCGAACTTGGTTGGTCACTTGGTTGGGTCAACAGTGTCTTTGCACAGTATGCGCAACACGACCCGGTGGGACATCGTTCTCCCCCTCAGTACCTATCGAGGGGGAGAAATTCACCTCGTCTATTGCGCGGAGCCCAATCCAGCGCCGCAAGAGGCACGCTGTCGCGAGCGCCTTCTGCAATCCATGCCAGTTGATAGGACGGTCCTTGGAAGGCCCTGGTCTTCTCCGATTAGCTCTGGAGAAGGTACATGACATGCCATAACCGAGCACATCCAAAGAACATGCCAGGTCGAGATACCGGCTATCGTAAACCTCATATCACCCTCAGGTCAGGGCTAATAAGAGCCAAGGAGAAAAGACCAAATTACGGGGGCCCCTTTACCTTGAGCGACTCATTGATGTCGGCAAACGCGTCTTGGAAGACGAGAGAGGGCAATTGAAGCATCGGTCTTATCTTGAGCGTCGAGAGAGTCTATACTATGAACGGCCGAAAAAAATCCCTGCATCAACAATCCTGGGGTATTTGCTGGGCAAGGTCCCATGGTAGCCTGAACAGGAACTGAGGAGCTCCAGATGCATGTTATAGCAGAGATGGGTTATTGGTCAATTAGAACCTGTCAAGGAATTGACTGCCCAGGGAAGCTTAACGCGTTATTTCATGATTGTCGCCCGCACTGTGTCCTGTTCTTTGCCTCCCACGTTCACATCGCCTGAGTGGGATGGGCTCTGGTCGAGTGCTCGAAGCCACCCACTCTGGCCTGGCTTTTACCATTTCCCAAGGATCAATTTGACCCGTTCTGTCGTTTGAAGCTAGCGACGAGACAGTCATCGCAAACATCAGGCTCTCGGCCGCCAGGGAGGACAGTGTCGCCCAGTAGGCCTGATACCTGGAGCAGTGTACTGTCTGAGTAGATCTCGCCCGGAGCGAGTTGACGGATGGAGTGTGCCGACCCGGAGTTCGAGCGAGGTACACGGGCAAATGACGAAAGTCACTTGAGGCGAGCAACAAATGGACTCGCCGACCAGAGTTCTTTTCCACATGGACCCAGGGCGAGGCCGTCTGTTGATCAGTGCGTTGCTGGTGCGGGTGCTCGATTTTTTTCTCTTTGCTCCGGTTTTTTTTTTCCCTTCCCTGCCTGCAGGCGAGAAAAGATCGGGGTTCGGATTGGCCTATTATCAGTAAGAGCCCTGTGCCCTGGACGTATTTTTGTAGTGGTCGGCAAAGATGGTCGCCACCGATTTGACACGCCCTCCACCCGAGCACATCTCCACAACACGCCCCCGCTCCTCCCGGTCCTAGTTTTCGCTCGTCAGGTACGTACCTCTAGTGCAACTGGAGCAAGCTACTGTTGTTGGGAGCAGTTCCAGTGGAGAGAGCTTTCCTCATATATTCGCGAGTCTCTCCCTCATCTTCTCCCAAGACCTTCCTTCTCTTCTTCTTTCCCTTCTCCATCACCCACGAAGGTTTCCAGTTTGCGCTTAAAAATTGGCCCTCAAATTTCGTGTGGTGGTGTCTCTGGAGGCTCGCCTTCCTTCTCTTGTCTTGTTTTAGGAATTTTCCTTTGCGCCACCTTTTGACCCTCTCCCCTCAACCCACTTTTTCTTCCTTTACAACCCGAAATATAAAGCTCACACAGATCTCACCTGTGTGATTCTTTTCATTTCACAACATTCCATTCACTTCCCAGAAGGCCAATTGAATTGGAAAGGGAACAAAAGAGGACTAGGTCATTCCTCCAAGAAGTGTTCGCCAGAGCTTTACAACCAAGCTCGCTTTGCACCTAGCAACACTTGTTGAACACCTTACAACAACAAGCAATTTCAACAAACATGGCTGATCTTGCATCGGCCTCGGCCCAGCCTACGGGCTATGACGAGAAGAAGGACGTGAAGCCTGCCCATCCTGTGGCCCCCGCCGGCGAGGATTTGGAAGATGATGAGGATCTCGATGCTCTCATCGATGAGCTTGAGTCCCAGGACGGACACGATTTCGAAGAAGAGGGCGAGGAGGACGCCCACGGCAATGTTCGCCAGGTCCCCGACGACATGCTCCAGACCTCCACCGTCACCGGTCTCACCAACGACGAGGTTCTCGCTCGTCGCCGCAAGTATGGTTTGAACGCCATGAAGGAAGAGCGCGTATGTTTTAACCCCTCCCCTCATTCCCTGCCCTGCCCTGCATAACATCGTGACCCCGCTCGTCTTGTTTTCAAGAAGATGAAAAAAGACGCGTTTTTGGGGCGGTCACGTTGCAATGAAGCAGACGGCAGGAGCGATCATTGGTAAACCGGACCTTGCTCACATATTCTATTACAGGAAAACTTGATTCTCAAGTTCCTCGGCTTCTTCGTCGGCCCTGTCCAGTTCGTCATGGAGGCTGCCGCCGTTCTTGCCGCTGGTCTTCAGCATTGGGTCGATTTTGGTGTGATTTGCGGTCTCCTTCTGCTCAACGCTTGCGTTGGTTTCATTCAGGAATACCAGGCTGGTTCTATCGTCGAGGAGCTCAAGAAGACCCTCGCTCTTAAGGCTGTTGTTCTCCGTGATGGTACCCTCAAGGAAGTTGAGGCTCCCGAGGTCGTTCCCGGTGACATTCTCCAGGTTGAAGGTAGGTACCCACCCCCAAAAACGCGCTTTCCACGCGTTTGCAGTATATCACGTGATTTCACGTCACTAACAAAATGCTCACAGAGGGTACCATTATTCCCGCTGACGGCCGTATCGTCACCGAGGAGGCCTTCCTTCAGGTCGATCAGTCCGCCATCACCGGAGAGTCCCTTGCTGTTGACAAGCACGTCAACGACCAGTGCTATGCTTCCTCCGCCGTCAAGCGTGGTGAGGCTTTCATCGTCGTTACTGCTACTGGTGACAGCACCTTCGTTGGTCGCGCTGCTGCCCTCGTCTCTCAGGCTTCCGCCGGCACTGGTCACTTCACCGAGGTTCTCAACGGTATCGGTACTGTGCTTCTCATCCTCGTCATCTTGACCAACTTGATTGTCTGGGTTTCCTCGTTCTACCGCTCCGTCGGTATCGTCCCCATCTTGGAGTTCACCCTCGCCATTACCATTATCGGTGTCCCCGTCGGTCTTCCCGCTGTCGTCACCACCACCATGGCTGTCGGTGCTGCCTACCTCGCCAAGAAGAAGGCTATCGTCCAGAAGCTCTCCGCTATTGAGTCTCTTGCCGGTGTCGAGATTCTGTGCTCTGACAAGACTGGTACCCTCACCAAGAACAAGCTCTCTTTCTGAGCCCTACACCGTCGCCGGTGTTGACCCCGATGACCTCATGTTGACTGCCTGCTTGGCCGCTTCCCGCAAGAAGAAGGGTATGGATGCCATCGACAAGGCTTTCCTCAAGTCTCTCCGCTTCTACCCCGTGCCAAGTCTGTCCTTTCCAAGTACAAGGTCATTGACTTCCACCCCTTCGATCCCGTCTCCAAGAAGGTCACCGCCGTCGTCGAGTCTCCTCAGGGCGAGCGTATCACCTGCGTCAAGGGTGCTCCTCTTTTCGTTCTCTCCACTGTTGAGCAGGATCACCCCATTCCCGAGGATGTCGACCAGGCCTACAAGAACAAGGTTGCCGAGTTCGCTACCCGTGGTTTCCGCTCTCTTGGTGTTGCCCGCAAGCGAGGTGAGGGCTCTTGGGAGATTCTCGGAATCATGCCCTGCTCTGATCCCCCTCGTCACGATACCGCCCGCACTATCAACGAAGCCAAGCGTCTCGGTCTCTCCATCAAGATGTTGACTGGTGATGCCGTCGGTATTGCTCGTGAAACCTCTCGTCAGCTTGGTCTCGGTACTAATGTCTACAACGCTGAGCGCCTCGGTCTTGGTGGCGGTGGTGACATGCCCGGTTCCGAGGTTTACGATTTCGTCGAGGCTGCCGATGGTTTCGCCGAGGTCTTCCCCAGCACAAGTACAACGTCGTCGAGATTCTCCAGCAGCGTGGTTACCTCGTTGCCATGACTGGTGACGGTGTCAACGATGCCCCCTCGCTGAAGAAGGCTGATACCGGTATTGCCGTCGAAGGTGCTTCTGATGCCGCTCGTTCCGCCGCTGATATCGTTTTCCTTGCCCCCGGTCTCGGTGCCATCATTGACGCTCTCAAGACTTCCCGCCAGATTTTCCATCGTATGTACGCCTACGTTGTCTACCGTATCGCCTTGTCCATCCACTTGGAGATCTTCCTTGGTCTCTGGATCGTCATCATGAACAGGTCGCTCAACATCAACTTGGTTGTCTTCATTGCCATCTTTGCCGATATCGCTACCCTTGCCATTGCCTACGATAACGCCCCCTACTCGTCGACTCCCGTCAAGTGGAACCTTCCCAAGCTCTGGGGAATGTCCGTCGTCCTCGGTGTTGTTCTTGCCATCGGTACCTGGATTGTCCTCACCACCATGCTCGCTGCTGGCTCTCCAAACGGTGGTATCGTCCAGAACTTCGGTAACGTTGATGCCGTTCTCTTCCTCGAGATCTCGCTCACTGAGAACTGGCTCATCTTCATCACTCGTGCCAACGGTCCCTTCTGGTCTTCTCTTCCCTCGTGGCAGCTTGCCGGCGCCATTCTCGTCGTCGACATTATCGCCACCTGCTTCACCATTTGGGGTTGGTTCGAGAACAGCGACACCTCCATCGTCGCTGTCGTCCGTATCTGGATCTTCTCCATCGGTGTCTTCTGCGTCATGGGTGGTGTTTACTACCTTCTCCAGGGCAGCCAGGGCTTTGACAACCTCATGCATGGCAAGTCCATCAAGGGCAGCCAGAAGCAGCGATCCCTCGAGGATTTCGGTAAGTTTTATCTCTTATACTCACCACGATGGGTCTATCCCTCTGTAAAGAATTTGCTTGCTAACCTTTTCTGTTCTTCCTTTTAGTTGTCTCGCTCCAGCGTGTCTCGACCCAGCACGAGAAGTCTGCTTAAATGCACGATATAAGATACCAGATGTGGCCAAGAGGAGGATCGATTGGACAAGGCAATACCAACACAAGCTTCGGCCGGTGCTGATATCGAGCCATCCTCGGAACCACATCACCAACTTTTATACTCCTAGGCCCCATGGGCAGGTGTCTGCAGCTTGTATGCAAGCCAATGACGCTTGTCCTGGGTGCTCCTGATAGATATGCCTGCTTAGCGGGCACCTTTTTCTCTGTCCAAATTTTTTTACATGCTGTTTTTGCCTCGCGCTAATACACATGAGAAGTTGATAGACCAGGGGGCATGTTGGACCCTGTTGACTACAAGAAGTTAATGAAAAATAAAAAAATAAAAGTTTAAAAAAACCAATTGCCTCTGTTCCCGTGATCAGTGATCGTTTCTACTAGAGAAGGAGAGTTGTGGATGTGGATACTGGCGGGCATCAATGTAGATGACATGACGGCGCCCACCCAAGAAGCGTTGGGAGGTTGCACGCAAACGACGAAAACCGCTCTGAAACTGGTGTCGCCTCTTCTCCTCTGGCACCATGGGTTCGAGTTAAATTATCCTAGTTTCAAACGATGCAAGCTATATATTGTCATCATTTATCTGTACCACCAGTTCTTTTCCTCCTCCGGTTACAGTTAGGTCAGTGGTCAACTTGTTGCGCTGTTGCTCATTAGATGGCTGCTTGGATTGTGTCAGTCAGCCAAATAATATGTGCACGTCAATTGATGTATCCTGCAAGTGGTGGGCAAAACGTTGATCTGATCTTCTCGAGCCAATCAACGAAGCGAGTCTACCCAGCACAGCGTTTCTTTTGCTAGTCGAGTACATGTATCGAACAACTACATCGACTACTAGATATCGAGCTTAAACCCTTTTTAATATTTCGACCCGCCCCCTGCCTTTCGTATATGATATATGATACCCATTTTACGTGTCCCCTACGACGGACTTGGTACGAGACAAGTCGAGCGATGCGGTCGAGACGCTGGTAGATTCTACACACTTACCTCCGAGTCCATCTCAGAGCCTTCCACGCCACCATGCCTCCCCGTGAAATACCGGGCTTCTATTACGGTGTGTTTCCACTTTCCTCTCCCTCAGCAGATCAAAATTCCCTACATTCACACGCCCGCTAGCTCTTTGGCGTGGCGTGGGCCCCTTGGTATCGATTGCTAATCCGGGGTGGGGGGAACTTCATCAGATGAGGCCAGAGGCAAGTACTTCAAGATCGAAGGTCGAGCCACGGCACCGGTCAGCGCACCCTGGTCCGCGGACAACGTGAAGAAGCGCAAGCGCGCGGAAAAGGCCGAGAGGAAACGCCAGGCAGCCGAGGCGCGGACGCGTACGACCTTGGCGGGCGAGGCCAAGCCGCGCCCCGTCGGACGGAGGGTGCGCTCGGTCCACGCGGAGCCCGGGGTCTAGCGGGCGCCGTGCTGGAGGCCGAGTGTACGGGCCGGGCGAGGAGGGTGCGGAGCGTGGCGATATCCGGGCCTCGCTGTTTTGCGAGAGGCTCAAGGCGGTGGGGGAGGTGGTTGTGGGCGAGGCGGAGGAGGTTGGGTGGGACGGGGACTTGGTGGGATCGTTTGGGGTGGATTGGGGAGGGGATGGGTCGGCGCTGCCGGCTGTGTATGCGGGTATGCGCTCTTGTATTTCTTCCTGTCTTTGTTCCCTGTCTTGGTGGTGTGCTTCGTGTCCTGGTGAAAGGAAACATCACGAGTCTGTGACGTTTTTCAAGGTCTAAAGAGCTGGCGAGTGCTAACGGAAACTTCGCAGGGAGACTTCTTCACCAGGGGAGGATGGTGATGTACTCGCAGTATATCCCGAAAGACGCGGCCGGTCGGTACGTTGCCATCCCATCCCAGCCAGGGCCTTGAGAGCTTTTGCTCCCCTGTTCTCGCTTGCCCAACACCCTCCTCTTCCCACTTTATCCCACCCACGCTGACGAGATTTTTGGATAGAGTCTGCTTCAACCCTAGGAGGAACGGCGGCTGGCAGTTTCCGCCGGGGGCCAGCAGTCCCTCATCGTTCCCGAGTTCTCCTCCATCAACTGCAGCCCCTCGAGCCACGTCGTTTTCATGGCCGGCCTGTCCAACCCGGCAGCCTTTATGACGTTTACGTGGCTCACGCGCATATCTTATGCCTCTCTCACAGATGACCGTCCACTCAGGGGCATACGGCAAAGTGAGTCCCCTCCTTTGTTTTTTTTTCCAAATCAGCCATCCCCCAAACATAGTAAAGAAAGGGACAGAAGAAACTAACAAGAGACCGCCCTTTCCCCTCTCCCAGTCAGCGGCGCCTGTCTTCCAAGACTCCCCCGGCCCAGCCTCCAACCAACTCACCTCCTACACCGCAACCCTCCCCGAGCAGCACCGCTCCCTCTTCTGCTTCGCCGGCACCAACCGCGGCGTCCTCGCCCTCCACACGACCGGCGACACCGCATGGGTCCACCAGACTCGTTCCGCCGGCGACATCTTCTCCACCGACTGCCACGCCTCCGACCCGAACCTCCTCCTCGCCGCCGGCCGCCGCGGCATCGTCACCCTCGCCGACATGCGCGTCGGGCCCTCGGACGGCACCCCGCTGACGTTTACCCACGGCTCCTCCGTCACGCACCTCCGCGCCGCCCCCGACGGGAACCCCTACCGCCTCGTCGTCGCCGGCCTCGAGAACAAGATGGCCATCTACGATCGTCGCTGGCTCGCCCGCTCCTCGCGCCACCACTCCCCGGCCGGGGTTCTTCTTCCTCGGCTTCCTCTTCTCCTACCCACCCCGCCACCCTCCCTTACCTCCCCTTCCCCGAGTACCGCAACCGCGTAAGGCTGCATATTGGCTGGGACGCGGACCCGTCCCTAGGCCTCATCATCGCCGCCCACGACCAAGGTTCCGTGGCCGTGTACTCCGCCATCTCCGGACACAGAGTCGGCAATGTGCCGCTGAAACCCGGTCAGAAAGGTCCCGTCAGCTGCGTGCGCGTCGGCCGCATGGGTGGGGACGACATGCCGAGCGTGCTCGTCGGGGCCGGAGGCGGGATCCTGGTGCATTCATGCGTGTCGGATGGGGAGGAGTCGTGACGGGCAATAAATAAATGCATCTTCATGTCCCGACCGCTCGAGGAGACGAAGGAGAGCGAGTCCCCTAAACGACACATGTAACAGGTTTTATATCATGGGTTTCCTTTCTTTTTGGATTCTTACGGCCTTGATGTTATACCCCCCTTACCCAGTCTAGAAAGAGTTGTTACATGTAGAAGGAATCTAAAAGTATTTTTGCTCGTCACCAACGCCATGCCGCACCCCGCCGCCGGTGTGATCTCGTAGTCCTCTTGTCGTGATTTCCCATACCCATCAACACACTTGCGAGGTGAATGAACACCAACCCAAAAACATCTCTTTATGAGTCGCGCCAGACCTGCCCTTTTTCCTCCCATCTGTTTGGAACATGAGAATAGAAAAAAAGAAACCAACCGTACCGATATATACATACGCTGATGGGTCGCGGTACCCCGACAGGGAGAGCCCGTTTAACCAAACCGGGGCCCCGTACTTCCCGCGACCGATCCGATATATCTAGCCCGAGCCCCCAAAGGGTATGTGCTGCTGCTACCAACAGTTCAGTCCCGTTATCCCTATGCGCGCTTCCAAGGCGATCCCTTTCCGTAGTGCCGTGGCCTCCCGGCCAAGCCAAAGCCGAAATCCAACCCCATATTACGTTGGGTATATATATAAAATGATTAAAAAAGAAAAGAACGCCAGATATGTACCCTTTACATATACCCTTTGTCTCATACCCGATACCTCAACCTGACCCAAAAAGAACAATCCCAAAGCGCCCGAGGAGAGAAAACTTCAAAGGAAGAAAAGACAACACAGGCGGCTGTAGGCCGTGTTCCAAAGTCTAGACTAGCTGGGGGTGACGGTGACTAGCTCTTCGTATGCAAAATGCACCCCTGCAGTTTCCCTTTATGACCATGCAAGGCCAAGAACAAGAAGAAAAAAGAGAAAGGTTCCATCAGATGTGATTTCTGACCGCAAGGTTTTTTTCATTCTTTAAACAAGGCGTGTATACCAAGTTCTTAGTTGCAATGTTATTACGGATGTTTCGGACGATTTCTGTATTTATACGTGCCGTTGAGCTCGGGAAACTTTTGGCTAAAGGCCTCTCCCAAAGTCCAATTGTCCAGGTTGCGAACGTGCTGGTCAAAAACCGGGTTGATGGTGATTTCGTCGGTCTCCGGGCTCCGGATGAGGACGTAGATGTCGTCGTAGGGCCAGTTGCAGGATATCGTCGAGGTGTAGGGGATGAAGTAGTTTTCGAGAGGGTAGTTCTGGTAGTTCCGAACCATGTGCTCCCGCATGCCCGGCCAGGGGACGTGGTCGAGCCAGGCCGGGTGCGGGACTGTGACCTGGGCCGGAAGAGGTTGCAACCACAGTGGGAGGCGTTCATAGTTTTCTTGGGAGGGCTCAACTTGCCACCGCATGAGCAGGAACATCATGTAGATGACCGCGAGCTGTTCAGGCAGCCTACAGAGATCTGGGAATGTCCCAATGATGGCGGTGAATAGGCTCGATAGTGGGTGGTCCGCCGTCGTGTCCTTGTTCAGGAGCGACGATACGGACGGATATTTTGGGCCGACAACCTCCTCTTTCGGCTGACCCTGGGCGATGAGATCGTGTCGTTCTTTGAGAAACTTTAACAGAATGTCGTCCAACAAACAGGTCGTCTCGTTGTTCTTGATCGGCGTGGCATAAACGGGCGTTGAATGGTCAGGCCCCGGGAGGCGGTAGGAGTCGGTCGGCGGAGGGTAAGTGCGGGGAGCGTGAGAGCTAGCCCATGTGGCGGTCGATTGCGACGGGTAGGTCTGGCTTGCGCTCATAGGGCTGTGGACAGTTAGCGGTCGCGGAACCTGGCTAACTGCCTGATGATGCCTGGCGGTGAGGGGTTCGGATAGTGAACCGTAGCCACTACTCTTGTCCCCACTTATGGATAGGAACTCGGGGACACTATAGGGCCGGGAGACGAGAAAGCTGAGGTCGATGCGACTGTGGGGGTTTTCAAGCCGCGTTGAACGTCCTCTCGTTGACGTATCAAAGCCTGCGTGTGCTGATTGACCGTCGTATGGTGACTGTCGTGCGCATGCGCATTCGGTTGGGTATGCGCGCTGCTACTGCCATGGGCACGGTTCGAGGCTGTATCGGCACTGGCGCCGGGCGACATGATGCTCGAAGGGGTCGAGGCGATGGTGGACGGGGCGGGCGGTGGGAGGGGCTGAGAAGGGTGATAGCCCTGGCTTGCGGGGAGGCATAGGCGTGCTCGCCCTCGACCTTGTGGAGGGGAGATGAGATGCTGCAGAGTCGAGGTGATGCCGGCCAGCTGCCGCTTGATGTCGGCATTTTCCGCCTCGACGGCCTCCTGGCTTGGATGGCGGCCTGCAACTCCTTGTTGTGGTCCGAGTTCTTTAGCTGATCAATGATGCCTTCGAGCTGGGTAATCTTCTGCTTCGTCTTTTCGCGGATCGCGCGCTGAGCTACTCTATCTATGAGAAATCATCAAGGGTATACGTCAGCACGTTTGCAGTTCCAATCAGCGGGGCATAGAAGGCGGCAGCGAGGTCCAGTCGTGGATGAGAATGGAGACAGCCTAGGGCAGGCAAACGAGCAAGCCAAAAGTGAAAATGTGTAGGGAAAGCAGCAGAACCGAGCGCGGGGTAGTTTAGTAGGGGGTTGTCATTTACCATTCTCTCTCTTCCTTTCTCGCTGCTCTTGGGTCATGTTGGCGACGGATCGGGGCTTCTTGTGAAGCCTGCGCCTCTGCGGATCTGAAGGGTCGGCGTCCATGGCGTCGTCCGGGGAGGGTGCTGGGATTCATTTTTGACATGGGGCGCAGAAGCGTTGGAGTCTTGGTACGCAAAGGAGATGCTATCTGGAGAATTCGCCATCCGGGAAGGGGTCGATACCAGTCGCCGACGCCCGGTGTAACACAGGGGCGTCGGGCTTGCTAGGTGATACTTTTTTCAGTCTACGACCAGAGCCCGGATAAGAGGAGCGTCAGTCGTATGCGTCGTGCAACAAGAAGTAGAACTTTATAGAGTACGGCGACCACGGCGAGGGCAAGAGGAGAGGTTAAGCCGCTACGAGCTGAGTTGGCCTAGGGAGGAGGGCAGGAGGCGGGGGCGGGAAAGAAAGGGACGCAGGCGATTTAAACAAGGAGCAGCTGTAACGTGATTGATGGAGCACGAAGAGGGAGCACAGTGATCTAACCGGAATAGACACTCGGCGCCGCGGTGGGGGTTTTGGGTATGTTGAAGAGCGAGGAGAAGGAAGAGGGAAAACCCCGAAGTAGGATCAAGAGAGAAAAAAAAAAAAAAAGGTTGCCGCTGGCCGGGAGGGTGTGCAGCGAGGTACAAGCTAAAACGAGGAGACAAGGAAGCACGAGTGAGAGAACCTGCCAAACTTGGGGATGGTGGGAGTGGCGAGGACGAGCAAATGGGTCAAAAAGGTTAGACGAGACAAGATGCGCTAGGGACGGGCAGGTAAAGATGGAGTGGCCAAAGGGCCAAAGTTCGACGGAGGTGTAAGGCGGGTTCTCTTTCGTGCAGCAAGTGGGTCGAGGTCGAGCGAAAGTAGACTTGAGAGACCAAAACCAGAGCAAGCCAAGCGCAAAAAGACAAGTTCGAATTTGCTGGTCTGGAGCTGGTCTGGAGCTGGCCCCGTGGATTTTTAGTGGCAGGTAGGCGCAAAGGCAGAGAGAGAGAGAGGGGCGGGGGAAAAAGAGCCGGCACAAGGCTTTGTAATATTGGCCAGCCCAGCGCAGGCCTGTAGAGTCCAGCTGAGAGGTCTCAAAGGTGGATGGACACAACACGAGAGAGAGAGGGAGAGAGAAGAGAGAGGCGGCAATCTAACAAGAGAAGGGTTTCTTTTCCTAGATAGGGAAATTTGGAGCTGGCCCTCGGCGTGTGGGATAATTTTTGGGAGGGAACCAGGAAAATCCCGATTGCTGCGCGAGCGGGTATGCCGTCGGATTTTGAATCTTGGTTGGCGTCTGTACCACGATGTCGGGTAACAGATGAGGGTGAAATGCGGTCTGCCTGACTTGTGTGGCTTTGTCGCTGGTAAGACAAGACAGCGCGAACCTGCTTAATCAGGCAAGGCGACGGAGTGTGGGGGTGAAGGGGTGAAGTGGGTGAAGGTCTGGTGAAGGGGGTGATCGATGGATTTGATCAATTGAATTGATGGGATGGCGAGTACGTACTTAGTACACATCAACTGATCCATAGATGGATGTACCCAGCAGCACTCACGTCGTGTTTGATAGGGCAATGGCAACAACAAGGGTGCTGCTTTTGCTCATCGTGCCCCCGGGGTCGACAAAATGGAGAACGACTGGGATGAAGTGGAGGTAAAGAGGTGAAGGGAAAAGAGGAAGGAAAGAAAAACCAATAAAAAGAATAGGGAAACAGAGGTAGAAGAGTTTTCCTTCTCTTTTCGGGGGAGAAAAAGCAACAGCGGGCAACGGGAGTGATGTGGGCCGAAATAGTGCATCCGCTGGGGATACGGGCTCCAAGAAGAAGAAAAAAAGACAGAGAGAAAGAAAAAGAAAGAAAGAAAGACATGCAAGACTAGAGAGAGAGAGAGATCGGTAAGCTCCCCCGGACGAAAACGGGTCGCTCTCCCGGAGGCCGGTTTTCGAGATAAAAGGAGAGAATGCAGCCGCGGTGGGGGCGCAAGAGGCTCGATTTCGAGCGGGAGATCTGAGCTCTCAAATCGAGGTAGGTCAGGATGATTGTGACGGCCCTTCAAAATGCGCTAGATGCAAGCACATTGAAATATCCCCTCTCGGGGTTACATCCGATCAATTTGCATCCTCGCTGAAGGAAGACGCGTGGAGGAGGTGCCCTTAGCTCAACGACTTGGCCCATGCATCAAACATGCTTGCGCACGAACAAGAACGCTGGAACCATTGGGGTGGCGCTGCGATGGCCTGCCATAGGTACGATGGAGGAAAGGAGGTCGGGCTAATGGACCGAAGAGAAGCTCTGATCTATCGGCATTAAGAGAGTCCAGCTCGACATATTGATCAATGCCCGATGGACTCAATCCGGGTATATGCTGAGCAATGCAGAATGAACCTACATGTAGTCTCCGAATAATCTCTGCGACAGGAGACGGAGATGGAGACGGCGCTTGGAGGAAACCCGTAGACACGACCAGTAGGTATCCTCTACGTACAGGCAAAATCCCATTGATTACATTGATCTAGCAAGGCAAGCTATTGAAGCTATGAAAGCCCCAGCGAGGGTATCGAGGAGACAGAGAATATCGCATATTTACGGGCACAACCAGACAACCTCGAGAAAATACATCCATTACAAGCACAGAGCTGCGCTGCTCTTCTACAACACCCGCAGCTGGCCAAGAAGAGGTGCCTATTCTTTCAGAAGAAGGAGAAGGAAGAAAAAACCCTGACCCCAGCCAACGCGGATGACGGTGTCCTGACACCTCCCCAGTCTTTCTCGGCCGCGAAAAGCACAGCTCGTGGTTCCACAGCAGCGAGCTGAGGCCAGGGATGTGGGTGTTTCAATGTTCTTTGCTGATCCCCGCGCAAGAGGGCTGCACAACCCTTTCATCACCCCCGGTCCAATATTGGCTGCCGGCCTCTGATAGTGTCCACTGTTGGTGGTCAAGGTGGTATGCACGCTCGAGAGGAGAGATGGAAATCATGATCGAGCTATTCGAGCGAGGAAGGGGTTAAAAAAGAGGATCCGAGCAAGCCTTTTTGGGTTTCCCTTCTTTCCTCAATACCTTAAAAGGACCCCTGTGTCAAGCCGCGGGTTGGCCGCCCACGCTGATACCAATAAAAGAAGAACCTCTAGGGGCCTCCGTGATGTACCAAGGTAAGGGATCGCTTCGATGGGGGAACAAGTACGAACAAGATGGTATGACTGACACTCTTCTTCCGTACACGCAAGTAAAAATTAAGAAGAAAAAGAAGAAGAAAGCCCATGCTGGCACTGAATCATCCCGGCTGGATCATTCAACGCTTCTCAAAGTCCACGCACGCTGTAAGACACAACTTAGCCGCCTCGGCGAGTAAATAGCAAAGCGCAGGGGGCGCATCGAAGCCTCCAAGGGCCATTTACACGGCATTAGGATTTGCCACGCCCTCGCGCGCGACCAGTCCGCGGACCATCTCCTCGAAGATTATCTTCACCCTAGGCCCTAGGCCAAGCTCAACAAGACGGAAGAAAAGGAGCGCGAGAGAGAAGGGAGAAACCCCCACCACCACCACCAGGTCCCTGATCCGCTCTCTCCGGGTAGCTGGTGTGGAGTGGAAGGGACAAGACCTGCAAGGACTGCATCGTGCGGGCGTCCAGCCCCGAACGGCAATCGGCGAGTCTAATTGATGCCTCCCACCAATCGAGCCTCTCCTTTCTGCTTTTACCTTTGTATGCCTTGTTTCCTTTTTCCTTGCTCCATCCCCTATTACCATCCCCACTCCATACCCAATACCAGGATCCGAACCTGACAGGGCTCCTGCGCCGTGGGCCGCTGCGGGCGCCGCATCAAACGTTGAATTCGTCACGTGATGGATGGTCAAGCTCACTGTACGCCAGCTGCAGTGGCAAGCCCGGACCCGCCCAGCGCCGGGCACCTTTCAGCGATTTTGATGTGATTACTTGTGCTATTACATTACTCCCGTCACTGCCACAACTATCAAGTGGTGACTGAAAGTCCAGGAGTGGCTGCATCCAATTGATCACTCCAACGTGCACATCGAAACGGCCGTCTTCTTGATTCAGTGCTGAACAGAACAACTCACACGCTTTGGAGAGGAATCATGTCGTGCATACAGAACCCTCTCCACCGTGTTTAATGACCGCTCCCCGAGATCACTGGTCAAAGGTTTTATTCTTCTTTCCTTTTTTTTTTACTTCTTCTTTTCTTTTTGGCTTGGGCTGCTCCTCCATCAACTCTTTCTCTCTCAACGCCCCGCAGTCCGCGCCCTCACGAGCTTGATCCCGAATTCTTGGTTAACCCGGGCCCTACCGTCTTGAAGAGGCTACCTTTGGAGTCTCGGTTCTGCGAAACATCGGCGCTTGGCAGACTCTTCTCTTCGTACCAACCATGGACGGAGAGACACCGACCGGACGCCTACCTGATGAGTATCCTCCCGGCGTGGGCAACGCCCTCGCCGAGGCTACCGCAATGTCTCTCAGGGCCATCGCCTCAACCACCCCTTTAGTAAGTCCTCTCGGTGAATTCGATTGCTTTCTGAGAACCGTGCTTTTCCATACCCATCGGGCCTTCCAAAGCCCCTCTCCTCTTTTATTCTTTCCGCCCAATCGCGAGGCATCTGCAGTTTCTAGTTTTGGGGAACCTAGACAGACGCACTTATATCGTGGCGGTCTATGTGGCAACACAAACCACTCGTATTCCATCTCTTCTCTAGACTTGTTCCAAGTTCCAGTCTTCCCAGTTGCCTCCCACCTCCCACCCTCCTCACTACCTCAACAGCGTCATGGTGGAGGTCTTGATCCCCCATCACACCTCGGACGTGCAGAAGAAGCAGGCGATCATGTCTTCAGACCTCCTTTTGGCCCTATGTGTGGCCCGGCCCCATCCGTGGCTCAGGATAGAGCAGGGATAGAGCAGGTAACGGTGCCGTCATAGCCCTGAGTAACGAACGCCTAGTCCTCTTTTCTTTCTGTTCACTGCGCTCTTAGGTAGTTCCGGACCCGTCTACCTGCTTGGCCGGTGTTATCTTGCCTTTATATCTAGGAGAACTGGTGCTCGTGACTTGAATTAGTCGCTAGAAGTCATCTTAATACACACATGTAGCATCTAGTTCTTTTGCCCTGTCGCTTGAGAGGGAAGGAGCGGCCAGTGCTAGTCTTTGACGCAACGACAAACAGATCCTAGCAATGCAGAGAGGATCATCCCCCAACTTCTTTGAAGATGTGCCATAGCATTTGATCAAACAACCCCCTTCACTTGATATCATAACTCTCCTGACACATTACACATTGCTATTCTCTTTGCGGATTGAAGATTGGTGTTGGAAAAGTGAACGATAGAAAGCTAATTGCCATCCTCTTCTTTCCGTCCCTCTCAAGGCCCGACCCTGAACCACGGCGATATACAGCTTCACCCCCGGCAGGCCCGACGCGATGGACAGCAGCGAGATGATGGACGACAACTCCGAGTTCATCGACAACGACACGAGCCTCGCGTACGGCGACCATGATATCGAACTGGAAGGGCAGGACTACGTAGCCGGGGAGTATGAAGAAGGCGACGAATCCACGCAGGAAGCGGACGACGAAGTGGAAGAAGAGTCGGACGGGGAGGATGAAGGAATGGTCTACGACCCTCACCCCCGGGCCTCAAGGAAATTTCTAATCTCGGCAAGTTCACCGTGAGCACGCACAAGCAGGACAACGGGGTGGAGGAGCTGCGAAGCGATGATTTGACCAAGTTTTGGCAGTGAGTTCACCCTCTGCGCCTCCGCTAAATCACCTAACAAAGGCTTAAAAAAACTTGGATAGATCAGATGGGACGCAACCGCACAACCTAACCGTCTACTTTGTCAAAAGGTGGGCATCCGCGAGATCCGGTTCTACGTCGACTACGACCAAGACGAGTCGTACACGCCGACCCGCATCGTCTTCAAGTCGGGCACGAGCGAGAATAACATGATTCGCTTCGCCTCGATGGATCTCGTCAGCCCCAAGGGGTGGCAAAAGGTGCCCCTCGAAGGGGTGGGCGGCGGACCCGACGGCAACACCCTCTTCTGCTGGGTCCTCCAGGTGTCCGTCACGGAGAACCACCAGAACGGCAAGGACACGCACCTCCGCGGCATCAAAATCTTTGCCCTCGACACTGAGACGACGACGGCGGCGGCCGCCGCCGCGAGCAGTAACGGCCGACCTGATTTCGGAGCCTTGGGCGAGGTGGCCTCGGCGGACGCGCAGACGCCGGCGATGGGGACGCGGCGGCGGACGGGGAGGACGTCTCTTAGGCGGCCAGACGTCGATCCCGAGACGCCGGTGCGTCCCCCGAGGGGCGGCGGAAATGGGGAAGGGGAGGAAGGGCCGGGGGTGCGAGGAGCGGGAGCGGCCAGGCGGCGGGGATTCTGGCGGTGGCAGATCTGTCGTTGTCGGCGCAGTTTATGCGGGAGCCGGAGTTGCGGTGATTCTACGCCGAACACGCCAGTGCCCTTTTTTCTCTCTTTGACATGGTGATAGAAGTCGTTATGATACACGCACGCTAGTTTACGGTCTTTGGGGACCACCTATTACCAGAAAAAGAACCATGTCACTTCAATAAAATGCCATCATTCGAAACTCCCCTTTCGTTGAGGGAGCGTGCTGACCAGTTGCGAAGAGGGCAGTGGAAGCGTATGACTTTTGGTGCTCACCTCATTTCCCCGATGAGAAACTGGCAGATGTCATCCTGGGCAAATCTAGTAAAAAATGAAAGTGAAGGCTCATCAGTCTCACCACTCTATATCCTGTCATCTAGTTGTCGAAATACTATCGAAGAATCCTTGAACTCATCAAACTGCTGACACGATGTCAGAGGAGGCTGGCACGCTGGCTGTGTGGCATCCTTCGGGCTCCTCAAAGTGGAGACCAATCCCGGTTCGCGCGCCCGGAAGCCTTGTTCTAGGCGTTTTCCCTTTTCGGAGGCACCTTGCTGCTAATATGCCCGACACTATAGATGTACTCATGCATCGTGGGGCAACACGAAAAAGAAGCAAGAGCTTTGGGGGCTAAGTGCTGGGCTACGCCTGTGCGATGACTTAACCAGCCCAGTGACCGTGAGACTAGTGCGCGGAATGAGGCGGGGTGGCGGGAGAAGAGCATGATGACCCACTTGCTCCAGAACGAGAACGTCTCTTGGAGAGAGGGTAAGAGGGAGCTGCTTGTACTGGGAATCATCTAGCCATATTCAAGACCTTGGAGAGCGGAAGCGGAGGGTGAGGAATGGCAAAGAAGTGCGCTGGGGAATGGGGACTCGGGCCTCTAATCGGCGGGTCTCTCATAGATACACACAAAGAGAGGTGGGTCTATTGGGAAGAAAGGGCAAGAATTTGATAGCTCGGCAACCAATCTTTTGTTGGGTGGAGAAAATCGATAAAGTTACACCAAGATGATTCCATGCATAGAGGTAAACACTTGGAGAATGAGCCCATGAGTTGGATTGGATACAGAGTGCATGGATTGCCTCACGTTAGGGGCTTAGACTCGAAGGGGATATTTGGAAAAAGAAAAAAGGTGCGCTCATACTGCGGGGTATTGAAAGATCAAGGGGGAGAGCTCTTGCTGCAGAAGCGGCTGGTGAATGAACTGATTTGAGGCCCTGGATTGATTGTCATGGGTAACGATGCAGCAGATTGAAGATGAGGAGGGGAGCTTGGGGGAGTTGGGAGCTTTGGGGGAAGAGATGGTGTGAGCACTGCCACAAACCTCGATGAAGAAAATGGCCCACCGAAAACCGTTCTCGTGCCTCTTTTCCCGTGGCGAACTATTAGTTACAAGGGCGAGGCAGGTTGAAGGAACCATAGATGGATCCAACCATCTCCGTGGAAAGCCACAGGAAAGAAGAAGTAGCCTTGAGCGATACGCTCTGGCTCTGTCCGAGTCCCCATCCAGTATAACAATGTCGTCTTGTTCAAAGATCACGCTAGGAAACCCCGGCGGACGGATAAGTCGCCTCCCGCTTGGGGGAAAGTGGGGCTGCGAAGCTCGACTGGGACGCAGATAATCGTTGGAGCTACTTTGATGTACGGGAAGACGTCACTAAAAGCCGAGAAAGCTCTTGAACCCCGATTCGGGACTCGGGCTGCCGAAGGACGCGAGGAACGCGAGGTGCAGCAACGTCCAGTGCCAAAAAGTGGTGTGGAATACATGTACATTTTAGTGGACGGGATGGATGGAATGGTTGGTCCAACCGTGGCAGCCATCAATTGGAATCCTCGATTGATTTTGTGAACTTGCTCCACGATTAATTCGTCTGCCTAACACATCCATGTGAAGGGAAAAGGTTGAAAGCCACTCAGAGCATGCCCACCATGTGGCAGCCCGCGTTTGCCTCGTTTTGAGTTCTCGGAGTGGCGTGGTCACGAAAGGCGAGCACACACCAGGCAACGCAAGCTCCGGGGAAGAAGGCCCCCGATCAACAAAACGTTGGAAAGAATGGGGGATCTTGTTGCTGTTGGGCTTTCGGGAGGAGACGCGATCCAAAGACTCTAGCGAGGCAGTGACAGTTGCACATGAGCCCAATGTACGTCGGTGGCAGAGGTGAAAGGTCTCCACATGCACACACCAAAAGGAAGAGATCCAATGTAACTGTTCACTTGCTGGCTTGGCTGGTATACAGGGATCCATTGTAATTACTAGAGAATACAAGTTGATGATTTGAATTCATCTTGGGTTGCCACATTCTTCGGGTCTTGGCTGTTGGGTTGTCCTTGGGAGCACAGCTTGAATTGACGTCGTCTCAAAAGAGTACATCAAATGGAATAACACACTCCACTCAACACTGTCTTGGGCAACATGCGCCGCTCTATACCACCGAATCGAGTACCGAGGTACTTTCGTACTTCAACGTTGTCAATGTTGTAACACTACCTCGATTCGCCGGCGGTGGACTGAAGTGTTGTGATTTGTCGCTGGCAACAAGAACCTCGACGTTCTAGCCCGAAGCGGGTGAGCGAGGGCGCTGCGCCGTCCGACCGTTGTGGCCCTCCGCCGTCGGTGATCTTCCCAGTCCCAGGCCAGGAAGCTCCTCTAGGAAGCTTCAGATCCGGATTAGCGTATCCTTCTCGAGGCTTGGCTCACGAACTGGACTGGGCCCTTTCACCAAGACGTGTCGCAATCTTGACATGTATTCTTCGCAACGCGCAGCTCTTTTCCTTTTTGTTTCTCTGGGTCTGGTGACTGACCATCGCAAGCACTGCCCCCTCTAGAAGGCAGAAGGAAGCTCGGAGGAGATCCACCGGTGGGGACCTCTATGATCGATCCATTTGATTGATATGAATTGATCCATTTTGCGCCAACTGTACGGCCTGCACACCGCAGCAAAAGAAAAAGTTTGGTTGATCATTTAATTCATTGGCGCCGGGGAGGATGCGACCCGCCCGCTCCAGTGCTGAAGTGGCATTCCCGGTCACGAATCGAAGACTTCAATGTTGGCTTGGCCATGCTCGCCCTAGAAACACACGAAAACACACGAAAACACTACATGGGGAGTTCGTCTTTTGCCTGACTTGTCAGAGGAGGCGAGCCCTCTTTTTTTTTTTTTTCTCTTCTGGATGGCTGTCGACCTGCGTCGAGGACAGTTCACAACCTTCAAGTCGCCACACGCCAAACCAACCCTCAAAAGTGACAGGGGAATAAGCCACGCGAGGGGCCTTGGGCTTCTTTCTGGCTTTCCACGAGTGATCCGCGCCGGGCGCAAGGCCTCTTGATCCCTCTCGTGGCGTGGCTAATGCCCAACTTGTCGACTTGGGGGATCGCGTGTAAGCTGGATGTAATGGATCCATGCATTGTGAGATATTGTCACCCTCAATCAATAATCGGGATATTAGCCCCAAGCCTACTATAGCCCCTTGATGAAGCTGATCCCCGGGAATCGACGGGTATTGAATACATTGATGGGGGGGAAAGGGGACCAAAGAACGGGATAATGGATAACACGGAACACCCTCAGGGCTCGGCTCGTATCAAACAAAAGAAAAAAGCGAGACAAGGCAAAAAACCATCAAGATTCGAGGCCCTGTAAAGGTGGCGTTTGCGGCGTGGGCTCTCTGACCCCACTTGCCAAGAGCTCCGCCTGTTTCTCTTTTCCCCGGGCCTGGCCATGCCGGGATGGGATGGGCAAGATGGGGATGGGATGGGGATGGGGATCAATTCCTGAATGACGAGAGGGAACAAGCACAAGCAGTGGCGCATCAGGTCGACCCCTTCGCCAAGGGTCCTTTTGGCAGAGGAAGGAAACTCCACAGTTTGGGCGATCTGGCTTGGCACTACATTCAATACTTGTCAAATGCTCTGTGTTTGTTGGTCTTCTTTTCTTATTACGACACGCATCTCCATTCGATACTTAAATACTCGTGTCCCCCTTGTCGCACCACCCGCTCGCATGCATCCATCATAGATCAACCCCCATCGCCCAAAAGACGCACGCGCCTCCGTTTCTTCGTTTCCCTCGGATACTTGCGTCTCTTTTGTTTCCACTCCATCCTGGACAAAACATTCAAATATTATCTGACCCCCCCTCCCTCCCTCCTATCCTCTCTTTGAAGAGCTTCCCTCGCACTTCTTAAAAAAACACAGCATCCATCTCGCCCCTCCATTAAACCAACACACGTTTTCGCGAAAAACAAAAACGAAACCATGTCCAACGTCAACTACGGCACCACCCCGGCCGAGGGCGCCAGCGTCGCCCCCGCTCTCGGTTCCGTCAACGGCAGCACCGCCGTGAGCGCGGGGAAGCGAGCCGACCTCGGTGGACGCGGGTCCCAAGACGATGGCTTCGCGCCCGAGGCTGCCATGATCGTCGAACCTGCCCGCCAGGAGGACCTCCAGCGCAGCTATGCCACCATTGTTGACTCCAACGCGAACCCCAAGGGCTGGTACGGTTCCATGAGTAAGTTGCCACCTCTCTCTTTCCCCCTTTCCCAACCTAGCGCTAGACGCGTCGCGTGTGCATCCAATCCCCAAGAAGAGTGAAGAGGGGAAACAAAACCAATGAGCTAGAAAAAGAGAAGAAAGAAGGAGGAGGATTGAATGTGAAGCGCACCAGATAATCCCCCAGTCCTCAATCAGGCTGTTCAAACCAAACCAAACCAAAAAAATGGTTTGCTAATCCAGGAAACCCCCATCGTACAGTCAACAGCTTCGGCGGCTGCATCGGCACCATCGGCGCCTTCCCCTGCTGCCCCTTCCCCAACCCCTACAAGAACGTCAGCCAGGGCCACGTCGGCCTCGTCACCAAATTCGGCAAGTTCTACAAGGCCGTCGACCCCGGCCTCGTCAAGGTCAACCCCTCAGCGAGCGCCTGATCCAGGTCGACGTCAAGATCCAGATCGCCGAGGTGCCCCAGCAGACCTGCATGACCAAGGACAACGTCACCCTCCACCTCACCTCCGTCATCTACTACCACATCGTCTCCCCCACAAGGCCGCTTTCGGCATCTCCAACGTCCGCCAGGCCCTCATCGAGCGCACCCAGACCACCCTCCGCCACGTCGTCGGCGCCCGCATCCTCCAAGACGTCATTGAGCGCCGCGAGGAGATTGCCGGCTCCATTAGCGAAATAATCGAGGATGTCGCCACGGGCTGGGGCGTCAGGGTTGAGAGCATGCTCATCAAGGACATCATCTTCAGCCAGGAGCTCCAGGAGAGCTTGTCCATGGCTGCCCAGAGCAAGCGTATCGGTGAGAGCAAGATTATCGCCGCCCAGGCCGAGGTATGTCGCACAACCCTTTTGTCCCGCCATTACTCCTCTCGCAAAAAAAAAAAAAAAAAAGCAGGATACTAACGTTCTTCCCCCGTACAGGTCGAGTCCGCCAAGCTCATGCGTCAAGCCGCCGACATCCTCTCGTCTGCTCCTGCCATGCAGATCCGCTACCTCGAGGCTATGCAGGCGATGGCCAAGTCTGCCAACAGCAAGGTCATCTTCCTGCCCGCCGCGAACCAGACCATGCCCAACCCCGCCGTCTTCAACAAGGACCTCGGCGAGTCGTCCGTCCAGGGTGACGACTTTGGCCACGACTTTAGCAAGATCGACGCCGGTCTCCAGCAGGCCGTCAACGCCCGCATCGTCGAACACATCTAAGGAGCCTCAGATGTGAAATCTTCAGTTTGTCATCACACTCGACGACTCTGGCTTCTTTCTTTTTTCCCTTATTGTCTTGCGCTGGCCTCGGTGGTCTCTGTTTCCCTTGATATCCTCGACGACAACCAACGTTGTCTTCACCATGTTTGCACGCTATTGTATGAGAAAGGAGGGTTAACGCCCGTGGTTACTTATTCCCCATGTGTTTCATATACCCCTTCCGGTCGTAATGTACAGTCCATCTTTGGTTTTTGTTTTGTGTTTTTCTTCTTATTGTCATTTCAATCTGTTTGCAAAACAACAGACTATAGTGCGCCTCACCAGCTATGAAAACCTCTTGGATGGTTTTATCAATCGTTTGGGAGAGATTAATTTCATAAAGCTAATATGCAATGGGGAAGGGGAGAAACAAAAATAATGAAAAAATATATATACCAAGTTTTCATCTACATCTTCCGAAATGTTTGTAGCGCAGAGCTTGATTGTGTTGTTATTAGGCGCTAACAATGACTTCTGATGTGGCTCATGAAACCGCCCTGGTAGTTGACAATCTCACCAATGAATGTATGTACTACTAGATGTATTTGATGGAGCGATTGTATTCGTAGACTGCCGAGCCCAGCCTTGAAGTCCCGTATCCCGGTTTGAGGGGAAGATACACGATACCAAGTAAGACTTCAACAAGGTGAACAAAAAAAAAAAAAGAACAATCAATGATTCGGCCCGGGCTCGATCCGGGGACCTCTTGTGTCCAGCACCTTGTGGATGTTAGACAAGCGTGATAACCAACTACACCACCGAACCGATTGGTCGTGTTCCTTGATGTCATGGCGGGCTCCGCTGGATACATGGATCAATAGCGCAGTGGATGCTGAATGAATTGAGTGGGGAGACGAGAATGAAGGTGGGTAGATATGGTCACTAGGGTCGTCTAAAGCACGAGTTTACTAGTTTAGTGGTAGCACTGGACGACTTTGCTGGTTGGGAGACTTGTTAGACGTAATCTCATGGAGGTGTCAAGAGTCAACGCATCACATCAACCAGATCCGGCCGATCAGAATGCTTCCAACGCAACTCACGGGATATTCACGGATATCTACGTGGACGATACCACTCTCACCGGATTGCAAGTCTATACCGGGACCAATAAACGTCATTTTAAACTAAGCCAAATGCTCAGATACCCTACATGCATGCATCAGAGTTCCTCATCACCTCCCCTCTCTCATCAGCACATCTTGTGAGGGGAGTACTAGACTTGACATGGTTTTGAACAGTTGAAGACACTTGGATTAGAAGACGCGCGAGAAAATGACCAAAACTAGTTATCAAGATGAGGAAAGCAGTTGCAGGAAATGCCCAGACGCCTTTTAGACATTGCCGTTCATTATGAACATTGCAAAGCAAAAAAAAAAGAAGATACAAACAAGGAATTTCCCAACCTCAACTCCGTAGGATTCCCCTCCCTCCATTTTCGAAAGAAGACAAGATGAGATGTTAAAAGAGGAAAAAAAGAAGACAAGTAGTCCGCCTCTCCAGAGCGGAGGGGCCAAGACGGATATCGATGATAGGACGCAGTATTGGTCCGACGAGATCTTTGCGCGGCATGAGTCTGTAGAAAACCTTACACAAACCAAAGAGCCTACCCCGAGGGGAGAGATTTGGCTGAAGCTAATACAAGAGAGAGTGTGCGTGGCAGGTAACCAATTGACTAGTTGCAACCTACGCATCGCCCTTCTTCTTCTTGTGCTTCTTCTTCTTGGAGCCCTCATCAGGCTCTACCTCCTCATCGCGTTTCCGCTTCTCGCCAGACTTGTCGTCGCTCTTGCTCTTCTTCTTGCCCAAGTCGACGGTGCCGTCGGCGTTGATCGTAATCTCGCCCTTCTCAAGCTTCTTCTTGAACTTCTTGACCGACAGGTCGACGCTGGCTGCGAGCTTCTCGAAATCGGGCTCCGCATCTTCGGCAGACTTGTCCTTGTTCTTCTTCGCCTTCTTTTCTTCCTTGCTCTTCTTCTTCTTCTTCTTCTTGTCCTTGGCGTCGTCAACATCCATCGCATCCTCATCATCAGAGTCGCTGTTGGCCTGGTCGAGCACCTCTTCGATCAAAGGCTTCTTGGACGACTTGGGTGTTCCGTTTGTAACACCATCAGCATCAGTGTTATAGCCTCGGGCATCGCTCACGGCAAAGGCATTGGGTCCCTTGATTTGTCCATCGGGACCAACGGCGACACCCTTGGGGAGGAGAGGCTTTCCGTCCAGCATGCGGAGACGGTTTTCTAACCTTGTCCTCTGCGTGATACCAAAGAGGCCCTTCTCCTCCTCATCCTGTTCGGTAGCAGGGGCGGCGGCAGCAGAGTCCTCCTCTGCCTCGTCCTTCATGATGGGCTCGATCGCGTCGATGCGGAGACCGAGAGCAGTCTTGGCAGCCAGCATACGAGCAATCTTACCCTTCATCTTCTGCGAGGCCTGTCCAACGAGGGACGAGTTGTAGAGGATACCGTACTTGGGGGTGTTGTGCTTCGTCTTTAGGGCGCGGAAGAGGGCCTTCTCGGCACCGAGGATCTGGATGGTGGAGGCAGCCGACATGGACAAGCTCCTGAGAGAACCGGCATGCGCAATAAGCTTGGCACCTACAAGCCAGCCCACGAGGGCGGTGAGGTTGGGAGCAAGAGCCCTCATACGGTTTTCCAAGAAGTTGGAGATCTGGGCTCTGTATTCGGAATATTGAATAACCTGCGCGGCAAGAAGCTGGACGTTCTCCAAATCTTCATCGCTGACATCGGTTCCCATGGAAATCTCCGCAGCGGCCTTGGCAGCCTCCGCAATCTCCTCGGGAAGGACAGTCGTAAGGTCAGCCTCGACGAAGCCGTCACGACGACCGGCGGTAATGATGACGCGGGCATAAGCGACGTGGTCACTGATGAGCTTGCCCATTTCGGGGAAATGCCAGCCGTACCACTCGCGGGTTCGCATAGCATAGACGTTGAGCTCTCGGTCCATATCCTCGATAAGCTTGATCGCCTGAATTACCATCACGTCGACCTTGTCGGCACTGAACTTCAACTTGTGTCGGTGGACCGAGTGACTGAGACCAAGGGCAATCTTCTCAAAGCTGGTGGCGGACTCAGGAATGAGGGAGTCGAGGTGCTCGCGAATGGCTCGGAAGATGTCCTCAGTCTTGGAATCGGAAGACGAGCTCGCGTAGAGAGACGCTGCCTCGAAGCCAGGAAGAGCACGAATTCCGGACGAGAGGCGCGGGTCGGGAATGGCAATAGTGGCATCGCCAGGGTCCTTGATGTTGGCCAAGAGCTCGGCCATGGTCTGGGGAACCTTGCCATTGACCAACGCGGCGGCCTCCTCGAGGGCAACTGTTGGGCTGCTGAACTTTTCGAACGACTTCAATCGAAGACTACCACCCACCCATTGTTAGATCTATGCAAACCAGGAATTGGACCCTTTGATCCCCTTTGTTGATGTTTTTTTCTTTCTCAATAAGATAAACACTTACGCTTCCGTCACAGCCTCAACATTCGCAAGCTTTTGTCGGAGGTCATCGCGCTTTAGCAGCTTCTTGTCCGCGGCCTTGAAAAGACCGTAACTAAGCAAAGAAAAAGAGGAAAAATCAGCTTGCAGTTCAAATTACTGGACCTATTGCTTGGGAAGTGATACTCACCCCGCCGGAGTGTCGGCGACGATATAGAGAGAAGGCATGATACGGAGGTGGCGAGGGGTGATTTCCTCTTTGTGAGCAACAATTACACCCCTTTTTCAATTCTCAACAAGGGGATCGACTCGAGATTTGTCGAATTGACCAATTCCACCTGCAAGTTACGAATTGGAATCGTAATGTTTGGAGGGTGGACGCGGGTGTGAGAGACAGGTGCAGGGCTAGAAAAGAAATTTTTATCCTTCCTGAAGCTTGGTGGATCTTGACCAACAATTTTTTCCCTTCCCTTGCCGTTACTTTGCGGTCCTGCCTTTCCATTGGGGAGCGGTGCGTGGGTGGGCGGGGCCCATGAAAAAACTTCGGATTCGGATTAACCCTTAATCCTTGGAGGGGCTGCCATTTCACAGGCAGCCGCATTAATTTGAGCGACAACAACTGCTGACACCTGATATTGGGGTGTAGATGCTTGTTCGGTTGATCTTGGTTATTACGCCAGTCCCAAGTAATCAACTCGACAGCTTGCTTTGAGGCCTTTCCGACTAGATTCGACATCTGGGCAACGAAACGATTTGTCTACGTTATCTCTTGTCTTTTGCCCCCATACCCTTTTGGCAACTGTCGGTTCATCTTATTCTTGACCCTCCCGCTCATCCTCAGCCCAAGAGAAAAACAGAAAGGCCGGAAGAGACCAACACTTGCTAGCTCCGTTCGGCTCATATCGTCATTGTTCAAAGCCTGGACGACATCGTCGTACAACCACAATGGAGGGCCTTTTCTTTAACGTGAACAATGGGTACGAGGCACCATCATATCTTGTGTCAGAGAATAAAAGCAATAGAGCTACAGACTGTACTAACGCATTGCAGATACCTCGAGGGCATCATTCGGGGATTCAGAAACAGCCTGCTTACCGGAGCTATGTACGGCAACCTCAAGCAGTGCGAGTCAGTGGACGGTATGCCTACCTTGCCCTTACACGATGCGTTCTCCCATCTCATAAGCTGACGGCTTCTCCTTAGACTTGAAACTACAGCTTGCCCCTGCCTACGGCGACTTCCTATCCGCCCTCCCCCGAACCCCTCGCCTTCCTCCCTCGCCGCGAAAACCACCGAAAAGCTCGTTTATGAGTTCCGCTACGTGCGAGCCAACGCCTCGGGGACGCTGGCCAAGTTCATGGATTACCTCACCTACGGATACATGATTGACAACGTTGCGCTACTGATCACCGGCACCCTCCACGAGAGGGACACGAGCGAGCTTCTTGACCGATGCCACCCACTCGGCTGGTTCGAGACCATGCCTGTCCTCTGCGTTGCCTCCAACATTGAGGAGCTCTACAACAGTGTCTTGATTGAAACTCCGCTCGCCCCTTATTTCAAGGGCAGTCTCAGCCACCACGATCTCGATGAACTCAACATTGAAATCGTTCGAAACACTCTTTACAAAAACTACCTCGAAGACTTTTACCAATTCGTCAACACTCACCCCGAGATGGCCGGCACGCCTACCTCTGAACTCATGTCCGAGCTACTTGAGTTCGAGGCGGATCGCCGAGCCATCAACATTACCTTGAACTCGTTCGGTACCGAGCTTACCAAGGCTGACCGTAACAAGCTGTACCCAACATTTGGCAGGCTGTACCCTGAAGGTACTCTCATGCTTTCAAGGGCTGACGATATCGACGGTGTGCGACTAGCCCTTAGCGGCGTCGAAGACCTTCAGAACTTCTTCTCCTCCGCCCAACTTGGCCGCGGTCCCTCGGGTCCCGGTAACAGTGACGGTCAGGAGGTGGATGATGGAAGCCCCAAGAGCCTGGAGGACATGTTCTATCACAAAGAGATGAAGATTTCCAAGTCCGCCTTCACAAGACAGTTCTCCTTTGCGATTGTCTACGCCTGGGTGAAGCTTCGTGAGCAGGTATGCAAAAATCCACCTCACCTTTCATTCATTCTTCCCTCCAGTCCCTCCCGACCCTCTTCAGGCATGGACGTGAAGCTAACTAGATCACCCTACAGGAAATCCGCAATATCACCTGGATTGCGGAATGTATTGCCCAAAACCAAAAGGGCCGCATCGGCAACTATATTAGCGTGTTCTGATCCCACCCAGCGCGAGCTTACTGAGACAGAAATAGTTGAGTGAGTCTGGGGATGCGAAGAGGAATCTAATGGTCTACGGACTACGAAATGTGCAGTCCTCAAATTCTTGCATAAGGGGAGCGGTTTGGTATTTTTTTACTGTTACTTTCAAGCGGCGTCACAAGGGGATTGCTTTTAAAGGCCACTTCGAGGTTAGGTTGGGGGCATCATGCTTCCATGCTGATGTGTCTATTATCATGTACAATTGAAACTAGCCGGGAATACAGGTTTTGAGTTAGTCTTACAGTTCTTCTACAATACATCGTCTCAGAAGGAGATCTGTTCCTTCCAGGTTGCTGGCGACAAGCCTAGTTTCTCTAGCATATTTGTCCACCTTTCACTCCCCCTCTCCTTCCTTTCCATGTACCTCAATAGTTTCTGGCGACGGTGGCAGAGAACCCGAAGGTTTCGCTTGTTGTGCTTATCCTTATAACCCCTGTTCTTCTCGAGCTCTTGAGCTAACTTTCGGATCTTGACGGTGAGAATGGCGATCTGCACCTCGGAGCTTCCGGTGTCGGGGCCGCATCTCTCGGGCATATCGACGGGGTTCTTGTGAATGGACTGAGGCTTAGGCTGGAGGTGCTTGTCTGTATTGTGGCGACCAAACTCTTCAACGCATCGCCTGATGTTGGTGTGCTTACGCATCTTTGAGCTAGCGTTATCAAGACTGACGATGCGCCTGATGGCCTCAGCAGCGCGCGCGTGGTTCTGCTCGTGCTTCTTCTGTGCCTCCTCCTCGGCCGCTGCGTCAAGACCTTCGCTCCCGGCGACGGGCTTGGTCAAAGTGTAGGCGTGCTGGATGGCGTGCTCGAGCTCCTCGCGGGTGAGGAGGTGGCTGACAAGGTGTGTAGAGGTGGGCAGCGGGTGAGGCTCCCCCAAGGGGTTTCCGGCCTTGTCCTTGGGAGGTTGGTAGAACGGCTCCTGGCCGGCCGAATCGAAGGACTCGTTGAAAGGGGTGGGGACGCCTAGGATGGGCGAGCCCCATTTCTCGTTTCGCTCCTTTTGGAGCTCCTCCTGTCGTTCGAGATTGGCGTTCTTTCGCTGCTGGATCTGGGCCCATCGGTAAGGGTCACGCTTGGCGAGCCGCTTCTTCTCCCATTTCGTGAGGGTGGCCGATTGCACGATGGGGAGTAGAGGCGTGGCAGCCGGTTTGATAGCTGGTCGCAGGCACACTATCCGAAAGCGTTAATATTAAAGTACGGGAAGCGGTGGAAGCTGTAGTGATGGATTTAGACGAGAAACTTACAGGCAAATGTGCCCACACCTGTCAGTCCGGGTATTCTGGGAGGCATCTTGTCGTACGGGGTCTGGCTCGTTGACTGCTCTCCTTCGCGAAGTCGCAAAATTTCTTAGGTTCGCGACTTGAACAGCCGTAGTCTTTCGACACTGCCCATCCAATGGGAGCGGTGGCGCTAATGTTCACATTATGTGGCGTTGCATCAGGTGACTCAGCAAGCTCTCGTGGCTGGTGCGCTTACCTGGACTTCCGACCACGCACATGAGCATGCACCCTGACCCACTGGGGAAGGGGAGGAGCAGGCCACTAAAATCTGTGATGAGGGTTTACCGGGGCCACACAAAATCATTTTACGGCGGGGCAATCCGCGAAGGGAAATATACAGCACGTAGAAATTATTCTCGTGAACCTACACTTTTAACCACCACCTCACAAGCTCTTCGTCTCTTTTTCTTCCTCCCCCATAACCACCCACCCATATCGTCAAGATGGCTCCCTCTAACCTCCCCGCCGTTTTCAACGCCACTTCCCAGGACATTGAGATGCTCCTCGCCGCTCAATGCCACTTGGGAAGCAAGAACCTTCAGACTCACATGGAGCCTTACCTCTACAAGACTCGTGTCGACGGTATCAACGTCCTCAACATCGGCAAGACCTGGTAAGTAACGCGACCTAGTCACAAGAAGGGGAAAAAATTCGCCTTTGCTTCCTTCATTCCAGACCGGAGGCGCAAAAAGGGAATCCAACTAGCTATTCGGTTCTCAAAGGGAAATCGCAGAGCAAAACTAATTAATTTTTCCTCTCCAGGGAGAAGATCGTTCTCGCTGCCCGCATTATCGCCGCCATCGACAACCCCGCCGACATTTGCGTCATCTCTGCCCGTCCCTACGGTCAGCGTGCCGTCCTGAAGTTCGCCGCCCACACCGGAGCCGTCGCTATTGCCGGTCGCTTCACCCCCGGTAGCTTCACCAACTACATCACCCGCTCTTTCAAGGAGCCCCGCCTCATTATCGTTACCGACCCCGTACCGATCACCAGGCTATCAAGGAGGCCAGCTACGTCAACATCCCCGTCATCGCTCTCTGCGACACCGATTCCCCACCGAGTACGTTGACGTCGCCATCCCCACCAACAACAAGGGTCGTCACTCCATTGGTCTTGTCTGGTGGATGCTTGCCCGTGAGGTCCTCCGCCTCCGTGGCACCATCTACAACCGCGAGACCCCTGGGACGTCATGGTCGATCTCTACTTCTGTAAGTTCTCGTGTCCTAATCGACTTTACCCAGCTGTAGCTACATATACTAATCAACCTTTGCCGTTTCAGACCGCGATCCCGAGGCCGAGGCCGAGGAGAAGGTCGAGGAGGAGAAGGCCGTCGTCGAGGAGGAGGCTGCCGTTGTCGACCCTGGCTTCAACGCTACTGGTGGTGACTGGGATGCTGCCCCTGCTGGCTTCGCTGGCGCTGCTGCTCCCGGCTGGGAGGGTGCTGGTGAGGACTGGAGTGCGGCCCCTGCTCCTACCGCCGCCGCCGGTGGTGAGTGGGGTGCTGAGACCGCCGTTGCTCCCAAGGACTCTCAGTGGTAGATTCATTGACCTTGTACATGGAGGAGCTTGTCTGGTCACGCTTCTTTTCTAGGCCACCTGTGACGATGACGGATTGGGCCGGTTCTTTCATTCATACAGTGACATCCCGGGGCGGAGGGTACACTTGACCATACTTATGAGGGAAAGATACTCGCCTCTGGTCCAGGGAATGGATCTTGGGGGAGGGAATGCCCTGTATGGTTAAAGGGGTGGACTTGATCGTTGCTCCACCCTTCCCCTTTGTGATGTCCCCAAATATCTTCCACCTCCTGATCAGGAGTAACCTCGGTAGAAGTTTCAAACCAAAAATGGGGAGCCGCGAACCTCCAAAGAAAAAAATAGATAAAAGGTTGAACGCGAGAATATGGGATGCTTGATATGTGTTTGGCTTGTACACTCTTTTCATGCGCTGGTGTTCATCACACCTTGAGAAACGAGAAGCTCAGTCTACCCTAGTACACGTAGACATTCAATGTTCCATTTCGCACCTTCGTCTACTTGTAGCTTGGCCGCTTTCACTAGGGCCCTCGCCGGCTCGGTAAGGATCGAAATGGAAGCCACCCCGTTGGCATCCGGGCGAGGGGACCCTTTTCCTCTTTCAACCCCTTTCTAGGGAACACTTATAACCAGTTAATGTGCTACATGCGAATTCGTCCAAGTGTCGCATGGCCTAGATGATTTTAAGAAGGTTTTAGGGCACCAGTAAAATGGCATGGCATCGAAAGGGGGAAAGGGTCGCTAGGATGGGGAATTCAAGCTCAGACAGGCTGAGGCCCTGCTTGCCGCCGTGGAGCTTCTCCGACTTCTCACCATTGAAGACGATCCCGAAAACACGAGGGGACGGCCGGGCATATATTATACCAAACCAAAAGCTCCCTTGACTTCCTATCAATGGAAATAAGCACTGTGAGTCTATACTAGTGAGAGAGTGGTTTATTCGCCTTGATCAGGCCAAAGGGAAAAGGTTTGTCTAAGAGCATCTTACACACGTTTTCTCATGCCCGGCCAACGACAAAGGACGGGAACTGCGTCATGGGGGCACGTGCTACAGCTCCAACTTTGATAGGCCAATGCGTGATGTTCGGTTGGCTGAAATGCCCAAGCCTGAACATGATACTAGCGCTAGCCAGTGGGGCAAGTGCGACCATGGCTCAAATAATAATCAGGTCTCAGTCTTCAGCGACCAGAGCTTCTCTTGCCAAAAACAAGCCGCCGATTGGGAAAATATTATACCTCATACAATTACGAATATCTTTCTTCGCTGTTACGGGGTACGCTAGAGTGAAAAAGAGCCTCAGATTCTCCGAGCTTCGAATTTGTCGTAGGCACACGTGCCTGGAGGCCGGGGCAAATTCTCCTTGCTCTCTCCCTCTTTGTTGATCTCAGCCCGTGCCAGCATTCTCCGCTCATCTCACACGTCGTACGGGCATCCACGAGGCTGATAAGCCGTTGTGACCGTTTTCCTTCCTTCTTCCGCCATTTGACCTCATAGAAGCTTCTTGCAGAGACACTTTACGTCACATTTTGCATCCTTTCTCTCCACCGGGCGTTTTTTGTGACTCTTCCTCCTCGCGTCCCTGTCGCACTTTCCCCATCCCTTCCCGCAATGAAGTTCGGCAAGACCCTGAAAGAGTCCGTTTACCAGCCATGGAAGGCCGAGTACATTGATTATGCCAAGCTCAAGGCTCTCCTCCGCGAAGGCGGATCCGACGAGGAGGACGATGTCCCGTGGACTGAGGAGGACGAGAATCGCTTTTGCGACGAGATGTTCAACGTGCAGCTTGAAAAGGTCACCAAGTTCCAAGAGACCACGTTTAATGCCATCAAGGATCGAGTCAACTCTGCCTTTGACACAGTGAGAGACCTCGCTCCGAAGGACAAGGAGAGCCCTGGAGGTAGTACTAGCGGCGTGCAAAAGGAACGGTTGAAGGAGCTCGAGAAGGAGCTGGACGACATCACCAAGGAGATTCGCGAGCTCAAGGCCTTCACAAGTATCAACTACACTGGTTTCCAAAAGATTGTGAAAAAGCATGATCGAAAACGGGGTGGCAGGTACAAGGTCAGGCCGATGATGCAGGTATCACTCCAGAGCCGGCCTTTCACCTCCGAACCTGCATACTCCCCTTTCTTAAGAAGCTGTCGATCATGTACTTCATTATTCGGCAACGCCTCGAGGGCGATGGTGAGCGAAAGGATGCCATTCAGCCCGTCGATCTGGAGAACGAAGGCGAAGTCCACAATGGCGAACGATATACGGCGCACAAGTGTATGTTACGGAGATCATCTCTTGCTCGCCCCCTTCCACACAGATGTTATCGATGAAATGGCAACTAACATTCCGTGATTGCTAACTTAGTCTGGGTACACCCTGACAACCTGCTCGAGGTTAAAACCTACATTCTGCCACGGTTACCTGCCCTCGTATATAGCTCGCAGCAGGCGACAGATATAACCCCCAGCGAGGACCCCACGATTACTTCGCTCTACTTCGATAGCCCCAAGTTCAACCTGTACAAGGCCAAGATCGACCGTAGGTCGACTGCCTCGTCTCTCCGACTTCGCTGGCATGGAAAACTCGCCGCACGCCCCAACATCGTGCTTGAAGAAAAGACGATTGATGAGCAGGGTGGAAGTTCTGAGGTTCGCATGGCGATCAAGGAGAAGTACATTCTCCCTTTCATCAATGGCGAATATCAGATGGAGAAGACGGTCGCGAAGATGGAGAGGCAGGGGCAGGTTGGCGAGGCGGTCGAAAGCTTCAAGGAGACATCCAGTCGTCTTCAGAACTTTATTCAGAAGAACGGAGTCTCGCCTATCATGCGAGCGAACTACGTCCGAACCGCTTTCCAGAAGCCGGGCGACGATCGCGTGCGCATCTCTATCGATAGCGATGTTGCCTTTATCCGCGAGGACACGCTCGACGACACACGGCCGTGCCGCAGCCGAGACGAGTGGCACCGAACCGATATTGACGACAGTGGCATGTCTTATCCATTCAAGAATGTACGAGAAGGCGAAGTCTCGAAATTCCCCTACTCCATCCTCGAGATCAAGATCAAAGGCGATGCTACGCGGAAGAGGCCGGCGTGGGTCGAGGAGCTCATGGCGTCCCACCTTGTGCACCCCGCGCCTAAGTTTTCCAAGTTCCTGCACGGCGTGGCCTCCCTATTTGATGACTATGTAAACACATTCCCCATCTGGATGAGCGACCTGAATACGGACATTCGCAAGGACCCCGCAAGGCGTTTGAAGAGGATGTGCAAAGACGTGCGGAAAAGGCCGAGGATGAGCAGGTGGTGGGAAGCTATTTAGGCACCAAGGTCAGCTCCTACAGGCCGGCCCAGAGTTCACCAGTGGCGCAATCGTATCTCTCCGAAAGGCTGCGCGCAGAAGGGGAGCAAACGAGACTCTAGGGAATGGTCGGGCCAATGGCGAAGGCGAGTCGAGCCAAACGACAAACTACGGGACTCTATCGTCTCTCCTACCGAGCTTCTCCTTGAAGCGGTATTCCCGCGCCCGGCACGGCGAGGTAGAGCCTCTGCCCGAGGGCGTTGTAGAGCCGGAAGTCTGGATCAAGAACAAGGGAGAGCTCAAGATTGAGCCAAAGGTATGGCTGGCAAATGAGCGCACGTTCCTCAAGTGGCAGCACATCAGCATTCTCCTTGGCAGTCTGGCTGTCGCCCTTTACACCGCCTCAGGTGCGGGGACCGTTGCACGCAGCATGGCCATATTTTACATATTAGTGGCGGTATTTACCAACATCTGGGCGCAGAGGATGCTCAAGGTACGGCGGAAGATGATCATGGAGAGGAGCGGCAAAGACTTTGACAACATGATTGGGCCTATGGTTGTCAGCGGCACTTTGGTCGTGGGTTTAATTTTGAATTTGAGCCTTCAGGTAAGCTTGGCCTTGCCCCTCTATCTTTTTCTAGGGCAGCACCGCATTCCTGCGCCTACCCTTCCTCTTTTTCTTGCCCCATCCTCTCAAGATATCCTCTCCCAAAACGACATCTTCACCGCTCGGAGAGGGAATGAGACCGGCTTGCTGACTCTTTTTTTGTTTGCTTGTAGTGGAAGCATACATTGGCACATATGACGGATACCGAGACGCTCGTCGGCGTCGTCTAGGCGCCAATGGACTGGCCAGTCGCCGAGAAGGAGGCGCTCGGTGCGAAGTTGGGAGCTGGAATTCTTGGAGCTGGATCAATCAGTAATCTCGACGGTCCGAAGCAGCGATTGGGCACGCCTAACAAGCGTGGGCCAAGGGTGCAGGGAGTTTCGGTAGGTCACCGAGCCCGTAATCAAGTTTGTCAAATTTGGAGCCAAAAAAGAAAAAAAGAAAAGAAAAGAAAAGAGAGAATGATTCCAGAGCTACTGCATTGGGTAGGGAGGCATGGAGGGGAACATCCTGGGAGTTGATCATTGTTGTGGTTGAAGAGTTGTTATCGTCTGTATATATAGATGCCCAAGGTTAGACCTAGGCCAAACATCAATCTCGTTGTATACGTCAGCAGGGCCCCAACACGAATTAGTCCCAAAATGTGCGGCATCGAGGAAAAGGGCGGCCGAATGAGAGTGCGGATAGGTGTTTTTTCGCCTTTTTGCCCTGATGCATCTTGATGCATGCTGCGCTGTCACGCTAGTGGCCACCCGAATTTCGCCCCCTCTCCTGCATTCACTTCTGGCGGCCTCCACCAAGTCCGAGAGCACGACGGATGGCTGGGTGGTGACAATGGTGAGATTGAGGAGGGTGCAGCTGGCTTCTGAAGGGGTAAAGGTCAGTCAGAGGTGAGAGAGCAAGTCAGAGACCAGGAGAAGAGATGCTGTGCCGCAGACATCAGACGGACGGTGCTTGGAATGAAAGTCTGTGGCCGTCGATCATCTCGTGTGGTTGAGAGGCCCAGTCTCATATCCTTGACCTACCCAGTGTTGCTGCAGGTCAGACTCCGGATAGCCTATGAAGACATGGACGACAGCCTGCGATGGGGTAACAAATGGCCTGCATATGCTCCATTCTTGCCCTTGCTTTTCTTCCCTCTCCTCCTTCGTTACCCTCTCCAAAGGCCCGTCTCATACCACTTGGGCCACTTTCTGCTTACTTTTATTTTTCTTCTTTTTCCTTTCCTTTTCCTTTTCTTTTTGTTTTTGTTTTATTTGATCTTATCTTCTGGCCATCCTTCACCGTCGCCGTTTATCGTGCTGCAGGGCCTTTCTTGGTGCTCCTCTTGTGTTTCGTCGACGCAGGACCACCTCAGCACCTTGGGCTCCCGCTTTGTCCTCGGTCCCCAACCGCACATGTCATCAGTCGAGTGTCGGCCTTTGCTCTGTCTGCAAGCTGTGTCCCTGCCCAGTGGCAAGGAACATGGAGGAAAATTCCAAACACCAAGCTCAAGGCAAGGACCTCCGAGATGGCTGTGCATGTCGAATCCGATTGCTTGGACAATGGGCTCCATCCCCTCACGCATAGCTTTCAGTGCCTGGTGTGTTCCTGCTCATTCCCTGGGCGACTTTTTGGAATTGTGGAATGTCGAGAGGGTTTTTGGTTCGTGAGCGTAGTATAGAGCTTGCATTTTGCATATAGCATATAAACCGTGTCGCCTATGATTGTAGATCCATGGATGTACCTGGTGACTCGCGCCATCCTCCAGTGCCTATCAGCGGTCGTGACTTCTCGCCGACCAAATCAATCTGTGGCAGCTACGCCTGCTCTGCTCCTTCTCACCTCCTGCCAGCGCATCTCGCCTCCACCCGAGCCGAGCCTTACCTTTTCACTCTCGAGAACACCTGCCATCATTCGTTGCTCCTCTCTGGCTGCTCCCATTCAGCCTCGCCGCCCCCGTGTCCCTAGCTCAGTGCTCAGCCATTTTACACAATCTGTCGGTCCTGTTCCCTTTCTTTTTTTTTCTCTTCCCTCCCTCTTTTCATTACTTTTCCTCTTATTGCTCCTCCCTCCTCAGCTTGGTTTCTTCTCTGTCACTTTTTTCTTTTTTTCCCTCCACAAAACCTACACCCCACCACGGGGCGGATAATGTATTTTCGGCTTATTCCTCCCATCTCAGCGGCTCCGGGATTGTAGCTTCCCTATCCTTCTTTTTCCACTCGCGGTTTTCATCTCTTCATAATTTTGTTCCTTTTCCCTCTCTACCTGGAAATTGCTTGTACCATCTCTCTCATCTTTTCTTAAATCTTCTTCGGTCGAAAGCCCACTGTCTCTGTTTGCTAATACTCCTGTACCATTATCGTCGTCTCTTAATTCCTTCAGCCGGCCCGTCTTTTCATCGTCTTAGTCCATTTGGAACACAACATTTCGCCTGCCTCTCGTCACTCCTTCGCGACGGCTCAGAGCTCCTCTCCGAACCGGGATTTTTTTTTCACTCTTCTTCTCTTCCCCGTCTTTCTTTTGTCTCCACCGTTTTCTTCTTCATCGTCATGGCGGCCGATAGGAAGTCCAGGGAGAAGGAAAAGACAGGCTTCTGGAAGAGTCTTTTCCGCAGCAAGGGCGCGTCTCAACAATCCACGAAATCGGTAAGATTTATTTTTATTTTTCGCCCTTCATTTCTCGCTTCCTCCCACCTCCCCGCGGATGGCGTGGATGGCATGGATGGCACGGATCCACGTGCCGGTTCGCGTCATGCCATGGAATTGGGCCCCCATCCCTAGCTCTCATTTCGTCGAGATATTGGCGGTGTGTTTTTGGGGACAGGGGAGGGTTCTTTGTGGGGGTAGTAAGCTGATTTGTTCGATAGCCAAAGAAAACCAAGAACACCAGTGACGGCGATGCTGTTCTCCGCAGGCGGAGGACAGATGCCGGTGTGAATCGTGAGCCGGCTCGGTCCCGGTCCCGCCGCCCACGTCGTAATGCAGAGCCCCCAAGTCTGTTCTTAAAACCAAGGGCAAAGGTCGTGAGGATCAGGGTGATCAACCCCTTGCACCGTTGACTGAGTGGCCTCCTCCAGGCTTTTCTCGCCAGGATGACCTCACCGAGAGACATGCCCAGGCCCTAATCTGCAGAGGGGCACCGATCCATGTTGGGCACCTGAGAACCATCCCTCACGCGCCCGAGCACTACTACGCTCTCTACACGACCACCTCCTCTGACACTAGGTTCAAGGAAGAGGATGATGCCGTTAGCCTCCATGGAATTATGTCGGAGCTCATGACCATGCGCTTGCAGGGCCGTAGTCCGGCTCACTTGCCCTGGGAAACTTTGGAGCAACCGAGTTGCGCGTTTAGCTTTGGAAAGTCCCCGGAACTGTGACCTTAAACCAGTGGGTCTCCCTATCGAGCGAGCTTCCCCATGCTATACCATTGCGCGATCCTGGCGTGCCGGCTTTGAGAGAGGTCGACCTCACAAGGATTTTCAAGCGACTCAAGGAGATTGAGATGGGCATCGATGACGATGAGCACTCGATGCATCGGAGCCTTTACAAGTACTTCTTGCGAGACCAGGACAAGCTGTTCAGTCTCCATAAGCCACTTGACAGGCAAATCACCGACCTCATCCAGGTGTTGTCGAAGCCGGAATGGATCGACTTCACCAACCCGAGGAACCAGGTGGTGACACGCTTCATTTTCGATGCTAGCTATCCGAATTATGACATGTACCGTCTCTTTTTCACCAGCTACTGCTTAGTCTCGAACTCGACCTGCGGATTAACTCTAGAAAGCACAATGAATGGGCAAAGGAGAGGCTCCTCTTTCAGATACCCCCGAGTATCCAGTGGAACATTGCACTCGCCCGGAGGTGGCTCAAGTTCATTCGGATAGAGGGGTACGGACCGACCCCTGATCACAGTAAGTTGAGCCCGTCTATGGGACACGCCCCTCATCGTTGCGGCGATATAACCTCGTGCTCTATGTTGACCAATGTTTGCCTGGGGTAGTTCACCTTCGGTATAAGTTGAGGAAGCGACAGGTCAAGATTCTGGAAAAGTTTGCCAAAACCATGAAATGGCCAAACCTGGATGAGACCTTGGTCAAGCTCCGCCAAAAGAACGTGGACAGTTTGGATTTCGTGAGCTCAGACGCCATGGCCTTTTTACTGGCCTTGTGCTGCCAGGGGTAAGTTTGGGTTCAGAAATGCTCGTTTTTGGGAGAGATCAGCGCCTAACTTTCAACCCTTTTTGTAGAACACGTTCCCCTTCCTCATCATGAACACCTTGATCGATATGGACCCTGATAAGGCGACCGATGAGTTAGCGTTGCTTACGCACTTGTACCCGAGCTGTGGATTCCAATACCGTAGCAGCTATACGTACTGGGCCGCCACTTGCATCGTTGGCAAGGTTCTCGCACCCACATGCAAACTTGCAGCCGGCTGGGTTGGCCCCGGTAGGCCGACCGCGGACCTCGGACGCACCCAAATTGCCCGCATACGATCACGCCCACCACAACAGCGCTTAACACCGGAAGACGTCACGTCGATGGCTGAACGATCCGACCCATTGGGACCACCTGCAGATCTCATCCCCGTTAGCGAATACAAGCTCATCCTTCCAGACCCTGACGACATTGTCGATACAGTCCGTATCGAGCGGCTTTGTTTCCAGCCGATCCAAGGCCAACAAGTGGATGCTGGTCCTCAGTGGTATGAGGCCCGCATCCAGTTTGCCATCGATGGCGTGTCATGGCCCCTGCGGCTTGCGTACGACGTTTCGTTCATTTCAGCGTGGCCATGCATTAATGGACCTCACCCGCTCTTCTTCGACTACGCGTACTCCACCATCAAGGCTGACCAGATTGTGAACATCCACGATTGGGGTGGCTTGTATGGCCTTGCCAACACCCAGGCCATCTCCCCCAGGCCTGAGGACAGCGGATGGGAGTGCCTACCCTCGGGAAATCGATGACGAGGAAAGGGTCCTCGTAGTAGAGGCCTTTGGTGTACGGGATAATGAGGTGCTGGCGAGAGCATGGTGTGCCCATTGGGGCCTTAGTGCTATTGTTGCCGATGTGCGCAAGACATGGTGAGTTTATAACTTGGTCCCGATCCTTGAAGTCAAAAACGGAAGCTTATCCTCTCCCTCCTGTAGCGTTGCCTGCGCCATTCGCGAAGCCTACGCGGCGACGTTGACGGTTGTCATCCTTGTAGATGATCAGCAATATTTGAACGAAGACGATTAGTGGTGCTCACGCAACAGTGGGCGGCCTGCACAGAAGACAACTTGAATAGGGTGGACGAACAGACCGATGCATAATGCCCTACACCATGAGTTACGAATGAGAGAAGCGACGATACCCAGAAGGAAATGATGATTGCAAAATATATGACAGGATAGAGAAGAAAACGATGAGGGAGGAGGAAAGAAAAGCAAGATGGAAAGAAAAAAAAGAAAAAAAAAAGATATGGCTTGATGATGGCTAGGGATATGATTACGGTTATGAGCACAGAAGGATGTTTTTACAGCGGGCTGGAGGGCGTTCTGCGGGATTGGTTTGGATGAGGCAACTCGATGAGTCCGAGCCCGTTCCTCGTTTGGTTTTGGTTTCGATGTCGAGGGGTGAGGGCGAGGGGAAGGCAGCTCTTATCTCCATCTCCTCTCCTTTTCCCCCATTTTTTATTCTTCTGTTTTCCTTGATGTCTCAGGTGCAAACACTCCTTTAATACCCACTGGGAAGAAGAGCAATGTGGAGATGCCCGTCCTTCCACCCCTTCCCGCCTTTTTTTTTCTTCTACAAACTCTTCTTTGTCCCATTTTCTTTGTGTCCAAGGATACCCAAACAAAACTGGTCAGGGATGAGGGTAGATCATGTTAGTCAACTGGGAGGCTTCTTTTTCTCCACACTTATACCTCGCGAAAAGATGGGTTCAGATGGTGGATGCATACATAGGCGGTTGCTTTGATTCTTTAATTTCCCTTGGGTCTTATCTTTAGCACCCTCCCTTGTCATTTGTTCTATTTTCTTTTCCTCATTGCCTTGGTTGGCTGTTGAGAGCCTATGTAGGCATTCCAGAGAGCCAGAAAACGTGGCCTGCAAGACGGAACCAACGGTCAGTCAGAGATGGTGGTCGGGGGCAAAAACACAAAGCTGAAAAACACCTGAGATGGCAGTTTTCCTCTTCACTTTTATTCCCACCTCGTTCTACTGTCCCTACCCCTTCTAGCCTCCATTTGGCGAAAACACACAATTTTCTTGTATTGTCTCTCATTTGGTATTACCGCTCTTTGTTTCTCCCTGGAACGTAAACGGGCCAAGATCCAGGGCGAGTTCCCTTCCTTCATCACTACATATAACCTGTCCCAACTACCTCAAAAACACTCTTTTTAAAACATTACAAAAAGGAAAGGAACAGGGCAAATATGGTGATTGTTTGATATGCATCCTCAGCACTTGTCTAACTGTGTCACAAACCGTGAGACGGGGAGAAAAGAAGAGGGAAGGCAAGTGATATAAGTGGCGACCCCTCATAGTTGTCGGTCCACGGTTTATTCGACTCGCTTGAATTTACTAAAGAACTCCCGTTTCCCCCGCACAAAGAATTTCCTTCCCATACCAAAACACAAGTCTGAATGACTTTCTTCTTACTCAGCCGACGCCCTGGCGAGGGCCTCGTGTAGGTGTGGCGGGAATCGGTAGCGCAGCTGGCTCGTGTACGCCGTGAGATCGAGCGTCATTTGGCGGAGCTGGTCGATGAGCATTTGGCGCGATGTCTCGTTTCCGGTGAAGTGGCCGGCGAGGAGCTGGTCGCGCTGGCGGACACAGGCGTGGATGGTCCAAAGGAGTAGGTTGGGCACGTTGACGGCGACAGAGGGGAGAGGGAGGGGAAGCGAGAGGCGTGGTTGCGGATGGTGGAGGGGTCGCCCTTTGCGTCGAGAGGGAGGATATCGAGGGCACGGATGCGCTGTTGGAGAAAAGAAAAATATCAGCTTAGTTCTTTACAAAAGACATCGGTTTACACATGTAGACATGTCCATGTGATTTTCGGACTCAGGTGGGTGGGTAAGAAAGAAAGATGGAAAGAGAAAAAAATAAAAACTTACGTCGAGACACTGAGCCCACTGCCTCGCCTCGACGAGGGCCTTGATAGAGCTTAGCTCGAGGAGCAGGCGGCAGGCAACCTTGTTCTGTTCCTGGATGCCGCGATGGAACATGGCGTCGCGCTCGTACATCGTCATCATGGTCCTGGCGAGCTCGATGGGGTCGTCGATGGCGGCAAGGCTCAGGCTGCTGCCGGCCGCGGGCTGCTCGGCGCTGCCATCGGCAGAGGCGCCGGTGCGGGGCTTGACGGGCACGAGGACCATGGGGCTCTCGCCAATGTCCATGGCGATGGCCTCGCTGAGAGCGCGGCTGACAATGGCGACGACGGTATCGTACTCGCCGGCAAGGTGGTAGAGGAGCACGGCGTCCGTAGTACGGCCCGTCTCCTCGGCGAAGCTGGCGGCCTGGAGGGTGACGGTGTGAACAAAGTCGTCCTCGTCCGAGAGGCCGACGAGAGCGCCGCGCTGCTCGATGGCGCCCTTGATACGGTGGCCGTCGGGACGGATGTCGCCAATGAGCTTGCTAAACTCGCGGGATTCGAGGACGAGTTCGCGGAGAGCCTCGTGGCACAAGTTGGCGTGGCGCCGGCCCGACTCACCGGGGAGGTCGCTGTTGAGGCAGATGAGAGCGAGGTAGTCAACTGCGGCCTCGACATTGGCGGCGCGGAAGTCGCGCGTGTAGTAGCCTAGCATGCGACCAAAGTTGATCTGGGTACGGCCGCGGCTGTCCAGGCTCCGCAGCTCGTTGTCGGCCGTGAGGGGATCGCTGGGCCGCAGGAGACCGTAGTACTCGAGCGCGAGGGCAAAGTGGACAGCGTCCACGTAGGAGAAGGGGTACAGGTAGGCGACGGCCTCCTCAAACTGGCCAGACAGGGCGAGCAGGTAAAAGTACATACCAAAGTTGCCATTGTTGTCCTCGGAGGGCGACTTGGGGAAGTGCTTGGTACCAATCTCGCGCATGCTAGCCTGCAAGTCCGCAAGGTCGTACATCTCGCTTGCAAACTCGACGGTCCGGTCGGCCTCGCGGGCGAGGTTGAATTGAAGCCAGATCCAGTCGTGGATATCGGACTTGAGGCCCTCCAGGCTGCGGTTGTTAATCTCGCAGCGACCGATAATCTTGTAACAGGCCATCCGGAAGGGATCAATCGAGTTCTCGGGTGCGTTGCGAGATCTTTGCGTGTACTCGCGCGCAGCGCTCTTGGAGGAGCCTCTTGAGCCGCCTCTCTTCGCTCGATGCGTAGGCGTTGAGGTAGGTGGAGAAAGTGCGGTCGATGCCGCGGAAGTTGTTGAGGTTGTCGTTGACGTACCGAGCCGCGTCCATTACGTGGCCGGAGCGGAGGAGATAAAATACGATAGCCCACACGTACTCGCCCTGGACTTGCTGAAGCTCCGAGTTATCGGGGACGAGGTCCTTGCGGGCGGATCGTAGGCGGATGTAGGCCTTGACCTTGCTAACGATATCGGGGCGGCCGCCGAGGTTGGCCTCGTGAGGATGCTTAGCGATCAGAGACTCCATCTCGGCGACGAACAGGTGCTCGAGGAATCGGTTGCCGCCCACAAGAATTCTCTTGCGCATATTCAAGGCTTCGGACGAGTTCTTGTTATCGTCCAGGTACTGCGAAACATATTGCCGCTCTTTAGCCGTGGCATTGTTCAGGGATGTCTCGGCCTCGGGATTCTCGCCCACAATCTCCATGACTGCCCTGTAGGCCTGGGTGACGTAGGAAGCGTGGGGTTCGGGCGACTTTTGTTCAATTTCGGCCAACTCGGACAGGATGGGGAAGGGTCGCTGCAAAGTGCGCATCTTGTTGAGGGTGGTGATCTTGTCGGCGAGTTTGCTCTGCTTCTCACGCATCGCACGGTCGTCGGAAGACTGGACGCCGCCGAGCTGGCGGGAGGGCTCGCTGGGACGTTCGACGTCGGAAAACTCGGGCTTGTGGCTACCAATGCGCGCGGGGTTCCGATGACGGAGCGTTGGAGGTTGCTGTTTCCGAGAATGGTGCTCCTACCGGCGCGGGAGGCGGCGCCCGTGCCAGCACCAGCACCGGCGTGCTGGGATTTGCGGCGGGAGCGGCCAAAGCCCGCTTGAGCCTCCCTGCCTGGAGTGGCAGAATCCGCCCCGGTGTCGCGCTGCATGATACCGAAGTGCTGGTAGATGCGCTTACGTTGTGCCTCCCACTCAGTCGCCATGTTATCCTCGAGGAAGTTGTCGAAATCCCTAGCGGATCTCTCGAGGCCGTCTTGTATCATGCCGAGGGTGGTCTTCTTCTGGAGGTTCTCGAGGTAGGTCTCTACGTCGACTTCGGAGGGACCGCCCATATCACTAGCGTGGCGATCAACCTTGCTCGGGTTAACGGCGAGAGAACCCAAGTCCTTCGCGGCGGCCCCCAGGTCGATGCCAGAGGCAGCGAGGACATAATGGGCCCTGCCGTCGACGGCCTTTTCGGGCGTCTTGCCACCAATCTTCTTGAGGCGCTGGCGAAGGTCACCGAGGCCAAGCTGTAGGTGAGGCATGTCCTCGGTGGTTCCGTCGGTACGCTTCTTCGTCATGGCGAAAAGTGTATCGAAGTAGGCGCCGGCGGGTTGCTGGCCACCCTGCTGCTGCTGCTGGCCCTGTTGCTGGGTGCTGGCGCCGAGCGTGGAAAGGCCGAGGCTGGAGGGAGCGGTTCCTAGGCTGGGGATCTGGGCCTGGCCCTGGTTCTGTGCGGTGGTAGTGGAGCCCAAGGCGCCGCCAAACAGAGAAGGCTTCGCGGTGGTGTTGGTCGCCCCAAAGGCGGAGGACTGGGTGCTCTGACCCAGGCCGCCGAACGGGGTGGTGGAAGGCTGGGCAGTGGTGGCGGTCGAGGCCCCGAACATGCTCGGCTTAGAGGCGGTCGAGGCTCCGAAAAGGCCGCCAGCGGTAGGTTGGGCGGTCGAGGCAGCAGGTTGAGTCGCGGTGCTTTGGCCGAACAAGCTCGGTTTCGTGGCTGTCGATGCGCCAAAGAGGCTCGAGCCGGCGGCGGGCTGTGATGCATTGGTCTGGCCAAAAGGCTAGAGCCTCCCTGCGTCGTCGCCGACTGGCCAAAGGCCGATTGGCCGCCTCCGAAGAGCGACATGGCTAGCTGTGGAGGTTTTAATGTGGTCCCCGGTTCTGTGTCAACAACGTAGGAATGGAAAGGGAAAAGTGGAAAGAGAGAGCTCCTTCTTCGCCCTTTTTTTCTCTTCTTCGAAGTTCGACTTTTAGGGCCAGGGGGCAAACCCTCGTTCAACAGATGATGGATATCAGAGATATGCCGAGCTGAGGAGTTTGTTCGGGCCCGGGCTGGGAGCGAGATGGGGAAGCTGTTCAACTTTATCTGGCTGTCGCGTCGAAGAGGAAATTTACCGGGTATAGGTCGAGAATCCCCAACCTGACAACCAGTTTGTTGCTTGGCTCGGTATGTGGCCAATCAGACACGGGAAGCACGACTTGAGCGGACCAAAGCCCAGGCAACGGCCCCACCAACCTCACCGAGATTTTTCTAGATCAAGGAAAGAGCAGCTTGAAATGGCAGGAAGAAGGAACTCTGTATGTCTTTTTCTTATTGGAAAGAGCGAGTTAGATCTTGCACGCTTTTCCCTTCTGCGGCCATCGCCTCTTCGCCTCTTCGCCTCTTCGTGACTTCAGGACTTGTACACTAATTTTCCACCCCTTTTGCTTCCTCATTCCAGGAGCTCTCGTCCGCGTTTGTTTTGATTGATGAATTAACATTACAAGAACCCTGAGATAACATTCCCTTTCCTTTTCTTTTGAATGACATCGCCTAACCTCTGTATTTATTTACCAATGGCTGCATCGATTTTACTACGATACTCCTGTTGCGTCCGGCATTGGTCCAAAAAGATTTCATACTTGGCATCAAACAGCCTCTTATCACTCGCTTCTTTCTTAGGCCACACTACACTCCCGGGCTTGCTCATCTTTTGCATGATAGCCCACAGATCCTCGGTGTGCCCTGTTTGGTCTGCACTTGCGGCCTTGGCACCAAGCATCGCGGCGCCATGAACGACGGCCGCGCCAACGTACTCCGGGATGACTACGGGTAGGTCGCATACGGTGGCAATGAGGTCCATTAGAATGGTGTTGCGGCACTGTCCACCAGACATGAAGATGCTAGAGATGGAGTGACCCGCCTTGTTCATGGTATCGATAATGTGCCGCGTCTGCATAGCGATGAATTCCATGGTAGCGTAGTACAGCAGGGCGAGGCTGTCCGGGCCGGTGTCACTGGTCATGCCGACGAGAGCGCCCTGCATCCGAGAGTCAGCGACAGGTGAGCGGTTGCCCCACAAGTCGCCATAGAAGAATATGTGCCTGGCGAGGTAAGGGACGCTTGAGGCCCCAGACTGGCGCGCCATCTGGGCGAGCCGTTCATTGAGGTGCTCGTAGATAGACTTGCTACCCAGGCCGCCCTCGGGCAACGCAGACTTGTCTAGGTAAGCGGGATGGGTCTCGACGACATGGCGGAGGAGCTCGCCGGTGGCGGACTGCCCACCCTCGGCCATCCACTGGTTCGGTAGGAGGACGTCCCTGTAGGGGCCCCATACACCGTTGACGAAAACGGGGTCTTTGGACATGACAAGGTGGCAGGTGGAGGTACCTGCAACCGCGGCAAGACGGCCCGAGGCTTGCTCTGGGCCGCTGGTAGTACTAGCGTCCTCCTTAAGACCGTCGACCTGCACGCCGACGGTGCCGATCCAACCCGCGTAGGCATCGATGACGCCGCTGCCTACCGCAACGGTCGTGGGAAGCCCGAGGTCCTGGGCCGCTTTCTCGCTCAGCGTACCCACGAGCTCTCCTGCGCTGAGAAAGTGACCGTTCTGCAAACGAAAGGTGGCCAAAGCCCATAAGTTAGCGCCTTGCACTTGTGGCTAGGGAAAAAGAAATGGTTCAAGGGTTTGGATGAACCAAGAATGACTCAAAGAAAAGGCTCACCACCCTATCAACGCCTCCCACTCTCTTGAACTCGTCCTCGACAAGATCGGAGAGGCCAATTCCATGATAAAAGTCCTCCTGCCAGCCTTTAACGCTCCCATCGACCCCGACGGGGACGTAGCCCTGCTTGCACACGGCGCTGCAGAAGCTGCGCGTCTCTTTGCCGGTGGCAATGTGTGTTAGTGCGTCGGCAAGGTCGTAAAACTTGCAGCGGGAGAAGAGCTCGGGCGGCATGTTGCGCTTGAGCCAGAGAACCTTGGGCATCTCCATCTCGATGTTCATGGTGCCGCCGACGTAGCGCAGGAGGTTGTGACCCGTGGCGTTGATGGCATCGGTCTCGGCCTCGGCTCGGTGATCGAGCCACAGGACTATATTGCGCTTGTCGGCATCGGCCTCGAAGTTGGGGCCTGTGACGGATACGGGCTCGTCGGTATCGTGGGTGAAGACGCTGAGGGAGCACGTGGCGTCGAAGCCGAGGCCCTTGACGGTGGTCGGGTCAACCTTGGACTCGGCAAGGATACGGCGCACACAGCTGCAGATGCGGTTCCAGATGTCGGTCGTGGATTGTTCCTAAAGGATGAGGGTAATTGGATTAGGTAGGATGGCCATAGAGGAGTAGGTGGGCGTGCGAGAATGCGCGCGCGCATGAGAAAGAGAGAGTGTGTGTGTGGGAACAGAGCCTCAACTTACGTAGTAGCCACTCTGGGGCTTCCAGAGCTTGATGTCTTCGGATGCGATTGCCTTGATGGTGCCCGAGGCATCGACAATACAGGCCCGGGCTGAGCCGGTTCCTACATCGATGCCGATATAATGGTCCTGCGCTTGGCGTTAGTATGAGTGAATGGAAAGTTGCGACTTTGAAGCACGGAGGGGATTCTAGTCTATCAAGAGAATCGGGAAATACGAGGGGAAGCGAGCGAGAGATGTCAAGAATGGCAACTCACATTCAAGCTTGCTGGACTGCATGCCGCCAAGCATTCGAAAACGAGAGTTAGAACGTTTGTTTGTATCGTATGCGCCGCCCTTGTCAACGGGAGGAAACTTACCCCATGGTTGCCGTACACCAAGATTACGGATGCTAGTTTTGCCTTCTATAATACGGCGCGGGGAAGAGGAAAGGAAGGGGAGAGAGGAAACCTGGTTCACGGTCGAACGCAACCACGAGCTCGGAACCTTCAAAATTGTATCTTTGCGCTCCGCCCTTGAGGAGCTGTCAATAGCCTTTTAGGTATGGGAACAAGATCCTCTTTTTTTCTACTTCTAAACGCTACCAGCTTATTCGGAAATACTAAAGATTTACGACTCTGACAACTCTTTGTTTTTTGCTCCAGAGCGCGCAAGGTCATTGGAACGGTTGTAAGGTGTAGGTAGCGCAGCTCCTCTTTTTCCGCGTTAGCCCTCTTGCTCATCAATCATGAATCGTCCCCCATCAGCTTGTGGTGGGGTGAGGGCGGCAGTTCAAGCCAACAGCTCCACATGCGTAGTGGATCTTTTATTTTAGTTGGTATATTCTTCGGCGTTGTCGGGCTTCGAAGCTCCAAGAAAGAAGAGAAGAAAAAATTGGATGGCGGGGACGTGGAACCCCGCGTTTACCTTTGGCGCCTTGCCGAAAAGCCTCCGAATGCTGGCTGGACAATGGATAGATACTTCGGGTCAGGATACCCGAATCGGTGCATGGAGGCTACACGCCAATTTGGTGTCCACATCCCCTATATCCGTGATAAAGATCCAACGCTGTCGTCATATCGGAGAGTCAAGGTACGGCCATGCACGTCTTGGGATGCTGGAGGATGGAGGATGGAGAGGCACGGGAGGGACATCGCTTCAAGCAACTCTAGTCTTTCTTGCTTCACGTTTCATTCAATTCACTATTGTACAAAGAACGCACTAGCTAGAAACCTTCGGTAGTATGGGTGGATGAGTAGAAAACTAAAAAGGAAACAAAAAATAGACAAGGAACCGCACAGGAAGAATAAAGGATGAAAACAAGGTTTTAAAAAGAAACGCACCCCCTTTTGCCTTCCAGCCGATGATAAAAGCGATCAAGAAATGCAGTATGATGAAGAGGAAGAGAGAGAGAGAGAGAGAGAGAGAGAGATAGAAGGCGAGAGACGAAGAGAAATGAGGAGGGGCAAAAAAAAGGCGTTTGGTTTCGTTGTTTAATGGTGTCGCTGGTCATATCGATCATGAGGCCGCATCTGACCTTGCATACGAGGATCCCTAGGGTCCCGAGGGTCCCGCGGATCTCGGGGGTCCGCCATGCCTCCGTAGCCACTGTGCGGAGGAGGACCTCGTGTGTCGTATGCCGAAACCGGAGTATAACTGCGCGCCTGGATCGGGTCCCTAGCATCGTGCGGGGGCCCTTGACCAGGCCGCAGTCCGTAGGGGTAGTGCGACATAGGCTCTCGCGATGGTGGCGCTGGCGGGGATACGGGCTCTGCATGTGTCCATGGGGGTACGTTGCTGGGCGTTGGCGCGTTGGGGGCGCCTGTTGCGCCATTGAGGTCGGCGTGCCATAAGGGTCACCCGGTGCCCGCCGCCGTAGTGTTGTTGCTGCTGTGGTGGCGGTGGCGGCTGCTGCTGTTGCGGTGGCGGTGTGGCCGACCACGACGATTGCATAGGACCTCCTGGGCCTCCGGGTCCCTTGATCGGGTCCCACGCCTTGGGGGTTGTCCGAGGCTTTGCATGGGTTTGGGCGTCGCGTTCACTGGCCATCCTCCGGGCTTCTGGAGGCCCGTAGACATCATCGCTGGGCTTTGAGGTACGTGCGACTGTCCAGAAGACGACCAGGAATCCCTGCTGGGAGGAGCGTGTTCGAGCGGCCGCGAGGTCGGTGGATGCATCGCGTACTGAGAGGGGAGGGGACGCCGCAGACCTGTGCGGCTGCGATCCGTAGGGGCATACGCAGACTGACTTTGATACGGAGGCGGCGCCGGCGGCTGAGAATGGGCCGACGGGGCATGGTGGTGCGGGGCGGCTGCGGCGTGCTGGGGGCTGTAGCGTGGTGCGGGGCATAACTCGGCTGTCGGTAGTAGTCGCGCGACGGGGCCATCTGGGGGTTCGTGCCGCTGCGACATGACGGATGCTGGCCGCTGGATCGGCATGTGCTGAGTCTGCGGCGACTGATACGGCTTCAGAGGGGCATGCCCGACGATGTTGGTGGCACTGAGCCATGCCCGTATCCATAGGCAACCTCTGGCTCCCTGCTAAGCTGGGGTGCCGACGGCGGCGGTACAGCTCCGTGACCCGGCATTTTTGGCGGCTGGGGACTCGAGGTGGCCATGCTGCTGCTCGCAACTTCATTGAGCGCCTTGGGCGCTGCCGGTGCCGGTGCTGGCGGATCGTCGTTGAGTAGCGCCATTAAGCTCGACTTCTTAGGCTCGGGAGCTCGGGCGGGTGGTGGTGCCACCGTAGGCGCTGGCGGCATCGGCTGCTGGGGCGCAACTTGCCCTCGGCTTAGGTCTCCGTACGAAGGGCGACCGTCACTCTGGGGCTGCGCTGTCATGCCGTACACGCTCGTCGGCTCTGGCACGCGGCCGTAACTGGGAGGTCCCCATTCCGCCCGCTTGGCGGGAGATGCTGATCGGGCGTCAAGAGGTGGTTGTGACGGCCGTAGAGGCGCGTGCGCGAATTCGTACGGCCCAGCCGAAGGGTGTGCGTCTGGCTCCTGCTTGAGGTGAACCGGGGGACGTTGCTCGATCGGCCGAGGCGCTTCCATCTTGGCGCGTTCTCGTCCCAGGTCGCCATGGTGTCCGGGGGAGGGATGTTGGAGGGCCTCGTAGGGGCCAGCATGCGTGCCGACTGCTGCGCTTCTGGCTGTGGCTGCGCCATCGGCATCGAAGCCAACCCTCGCCGAGACTGGGTCGCCGGCGCCTCTGGCTGCTGCATGATGACATCGACGGGAGCCGACGATCGCATGGGCGCGATGACGCGCTTGGGCTGCTGTGACTGAGGCTCGGGTGGTTGTTGAACCATTGGTTCCTCCCACAGGGCGCATTGGCGCGATATTACGTTTCGATTGCTGTGGGTCGGCCTGCGGAATTGCTGTTGCCACTTGGGGCCCTGGTCCAGAAGATGGTCGCATTGGTGCCAAAGCCCGCTTCGCCGGCGCATCTGCCCCATGCAGACCAGATGCCTTCTGTCCTCCGATATCCATGGGTTCTCCGCCCCTGTCCCCGGGATAGGCGTATGGCTTGACCCCGGGCGAGATTGCTTGTGGGGTCCCTGGGTGTGCCTGGGGCGGCGCTGAGTGAGGTGGCTTGGCTGCATCTTGTTGGAGCTGCGGACCAGGAACGGGTTGACCTTGCGGCGGAGCCTGTCCCATGATCCCGCCATGTTCCAGAGGTTGTTGCTTCTGCGGCGAGTGCAACGGCGGGGCTGCCCTGGACTGCCCTGGGCGACGGGAACCAATGGTCCGCGGGAAGAGAAGGGAGGATTTGCCAGCTGCGGGAGGCTGCCGCTCGCCTTGGCTGTCGGTATGGGCTCCGTAACTATGGGGGCGTCGGGGTTCCCTGGCGCCGCCCCTGGGAGGATACGGCCGGTCGACCCGGTATGTTCGTGCCGCTTTTTCGAGCCTACGGTTGACGGCGGCGGGGATCCGGCCGTTTCTCGCCTCGGCGGCGTTTTTCATCGGCCTCTGAGACCATTGCTTCCCAACCATCATTCTTGTCCTTCTGCCGCACGAAATAGTTCTTGACCTATTGGGGTGGCCGAGAATCGTTAGCATACATTGTCACTGTTTTCATCGGAATAGGCCACGGAGTTTTATCCCCGAGACACGAGGGGAAGAAGAGCAAAAGAATGGGCCAGGGTTGATTCATACCATAACGGGGGTTTTGGAGCCCATGTGATTGGCGATGGCGCCCCAGTCCGTTCCAAATGCCCGAAGAAGGGCGGGGAATTCTGTAATTTCCGAAACGCTCCAATAGCTTGAGGCCTGACTCGGCGCGCGACGTTCGGACGACGGTTGTGAAGAAGTTTGCACAAAGGTGAGAGGTGTTGCGTGGGCCGGTGGCGGAGGAGGGGATCGGGGCGAAGCTGCGGTGGAGCGAGCGCCGCCGGAGGCGCCATCACATCTGCCATTGACGAAGTTTGAGTCGCAGGCGGAGGATGTTCGAGAGTGGGTGTCGGTGGTGGTGGGGCTTGGGGCACGGGCTCCACCACAGGGGGCGGTTGGGGAGTGGCCGGTTGCTCGTACGTGATCGGGAGGCGTGGAGGCTCCGCCGCGCCAGCTGGGGCTGGCGTCTCCGGGTTCTGCGCACGCGAGTTCGATCTTGATCGTCCACGGCCAGGTCCTGGCGTCGGGGTGGCTGCCAGCGTTTGGTTTGCCTTGGCTGCCGCCTTTGCCTCCTTGTCCTTGGCAACCTTGCGGCGGCCCTTCCTTCCATCAACCTTCTCCCCGTCAGCGTTTACCTTAGAACCGCCAGCGTTAGCACGCCGCCCTGACCCTGACGCAACACCGTCTGAGTCGGCCGCGTTATTGTTCTGCTCGAAAGAAAAGGTTGGCGCTGCCGCTCTGCGAGGGCGTCTGCGCTCACCACCCTCACCACCCTCGGCATTATTCTCCTCCGTTTCGTTCTCTCCGTTGCCCAGCTCAGACACCAATGCGGAGGATCTCTGCTTCCCGCGCCCACTCTTCTTTCTCCGCTTCGGCTGCTTCTTGAGTTTCTCCTTGAGGTTGAGAGGTTTCTTCTTAAGGTAGTAGAACTGAATGCATGCCTTGAAGTCTCTCTTGGGAATCGCCTCCGCGATAACACCCCACTGCTTGGGCTTGTCCATATAGCGCTTTTCAAATTGCTCCGCCTCTTCCTCTGTAAAGTTGACGATGGGTGGCAGACATTCCCAAGCAGAGGCGAGCCTATCAACAGGCACAAAGCCAGAGTTGTCATAGAAAAGCTCGTCTTGCATTTGCTTCTCGTCCCAGTACATGGGCAAAATGATGGACTCCTTCTCGCTCCGGTTTTTTCCTTTCGAAGCTGAATCTCGCGTTGCCGACGTTCCTCGTCTTCTTTGATCGAGGCTTGTATGACCCTCTCTAGGTCCCTCTCAGTTGCAAATCGTCGACCGCCGCCTCGGCCCTCGGGTTTCTGTTCTACGCTCGCCTGCGCCGCCGCCAGAGTCTCGGCGGCAGTGCTAGTGCCGTATACCTTGTCACGCACCTTTAGCGCTACCGGATCAGCTGATAGGGTGAAGTCCAGATAACTTCGATAATTTTGTAGGTAGACCTGCGCAACCTCCTGCTGCTCCGACAGCCTCTCGAGGCCGCTCTTTCCTAGCTGCCCCATGATGAAGTGCTCGATGGGCGCATCACTTTCCTCCAGGGCCCTTAGGAGCTTGGAGTCCTTGTCCCACGGTTTGCAACGGAAATTAGGAAGGCTATCGATAGGCGGTGTCTTCATAGTCTGCCGGAGAGAGTCGAGTATCATGGCTTCGGGATCGTCGGACTCAGTTTCGTCACCATCATCCTCAACTTGTGACGGCGGGGTCGGCAGTCGGCTACCGTCGTCTGACGATTGCCCGGCAGGGAGGCCGTCGACGGGGGCCGAGACTCGGCGACAACGCCATTTTGCTCTGGAAGGGGAGGCGCGTTGCCATCCTTAACAGTAGCTATTTCAGGGGCCGGTGGCGCGTCTGCCATCAGAACATCCTCCGAACCTGGCTGAGCCTCCTGCTTAACGGCGACTTCGGCGGGCGGTTCGGGAACGCTGATGTCCATCTCCTCCGTCTTCGGTTGCGGGGTGGGGTTAACCGTTGTTGCCACTTCAGCATCAGGTTTCGCAGCCTTGGGCGGTGCGCTATTGTCTGAAGTAGGTGGTTTTGTGCTCTCCGTCCTGAATGGTTCCGTCTCTTGCGTGGGGGACACGTAAGCCTTCGCTTCTAGATCGGTGGGGATAGGTCTAAGGGAAGTGTAGACCTGATCATCTTCGACCGCAATTTTAAGAGCCATATCGTGAGATAGGCTTGCGAATCGAGTTGCGACATCCCAAGGGGCACCCTTCTTCTCTAGCTCGCGCAGGGCAGTTTCAGTTTTAGTGAGCTCGTCGGCAAAGTAGTCTCCCATATCTTCATCGTCGGACTCCCAAGTTTCGGAAGGTGGTGTCGCGTCCTTTGGGGGAGTGAGAATCGGACCACTGGGACTCTGAGGAGCGGTTTCTTGGCTGCGGTGTTGGGTGCCGGTTGTTGAGGCGGCGGCTCCTTGGTCGCCACTACGGCCACCAGGTTGGGTTTCTCTTTCGACTCCTTAGGGCTAGACTGAGCCTTATCCATGCCACCCATCTCAACATCATTGTCTTCCGTTTTAAGCTTGGCATCGTTACTAGTAGGTGTTGCCTGTGATGGCTGCACATCTCGCTCGCGTCGTGGACCTAAATCGGGTGGTACGGAGCGGCGCATTGGCTGCGCCCTGTCGGTAGTAGGGCTAAACTGAGATTCGGGCTTCGCATGGCTGCTACGAGGCCGTCTATCCTCCTCGCGATGGAAGTCTGACGCGGCTTCATCGTGGCGGGTGCCATGAGGGGACTGTTGCTGAGTGGGGTTCTGAGAGCGCATCGCCTTGGGCGAATCGGGTGCCTTCCTGCCAGCAAAGCTTGGAGGTGCCCACTGCTTGCTTGAAGCCCTCGAGGGCGGATTTGGCTGAGCGCGAGGGCCCACCGGGATCGGGGAAGTTAGTTCAGCTTGCTGCAGCGATTTCGTGGTTGCCGCCGGGGAGCCTTGGGGTTCACTGCCACCTGCCGATACCGGACGCTCAGATAGCGCTCTTGGCCCAGTCGGTGGCGGCTTTCCGGTACCAGCGGTTGCCGACTGAGTCTCTGATGAAGTCGAGCTACGAGCTGGGACGGTGCCAAATGCAGGCGCGGAGGGCGCAATAGGGGTGGGGATACATCCTTAGTCGGCGGCGGCTGCTCGTGAGGTAGGGAACTGCGATCAACCTTGGGTCGGGCGTCACGATCGCGGGCATCACGGTCATCGCGATCTCGGCGCGGTTCAAGGTCGCCATATCGGTCTGGCCTGTCGCGGTCATCCCTCTCCCTCCCCCAACGGCCTTCTTGCGACCTACTGCGCGCAGGTCCGTAACGGTCATCGTAAAACCGCGCCCACGCCCTCTAGGATCCCAATCACCGCGTCCGCGACCCGACCACGCCCGAATCCTCCTCCTCGGTTAAAAGGGGCCGCACCAAAAGGCGGATCCGAAGAGGAAGATCCAGCGGATAGAGGACCTCCATCACGCGAGGCGTGCCTCGCCCTCTCTGCGTCAACATTGAGGGGCGGTTGGTCTCGATCGCGAAAGTCACGCTGTGGTGGGGACCTCCCCTACCAGGGGATGGCCGGCGAGCCCTATACGAGTCGCGGTCACGCCTATCCCAGTCACGGTCGCGGTCTCGCTCCCGGTCTCTGTCCCTCTCTCGATCGCGATCTCTGTCCCGCTCTCGGTCCCTCTCGCGGTCCCTCTCCCGATCTCGCTCGCGGCTTCGTTCGTCCCTGTACGGAGGATCCCTCCGTTCACGAAAATCGATATCACGATCTCTGCCTCGCTCCCTACTAGCATCGCGAGACCAACCACGGCCTCCGCGGCCTCGTCCTCCCCTACCGCCTCGACCAAAGTCGGCGGAGTAGCCGCCGCCGCGAGGCCCACTCTGCGCGTCCATCAGAGCCTTAGGTCCTCTAGGAGGGTCACGCGTTAAAGGGTCGCGAAATGAATCCCCTCGAGGAGGTGGGAAGGTGGGTTGGCCAAGGCGATTTTCGCCCGAAAGCCTACGCCTGTCGTTGTCCCCATACTGTGAGCCTCTGTCATATCGGTCAGGGAGCGTGAACGTGATCGGCGTTGCTCCCCATCGTAACGGGAATATCGAGACCTAAAATGACAAAAATGTTTAGTAGCGGCGCGACAGTTGGGATAGTTGACCACCAACACGCATTCATTCTCGGTCGCGCAATGGCAAAACGATGGATGAAGCGACGTGAAATTAGGGGAGTACGCGGGAGAGCATCCGCGCCAAGTCCAAAACCAAGGGGAAAGGGGTAGGATGAAGATGAAAATCTGAAAAAGGAAGACAAAACGAAAGGAATCGATGGCAAAGAATCTTGAGAGAGGGCTCGTACATGGAAAAATGAATGGCGTGCGGCGTGATGCCAGCCCCCAGAATGGAAATTCTCCCCCGCTATATCAAGCTTGAAAGCTTATCATAGAGGATGGATAGCAAAAGAAGGGCGTGCGAATGAAATGGTGCAGTTGAGACCGTTGGACACCGCAGACCGTCGCGTGGTGTTGGGGTAAAGAGGAGTTGAGTTCTCCTGTCGCTCTCAAACTCAAACTAATGGGCTGCGGTTGAAGCGCTGCGAATAGCGATATGTTGTGTCCAGCGAATGTCTGGAAAGAAGGAGAAAGATATCAAAGGGACGACGTGCTTACTCGTCGAGTCGAAATCGATGCTAGGCTGCTTGTATTGGATGCCGAATTCGATAGACGCGATGTAGTGTTGAAGTTTTGGGGATTGAAGATTGGGCAAGGAAGTGAAATCTCTCCGGGACTTTGAGAGTGGTACAGCTGTGTACAAAGTACTTTGCCTGGCGGTTCGGGTCCACCGTTAGCGTGGGTTCAATGTTGTTTGGGGATCCTCTGAACTGCTCGGCTAGCGTGGTACGAAGTACTTGGCTGGAACCCGTTCCACTTGAGAGTGGAGCGGGAAGGGATAATCAACGCCTGTTGGATGCTTGATTGAGAGGTGTGGACTACATAATCGCACTGGGCAGGTCACCCTAGGATGTGCGTGCACTCCATCGCAAAAAGAAAAGAAAAAGAAGGTACGTACTTTATTTTGTCCCAATGTGCCCGGTGCCTCCAGAGAAGGGTGGTCTTGGTGGCGTCCCTGAAGTACAAAGTACCAGGAGTCAAAATGCCAGATGCCAGGTGCCAAAGCGAAACTTTGGGGCTAATTGGCTGATATAGACCCGTCCACCACAAGCACTTGGGGCCTTGGGGGACACCTGGGAGCACCTGGGCGCATACCCGTGCTTGCAAAAGAGTGGAAAACAGATGGCGGCGTTGCGGATTTCAGCCAGTACCTCAAGGTCTTGCAGGGGTTTCCGGCCCGTTCACAAGGCTTCACTGATTACTGCATAGGCTTGTCGAAACCCCTGTGCAGCATTACAAGTACTTGTTCAGACAACCAAACAAAGGAAAATTGGACAAGTGCAGGCTGGCTTGTTGGACTTTGTTGATTGGATCACTTCCTACCCCAGATCAAAATGAGCGCAGAAAGGGCATTCAGCTGTATAGAGAGGTAGAACGAAAAGAAGAAGAAAAAAAAGGGTTCAAGAAACCAAGACAGACATCCTCCTCCCTTGCCGGCGGAAGGACACTGGTGATAATTAGGAGGTAGAGATGGTGTCCTCGAACTGGACAAGGACAAAGTAGGGTTCAACGGCACGATGGCAGGACACAAAATTCGCGATGCATGTCTGTCGGCAGAGGCAAGAAATCCGCCGCATGGCCCCATGCTAAGGACTCTTTAGGCTTTGCACAAGGGCCGCGGCGGAGGGTTGTACATTGAATTATGGGGTACTACCTCATTCCTCAAAAGAAGCCAGTTCGAAGGACTGGAATGGTTGTGCAGGATCTCATCCGGCGCTAAGCCCTTACGAGATGCAGGGCCAGCGCGATTAGGTAACCTAGAATTCTCAAACTTGACACACGAGCAGGAGCAAGCGGAAGAGATGGTCATTTACCGAGTAGTACTAGCCGTATTGAGGCGAGAGGCGAGAGGCAGAGAGCACGCATGAGGACAGGGCAGACTTTGCCGGCTGAGGGGCCTGCCAGTAGGCTTTTGGCATCAGATATCCTGCTGATCGTTCATCGCCTAGACGGACCTAGAAGATGTGCTTCTTTGAGGGAGTATTTCGGACCCGAAAAGGCAGCGGAGTCTCACAACCCTAGAGTACAAAGTATGTACGGTGCAGCCGGCGCATCCTCCAGCGTTGGGCGAGTGGTGCTGCTTTTAGAACCTTTCTACCTCGATTAGTCACAAACAACCACAAGTTGATAACCTTCGCCGAACCGGGCCTTGTGCGATTCTAGTCATTGTTGAAATTTTATGTCTCTCAAGCTGGCGTAGTTTTGAGCCCTCATGCACAACCTAGCTCCAGGGCAGAATTGAACCCTAGACGGACAACCCCTTCCATCTTTGAGAGGGTGTGTCTTGTGAGCAGCTGACTCCCGTTACCATGGCCAGCCCTCAAAATCAACCCCGGCTGCGGCCACGGACGCCGTCTTAGTACCTTCTGATGAGATGCCGAAGGACGCCCAGAGAGTTGAGGAACTCGACTTTAACAAACTCAAGCGCCCGATTACCGCGGAGGATCTTCTAGAGGGGATGCGCCACATGGGTTTCCAGGCAACTTCCATCGCCGAGGCCGTGCGCATCATCAATGACATGGTAGTTTACCCCGCCGAAACAGCCAATATCTTTCGAAGCTGTCACTCGAAGAAAGAAAAACCCCGGTCTCTTTTTTTCTAGGTTTCTAACGAGTTGTGTAGAGAGCCTGGAGAGATCCTGAAACCGGGGAGAAGACAACCATATTTCTTGGATATACCTCAAACCTAATCTCTTCGGGAATGCGAGCGGTTTTACGATGGCTGGTTGAGCACAAGCATGTTTCATGCATCGTCACTTCCGCTGGAGGAGTGGAGGAGGACTTCATCAAATGCCTTGGGGATACGTACATGTCCTCTTTTAGCGAAAGGGGTGCGGAGTTACGAGCCAAGGGGCTAAACAGGATCGGTAATTTGATTGTTCCCAACTCAAACTATTGCGCCTTTGAGGATTGGGTGGTTCCTATCTTGGATAAGATGCTCGAAGAGCAGGAGGAAACCAAGAACTCGGAAGAGCCGGTAAAATGGACGCCCTCCAAAGTTATCCATCGACTGGGCAAGGAGATCAACGACGAACGATCCGTCTACTACTGGGCATACAAGAACGACATTCCCGTCTTCTGCCCCGCCCTGACAGACGGAAGTCTGGGAGACATGCTCTACTTTCACACATTCAAAGCCTCGCCCCTCCAGCTCACGATAGATATCGTCCAGGATATCCGGGCCATTAATACGATCTCGGTAAGGGCGAAGCGCGCTGGCATGATCATCCTGGGTGGCGGCGTGGTCAAGCATCACATTGCCAACGCCTGCCTAATGCGTAATGGCGCTGAACATGCCGTTTACATAAATACCGGTCAAGAATTTGACGGCAGTGATGCCGGTGCCCGCCCCGACGAGGCTGTATCGTGGGGCAAGATCAAGGTCGGTGCAGACCACGTCAAGGTTCGTACGCACCCACATAGCTGGCGCCGTGGCTTCTTGGCGAAAGTCACCGCACGCTTTATGTCCTCTTATTGCTGATGCTTAGGTATTGACGATTCTTTTAGGTATATGCTGAAGCGACAACATGTTTCCCGTTCATCGTGGCCAACACCTTTGCAAAAGACTAGACTGGCCACTTAGCGGTGGAAGGTGGGGAGGAAACCGCCGGCAGGGAATAAAACGGAAGAGGAACTGATATACCCTATCGCTAGAGTTGGGCCTGAACTAGAGAAAGAAAAGAAAACCATCGTATATCTTGCCAGGTTACAGGTAGATAAAATGCATCAAAGGCGTTCAAAAGTCAATAAAAAATCATTGATGAGTTGGAAGCAACGCAACATAAATTGAAGAAACCACAGCTCTCTCCCCACCACCAAGCCGAGTTGGTGGTGTTGATGCATTAGTCAGCAACAAAAGCTTAGTTCAAAGACAATGAACAAGCTTCGAGGACCAGACCCAGCACACATCATCTTCCCACCTCTTGAAGGGGACCTCGACTAAAGGCTGACCCCACCGCAGTACGCTCCCGGATTTCTAGGCCCTTGATCTAGGGACAGCCAGGCCGATATGTCGGCGATCTATAACCTTGAGCCACAGCCCACGGGCTCGGTCATTCTGCATACCACGATTGGCGAACTCTCCGTCGAACTCTTCGCAAAGCAAACGCCGCTGACATGTCGGAACTTTTACAACTGTGCATGGACGGATACTACGACGGCACAATATTCCACCGCCTCGTTCCAGGGTTCATTCTACAAGGTGGTGATCCGACTGGGACTGGCCATGGCGGCGAGTCTATCTACGATGCGGGCGCGCTTAGCGGCGACCTTGATCCGTGGCCGATGGACATGCGTCGCGGGAAAAACGCAGGACCCACTGGAATCGGATTCAAGGATGAATTTCACTCGCGTCTCAAGTTCAACCGACGAGGCCTCCTCGGCATGGCGAACGAAAGCACGCCCGACACGAACGGCAGCCAATTCTTCTTTACGCTTGACAAGGCCGACGAGCTTACGGGCAAGAATACTCTCTTCGGAAGGATAGCGGGTGATACTATCTATACACTCACAAAGATTGGAGAGTCGGAGGTCGACGAGGCCACGGAGCGCCCGCTGTACCCCGTCAAGATCGTCAAGGTCGAGATACTAGTGAACCCGTTCGAGGGCATGATAGGGCGGGCTCGCCAGGCACCCGTTGCTCAGAGGACGATTGTGGTTGAACGAAAAAGAAGAGGAAGGGCGGAAGCAGTTGCTCAGCTTCGGGGACGAGGAGGGCGAAGAGGAGGAGCTGCCGATCCTGAAGAAGCCCAAGTTCGACACGAGGATTGTTATGGATGACGGCGCCGATGCTCCCCAAGCACAGAAAATACGGCCGAAAAGAAGAAAAAAAGAAGAAGAAGGACCAGTCACCAGAACCTTCACAACCGACTACTACGGAAGATACTATACCTCATCAGTCGGCGAAGCCTGTTGCCGAAGAGAAAGTCAAGCGAGAATCAAAGCGTTACGAGTCATACTCCCCAGAACCTGAGCCTCCGCGGAGGAGAACAGCACTGGAGAAGACGAACGATGAGATTGCGGCGCTCAAGGCATCCATGAAACGAACCGTGCACACACCGCAGGAAGTTGTGAGGGAACAAAAGAAGTCTGCTCTAGAGCAGATGCTCTCAGGGACTGCGGTCAAGGGAGGAAGGAGGAGAGGGCGCCAGAACGTGAACGAGGATCAGCGATCAGTCGATATCATGGTGGGCTGGGAGATGAAGTTGAAGACGGCACAACCGGATAAGGAGAAGCGCCCGCAGCGGGATGCGGAGATGGAGAGCCGCGATAAGGACGCCGCGGACGACGACGATGAGGGAGACAAGTGCGATTTGCACTTTGTGCCAAATTGCCAAAGTTGCCGAGCCTGGGACACGAAGGAGCAGGGCGAAGAGATCGGCGATGAGGGATTCATGGCACATACGATGAATTGCAAGGCTGATAAGCTGGGCAAGGACCTGAGCTACCGCAAGAAAGCCGAAGAGGAGCTCATCGTTATTGATCCCCGGGCTAAGGCGCTCTCTATTAAGGAGCAGAAAAGGCAAATCGCGAGGCTCGGGCGGGGAAGTCTGGTCGCGAGTGGGATAGAGCAAGGAATGCCCAGATGGCTCGGGCGGCTTCAACCGCGGGTAGGGGGCAGTGTAAGTCACTTATTACGAAATCTGTATCTTGCCTGTACATGTGTTCGCTATCTAGACCAAATAAAAATGATGATACCCACAAGCTTCAACAAGCCACATGAGTCACATTGAAGGTGCACTCCTTTTATCTCCGCCATTTCGTCGAGGCTGGAGTACACCCACCCCCATTTGGTAGGGAGGGGGCGCGTCAACGGTATCGCGACAGCTTCCTTTTCGGGTCCAATGGACGATCTAGAAGGTTCTGTCTCACGAAAAGTTAAGGCCAGATGGCTTTTTAGGAACATTGAACAGTTAGAACCCTGCGATTATGGCCACGCATCCCCATTCAGAGCAGTAACTTTTTCTTAGTGCTAAAAGAAGAGGGAAATATGCAGATGAAAAGGAAATCTACTAGTTCGTACTTAAAAGAAGTGTATTGCCTACGAAATGTCGTCACCACTTCGGCGGTTGAAACTCTGCTGTTTTGCAGAACCCAAAACAAGCAGCCATTCAGCGGCCCTAGACCAACCATGGGAAAAACGGTCTTTGTTAGACTAGCCCCTTCAAAACTTCAAGACTTCAAGACTTCAAGACTTCAAGACTTCAAGACCAGGCTTGCCAGGGTGTTCGTTGTTTCAATTGGCCGACATCCAATAGCACGCCAGCGATATTGCGGAGCACGGGCAACGAAATTTTGGCTTATCAACACGTGATACCCCAAGTTTTCGATATTTCATCAGCCACTGCTTTGATTGGGTGACTTGTTCAATTAGAGGGGAACAGCGCCTGGCCGAAGAGCGTTGAAGTGTTTCCCGCCTCCAAAAGGGACCGTTGTACTGGCTCCGGAGCAAGCTGACCTTCTGTCACATCCACGGCACAGCTGCCACTGCTCGTTTGGCATTCCAAAGATCAATTTGACCGTTTTCTCAGGCTGAGCGACTTCCCGCCTCATTCTATCCACACCTCCCGAAATCCTACACGCGCACGCATCGAGGTCCCGCTCCCCGTACACGCAATCAATCGAACCGTCATCCGAGGGCGCCGCCATGAGCACGACATAGCAGCATCTCCATCCCCCGAACAACAGGATCAACAGGATCGGTCGAAAGCTCCTCCTGGCCCCACGCGCAACACCAGTCCAAGGGAAAAGAAAATAACAAAACCCCAGCCCGCCCATTGAAAGTTGGCCTCAAGGCAGAAGGTACTCCTTCTGAAACTAAGAAACGCACCCCTTTGTCTGCTCTTTACTTCGACCTTCCAGGCATAATCCCGGTTGCCTTAGATTCGTTTCGCAACTGAATGCGCAGGATTGTCGTCCACCGCCAAAGAGCTCGATACTGAATATCAGGCGCCAGAAGCCTCCCCTCCGCCGCCAGCCTGGCCTTGTATATATCGCACGCTTCACTTGTTGCCGTCGCGAAGGACCACAGCCCTCTGCCACCACCCATATCGCGCCGTTTCTCGTGTCGGCCAAGGCCATAACTGGTTTCTCGCTACTCAGAGCGTCTTATCACTTTCGTGTTTGACCCCGCAACCTCTTGTCGTACGCCTCGCGAGTGCCCTACTAGCAGGTGCCTGTGACAACAACCAAGTCTCTCCGACCCATCTGACCCGAACCCTACGCCCTCGGGGCGCCACCGATTACCGACTGTTGCATGCAATATTCCATGTCGTCGCCGAACCAGAGGAAGAGACCCGCCCCGGGCGCATCACCATCCATTGCAATGCAACCCATAGATCAGCAGTTTGGAAGTGCGGATCCCGTCGTCAAATGGTCGGGCCAAGATAACTCGGGTTTTGTTGAGGATGCTTCTTCTCATGGCCTCAGCTCGTACGGCCTTCAACAAGTCCCTACGCAGTTTCCACAGCCCATTCCCGCTACGCCATCTAACATGCTAGCGCGCCGGACCATGAACCGTGCCTTGGTTCCCACGGGACCTCGAGCCAACTTTGATACCAACACAGACCCCTGGACCAGCCTTGTCGCGGCGGATCCGAGCAGTCTAGATCAAGTGCCTGGTTCCGAGGTGAGCGAACTAGAAAGCTTACAGCAGCTGGAGCAGATGGCCTCGAAAGCCAAGCGGGACGCGGAGGCGAAGCGCAAACAGATCCCGCCCTTCGTGCAAAAGCTTAGCAGGTAAGCCGCACCCACTTTCTCAGTTTTAAGTCCATTACTAACAAAATGTGCCCTAGCTTTTGAACGAGGGTAAAAACCAGGACTTGATCAAATGGTCCGAAAAGGGGGACTCTTTCATCGTTGTGGACGAAGAGGAGTTTGCCAAGAAGCTCATTCCAGAACTCTTTAAGCACAACAACTACGCTTCATTTGTACGGCAGCTGAATATGTATGGGTTCCACAAGCGCGTGGGACTATCGGACAATTCCATGAGGGCGAGCGAACGAAAGAACAAGAGTCCCAGCGAATACTCTAATCCCTATTTTAGGAGGGGTACCCTAACCTACTTTGGCTCATTACCAAGCCAAAGAGCAACAGCAAGGCGAAGAAGCCGAACAAATCCACGGACCCCGACGCTGACAGCGACGAGGAACCAACGTCACCGGTGGGCCAGCCATCGTATCCAGCCCTGCCCTTCAACATGTCGCTCTCCGAGCCCAACAACGGGCTGAAGAAGAAGGAATTGGCCTTGATCCGTGACGAATTCAAGAAAATCCGCGATCACCAGCAGGTCATCCTTACGCGGATGCAGCGGCTCGAGCAGAACCAGCAGCGTATCGAGCAGCAACAGCGGGCTCAGGCGCAAAAGGATCAACGCGTTGACGAGATCTACCGGCTCTTTATGCGCCACGAGAACTCGCTGCAGAGCATGATGCAGATCCTGGTTTATCACTTCAAGAAGACGCTTGAGGATAATAAGTCGGCGCAGCAAATCAAAGACATCATGTCAACGGGCTTCCTCCCGGGCAACCACGGAACGCATGGCATTGTCGAACTCGACGATTTCATACAGAGTCAACCTAAATCTCCTAGCCCCATGGGCGTCGTACCTAAGAGGGCGAGGGCGCTTCTAGAGGCTCCCCCATGTCTGGAAATGTTCGGACAGTCCCCCTCTCCCGCATCCGCTCAGGGCTTCTCGGGCCCAGAGATGGGCAGTGTGACGGAGATCGTTGACCCATCCCCCGCCGACACAACCTCCCCATACCTACCCTCTGACCTATCTCCCAGCTCCCAAGAGAAGCTGATAAGAATGCTCCACGACGCCAGCGCGAATGTGGGGTCGAGCTCCATGGCGAACGCGAATATTGCCAACCCTCAACCAATCCCCGCACAACCTGCTCCTCAGCTAGGTCGACGACCCAACGCCACGGCCGCGCCAGTGCCCGGCATGCCCCGAGCTTCCGCAGCTAGCGTTCCAAACGCGAACATGTCCGTCCCCCATTCGACCACTGCCCCTCCCGTCATGCCGCCCGCGGCCGCGGCTTCTACCATCCCTCCTCCACCGACCGCGTCACCCGATCTTTCCCAACTTGCGGGAAACATCCTCGACCCGTCGCAGTACGCCGCTGCGCTGGCCAGTATTCCGGCAGGCCTAGAACCAGGGATGAACATGAGCGCAAAAGAATTCGACAATCTCAAGAGGCTCCAGGCGGCGCAGGATCAGCAGATCCAAATGCTCGGGTCCAAACTCGCTCCCCTGAGCCCTTCAGGCCAACTTCCAGGCTTCACCGGATCTGGCGACAGCAACGAGTATTTCTCGGGCGCCAACTTTGACCTCAACGATCCCACTTTCAACGAGTTCATCAACTCAGATCCCTTCAACGCGGACCATTCCGACATGGCGAACGCGGCCGTGACTGGGGACGACTTTGGACACGACTTTGACTTCAGTCTACTAGACCACCATGACGGTACGGACGCGAACAATACCACAAGCCCTGGAGGAACGGAAGAGATTCCTCGCGACGACCTCGGTAATGTTGCCAACCCGGACCGTGGCTCTAAACGACGCAAAATCCAGTAGAACTATTTTGCTGCGCTGGATGCGGATGGTCGTGCCGGGTCACCTTCGGTGCACGGCAAGCAATCGGAGCTTGGGTAACCTTGACCCTCGTTACCTTCTAGACCGGGTGCGTCGCAGTGCGTGCCTTTTGTCGGGAAAAGCGGGTCTAATGGGTGTCTTGTGTGATAGTGGCACCGGGTGGTGCTGCGTGTATATGCGGCGTTTTGCTAATATGTCCACGGGCGGCTTACCGAGATGGAAAAATCGGATGTGATATTCTTCTTTCGACTTGGCCTTCTTTCCTTTCTTTTACTTCTCTTGGTAGCATGGAAGGGGATTGAATTTTGTCCTATTGCCTTTTTTTTCTTTTTTTCTTTTCATTTCCGTCATGTGGAAAGGCGTCGCGATGAGCGGGCAATGGAGGGAAAGGCTTTTCAGCATTCGCAAGAACCATGGGAGCGAACAAACGGCTTTGATACCCACTTCAAACAAAAAAGAGAGAGTAAAGAGAATCATACACGGGAAAGCTGGCATTCATTTCCTCGAGATCTCTCCCCCTGTTGAGATTACCGAGGGGCCTCATAGAAGACATAAACCGAAAAAGATAAATTATGTACAAACTGTGTCTCCTCTCTACCCCTGCCGGTAGCATCCTTGGAAGAAGCCTCACCTTGGATTGGCTTGGAGGAATACGATTAATGGTGAAGTTGAGAAAGTTTGAAGATGGTGCTCTTTACCGAGAAAAAGTTGGTGACTACCTCGGTATTCTGAGAAAACCTTCAAATCCTCGAAGTATTTGGTTTGATGAGTTGGGCTCATAGGTAGAACCAATAATAGAGGCTTATCAGATTAGGAAAACACCCTTCACAGCTTCAAACAACCTATCCTTTTCCCACTATCCTCAAAGCACGGTGCGATGTGACTTGTCACTACGTGTACTCGCACGATCTCCTTGTTGGAACACAAGTCTATTCGGGGGTATATTTTTAAAAAACAAGAGCCTCTGCCGGAAGCTCCAAAGATATCGCAAGCACAACATAACATGCCTGCGATCCTTCTCTCACGCGACTAAAACCATTTTTTCAACCCTTTAAAGGGGCTCTCCCTTATCCCACGCTAAGACGCCAGAGGGTTCGCATGGATCGTCACGCTCTCTATCCTGACCTCCTCCTTTGGCCTATTCTTCTTATCCACCTCCACCTTTTCTATCTTGGCCAGCGCCGCAAGGCTGTCGTCGCCCAAGACCTTGCCGAAGACGGTGTTGAGGCCGTCGAGGTGGGGGCTTTATCGAGCAGGATGAAGAACTGCGAGCCGTTGGTGTCGGGGCCCTTGTTCGCCATGGAGACGACGCCGCGGGCGGTATGGCGAAGACCGGGGCGGAGCTCGTCGGCAAACGTGCCGCCCCATATGGAGCGGCCGGCCTTGGGGTTCTCGGGGTGGGGTTCCCGGGCCCGCCGGTCTGGATCATAAAGTTGGGAATCAGTCGGTGGAAGGGGAGCGGTCGTAGTAGCCGGAGGCGCAGAGCGCGAGGAAGTTCTGCGCACGGGGGTTGGTTAGGCATGCTAGGTTTTACCAAGTATTTCTCTTTAGGGAAATGGCCCGTTTCGAGCGAGTGACCTTGGCTTTGCTTACCTCTGCGGTTTTGGGGACGCTTTCGCAAAAGACCTCGACTTTGATGTCCCCGTGCGTGGTGTGAAGTGTGACTGACATTGTCGCGCCAGGGGGAGGGGTGAGGTGAGTCTATTCTAGGCTGAAAACGTGGCTCTGTTCATCAAGTATTGTCGGTTTGCGCTCCTCATCGCTTGCGACCTCGCTGCAATGTCCTGGTGTGGAGGGTCGGCGTCTAAAAGCTCCAGCGAAGCTCAGGATCAGCCTAGCGGGTATGACATTGGAAAAAGGTGGGGTTTTCCGTGGTGGGCGCGGTCTTGCGAACCAACCAGTTGCTTAGGTTTACGGCACCCGAGCCTGGATGGTGGGCGGCTGGCAAGGGAACATTGAAGCGAAGAGGTCAGAGGTGCCCCCGCCGGCAGCCTTGGCGGATCTCTGGGTTCTGTGCACGGAGCATACCTAATTTTTGATGGCTTGGCAGATCGGGATCTGGAAATCATCAGCCGATAAAAGAGTGAGAGAATGTGGCTATTCATGCTGACTGCTCAAAGAGTTCGAAGCAGACCTAAGATAGCGCCTCTACGCCGTGGAATGTTTGCAAATTTCTTGAAAATAATCTTGCCTACATGTACCGGCTTAACCACCCTCTCTACGGCTTGGGGATGTAATGTGGAGAAGAGAAGCCCCATGCACGAACTATTCTGCAAGCAGGGTTAAGTTGATTCCTTCTCATACATTATTAGTATTTGACGGATTGTTTCCTAGCTAGCCTTAAAGCGAAACAAGTGAGGAGCCCGTCCAAACCCTCTGTCGAGTCTCAATGCAGCGCAGTTTCATCACGAGGAAGGCAATCCAGCCCTATAGGTAGCGCTCTGGGGCGACGAGACACCCCTTCATTCCAGCTACGAGAAGAACGGCTAGCCTCTCTGTTCTGTCTCAGATAATCTCCACCTTCCGAGCCACACTCCCGATTGGAATGGAATGGGTCGAATATTGGCCAGGGTCCGAGGTAGAGGTCTTTCTCCCAATCTTTCCGAGTCAGAAAGGGCAACTCCGCACAAGCTTGACACTTGTATAGCGGCCTCTGCATCCTTATGCCTCTGCGTACTTTAGCGCCATCGTTTCCGGCTGCCACGCGAGAAGGGAAAAAGGAATCAAAGGGCTCTTCGTCACCTCTACAACTGGTAGATTGACGGGTCAGCAATGCATGGCCTGCTCCTGATGCGTCTGGCTGGTCGATGCCCCGTGCATGTCAGCTTACAGGCGCCAATTTAACGGGCTTGCGTGCAGCGAGACCCTCTTCAATTTAATGATATCTGGAGCCTGTGGGAAGGGTAGCATTCTCCACCATGACTCGGTGGGTTAGCATTGGCGGTAGCACAGGTTCATTGAACGACTGCCACCCACCAATGCTACATGTATTACTCCGAGATGATCTGAGGCAAGGCATTCTTGCCCTGATGAAAAAACGAAGCGAAGCGTGAGACTCCCTGTGTGAAAAATCAAAATTTTACCGCCTTGGGACCAAGGGTCTCTCAAGATTGACCATTTTCAAGGTCGGGACGGACCATTTGATTGCCGTATAGATGGATGGGCCATACGAGCAAACGAGGTATACCGTATCGGGTTTCAGCTGCGACATGTTCGCCGTACTAAGCAAAGGAGGGCATGCTTTTGGATTGGATCACTGGACCGGGCACAAGCTTGTGTGGGAGTTTCTGGCCGTCTCAGTCGGCGCCTGCCTATGTCATGGATTGGCCCATTGAACCAATCTAAAGAGAGAGACTTTGCCTCTTCGTGGCGTCGTCACAGGGATTGAGCAATGAAGACGTGTGTATTGAAATCCTTTTGGATGGATTCTGTCCTGTTGTCTCATGGGCAGCAGTCACTAGGCTTTCCCCTCCTTTGCTTCATGTCGTATTATCTATCGCCTTTCCCTAGAATTGGATCGGATTTCTTAGAGGAGCCTATAATATCATAGATGTAGTACACTCGTGGAGGAGTCGTGAATTGGCTTGAATTGGGACGTCTCCAATCCTAATTGAGCTTGTGGAAAGGCTCAAGCTAAGACAAGAAGCAGTCCAGTTACGTTGTGGATGGGTCTCAGACCCCACCTTGAACCACTGGTGGAAGCCACCATCAGTGCCAGCGTCAGCGGAGCCTGGTCAGGTCAGGTCTACTTGGTTCTTGCTGCCAAGGTTATTTCCACAGTTGGCCCATTTGATCCCACTCAAGTTCTCCATCCGCCATCGGACCTAATTGATCTCCAAGCAGTCCCCAGTGCTGCTTCAAGCTCCATCAAAACCTCCCACCTCGATCTAATATCGAATCCCTGAAAGCTGGTGAAGCAGCTTCTGTCTTCACTGACTAAATAAGGCCAACACCCGCCCCGCCCCGCCCCGCTACCCGTTCTGGGGGAAGCGTTTCTCGAAACGTGAACGTAAAAGATCAATTCGAACATCTGAAAAGCAATCAGCGGTCCTTTCTCCATTCAGCTTCTTAGAGTTGGGTGACCACTGCGAGCAGGCTCCTGGCCTCGGGTTGGCTTGTACCCCCGGATTCTGTCGGTCGTCCCACCCGCTGTGACCTAATGCAAACTTAGCCTCAACCTGCCGACAACCAACTCGTGGTGGCACACAAGTACCTTCAGCTCTCCTCCTTTCCGAGCAGTGAGGGCGGGGGAAGCACTTGTGGAATTCTTAACCAGTTGCTAAAACGCGTGCTGCACAGCCCGCCAATACCTTTCGTTGATCAATCCTTCACTTGGCGTGCGCTTGCAGATCCAACCCGTCCATGCTTCCACACCCTCCACTGTAAACCCCCTTCCAACTGGACTGGCAGACAGACCTCTTCTTCCCAGCCCTTCAAGGATTGTTGGATCAAAGACGAATGCGAGCGAGCCCTTGAGGCAAACACCACCGCCAAATCGCTGCATGCCTCGAAAACCTTCCCCATCAAGCCTATCCGTCCACGACAACCACGACCTTGCTGCCACTCCTCGTCATAATTTCCACGTGGACCAACGACCACCGCCCAGACACCACATCCCGAATCATTAAGCGAGAAACAAGCGACAGCGAAAGGACAATCCGAAAGAGAGAAAAAAACAAGTGAATCCGATCTGGCTATCAAAGGACGACGGGCCAGGTGACAAAGCCTGTTGGAAACCCGGCTTCCCGATTGCCTATGCGACGCCCTTCGCCGACGAGACGACGACTCGCCTACCCCACCATTTGTGTCTGCCTTGACCAACAAAACAACTACTGCCGTCCATCACATCAACGCTGCCCTAGTAGACCTGCTGCGATCCCGCCGATGCGACGAGGATGGCGGCTCTCGTTAGGGTCTCGGGGCCGCCGAACAGTAGCTTCTTAGTTGGTTATCCGGGGATATCTGCTACTCTGGTGAGTCGGAGCTCGAGGAAACCTCCTGCACATCAATGTCTCGGCTTGCATTTTCGATCAACGATAGTTCGCCTTGTTATTTTGGCGCGCCTCGACGATGAGAAAACACTGCTTTCTCGTCTCTTTTCGTTTTCCCCTCCCTCCCCATCTTTTCTTTTCCCCTTTCCCCCTGGGTTTGGCTCTTTTCTTCCGCGTCTTGCACTACGCATGTGCTGACCAGTTATCCTCACCGCCTAGCCGCGAATCGAAGGAACGGTCGAAATTCGACCGTCACAGGGATACTCGGCTCCCGTTTCCATCTCCCTCGTGCGAATATGTCTTCAACGTCGAGAAACGATCCATCCTGCCGCCGAGAATGTGGCTAAACGTCATTTGGGGACCCCACGGCGCGAAACCGTCGATCTAGTAGGCAAGGAGATGCTTCTTTACAGGTGCTCAACCGGGAAGGAGGCCGAAGTAGTCGTCGCGATGGATTTACCCTTCGTCCTATATATCCCTTTCGGAAGAGGGGGAGGACGCGAACCGAAAAATACCCCCAGCCTCGCTCTCGCTCGGGAGCCGCACCGCCGAAACGTTCTACGAGCTCGTCGTCACCGTGCAACAGGGCCACACCCACTCACACAAATACGCTTTCCCCATAACTATGCAGCGCTACGATACCCTTTCGACCTTTGGCATGTATAACAAACCCGAATTCAAAACGGCGGTCTCGGACAACATTGTCACTCTCGGCATGTCCTTACCCAGATGGAGCTACGGGCCCTCTGATCCCTTGACCATCTATATCAGGGTGGCGCCGAACCCGGACTGGATGAGCAAGGCTAAAAGGTTACGGTGGATAAGCTCACAATAACTATCGAGGAGGAGATCACGTTTAATCCGGAGGGAGACGAGCCTACAAAAAGATCAACAAGATTATCAAGCACAACCAGCCGGTCAAGGCCAAGCTGACAGAGGCCGGGTACACGACGAATCTGGGGCTAGTGTTTCCCTCCAAGTCCATCCGCGATTCTGACGGCATAATACGCCGCGAGAAGCCCGGCTTCCCCTTGTACGAAGTTAGTTCCTTTACAACTAGCTCAACGCTCTACAAGATTGAGTTTTTCGTATGCATCAAGGTTAGTCGTCTCTTGCGTCCTCTTCCTTGAACCTATCCTCTAGGCGACTGGCTACACCACGCGATCCCCGGTGTTTATATCTCATGTCCCGTATGCTAACCGTCCCCCTTTAAAATAATACAGGCCCACCTGAGCTCCGCACGAGACATCACGGTCCGCCAGCCGATAGTGATTTGCCCCATGGACCATCAGGAATGCAAGGAGATTCTAGACGCTATTGAGCAGTCTGCCAAGGATGCTGCCCATGTGGATCCTAATCGGCCCCCACCACGACCTACGATCATCAAGGCAAGTGATAAGAATGCACTTGAATCGCTAGGACTTTGTATGGTTGGGGGCCAGAAGAAGCCTCTGATCGATTAGTGCGCCGACGCCACTAGTTGGGCGACGATGCTGTACGACTTCAACGATTATACTATATTCGCCTCTTCCGGCCCCCGGCCCCCAATGCCGTGCCGCGCGGAATTCCCGCATCCCTGTGCGATCAAGGCCCCATCGCTATGTGGGCTGGCTGCCTGGGATGCAACAAGGAAGCATGCGGCTAGCCGGTCTGTCGAGGACTGCCCGCAGGTCTGCACAGCTCCTCTAGACATGAACTTTATGTTGAGTTCCGGACCCAAGTGATTTCCTTTCGTTGCAATTCGCCGTCACACACGACTGTCACGCACGGAATATGCAACGACGAGATCCTGTTGTTTGAAACATGGAATACAAAATTACCCATCTTGACAAGGCCATATTTGGCCCGGGCAGTTCTCCGTTGTAATGAGTGGAAGCTTCCATCTCATATATCAAACAAAGGCTGAGGATTGCTGCTTGTCCCCTGCTGCCTATGACACCACCTGGCGGACAGGCAGCAAGGAATGATCACAGGACGGCTATGAGGGGATCGCTGGGGATAAACGACAAGGAGATGCTAGCGCTTTCAATGATGGTAGGGCGTTCATAATGCCCTTAAATGATGACGATTTTGGTTGACGATCTTGAAAAAGGCAGTTTCTTGTCTTGGTTTCCTTTTCTCTCGCCCGGTCTCTTTTCGGGTTTGTTTATGTTTGCTGGGTGTACGCATAGATACAAGGCGTTTGAGGCGATGGTCTGAAGGAACGGCTTTGCAGGCACGAGGCTCAGGCATCCTAGGCACGCGGAGATACTCTTCTTTTTCAGGGAGCACCGGCGTCTTCCAACCTCTTTTGGCCGCGCTTTGTGTCTTTGTTCTTATACTCTCTGAATCTTGTACATTGTCACTGCGGAGGGGGCTGCCAGGACTGCTTCTTCATCGCACGCTTTCCGGCGAACCCTCTCCTCTGTTTTCATCTGTATATGATGCTTTGATGCTCAAAGTTGAGCACTTCAGAAGGCGGACAATGATGGAGAGGGTTAGGGGCCCTGGGATTAGCGGGCCATGTGCTTACTTTTGGCTGTATTTACCTTTCGGAGGTGGTTGATTGTCTTGTCCTTTAGACCGAATGGAAGAGCGCTCGAAAGAATTCCTCGCGTTTCGTGTGTATTTGGGACTTGTTTGTAGACTTGACTTGGCCAAAGAAACCTACTGTTTAGAACAGGCTCTTTGTCCCAGCAGCATGTTTAGTCGTGCTGGGAGAAGATGGGGGTTTGAAGGGCGAGACAAAGCCATTGTATAGTCAAGCTACAATCATCTTTTATATCTCGTGCCTCAGCACGCAAAGAAAACATAGTGACGAATGACTACCTCCTCCTTTGCTCCCAGTGATGGTTTTCCATTTACCTGCAACACGGCCCTTTGGCGCCCGCCATATAGACTCCCCAAGCGTTATACTCTGGCTGCGACAAAGGAGCCATCGTGTATCACCACCATGAGAGAGAGAGGGAAAGAGAAGGGGACTGCATTTGGGAGGTTTTCGGCCCTTTTGCGCCCCTCGAGGCGTGCTCTTTGCTATAAAGACCAGTCATCTGGATAGTTCTACCTCGTTTGCTCCTCTCTCCTCACCCGAACCTTGCGAGAAACTACATGTGTCATTTTTCCTTGCTGCGCGAAAAAGGAAAAAGTGGCTAGGGAGTAGAGGTGAAGGCTGGCCTCCGACTACACAAGCACTTCCCCACTTGATCATTGGGAGAGGTGCTTTCCGAGCTGCGAACGGCTCAGCGCATTTCCATTAGAGGATTCTCTCGAATCTGACCTATACACCCTTTCGCTAGAAACGTTGATATCCCCAAAGGCAAGGTATCTATCAGAACCTACTCTCCCAGTCCCTCCCCCTTATACCCCGCGCATCTTCTTTTCTTCCAAATCTCGCCACACGCCCTCAGCCATGGCGTTATACCCCTCCCTCAGCCCAAGTGGAGTCATAAACGGCCATACAGATACCGCGGCCGCAGCCGCCCGGTTCGTCGCCTGCTCACGATCAAGGAGGGCGAAGTGGTCAACGCATGGCCGCCGCGGCGCCCGTGGGGAAACAAGTCCAATGGGCGGCTAACCTCTGCAAGATTAGGGTGTACCCTCTCCACCTTCCGCCCGGCAAGGTCCTCAAGCGGGTTCCACCGCAGAGCCGCACGGCGCGCCGGCTCGCCGTGGGCACGCCGGCGGCAGCGGGACCGCAAGGAGCGCCGCTGGTAGCCGCCCCTGGCCTAGACATGGCTACGGGCCCTGGCGCGCGCTCGAGTCCGGTCGGGTCCTGGGAGGAGCAAGGTAGGTGGATCGCGGCCGGGCCGTACCCTGGCTACGCGTGGGGAGGCGTGACACGCTGACATATAGGGGCGCAGAGTACATAACGAGGTCGCCTGGGGGAGAGCTTAGTCTAGGAAGCTTGAGCCCGATGGTTGCCTTGAACCGGGGTCCTGATATCCCAATGTATGTCAAACGCTTGGACAGCGAAGATGTTCGCCGGGCGGGCCGCCTCTAGCGTCACCGCCACTCGGCTATGGTCCCATCGGTAACTTGGGTAGGCGTGTCGACAACGCGAATTGTTCGCCATCCCTGGGCAGCGAAAACGTAGCGCGTTCGGTTCCGCTGGCGTCATCGGCACCGTACTCGCCGCCGCCGTCTCGCTCCTCGAGGCACGGATTCGGGAGGGCGCTGCTGGAAAGGTTCGTACCCCGGCCCAGGAGCTGGTGGAGTTTTGGAGGGGGCGGGAGGCGCACTGACGTAGAGAGACCCAACGTCTTGAGGAAACCGTTTGGCCCGAGACGGGGCATCGAGAAAGACGGATCTGGTAACTCTTGTCTTCCAAGTAGGAACCGGGGCGAGGAACGGCCAAGAAGCCCACAAATGCAACCCCAGGCACCAGTGCGGGGGCCACAGGACCAGCCTGTTCCATTTCACCCCCGCTCGGCCGCTTCTACAGAGACAACACCCGCAGGGCTAGAACGGCAGCTGGTGGTGCCCCGCCGGCGTCGACCGGGGCCGGCCTCGCGCCGGGTCAGCGACGCGGCAGGGCCCAGCAGCTCAAGGCGCAACAGCGGACTCGAGGACCGAGTTTCCGGCCGCGCGCCGGTCTGCGTCTTACGACAGGCGAGGCGCGGCACAGTATAGCGCATCGGAAGGCCAAAGGGGCCGTCGTGCCGTGGGCACTAGCACAATTTCGAACCCCCACAGAACGAGGCTCCCCGAGACCTTCCACCTGCAACCCCGGCGCGTGGAGCCATTCCAGCCAGCGGGAAGTCGCGCCTATTGGTACAGCAGTCCACTAAACCTTCGCAGCCCGTCGCTCCAAAGCGACCGAGCCACAAGACCACCCGACCAGGCCCCCACCGCGACGGAAGATCCCCCTTCCAGCTCGATATCCTCTCAGAACCCCCTCGCAGGCGTACTCGCCTCCCATACCACCTCCGCACCCCCGGCCGCACTTTCCGAGCCCCCTCAGGATCCTCTTCCCCGCCGTACCGGCAGGATGGGCCCTTTCGCTGCTCCGAACCTCTAGCGTCCACTCTATCCCCTGTCAACCGTCCCGCCTTGAAGCTTTGCGGTTCCCCTACTTTAGCTCGCCGCCCGAGCCATGCCCAGCTCCGGCGCCACATGTTGGGACGTCGCGTGTTGAAGACCCTAATGCGAGTCGCCCCTCCTGTCGCATGCTTGTCACTCCTAGCTGCCCACATTTACTTTAGCGCAACTGCCGAAGCAGGGGAGTCCGGGGATCAGTTTCCCGTTGGTTATAAACTTGTTCAGAGGTATACGTTCCACGCTGTGGGGAATGGAACATGCCCCTTAGGCTGAGGGAAAGGCCACTCTCATTCGTTAGATGGATATGGGCCGCGAGCCCGACAATGCCACGCTCCAAGAGTGGGGAAGCATTCCGATGCATGCCCGTAGGGTCTCGATCTTGTTTGGCGACCAAGGAGACCACGTCGCTATCAGGCGCGGGTGGAAGGCGGATGACTTCGCTCGCAACATTTGCAAAAGCATCAATGGTGAATGGCTGCATGGCAAGGCTGCCCGCTGTCATAAAATCTGTTCAGCTACAGAAGCAACAGACGCTATTTGAATGAAATTCCATCTAATTTGATAAGCACCTTTTATATACACAACCGCGTATGACGTCCCTCCCATCAGTAAAAAAAAGTTGATACAGATATTGTGACCCATTCCGTCTATCTATTCCCAAATCCCCTTAGATCCCGAGAGTGAACTCAACACCGACATCAATATCACGGGCTATAGAAAGAAACACAAGGGTTAGCAAAGATGTAACAGAACTAGAAAGACACCACGATACGGATTGCTGATGTCGAGGTGTCCTGGAATTTTTCAACTTACCCATCTTCACGACCTTGGAGAGCTGCACTGACTTCTCGGCGGCATCCTGGAGATCGTCGATAGAGAAGATCTTCAGGCCAGAGTCGCTCAGGAGGCGGTGAGCCTCGGCCATGTTAGTACCCTGGAGACGGGCAATGATGGGGACCTTGAGGTTCAGAGTCTGGACGGTGTTGATGAGGCCGTGGGCGATGTGGTCGCAACGAACGATACCGCCAAAGATGTTGACGAAGATGGCAGTGACCTTGGGATCGCTGGTGATGAGCTCGAAAGCCTCCTTAATGGCCTGGGGGTGGCACCACCGCCGACGTCAAGGAAGTTGGCGGGGTTGCCGCCGTTGAGCTTGATGATGTCCATGGTGGCCATGGCAAGACCGGCACCGTTGACGAGGCAGCCGATATCACCATCGAGCTTGATGAAGTTGAGGCCAGACTCGGCGGCCCTCACCTCATCGGGGTCCTCCTGGGTGGTATCGCGCCACGTGAAGACTTCCTTCTGGCGGTAGTCGGCGTTGTCGTCAAAACCAAACTTGGCATCCATGCAGAGAACCTTGTGGTCGGAAGTCTCGGAAAGGGGTTGATCTCGATCTGGGTAGCATCCTTCTCGAGGAAGACCTTGTAGAGCTTCTGGATGGTGTCCTTGGCATCCTCGATGCACTGGTCGCTGAAGCCGAGGCTGTGGGCAATATCGTAGGCGATGGCGTCAGTGACACCCTCGTTAATGTTAATGATGGTGGTCTTGATAGCCTCGGGGTTCTCCTTGGCAACACCCTCGATGTCAACACCACCCTGAGAGGAGGAGACGATGACGGGGACTGGCTGGTGCGGTCCATAAGGATGGCGAGGTAGAATTCGCGACGAGCGAACTTGCGCTCGCAGATGTAGACGGCGTTGCAAAGGCGACCACCAGCACCAGTTTGCTTGGTGACAAGCTTGTGGCCGATCATCTGCTCGGCGAACATCTCGGCTTCGTGGGGAGAGTAGATGACACGAACACCTCCCTTAAGGCCGTTATCGAAAGTACCCTTTCCACGACCACCGGCAAGAACCTGAGCTTTTATCACCATATCGTCGGTTCCGATTTGCTTGGCTACCTCCTTGGCCTCGTTCGCGGTTTCAGCGACAGCACCCTTGGGAACTTGGACGCCATACTATATGCATGATACGTTAGCATTCCACTATCCGTCGAATATTGAGGCCTGAATTTTGTTATCGCGGGTTTCCGCGTTTTATTTATCCACAGCGCCGGCACGGAGGATGGTTGGAGAGTGATGTTCCCGATAAGAGAATGTTTTTATTTACCTCGCGGAGAAGCTCAGCAGAGCGGTATTCGTGGATACTGAGATTCCTCGTTTGTTGAGCAATTCCGGGAACTCTGCGGATAGTAGGAGCAATGAGCTGCGACACATTATTCTTCAGTCAGCTGGTGTTGGCAGAAGCTGCGAGGGTGGGAAGCTCGCTTTTGGCTTTGCAGGGGATAGGGGCAGCTTATCGCGCACCTTGGAAGACCTGGAGGCGGAAGCCAAAATCCGGCTACCACCGAGCTTAAACATGATGGAAGATATTAAAGAAAAGGAGAGTGTGAAGTAAATACAGAAGAGCGGAGATGGGTCGGGCAGACGACAAGACAAAACTGACGCGGAGGGTCGAGGGTCGTGGATGATAATTGGGGAGGGAGATGATAATCGCAGACTTTGACACCAAATCAAAAAAGCAGTGATAAACCAAGCAACGCCAAAATCTACGTCAGCCGGGGTAAAACGCTGGTGGACTCGGAATTGACCGGTTTCAGTGCGCAAGGGAAGTCGGCGTTTGGGCGGCTCTGCTGTACAGTATCAAATCACAGTGTCCCGACGCGAGCCGAATCCGCCAATCAAACCGCACGTGTTGCCCTGGAATTCCATGCACTGGACGCTCAAGCACGACTTCCACGCCTGAATTTATGACTACAAAGCCGGTACCTGTGCCGAACTGTCGCGGTAGGTGCGAAGCTCTCGGCACTGGACCCTGGCAACCAGCTCTTATCTTTGCAGGAGTTGAAGAGCTTACCATGACTAAGCCAACATCCATCATCCACCACGAAGTTTTTATGGCCTGGTCAACCTGCAGTCCGGGGAGTTTGGGTATCGGGACGCAGGCAATATTCCGGCCGTCATCTCTTCGCCGAACTAGAATGAAACCGAACGGAATCAAGCAAAGTTATAAATCAGTGCCCAAAGAACCCCGAGGGTTCGCCTCTAGCGCATAGTGGACCAGCCGGTGAAATAATTAATAAGTGTACAGTCCTACTCTAAGATTGTATCCAGCTGGGAAGAGCAGGGTTTTTACGCATCCATAATGGCGTCGGCTCCAAGCTCGAATACGCCCGAGAACCCGCAGGCCAGGCTTGCGCGGGCTCTCATAGAACCGGGGATGGTTGCTTTCGACCCTGCTTCGGACCTCACAGCTGATGCGGCCCGGAAGGCTCGGGCAGAGTTCGAGTCGGTCCTCCAGAGGTAAGCCGGGTGTCGATGACCCGCTTCAGGTCCCGAATCTGACGTACTTCAGTGCTGGTTCCTGGAGCCTCGTCCAAGTACTAAATGGGCTGGTGAAACCCGGCGTAGTAGTCGAGTGGTTAAGGAAGGAGTTCGTAGTCGCTCTCATGCGCGTACCCATGAGACCTCAGGGCGTGCGCGCGACGTTAGAGTTCATCTTCTCCGTACACCCAAGCAGTACAGCAGTCACTAGAGAGGAAGAGACCGCGCCTCAAAAGCGCGGGGCCAATATCGCTCCCGAGGCCTTGGCAATGGCCGCAAAGCTGTTGTCGTCCACGCCCCCGGGCCTTGAGGACGGGGTCTGGGTCCGTGGAATTGCACCCCAGCTGCTTGCTTTACTCGATGGTGACGAAGGTCCTGAACTAGCCAGGGTGGCAGCTCACATAATATCGTTTGGTATTTTGGGTAGAAAACGGCTGGGCGCTCCAGGTGAGTGGGGCATATCTCCCTCTATCCCCCGTCCGCCATTGCGCAAGTCTAACATTGGGGTAGGCGCGCCTGGCTGGAATATATTCGTAGACCCGATTCTACGCCGCATTCGGCCGTCATTAAGTCCTAAATGGAGGTACGAGTTGGCTGAAGGCAAGAATGAAGCTGAGGTTATTGATCTAAGCAAGGACCAAGTCATCGTGGCCGCCGAGGACCTCGAGATTGCCCTTCGTCGCCTTTCATCTCTGCTCCAAGCCAGTCCGTCCCCTGGCCTATGCAAAAGACTCATAGACCCCATCCTTCTTCAGCTCTGGATACTCTCGTCCTGGATAAAGCCCTCGCAGAGGACGAAGGAGAGATACTGCGATATCGCCATCCCCCTCTTGAGGATGTATCTTAAAGTTGCGTCGTCCCCCAGCAAGACCGATATCCTACTAGAGCACCTGATGGCGGTTGGAGATGTAGAAGGTGAGAAAATCGTCTGGAAATACCAAGAGACTTCGAGTGGTGATTTGCAGGTCGTGATCCCGAGGGTGGCTGAGCAGGTGCCCCAACTACAGGATTTAGATGCAGACGATGTGGAAGAGAAAGCCTCGACCTTGGCCGCTACCGTAGTTGAGAGCTGCACGGACACAGATATATCCACTCTGTTCATGCACCTTTTCAAGGGATGGCTCTCCTCAAAGTCACCCGAGCTTTTCGCTTCTGTTAAGATCAAGATAGAGGATGACGAGAAGGCGGCATCCCCTGCAAGGCCTGCTAAAAATGGCGGTATTACGCTATCTCTTGGAAAAGGCTGCGGAGAAAGTCATCAGCAACCCGAATCAGCTTTTGGAACTTGTCTGCAACGTCCTCGAGGCTCAAAGCGCTGAATCGCAGGAGAGCGAGATTATCGCTGTCATCCTTAGCCTGTTGAATCAAATTGTATCGGCGCCGCAATTCCAAACGACACAAATCAGCCCTGAAAAGCTCAGCCTTATTGAGAGCTCGCTACAGCGGCTTTCCACGCACAAGTCACCAGAGATAGCACAGACGGCAACGAATCTCTCGCTTCTTCTCCAGTACCGAGACGAGTTGGAGGAGCCTTCGGATGCTGTGCCGCCAACGCAGAGGCAGATTGAGGATCGGAATACTTACAAGCTCGCCATGTCATACATTAGAGACCCCGAATCGCCACCGCCGGTTAGATCTGAAGGTCTCAATCTCATAGCTGGCCTCATTAAATCCAGTAGCCCGGCTTTAGACATCCCCGCTGTCCTGGTCCTTCTTTCGAAGCTACTATCTGATAGCGAAGATTTCGTCAACCTCCGCATCGTCAGAATGCTCGTTCAGCTAGCAGAGAAGCACCCGAAAACGGTGTGCCACGAAGTACTTGATCATTATCTTGACGCAAAAGAACTAGCTTCTACAGACACAAGATTGCGCTTTGGCGAGGCCTTGGCCCAGATTATCGAACGGCTAGGCCAGACGTTTACCGGGGAACTAGCTACTCAAGTCTGCGAGGCGCTTCTATCAATCACCAGCCGCCGCGGGAACCGGGTAAGAACGGCGCGCAAACAGGAGAGGGAAGCGCGTCTCCAGGAGAAGAAGAACCAGGAGGCCGCTGAGGCCTGGGGGCGAGGTTCTTGACATGAGCGAGGAGGTTACCGAAGAGGAGCGGGAAAGGAACGAGATTCTTGCTAGTATTGTGGAAGGCTGGGAGAGCAAGCGCGGGGCCGAGGATGTGCGCATGCGGACCTCTGCCCTTTCCATCATGTCCGTCGCTGTGGAGACTCATATCGCGGGCATCGGGCCGTCTCTGATATCAACCACCGTGGACTTATGCCTACACATACTAACCTTTGAGTCTGAGCTGGAAAAAGGCATTTTGAGACGAGCAGCCATCATATTCATAATGGGCTTCGCCCGCGCTCTCAATGACGCAAGGGAGCAAGGACGAAGCCTCGGCTTTGGGCTCACAGAGGAGAGCCGCGAAGATATCATGCGGACCCTCCAGTACATCACATTGACGGACAATGACGGCTTAGTTCAGCAACACGCAAAGGACGTCATAGAAAGCCTAGATAACCTCCGGTTGGCCACGCTTCTGTCGCAGCAGGCGAGGCAGCCTGCGAATATAGAAATGCTCGTAGGGTTGCCACCAAAGCTCGATCTTCATAGCGATCGTAGCGCAAGGCCAAAAATCGAGGAGATTGAGTAGCGCAGAGTATAAGACCAAACTCCCGAGAGCAGATCAAATGGGAAGGAAACTTGAATTAAAATAAAACTCGCTGTTGAACTTTCGATCTCCAATGCTCCCAACAGCTGAAGCTGTCTGTCACAATTTGTCGTTGCGGACCGGACGGAGGGGCATCATTTAAGTGTAGTCACGTGAACCCGTGACGCGTGCGCGCTCTCCACTTCACGAATGCTGGCTTGTCGCGACGAAGAGATCACGGAGAGTCCACCCAACAAGAGCTCAATTAAACACATTATTCAGGCACGGTCCCCAGCTGATGGGAGATACAGAATCCGCACGGCTAAACCACGATAATGTCACGGTGATCTCGAGGATATCCTTGGAAGCATGCATGCCGGGCGAATAATCGCCGACTCCGATGACGAGGATGTTTTGAGCCCGATTCCGAGCCCTACCAAACCCACAACGGATTGGTCATCTGCAAAGCCGAGCGATGGAACTTCTTCAACGGATCCCGTGTTTTCCAGTCGGTGTACCTCGCGCAGCAGGGTGCGGCGATAGCGAGCGCTTTTGGCGGCGATGCGGTCGGCCCTGAGGGGCATTTTCAACCTCCAGGTCTGCTCGACGGTAGTTTCAGAGAGACGCAGGATTCTTTACCAGAGCTCGTTTCGGTAGCGAACGCTGGAGGGGCCAACTCTAGCCTAGGCCGTGCTAGCGGCGACCTCTTGACCAAGGCAAATGCAGAGTATGATCCGTGGGCCATGCCCAGCAGCCCGGCAGAAGAGCCTCGTGCGTCAACGAGAGGTCGAATGTCGGCGATTGACGCCGACGCTCTGCAGATAGTGGACCTCGTGTCTCCTGAGCGGCCAACGCACAAGGGAAGACGACGCATTGAGAGGCCGGGGGCGAGTCTTGACGACGGCGACTCGACGCAACCTCTTGGAGACGGAACTGACAAGGCTTTCCGGAATGGAGGTACCGGACTCTACGTGGAGGCTTCTAGGATGACTTCGAGCCAAATGAAGCAGTATGAGGATGTCAGCCTGCCTGGGCTAAGTCCGCTGGAGGAGCCCGTATCCTTGAGTCGAAATAACCATCTGGTTCGATCAAGCGGCTCGGCTACAATCGCCTACCCGACGCCTACGCAGTTTCGATCGCATGGTGCAACCGCCGCATCTATGCTCCCGCCAACGGCAGAGGTCCCGTCTAGCGAACCGGAACGCGGGGCAAAACGAAGGCGGCTTAGTAGCTTTCCGGCCACGGCCGATCCGCGCTCGTCGCCCGACATTATCGCGGCAGGGCCGCCACCAAAATCAAGAAACAGCCCTACTCCTCCCCCTTGGAGCACCGCGAGGGACAGATACAGCAAAAAGAGGACAACTACGATGAAGACTGGAACGAGAAGGACTTTAGAGTCCCGAGACAGCCTGAGCAGAAGCCTGGCCGACAGAAGCGCGCTCAACGGACCAACAAGAAAGGCGCTCGTGGGAAACCAAAGGAACAAGATGACTCAACTACGACGCCGCTAGGGGACGGAAGCGGAAGTGCCGAGGATGAGCTGGCGCATATACCGACTGAACCCCGACAGAGCACACGTGCGAAAAGGGCGGCCGATCTCGAGCAGGCTCCCGCTATCGCTGTTGCTGCAACGGCAGCCGGCGAGGAGGTCCGATTGGAAAGCGCACCGCCGCAAAGAAAAACGCGGGCGCCCTAAAAATCAGCCAAGGCAGCCATCGGAGTGCAGGATGACGTCGCGGAAGCGCAGTCCCCCGGCCACCACCGTTGGACAGCACGGCCGAGACATGGAGCAACAACGACGTGGGGGAAAAGCAAAGGAAGAAGACAAACAGCTGGGCGAGCCCGGCGACGATGCAAAGGCTTTCTCTCCTGCAAAGGCGAAGGAACCTACGAGCACAGATGCCGGCACACTCCAGGGACTTCCAAAACCAGCGGCCCGCGAAGGAGGGGTTGGGAATGGCAAGGCTGGCTCGAAACCCACTCCAGCCAAAGAGCAAGGGACTAGGCCGGTTTACCGCGTCGGGCTCAGCAAGCGGACGAGGATTGCACCGCTCCTCAAATGTATTCGTAAGACGTGAAGGGAAGTCGTACGGCAAGGGAGGGTGGGGGAGGGTGAGGGGCAGGGTGAGGGGCATGAGCTCACGTCGATGCGTGTCTACAAGGTGTGGCTCTCATTGTATGTGTGTATGTCCATGTTTATATGTTCATGTGCGTGTTTGTGTGTGTGTGTGTGTGTGTGTGTGTTCCATATGGGCGGTGTATCGGTGTAGTTTGTCGCTCTCTGGCTACTTAGAGGGTGTTTTACTCGTTTGTTTCTCCCTTCTCTGGGGGTGCTATTTTGGGGGATCAATGACACAATGCAGCTCCATTCTGCAACATTCAAGAAGGCCTTTGGACGCCCTCACGAAGTACAAGTAGGCCGATCACCACCGCACGGACGAGGCGGCCGGCGACTAAAAGTTGAATATCATAGGTCATGGTGGGAAAAAGGGCCAGAGGGGGAAATACGTTGGACAGGCCGGAGGTATTCCCCTGTTTCCCCGGAGGTTAGATGATGCAAATGGAGGGTGAGCTCATCCAACCAGCAACGAATGATAACGAAGAGACGGGCAAACCACTTGATTCCCTCATTTTGCATCCCGGCACGGTGAACATTCAACTTGGGACGAATTGGTGTTGGATGAGTAGCGAACGGCGATGAGGAAATCGGGCGAGTTAGTCGTGTCAAGAAGACCGATGGATGAGCTGCTTCAAGAAGACCGATGGATGAGCTGCAATGCTGTCGCGAATTTCGCGCCTCATGCCAGCAGAGCATCTGAGCATGTCAGTGTCGCGAGTAGTGTTTGAGCTCAAAAGGTGTCTCACCCTGCGCTGCGGGGCGTTGGAGCGAAGGGGCTTTGCAGAGGGGCGCCACAGGAGAGGATTTTTGGTGTGGACGATGGATGCATGCTAAGTGGTAAATGCATCATTGTGCGTGCTTCTTTGCTCTTAGTGGCTGCACTGGGATATCCTCGTGCATATCTGTGTTAGCCGTCACGATCGAAAAGGGAGCCCTCTCGTGAGTGGCTGGTCGAACTGCTCAGGGCTGGCCAAGGGAGCCTCCGTGTCCTCCACCGACGTCAATGCCCAGCACCCGCCAACTCTGGGTGGGTTCGTAAGGACCCCTGCTCTGTGTTTCTCACATCAACATGGAGGGTCGAATGATAGGGGTTCCCTCTTTCTTTTGCCTTCTTCTCTTTCTCCGGAATGGAGCGGACGCCTCTTTGCCCCCTACCTTTGGCTTTTGGTCTCTTGCTCACTCGTCTCGTCTATTCTTTCCTTACTAGATGTACGTAAACGAGCCATAACAATATCCCCCTTCACTTCTCACTTTTGTTCGCTGTTTCCGCCCAGGTTTCCATGTTGCTGGATCCGCACTCAAGCAACTTATTTGACTTCAGCCACTCGGAGGGGTACCTTTCCCCTTCTGTGCGCCTCAGGGTATTTGCAATCAAAGCCAAAAAAAAAAGGCGCCGAAGTGTGATGGAAGGAAACTGTCAATTACTCTCCTCTGTTTCGCCTCCTCTTCAGGGACGGTCCCACTTTTCGAGTTTTTGCCCCTCGCGGTTCCCTCCTCGTGGTCACCGTTAATTGCTCCAGTCAAGTTCACAGTGCTGTTCCTTGCGAGAAAGTTCTTCCCATATAGCCCTGACTTGGTCCGCTAGTCTTGTAGCGGTTGGCCCCCTCGTCTCGGCGTCGCCAGGCTTTGTCCCTCGCTGGCTGGCCTACACCTGATGTACTTAGAGGAGGGGCAGCTTTCATTACCTCGATACAGCCACCGCTAGACGTCTGCTTGTTTTATGAGTTCATTCAGCCGAAAAGGGCCCCTCTGAGGGTCCATCAATGGTCGATGGATCCCCTCCATCCCATGAATAGAGATCCATTCTCGCCGCCCCCTGGGATCTAGCCTCCTCTTGCCGCCGCCTAGTGCCTCAAGTTCTCCTATCACTGATCGGAACTGCTCTCCCGCACACAGTAGAAATCCATATAGATGCACCCTCAGCAGACTGCCAAGCTGCATACACCCTGATGAGCGGATGGGCCGTGTCCCGGTCCCCCATCGTCATCTGGCACTCCTCGTGCCTGCTTGGTCGCATCTAAGAAATTACGCTTGCAGCCAAATCGCCCGGTCCAGCCCCGCGGTTGACAGTCCAGTGCTTTAATTTTCTTTTCCTTTGCCATTATTTGCTGGAGGGCGCAGCGCGCAGTGCAGCACCATTGGTGGTGGCCTGCTGTTCTGCCCGTCCAGTTCGTGGTCGCGAAATGCCCCTCTTCCCTCTTTTTGCCTAGTGCGGGGCAAATTTTCGCCCTTGTCCCTCCATGTCCCTCCATATCCCTCCCATATCCCTCCATATCCCTCCATATCCCCATAGTGGTAACGTCTGCTGACCGAACTTCGGCCCTCTCGTCTGGGTCATGGTCAACACCATTTCCCCGTACTTTCGAGTCATTCTCTAGCGTTGAGTGAAAGGACGGGAGAAGCTTCCGTTTCTTTTGCCCCCTTTTCTTTTGATTTTTTTCGGGCCTTTGCCTCGCTTCCCTTTCTCCTTTCTCCCTCAAGATCGCCTTGGGGACTTTGCGGTTTCTGCTCACTCCGTCTCAGGTCACCAAACCTAGGTCTGGGCCGCCGTATGCACCTGTTGAATATCATCGGCTTTTCGTTTTGACGTTTCCTCTCCCCCATTGTCCTCTCCCCCACCTCATCGTTAACCTATCAAAGTCGGCGTGCCGAGTTGCTCACCCCCACTCGCGCCTAAATTTTTTAACTCCTTATTCGCCCTCCCCTCCCTTTAAAGGCCTCTCTCCTGAGCTATCCTCGCTTGGTTTGCAAGGGATCTAAAGCAAGTTCGAATCGTTTACAACCCCAGTCCCTTCCTTTACTTCCACTACCCTCTCGACATGGCCTCCAACGGACTCCCGGCTCGGGCGTCTGCCGAGACGCATACCCAGGCGCAGCGCTATCTCAGCACTCGCGGTGAAGACAATGACGTAGGAAATACCGATCCACCGGTTCCTGTATAAGGGCCGAACAAATTACTGTCCAGTCCGCCCAGACTGGGTTTTATAACCATGAAGCTCATTCTCTCCTGCAGTTCTCCTTCGAGCAAGTCGTGCTCAAGGGCCTCGCCTCGGATGGCGGCCTCTATATCCCCGAGGATGTCCCCAAAGCCGACGATTGGCAAAGTTGGAAGGACCTCTCCTTTAACGACCTCGCCTACCGAGTTATGTCGCTCTACATCTCTCCCTCCGAAATCCCCCTCAAGACCTCAAGGACATCATCGCGAAAAGCTACTCCACCTTTCGCTCGACCGAGACCACCCCTCTAGTCCATCTCAAGGACAACCTCCACCTTCTCGAGTTGTTCCACGGCCCAACCTTTGCCTTTAAGGACGTCGCGCTGCAGTTCCTCGGAAACCTGTTTGAGTACTTCCTGGTCCGGAAGAACGAGGGAAAGACTGGAAAGGGTATGTCATGCTACACATGTGATAAAAATGCTTGTGCGACCCTGTCCTGGGTCATTTGTCATTCAGCCCAGGTTGCACCTGTTTTTTTTATTCTTTTGGAGCTGCTGCGGGAAAACGTTATGTGCGCAGCTCGGATCGATTCCCACTCCACTTGACTGTCTTGCAGTGCCCTCTCGGAAGAAGTTTGTGCGAGTACCTCGCGCTCGCCTCCAACCCTGTTTCTTCCTGCTCCTCTGCGGTTTTCTTCATTGTCGCGCACCCTGATGCGGGACCAATTCACTAACAAACCAACAGATAGGCATCATCTGACCGTCGTCGGTGCCACCAGTGGAGACACTGGCTCGGCCGCCATTTATGGCCTTCGCGGCAAGAAGGACGTATCCGTCTTCATTCTCCACCCCAACGGCCGTGTAAGCCCCATTCAAGAGGCACAAATGACCACGGTCTTGGATTCCAACGTTCACAACCTCGCCGTCACCGGAACCTTTGATGATTGTCAGGTATGGTGCACATATTCCTCCTTCTATTCCATACTATTTCGTTTGCTTGCCTTCGCCATGATTATAGGGGTGAGAGAACCCAAAATGGCTATCGCGGTGGCTAATAGTAGATACTTTTCGTACAGGACATTGTCAAGGCCTTGTTTGCGGACCCCGAAATCAACAAGACGCACAACCTTGGTGCGGTCAACTCCATCAACTGGGCCCGAATTCTTGCTCAGATCGTCTACTACTTTCACTCCTACTTCTCTCTGGCGAAGAAGGACTCCACCTTTACCGTTGGAGATAAAGTCCGCTTCGTTGTCCCTACTGGAAACTTTGGCGACGTCCTTGCCGGCTATTTCGCCCACCGCATGGGCCTTCCCGTGGACAAGTTTGTCGTAGCAACCAACGAGAATGACATCCTCGACCGCTTCTTCAAGACGGGCCGATATGAGAAGAAGCCCATCACTGCCTCTACCGACGCCGAAGAGGATGCGAGCGTCAAAGAAACGCTTAGCCCAGCCATGGACATTCTCGTGTCCAGCAACTTTGAGCGGCTCTTGTGGTTCCTCGCCTACGAGTTTGCCGAAACCGCTGGAATGGATGACGAGTGGAACAAGAAGCAGGCGGGTCAGGAGGTTACCAAGTGGCTCAATGATCTCAAGACCAAGGGGGCTTCGGTCCAGTGTACCAGGACGTCATCTCCAGCGCGAGGAGGTCGTTCGAGAGCGAGCGCGTCAGCGACACCCAGACCGTAGAGACCATCAAGGGCTTCTACAACAACCTTCAGTACATTCTCGATCCCCACTCGGCTGTGGGCGTGAACGCGTCGGAGCGTTCTATCTCGAACAACGGTTCCGTCCCGCACATCTCCCTCTCTACTGCGCACCCTGCCAAGTTCGCCGGTGCCGTGGAGCTCGCGCTGAAGGAGGAGCCTGGATTCAACTTTGAGGAAAAGGTCCTCCCTCCGGAGTTTGTAGGACTTGATAAGCGGGAGAAGAGGTTGACTGAGGTGGACAATGACTGGCAGAAGGTGCGGGAGATTGTGCGGAATCAGGTAGACCAAGAACTGAGCCAGGTCTAAGATGGAACCCCGATGTCCAGCGATGAAGAAGGCTATGCGGGAGACGACGGGGCGTGTCCTCCTACTAATCTTTCTCTGGAGTGAAGAGACCCCTGGATCTAAGGAACGACTTTCTATTTCCGAAATGATCTAGATCTGGTGCTTGCTTGTGTTTTGTTTCTATTTTCTCCCTCATCTCATTCCCTTCTTGCTATGGGTCTTCTTCATCAGGGTTTCGTCCATCTTATTTTTCTTCTCTCTATTTCTTTTACATTTTTCTTCACCTTTACCATTTGTGATGCCGTCTGGAAATGGGCTTGGGCGAATATATCAAAAACACTAGAGTTGGTTTAGGACGATGGTAGCAGGATGGCGATTGCATGAGGGGGAATAGAGGGACGAGTAGGGGAGAAGAAGGGGAGGACGGTTGATATTCTGATGATAGATCACACAAAGAAGAATGCGGGCGGCACTCTCTTGACTGTTCCCTCTTCAACGAGCCAGTTCTAGCGACTACCGACGCACGGTAACGGCCGAGAATGGGATATCGGTTCTTGGTCGAAAAAGAAAGAAAAAGAAGAAGAAGAAGAAGAGAACAACTGTGCAGTCCCGACAGGGACTCGACTTTACCATTGGCTTCTCCTTTTTCTCGAGCGACAGAGCAGTGTACTTGACTTCTAGCTATGGCAGGTGACGATGAGCAGCACCGCAATACGTCTGAGAGGAATCCACAAACTGAGAGAGATGCGATGATGAGCTTGGGCACCTTACCTACCCTGCTTTGCTCGAATCTCATCTTCAGGCATAAAACCTGGAAAAGAAGCCGGTCACTCACGCATGCTAATGAAACAAGATCTAACAGCTTCGCGATTCCCCACTCTTGAAGCCTTTTATCTGTGTATATTTGAGATGATGGTTGCCATGAAGAACATTGAATCTTGGCAAAGAGGGGCAGCATTGAAAAGAGAGATCAAAAAGAGAAGGTCAACAGGCCTGCTCAACCGGGAGATGCCCGATGGCTGATCCCGGACAAAGCTTGGGGATGGGCTTCTTTCGACGAGCGCGCAATAAGACCTCAACACCAAAGTATCCTAGCCTGCTCGACTACGAGGGGTCATTCATGCTCGTGCATCGATTGACTGTTGTGTGTGTGTGTGTGTGTGTGTGAATATTCTAGACTTTCTCTTCTCCTCCCCTCGATTCTCTGGTTCTCGCGCCCATGGTTGCGCATGATCGACCTCTCCGCACCGGGGCATGTGCATAGAACTTTGAATTTTCGTCATGCTGGTTTATGGTTGTTCCACGCATTGATTGACTTGATGCGCCAAACACCAAGCTAGCGGTGGCGCCGTCAATGAAAGCCCATAACTCCCTGTCGTCTCCAAATAAGGGGACGTGGTATTACCCTTGCGCACACGCCGCCGACTAGTAGTAGTCGCAAAGAAAGCACCGTGGAGAGAGGAGAAGATAGGTGGGGAAGGGGAGGGATGCTGAGGTCGGAAGATTTCCTCCCCATCACTGAACAAACATTTTACGTGGATCGCAGCTCTGTCGATCTCGTCTTGGCCAAGGCCTTCTGGGATCTTTAAGACATCAATACATGGATCCATCCAGGATGTGGATTTACACTTGGGCGCGAGATAGTGCTCCCAAGGGCATAGCATCATGACCTTGTCTTCCTCAGACACGGCCTTCTCTTCCACGTCGCTCGTTGGACTGATGACACGAGCAGAATTTGAATCCGGCAGAGTCGGGAGGCTTTGGGCGGTCGGCGTCAAGGTGAAGAGCGGCTCAGAGCCGGTCTTTCCGAACAAACAGGAGGAAAATGGGCACAAGAGCACGGCAGCCCGGGTTGCGGCTTCTCGACAGGGACTTAGGCCGCGTGCTCTTTGTGTCAAGCTTTTTTCCTCTTCCTAATATTAATTTGTTTCCAGCATCTTCTGATCCAGAACTTCTTGATTCCTTTTTTCTTTCTTCAGACTACACTTGCCCTTTTTTTTTTGTCAACTCGTGAGGCGATCAGTTTCGTCCTTTAAAAGGAGCCACTGTTTCAAGAAGATGAGAGTGATTGCGTTGCGACTTGATGATCTCCGACGGAAAGGTCGCGACTAAAACGGAACAGGGACGGGGATCCTACGGGGAGGGGGCGCTTTGCGGCCTCTCTACACTATGCTTTTTGGCCCTTTTCTTTTTTTTTTTCTTTTCGCTGGCATCTTTTTCTCCTTCATCGCTCCCCTTGACTTCTAGCTCTTGTTTTACATTGTCTCGTGATGCCTTTTTTCGAGGGAGGGCTAAAGTGGCGTCTAGGGCAGCTTGCCACGAACAAAGAGTATCGCGTCTTCCTTGCTCCGCTGTGCCGTTTGGATGTTTGAAAGAGAAGGAGGTCCTTTTCTCCCCTTCTCCTCCCCTTCTCCTCCCCTTTCTCTCTCGGAATGTAAAGCCGACATCATACATTGGTGGGAAAAAGTGGAATCTCGCGCCCCCGTTCAATCTCGTCTATGAGAGCCGCGACCAGAAAACCCATCCGTCTTGAGGCGCGGTCCTCCCAATTTTTCTTCTGTTCTTGACCTTCTTTTTTCTCGGGAACAATTACGGGTAAAATGATGCTCTTGATTCGTTGGCCGACGATGGACAAGGGCCTGGCCTGGCCCAGCCATATTAGCTGCGACTCGTAGCTTGCTAGGTCGCAGCCGGGCAAAGCCAGCGGAGTGGAGTCTCCATGTCAGGGCAGCAGCCGGGCATGAGCCGGCGAATATTTTAATGCGACGGGCTAGGATTGGGTGCCGGGGCGCGCACTCACGGTCCGGGGTAGCAGAGAACAGAGAATTCAATGTTGGTCAAGTATGCATCGCGACACTGGAAGCCGTTGGCTTCAATGCCCCCTTCCCTTGTCGCCGTTTGCTCTACTTTGTCCCCCTCAGGGTAGATAGAACTCGTGCTCCGGACACCTCTCGCCGCCGATCTCAAAGTACATGTTTGGTTTATTTTCTCGAGAGACGAGGACGGGACTGATTTTCCTCCGACGGCAAGGGGGCGGATCTTCTAGGAATCCCCAAGTTTCCAGGGGACTAAGAAGAGCAGATGAAAGACATCAGGGTGTTCCGCCTAGAGACACATTTTAACCACGCGCGCGGGGGCTGTTTAATGGAGAAACTGAGTTCAAGGTATTTTTCTTATTCCCTACGCTTCTCGTCCCCGCGTGGCAGTCGTTTGAACCCCGTCGCGCACACGAGGCATGCGCTTCATCGCGCCGATCTGCCTCAAATCCTCTCTGACGGCAGCCAGCCCCCTTCACTCATGACGCTGCAGCCGGCCGCGTCCCCGCCTTTCCCCCGGGCCCTACGCGACTGGCTGGTAGGAGAAGACAAAAAACTTGGTTCGGGGCTGCCGTGGTGCATCTGATGCAACTTGGAAGCCAGCGCACGGCGCTTGCCAGCTTCTGCACATCCGTCACCTAGTATGCACGTAGAACATCCCCTCCCCTAAAGAGAAAAGAAGTAGAAGGTTCGATAAGGGCGAGCAGCCGCGTACGCACGCACGGGGCCACCATGTCCCCCAAATGCCAACGTTGAAAGGTTTCAAGATACTGATCGCCAGCCTCAGCGTCTGACGAGTGGCCTGGTCTTGCGTTGCTCTGTGCAAAAGATGAGAATTATGTGGGGGTTAGTCCGAAGTTGAGGGAGCATACGGAAAACAGAACCGAAAGAGAGAAAGAAGAAAAGAAATGCTCTTTTTCGTGGGCATTTCTCTGTCGCTCCCTTACAAAGAGACTTCTATGGAATACACCTTGTTTGTTCGAGACGAAACGTGAAGAGGCGAAGCTCACCCTTCATTAGGTCTCCCTCAATGCTTTGAATAGAAATGAAAAGAAAAACGGCCGAACTATTAACGGCAACGGCAACGACGAGGACAATGGGCATTCGTTCCTCCAGCCCTTTCTTTTCCTTTTTCCCCGTCTTGTCGCCAAAAGTTTGGCCAATCAATCTCGCCAAGATGCCAGCGTACCTGACTGTTCGTGACATCGGTTCCCACCTCCTGTCGTGCCCTCGAGGTTCATCCCGGCATGGCATGTACGTGAAGGGGAGGCGAAGGCTGAGGGATTCTTTATCGGTGGCTAGCCTGTCCTCGAAAGAGAGAGTTGGACAGGCGCAAGGGTGATGGTTTGCATTAAGCTGGTACCGGATTCTAGTCTTCCCGCGCGACGACCCCTGAGAGCACGGCGGCTCTCGTTCGGAGAAGTGTCTCGAGGCTCAAGAGCGGGTACCTGTGTAAGGCTTTCCCTTCCCCTCCCGTTGTTCCGGCAAGGTTCCTCCCCTTCCCTCCCCTCCCCGCCTACCCCCATGAACCCGGCAACTTGATCAAGCTCACAATGTATTTTAATTGACCAAGGCCAAAAGAAGGAAAGAAAGGTGTACTTTGGTACCTGGCGAGGTTCGCCAAACACGCAGGTTCGGCACGGCGGCGGTGCTGGTGCTGGAACTAGCTCTGCCCGTTGCATAATCGACGCCCCTGGTCGCATCGTTTCAGACCGATTTCAGAACGTCATGCCATCCCATTCGAAGCGAAGTACCAGCCCTCCCCACACAAATTTGCCGGCACCACCATGTACTTTTTTATCTCTCGCCTCTGCTGTCTCGTTGTGTTCCGTCTTCAGAATTGTGCAGAGGGACGAAAACGACGGCGCTTGAGCTAGAGATTGGGGGAATGATTTTCACTTCGAGTAGACGAGTTGGGCCTTGTTTGAACTTGAAGGGGACCAAGGCGAGAAAGCGAAGGGGAAAGGAGAGAGAGAGGGGATTTACATCTGCTTCAGTTCGTCTTTCGCCTTCCTCTGACATCGCCGAATCCCCTTGTTGGATTCTTTTTTCTTTTTCTTTTTCTTTTTCTTTCCATTTCTTTATTCCAAACAAAACCCTGCGGGCATGAATGGTCTGGTGCCATCTATCTGGTTCGGGTCTTCCTTTTCTTCTCGGTGCCCTTGGCTTTATTCGTCTTCACCCGAGATTTCATCCAAGAGCGCGCTCTGGAACTGATCTACATCCCAACCAGAAATCCACCGTTGTTCAATTTCGTTTCTTATATTCTTTCCTTTTAACTACTTTGGGTTCTCTTGTCCCTTTTTTTCTCCGTCCCTCCCTCTTCTTTTTTTCTTCCCTTTTTCGTTTCCTTTTTCTTCTTCTGTAAACCCTATATAGCACCACTCCCTTGCTTGTTTAGCCTGGCTTTCGCGATACCTTCGGCCGAGTTCCGCTTGACACGACACTGGTTGCCAGTCAACTTTCTTTCTATACGAAGTCGATACACAAAGATATCCGAAGCTAGCAACGATCATTACCACTACGCCGCTCGAGTTGACCTCCACTTACTTTCACTTGTCTCTTGATACCCGGCCTACATCGGCCTACTTCGCAGCTTTCGCCGCCTTACCACAAACAACTCCTCAACCCTTAATCTCTCTTTCAAAATGAAGGTCACCATCCTTTGCCTCCGCATCATACAGCTCGTGCTGGCCCTGGGAACGCTGGGATCTGCAATCACTGGTGAGTTGTACCGTCTCGACTTTGGGGCTCAATCGCTATGCTGTGCGGGATGAATGGCGAGGAGGTGGTGAAAGAAGGACGGAAGGGGAGGCCAAGGAGCAGGCGGGTGGCAGTGGGTGAATGGGAACCCAGACTTTGAGTTTCGAACGGAATGGGGACCCTCGCGGAAGCTTTTGCGTACTTGGGATGGGTCGCGGACTGCGATGGATGCAAGTTGCTAACGTGTGCGTGTGTCTGTGTTAGTCGTTCACTGGTTCAACATGAACTCCGGCAAGGCGTCGCCCGGTGCCTTCAACATTCTCGTCGCGGTTCCTCTTATCGCGCTTCTCTCCTCGTTTACCTCGAGGTTGTCCCTCGAGTTGCCCCTAGTGGTAAGTCTTACGAATTTCCCTTTTCTCTCCATACGACTGGTCTGCGCGTGGAAAAGAATGGCAATGGGGGAGCCGAGCTCACCACGGGTTGTCTGGCCTTTCCGCGGACCTGGATGGACCATATTGTATGATTTGGGAACCGAGCCACTAACATGGAATTTTCTTTTTTTCCTCTTCACCAGCTTCTCACCCGATTCCTCGCTCTTCTGCGAAGCCTTCACTTTTGTCCTCTTCCTCGCCGGATGCGGTGTCTCGGCCCAGTTCGTCGCCCGCCTCGACATGTGCGTCGGTGCCATCTGCAGCGCCGCCTACGCTGCCCCATCCTTGCCGGCATCTCGGTGCCCTGGTGGGTGCTCAGCACCATCCTGCTCGTCAACCAGATGTTCACCCACGGCTTCCGGAGGCCCTCGGCCACCCGTCCCGCCATGTCTCAGGCGTAAACGACCAAATGTCATTGATCCCGTCTCCCGAAACAGGGGGCAACCGGGGAAAGGTGGAGGGAGAGGGGGTGGAAACACAGGATGTTGCCCGGGATGGAGCGCCATCATCGGGTTCCCTCTCCCACTCTCACCTTCTTTCTGGGGGCCGCCGACCATTCCGTCTGGGGGTTAGGGCGCCGCGTGTACACTACAAGTCCTCCCGCCGGCATTTTGTCGCTCTCATGATATGACGCGCTGCAGCATTCAAACGCCTCATGAGCCTCGGTTGCCCCCTTTCTCTTTCTAGACCTGTGGAGGAGATGCGGCTCCGTGCTTTCTTCCTTTTTCCATTTTTCATCGTTTCTCTTTTTATTTTCTTCTTCTCTCTTCCACCTCTCCTCTGTCTTGCCCCGAGGTCTTCTACTGGTCAGGAAGGAAGGGTGGGACGAGGGATATCTGCGATGCTTGGCGCATGTCCCCCTGGGCGGGATTATTAGCTGGAGGGGGTTTAGGGAGTTGAACCCATTTTCATTGTAATGGATTCGTTTTGTTGGCAAGGAAGGGATGATTTATTTTAGAATTTCAACTCAACCCGGGCCGAGAACACTTGTCTTCTCTGGGATCTCAAGGCGGCGCATACTTTTGTTTGCTTATACGAAATTTCATAGTATTCGATACATATATCAATTCCTTTTAGCCACCACCGTGTTGCGCCGCTCTTTGGTCTGGGAGTGAAAAGACCGAAAAGTAGTCAATGGCTCGCAGAAAGCGACGGCAGACGTATCGCCTTCTATAGTCTCAAGTGCGAGATCTCACCTTACCCTGCCAACCGCTAAATCTGTTTCGCTACTTCATCTCAGGCGTCGCAGATGATGTAGTGATGTGGAAGATGAAAAGACCTTGCCTTCGCCTCGCCTCGCCTTCCCATCGCTCTTTCCATCCTGCCCTCTCGAACCTGCCTTCTCCCCCTTCCCCCACTTGCCTATTTCGCTGGCCCCCACGAGGCAAGTTGACCGTGGGAGATGGCGACCAACCAAGTCCCAACTCGATAGAATCAACTCAACTAGATTGAGGACCCTGGGCGGGAGACCATGCAACCTGCTGTTCCACCATCCAGCATCAATCCACCATCTTTTACACGACAGTAGAGCCGCGACTGTCCGATTATAAGGTGGCCAAGATCCGATCCGGGGTCCAGTCTCGTTTGTCGAATTAATTACCCCACCCGCAGATCAACGTCTCTCAACCTCGCCTCGAGATGGGGAAACCGTGATATCGCTTGGTTTATCCTTCCCACCACAGGTTAGCCCACCTTGCGTCTTGTTAAAAGCATCTACTGTCAAGATCGCCGATCGCTACTTTGTACATGGATTGATTTGATGAATGGAGGGCGACGGGTCACACCCGACTCTTCCTTGTTTTGTCAACCATCCCGAGCTCGTTCCCTCATGATCACATAATCCGCCGGCCCTGCCCTACCATCGCGAAGAGACTAGCGGCCCGTTCAGCTAAACCTGTGGGCTGACCACACACCAGTCGACGCATCTCATATGGATCTTGCAACGCAACACTGCAGCTCCGAACTCAGGTCCGTTGCCCAGTCTCGTTGCCTCTCCTCCCTAAACCGGACCCCCAACCACCTTTGCCCCCATGACCACGACCACGACCACGGCCATCACATCCCATCCTCTCCCGTCCACCGTACCCACGTCTGACGAACCGTTCAGCTCGGGCTTTGACTAAGCTCCAATCTCTTGTTCCGTCCTTTCCCCACGCTGTCAGGCCCCGGTAAAAAAGACGCAACCCTCCCTTTTTCCCCTTGCCCTCTGGCGCCATTTCCGGCCCATTGCACACAAGATGTCGAACGAGCCGATCGCCCTCATTAGTCCGCCCAGGCCTCCACCGAAAGTGAATGGGACTGTCCTGAAGACCAACACATTCGCCATCGGCGGCGTTTGCGCTAGCGGGTTCCTCGATTTGGCATGGGGCTAGTGGCCCCTGGCAACATGGCTTCCTATGACCGGGAAAGAGGAACAGAAGAGAAGGAAACAAAAGACCGGACGATCATTGACAGGCCCTGTGTTCTCCGAGAAGTGACGAGGGTTGCCCCAAAATCACCAAAGGCACACACACACACACACGCACACACACACACTCAAGCACGCATTCGGCCTTGGTTGGCTGTTTCTTCTCTTTCTCTTTTTCGTCATGCTCACAAGGAAGGGTGGGGCACACACATAGCTGGATGTTTACAGAGCTGGAGGAGCCCATTGTTCCATGTTCCCACCGACGTGGGTTCGGCTGGCGGGGACCCGTGTTCCGCTGGCCTGCTCAAGAAACCCTTGAATCCGGGACTCGGGGCATTTGGTGCGGATTCCCACCACCCCAATGGCGCACGATTCTGAGCTAATATGCCAGGCTGCTTGCCCCTCCTCAACGGGCACTGATGTTGTCGCCCCCGCGAATGGGGAGTGTGGGTTGCTGTCGAAAACAGCGCTACTCGCGATTGCGTGCTTGCTTGTTACCCCACACTACTTCCTAAATCGGCCGTGTGGCTTGGGAGCTTGCCTAATTGCTTTGGCTTGACGACATGTTAATAACCCCATTTTCACGGGTGAGAAGCATCGAGTAGCAACACCACGCTCGGAAAGGACCTGGTGTTGTCTTTGTTCTTTTTTCTTTCCTCTTTCCTCTTTCCCTGGTGGTCCCCTGTTTTTTTGGGGTCTTCGTTGGCACCGCTCCCTCACCGACAGGGAGGGGGAAAAGGGTTTACAAGTGTTCCAAAGGGGTCCCTCTGGCCAAGTCCAAAAGTATCTCACGTTCATAGCTAGTACATTGCGCCAGACCGGGGCAGCTCCCTGCGCAAGCCGTTTCTGACCTGTGTTTACTGATATATAAAGGGTCCTGCGACCTTCTCGCCTCTTGAATTATACGTCATCCCTCGTCTTCCTCCCTTCGTCGTTCTCCTTCCACCGTCTACCTAAAAACTTATCTTGCTCGTTGCTCTGTTTTTGCTTTTGCAGCTTGCAGTACCTGCGAAGCTTCGTCACCAAGAGCCCGCTTCTTGATTTCTCTCCATCTTTGCCCTAAAGCTTCCGTTGCAAGCTACTCCAAGAAAGCCATTGCCCTCCCTCCCTCCCTCTCTCCATCATGTCTGAGCAACCCCAGCGATTCGAGACCCTCCAGCTCCATGCTGGGTAAGTAGCTCAACCCTTGCCTCATCTCCTGTTTGGGGAGAACAATTGCGTCGTCAATGCTGTAATCCAAGGCCTGGGAGCCATTGAGAAATAGCTAATTAACATTGTCTTCAGTCAGGAGCCGGACCCCACCACCAACTCTCGCGCTGTCCCCATCTATGCCACTACCGTATGTCCAAACTTTGCCGCTCCTCGTGGACCACAATTTTAGCTTCGATTGGAAGCAAAATCGGGAAACATGACTTCCTTTCTTAGTTCATGTGTGGTTTTCCTTTTGCTAACCGGGCGCATTTTTGCATCCAATCTATAGTCCTACGTCTTCAATGATTCCGCCCACGGCGCGAGGCTCTTTGGCCTCAAGGAGTTTGGCAACATCTACAGCCGTATTATGAACGTATGTCGTTCAATGCCCCCCTTCCGTCTCTTTCCATTCCGAGACCTGTTTTTCCCCATAAGGGCCTTTCTAACGCAAAAGTAGCCCACCGTCGACGTCTTCGAGAAGAGGATAGCCGCTCTCGAGGGCGGTGTCGCTGCCCTCGCCACCTCCTCGGGCCAGGCCGCGCAGTTCATCGCGATCAACACCCTTGCCCACGCCGGCGACAACATCGTGTCGACCTCCAACCTTTACGGTGGCACCTACAACCAGTTCAAGGTCTTCCTCCCCCGCCTCGGTATCCAGACCAAATTTGTCAACGGCGACAAGCCCGAGGACATTGCCGCTGCCATTGACGAAAAGACCAAGGCCGTCTATGTTGAGAGCATCGGTAACCCCAGGTACAACGTTCCCGACCTCCAGGCCATTGCCAAGGTCGCCCACGACGCTGGTGTTCCCTAATTGTAAGTTTGATGCCTCCCGTCAAGTATAGAAAGAGCCTCTGTGGAACCCAGCTGATCCCGGCTTTTTCTCTTCTAGGTTGACAACACTTTCGGTGCCGGTGGTTACTTCATCCGACCCATCGAGCATGGTGCCGACATCGTGGTCCACTCCGCCACCAAGTGGATTGGTGGCCACGGCACCACGATTGGAGGTGTCATCGTCGACAGCGGCAAGTTTGACTGGGGAAAGAACGGTGCCCGTTTCCCCCAGTTCATTGAGCCTGCCGAGGGTTACCACGGCCTCAAGTTCTGGGAGACGTTTGGCCCCATCACCTACATCATCCGCGCCCGCGTCGAGATCCTCCGCGACCTCGGTGCCTGCCTCAGCCCCTTCTCCGCCCAGCAGCTCCTTCTCGGTCTCGAGACCCTCAGCCTGAGGGCCGAGCGCCACGCCCAAAACGCCATCACCCTCGCCCAGTGGCTCGACAAGAGCCCCTACGTTTCCTGGGTCTCGTACCCGGGCCTCGAGAGCCACCCCTCCCACGAGAATGCCAAGAAGTACCTCACCCGTGGCTTCGGCGGTGTGCTCAGCTTCGGTGTCAAGGGTGGCGGTGAGGCCGGCAGCAAGATTGTCGACGGCTTCAAGCTCATCTCCAACCTTGCCAACGTTGGTGACTCCAAGACTCTTGCCATCCAGTAAGATACCCTCCCACAAAACCAAACGCCTCTACGTCCTCTTGGAACAGGGCCATTTGCATGCGTGACGCTAACCTTTTGACTCTTCTTCCCTCTACTATAGCCCCTGGAGCACCACCCACGAGCAGCTCTCCGACGAGGAGAAGGTCAACTCCGGTGCGACCGAGGACCTTATCCGAATTTCGGTCGGTACCGAGCATATTGACGACATCATTGCCGACTTTGAGCAGTCGTTCAAGGCCGTGTCCGAGCAGGCTCAGGATGCCGCCCCTGCCGAGGCCCCCGCCGAGGCCGTAGCTGCGGAGGCCCCTGCTGCCGAAGCCCCTGCTGCCGAAGCCCCTGCCGCGGAGGCCCCTGCCACCGAGGCCCCTGCCAGCGAAGAGGCCCCCAAGGCCGATGTCGTTGTTCCCAAGACCGAGTAAATAAGGGGAGGAGAGGAAGAGAAGAGAGGGGAAAAGGAGAGGCCTCGACTGAGTTGACAACCTCCTTTTTCTTCTTTTCGCTCTACACGTCCCGAGATTACGATGGTGGAAGGATGGGATATGTTGGCGCGTGGAGTTGTAAAAATTGCTTCTTTCTTCTTTGCATACTCAATTATGTCTAGTTAATAAATACCCTGTAGAGTCATGCCATTTCTTCCCTTCCCTGGGCATAGGCCTTGTAGAGAGCGCAGTTCCGCATCATATGCCAATTATTAAAAGTCTTTGGTGACCCTCAGAGTTAGGAGTGGGGGCCAAGGAGCTACCATTGTGACCATTCATACCTGTGGGGGTTGTGCATGGACCAACATAAATTGTTAAGCCTTCTCTTCTGCACAAAGTACTTGTAGACTTCCGCCACGGGCCCCATCCCCTTTGTTGGAGCTCCTCTGGGCGAACGGCTAAGTCAGCATGACAGCATAGCTCCTTGTCTTGGGATGTTGAAATTCAACCCTCGAATCATCATTATCGACAAGCCATCATCAAAATCAAATCAACCTCAACGACGCCTACGACCAGCCTAGTTGTTACCAACTCCCCTTCCTCGGTAATCCTTTCCATCGCACGGCTCGAGAATAACGCCCGTGAATTGTCCCTTGTGCCCGAACAGATCAACCTCGGACGCCGCCCGCCACGAATCGCTGAGCAAACGTGCTCACACACCCTCCTCTACACGCAAATTCCTCCCATCGCGCATCACGCCAGACAGCAAAAAACCCCCAAAAGAAACCATGCGCCTCCTCTCCCTCTCGGGCCTCGCCGCCCTCCTCCCGCTCACCGCGTCCGCGGCCACCGTGACGCTCTACGTCGGGCCGTCGCACCACCTCTCGGGCAACGGCGCGGGCCAGGCGTCGCTGCCCTCGAGGACGCACGCGACGCTAAGCGCGCTGGGAGCGCAGTACACGGCGCACCTGACGCCGTCGGGCGAATTCGTGTTCCGCAACGTGTCGGGGGTTCGTACCTCGCCGACGTGCACTGCCCGACGTTTGCCTTTGCGCCGATCCGGGTGGACGTGGCCGAGGCGGAGGCGGCGACCTCGGCGCAGGGGAAAAGGCGGCGGTGGTGCAGGCGTGGGAGACGTATAGGGGAACGAGTGGGGAATAAAGGGAGGTTGTGGCTAAGGAGGATGGGAGGGTGGAGGCGAGGGTTTTGGGGGCGAAGGGATATTATGTCGAGAGGCAGCAGTGTGAGTTTTTCTGGGGGCTCGTTTTCTTCCCCCCTTGCAAAGTTGGGCGCTGTTGAAAGGTGTTGTGGAATCTTGACGCTAACAATTAACCTCGTGCAGTCTCCATCTTTAGCATCCTCAAGAACCCCATGATCTTGCTGGGTTTGGTCAGCATGGGCCTGTTTGTCGGCATGCCCTACCTCGTGGACAATAGTAAGTATCTTGCCCTTCATTCCCTCACCCCCGTTCCCCCTTCGATACCACGACTCGGACTCCGACGTAGGGCCCTTGGGGCTTGTGTGGGGAGATGACTTGCGACTAACGAATTCTGAACTGTAGTGGACCCGGAGATGAAGGCCGAATTCGAAGAGAGGCAGAAGAGCAGCCCGATGAACAATCTCCTGGCTGGTCAGGCGAGCGGCGGCAATCCCATGGGCAACTTCGACATGGCGGCCTTCCTTGCGGGATCGAACAAGAAGGAGGGCTCCGGAAGGGGCGCCGACGATGGCGTTGTGAGGAGGTAGAATGGCTAAATGTTCCTTTCCCTCTATCTCTCTCTTTTGGAGTGGTGATGACTGTGAATCTCTTTGGCTCTGGCTGTGAAGGATAGAGGCCTGAACAGAGGCAGGACGGCTGATCTATGTCGCGATGCGGAGCTGTAATACCGGTGACGATTTGAACTATATATTGATACATACACATTTGTCTTGGTTTTCTTTCTTCCTTATTGACACATGCCTTACGACCACTATTTAGCCAGCTTTGAAGCCCTGCACTAGTTCCCGCCTCCATATCTCCAGATCCACGGTTTACCTGGATATAGAGCGTGCTTGTACGAGAGGGACAGGTACGGTACCATGGTTGATACCAAGTGAAAGAGGCCAAAGATACCATGATGCTTGATCGACTGCCATACTAGGAATTACGGTGATACTATCTAGCGAGGGGACAAGAGAAAAAAAAAAAAAAGACCAGCAACCGCACAATACACAATGAGGACGTGAAAAAAAGAGGGAAAACGGGTAAAAGGACATGGCATATACAAATAAGAGAGAGATGATGCATCGACGTCAACTCATGAAATTTCACTCTTCCAGAAACTACCCGCAGCATTGCATATGTACCCTTTAGAAGTCGCCACCGAAATCATCACCGCCACCGAAATCGTTATCTTGGCCATCCTCTGTAACGACACGTTGTTAGCATGAATCGCACCAAAAGAAAAAGTAAAAAAAAATTGGTCTAGAGAGAAGCCCCGTTCTATCTAGGGGCTTGAGGGTAGGGGTGCAACGTACCATAGCCTTCCATGTAGGCGTCGTGCTGCGAATCATTAATCGCATCGGCCACGAGCGCACCACCAATCACACCAGCACCGACACCGAGGGCCGCACCGGCCGCCATGCCGCCCATGCCGGAGCCGCCTTTCCTTCCGCCGTGCTGTTGCTGCGGGTAGTAGCCCTGCTGGCCGTAGGGAGCGTGTCCGCCGTACGGGGGCGGGGCCCGTAGCCGTATCCCTGGGGAGGACCGTAGTGGTTCTGGGGAGGGTAGTTTCCGTAGCCCTGCGGGGGTACGCGGCGCCGGGCGGGGGCGCGCCATAGCCTTGCTGGGGCGCGGGGAGCCGTAGCCGCCGCCACCGTAGTGCGCGCCCGGGGGCTTGGACGAGCCGGCTTTGCTGAGCAGTTTGTTGAGGAACCCTCCCTTGCCTTTGCTACGCGACTGGTCACCCGCGAACTGCTGCTGCTGCTGATAAGGACCGGGCGAGCCAGCTCCGGGACCAGCTTGCTGGTAGTAGGACTGCTGCGCGGAGGGTTGGGCCCTCGACCGGGCGTCTTCCTGCTCTTGCAGCTCGCGCGCCAGCCGGGCGTCTTCTTCTTCTTGGTTGGATTTGGAAGGGCCGCCGCTCGTGTTGCTGCTGTTGTTGTTATTATCCTGGAAGTAAGGGTTGACCTTGGTGTCGGTGGGCGCCGCGGAGCCGTCGGCCGCGGGCGAGTAGCCGGGGGCGCGTCGGCGGGAGGGCGGGTGTCTTCGGGAAGAGCGGGGGCGGTGGGCTTGTCCCATTGCGACTGCTTGGTGTGAAGATTTACGTAGAACCTAGCGCGGGGCGTTTTTTTTTTGGTTAGCCTTTTGGAAAAATGCCCTTGTGTTTGATTTCTTATAGCCAGAGCGGGCAGGGGAGGGGAACTGTTGCGTGGTCGCTCGGTCTACTCCGTGGGGAACATGCGCGCCAGAAACATGCTCTAGCTTTAAACAAGCAATAAGACAAAAAGAGAGAAAGAAACATAGCCCAAAGGGCTGATGCGCGTAGCCGCAAAGGCGCACGCACGGGAGGCGGGTGGAAAACTCACCATTCTTTATACTGCTCGTTCCACTGCGCCGTCCAGCCGGGAGGCACCTCGGGCGCCTTGGGCGGCGGCGGGCCGGGGGGAGCAAAGGAGGACATGTCGAAACGCTGGATAACTGGGATCTCTCTGTAATTTCTGGGGGTTTTGCGCGGAAATTGTCTTCGTCGTCGGAGCCTCTAGCTTTTTCTTATTATTAATTCTTCTGGGTTCCCCCTCGGATCAGGATGGCGCGAAACGTGGGTTTCGCGGCTCGGATGATGTAAGTGGGGATTCGATCTCGGCGGGGAGAGAGGGAGACAGAGAGAGAGGCGGGGGAGGTTTGCGTTAATTTTCGAGGGTGGGCTGCGAAAGGAAGAAAAAGAGGGAAGAAGGGAGGGGAGGAAAACGAAGAAAAAGGAATTCAAGTCTGGACCCTGAGGGGTGTTTAATCAATGAAGAGAGCTAGAAGAGAAACGGGATTAATGGGGATGGGACAAGATGGTTTCCTTCTTCCCTTCCTTCCGTCCCCTCCCCACTTGGCAAGAAATGCCACATTGAAACCTGGCTTGTAGGCACGGCTATTATAGAACCCCCTTCCCTTTCTCCCTCCCCAGAACCAGACACCAAGACGTGGCCCCCGCCCCGGAGGACAGTAGATCCCCGTGGCCCTGGATCGCCTGAGCCACGGCGACTTGCGAAACCAATCGCGGTTTCCCTCGCAAGAGAACTGGCTGCTACCGTAGGCGAGAGTGCGTCGTGACCTGTGCCTTGCCACCTATCCCCGTGAGCCTCGTTTCTCAAACGCGTGGCCAAGGCTCCCTCCCGGAGTTTAGAACCCGAGCCACTGAGACGACCCCTCTCCCTGTTGCAAGGGAGGAAACTGACACCGAGCACTTTCTCTTTCTTTTTCTTTTTCTTTTTCTTTTCTTTTTCTTTTTTTTTCTTCACTCTCCTTTATTCCTCCTCTCCTCCTCAAACTGTAGACATAATATTCCCCGTCCAAAAGAATGAAAGAAAAGAAGCAAGAAAACCCGCCAAAAGCCATTATGAAGAAAGGTGGCGGGACACACATTGCCCCGCCTTCTAGAATCATCTGGCCAAAGCAAATAGATACGCTATAAGGGAGCGGGGCAACTAGAAGCTCGGCGGCGGCCAGACTCACTGAAAACAAAAGAAGAAGAAAAGGTTAGAACTCGTCATCGGCGCAACTTCCGCCACTCGAGAGGGCTTCGTTGCTTGCACAGCCCCCCTTTTTCTCTAGGCGTCCACTTCCAGCAGCAAACAAAAAAAAGCATGTGAGCTTAGGCGGCCCTTTTGCCTCTCTACTGTTTGTATGTGTGCCTCCTTCAATCTTTTCGCCTCCTGGATACTCTTTCTCTCTTTCTCTTTTTCCGTTCACCCCTCGTGAACTGTCATGCGTCTCACAGCAGCACTCGCGCGGGTGATTCAATCTCGTTTGTTCCTCTTTTCGTTTGGAAAGAAGGGGCGGCGCAAAGACCGGACGACTTTTCCCTTGGAGGGGGACGGAAGGATTGAACTGAAGGAAAGAGGCGGGGGGAATTGCTAGTTGGGTAGTATAGCCCGTCTTTAGAGTTACTACCCTGAGATCCCAAGTAGTTGCATTTGGAATTAGGCGATTCCATTTTTCTCTTGGCTTTGCGACTAGGTCGATTGGAAGTTGGCATTTGTAAAACGACCAAGTCCTTCACCGACTAATACCCGCCAGCCAGCTAGCTCCCACACTTGTGCCTGAAAGAACCCATACCACCCCGCTTGTCAAGATGGCGTCCGTCGTGAACGCCAGTTGGGATTGGAGTAGACTCATATTGCAACAGGCTGCTCGGTGCTGTGTGAACCAACTTATCCGCCCGGGGCCTGCCCGTCTTCTAAATGACCAGACGGTGTAAGCTCCATTATATCGGTGTGGTGATATGCACAGGGCCTCCTTCTCTACGATTACCTGAGACTGAGGTCCGTACCGGCTGGTGTATGTCCATGGAGCAGTAGGAGTTATCTAATACTACTGCTCACTCACATGTACGTAACTGACCAAAATTGGTGTTGTGACACTTTCCCTATCTCTGTGATACGTTGGAGAGCCAAGATTATGTTGGGAGGATTCCTCAAGAGACAGTCAAGTCTCTGAATGGCTGTTTACATAAAACTAGCAAAGAGAAGAGAACAAGTAAGGCTTGTGGGGGTTTGATAAAAAAGAAAAGAAAAGGACCAAAATCAAAGCTGATATGAGCCGAGCCTGTGGGCTTGTGAAAACGCCACTTTGTTGCGCCTGTATATCGAAAACGCGATATGAGCCCAAAATAGAAAAAAAAACCAAACCATCGAGAAAATGCAATATCCGAGTCTCTGGTCTTTGATCCCCTCCATGTCCTCTACACAGCACAGTCTATCGCATTCTAAACATAGTCCTCCTCACGAGGACGTCTTCGCTTCTCTCCGAAAAGATATGCGGCCTCCATGCAGTACGTCCCGCCACCGCTGGCCATTCTTCGTTCGCTGCCGTAGCAGATGATGACAGCATCTACGATGCCGCTGAGGATGCTCTCCATCGACCCCATGACCGAGTACCCAATAAAACTGGCCACTATTCCCACGATATAGGCATACGCGGACCCCGGATCCCTATTCCGTCCGGTAATGTAATCTCGAGCTTCTTAGCCGTCAGGACCCAACCAGCAAAGCCCATGCCAGTCGCGAGGATGAGTCGGCTCGACGAGAGCACGAGCTTGGCTAGTCGGTAGGGTAACAGTCCGTTGGTCGTTTCTTCACGCGAGTCAAACACCCGAGGGTGAGCGTCGCTGTCGGCGTTTGCGGCGACAGGAACTCCATCTGGCTGAGGCCCCTCGCCGCAGCCGCTAGGTTCTGCGAGTGTATGGCGCAATATGTGATCGTGAGCGGGTTAGTAAGTGACACCACTGGCGTTGGGACGAAGCTGTTGGCGATGCGCTGGACAATATACGAGATGCGCGATGGGAGGATAAGCAAAGGCAACCGAACCAACCGCGCCAGTAGCGTCGATTGGCAGATGCTGCCAAAGATGGTCGTAAAGGCGTGGGTGAGCGCTGCCGTGACAATCTCTTGCGATGTTGGGGCCGGTACCGCGTTGCGATGGAAATACCACTGCGAGACCGTCGCCGCCGTCGTCGCCCGATGGACCTCGGTAACCACGGATATCGTCCATGTGTACATGAAGATGAACCAGGCTCCCAGCCACCAGCTCGAGAGGCTAATCACGTACTTGGCTAGGTTGTTCGACATGTGGCCGCCCAAAAATACCCGTGAAAACATGCAAAGCCAGATCCAGGTCCATGCCACCACCGCGATGAGCGAACCTAGTCCCACGAGAACCAAAGCAGAGTTGGCTCCCAAGATCCGACTGGAAAATTCGAGAATGTCCACCGCCTGCCGAATTGAGTGCCGCCCCTTGACGACGCAGTACACCCACACGCCGGAGGCGACCAACGGGACGATGGCCGCCCATCGCATAACCCGGTCCTGTACGCTGGCTCCGTGCGTCGAGCCCTTGAAGCTGGAGATGAAGGGGTAAAGGAAGAAGGAGAATAGGATTACGGGCACGGCGACCAAGGTGAGCGAGACCAAGGGCTTGACAAAGGATCGCAGAGCCGCGAGCCAGAGCAACGCTACCGTCACCGCTACGACGGTGTCGACAGCGAGCATGTAGAATGACCCGTGCAGGGTCGAGTAAATGGTATCGCCGATGGGCCGTTTCCTATCGGGCGTTTCTGTGTGCAACCAGACGAGCACGTAGGTGGAAAATAAGCTGGCGAGCATGATTAAAAAGAACCAGGCGAAGAAGGTGTCGTATCGGAACAGCTCGGCCTCGGGGACGCGAGCGCCACCGGTGCCTCTCGGTCGTCTTCTAGACTCGCCCTGCGAGAGTCGTCCATCTCGCTCTCTATCGTTGATTGCCTGCGGACGAACTTGCGATCTGTACGTGGATAGAACTGCTGGAAAGGCGGCGGGCTGCCGGGATCGTCGAGCGTATCGCCGATAAGGGACGCTGGGGGTCGTCGTCCTCGATTTGAGACTCTAGACCGATGTCCACCAGCCTACCCTTGCCGTGGCTACCATTTTCGTCGGAATCGGCGTCTTCGTGCGTGATTTTGGGTATGCTTGTTGGCTGCTTGACTCGAGAGTTACTGGCGTAATCACTCTTGCCGCCTCCGTTCCAGCTACTTCGTATCCCTCTCCTGAAGCCTTGGGTCTGGTATTCTGAAGGTCCCTCCGTGCTCCTGTCGAGAGACGCATTGCTCGCCTCGTTCTCCGACCCCATGCTCTCGGCGAGCTTGCTGGCCGCCGCGACCCGGCGGGATCGCTGAAGAGCATATAGGTCAGCGGCCTCCCTGTCGCGCTCCTCCTCTTCATCCTCTTCACGGAATTCGTCCCTCGTGCTCGCAAAGAGCGGCGCGTCCTGGGCTGGGGATATGCCTGATCTAAAGGCATGGCCGTATCGAGAATTACTGGTTTGCTGGTAGGGGTTACCATAGGTCCTCCCCAAGTAAGAGCGGTTTAGGCCGCGGGCGGGCCGAGAAGAGCGGTCGGGGACATATCGTGACGAAGCATTATCGTTATCGGCTTGTCCAAAGTTGGAGAGGCGGGACTGGGATTGGGACAGGAATTTCGAAGCGTCTAGAGCAAATGGGAAGTGGTTAGACGTATGTCGTCTACAAAGAGGCGGAACCCGAGAATCTTGAAATTTCTCGAGTGTGAAGCAGCGAGGTTGCTCACAAACGGGGTGTGGAGGGGTTGGGCATCTCTGCGTTCACTCACATTCCGAAAACATATCGTACTCTTGGGGCGGAAGATTCGACACCTCCGCCAGCTATTGCCACTCGCGTCCCAGAATAAAAACTAAAAAGAGAAAAGGAAAAAACAATATGTTTGTTTGGGAGAAGAAAGGAACCAATATCCGGGCGTGGATACGGCAGTGCGCCTTGGTAATGTTGACTCCGTCGACCGCTTCTGCTTCTTCGTCCGTCGTTCAGTGGCGGCAGGAACGGGAAGGTGAGCGCATGTCAGTTGGAGAGGAGTGTGTTTGGGTTTAGGCGGGCTTTAGGGGAGGGTCACGCCGATGCGGAAATCAATCATCCAGTCAAACCAGGCCGGTAATGGAAAGGGTTCCTTCGGTCTGGTGTTTTGGGGGAAAAGGCTACTATGTACGAGCTAGCTTTGAGGGTGGAGGGTGGGGGCGGGCGCGTGCGGGTGCGAGTTGCAGAATGCAGGTGCGACTGGACGGACGTGCTAGACGTTCTGGACTGAAAAGGGTGGATCGAGGTGGGTAAATCGGGAGTGGGGAAAATCGGACTGGAAAGAGCGGGTGACGACTGCAGCTGGCGGGCGAAGGGTTCGATTTCCCCACGAGACAGTCGACTTTCCAGAGTCAGAGGGGAGGGAGACCCAAAACACGGTGGATTGGAGACCCGGGCGGCCAGGTGACTAACGTCGGTAGAAACCAGTCGAGGTCACGATTCCGATTCCGAAAACGGGGGCAGGACACAACAGGCTTATCACAGGATAAGAAAGAGAGCGGTCGAATGGGATACTTGTATTGGAGGCGGGCGATGGCTTGCCTGTGGCGAAGAAAAAGAAAATGCCCGGACACGTATGTTTGAGACGCAAGAGTTGAGAAAGGAGAAGGGAAGAGGGAAGAAGAGAGGAAAAGAAGACTAGAGGTTCGAACGATGAGTGGTAGTAGCTCTGGGGGTTTAGGAGGTGAAGAACAAAAACATGCGGCTGCCTGACTGACATATCGTAACATTAAAGAATCTTGTGCATTAAGAAACTGACCGCCGCTAGGAGAAGGCAGGCAACTTACATCATCATGTGCTTCCTCTGGCTTTTGTAATTATGCCGGGTTGACACAGACCGACTGATGATTTCCAAACATCCAAGTCCCCTGTAAGTTCTCGTTCGTAGTGTACATGTTGTGCGCATGATAAGGCCCCAGGCTAGAGCACAGCTGGTACTATCGGTACATAAGACACAATCGTCACCGCCTGGTCTCGGCTAGGCAGTAATACCCATTGATTGTGGATGGCCAGCCAGCCCATCAGAGCTAGCGGAAGCTAGACTCTTGTTGGGGGTATTACCGATAAACCCCGTTATGAACGGGGGCCGCTGCTCAGCCTTGGACCTGGGGAGTCTTGACCGATGACGTTCAAGAGAGAGGTCGGGGGCAATCGATTTGATTTGAGCAACCAACCTCCAAGGAGGGAGCCTGTGCAGATCCAGGACCACCTCTAGCGTGCTATCGGAGCTCACTCAGCCTGATCAGGGCTTTTCTCATTTATTCCAAAAGCAGGCTTGGAGGCGATACATTGCAGGCATTTCCATGTATTTCCCTGCTGCGATCCTGATCTTCGAGATGCGCGTAAACTACTCACATCTGCTGCACAATCATTCTCGAGGACTCTGCGCAGTGATTAATAAAAGTCCAAATCCTACAGAGATCCAATGAGCTCAGCTTCTCAATCAATCAGCAAAATTGATCTTCTGCTCGAGATTGCGAAATTGACTATTTCCGTAGTCATCCTTTGCCCGAGGACCTTAGGAACTTTGCCACTACACTTATCGTAACCTTGGACCTATCCGGGTCGTTTTTAGGAATTTCGTTTCTCTATTCCTGGGCTGGTCCAACTTTGGGCCGTGGAAGAAAGGGACATACAAATCTATAGATCTGTGGATGGATGGATCCGTAGAGGTGGTCTGTCAGTTGATCGCTCTTCACGAACTCGAAGCTCCCCAGCCCGCCAAACGCGCCTGCTGGTGGGAACTGCATATTGGGTCACCTCCCTGGCCCCCCTGCCGACGTCAGGCACCTATTGCTTGCTGAAAGCACGCTAACCATTAATACCACGACCCGGGTCCTTTTTCCCACATAATCGCCTCAGACCCTTTCCCCGATCCCCTTTCCCCGTGATTTGCACATCTCCCACCTTTCTTTCAATTCCTCTTTCGCGCTGTGCTACCGACTCAAGCTTCATTCTCTCTCCATCCTTGCGAGGCTTGCCGATTTTATTCCCACCCTTTGTAGCCCCCCTCGGCGCCCATTCCCACCCGCACACATTCCGGCCCCTCGCCGTCCCCCCGCGCTCCCGGGATTCTCGACCACACGACACTGAAATTTCCTTTGCGAGCCTCTCATTAACCCACCCACTCACCCTCAAGCCGCCGAACGCAAGAACCCGCGAGAGCTTTCCTCCCCCTCCGACCAACTCCCACAAACCCATCTACCAATGTCGTCCCCGTCCTGGGACTACATCGCCAAGCTCGTGTGCATAGGCGACTCAGGATGCGGTAAATCCAGCCTCACCATCCGCCTCTGCGAAGGCCGCTTCTCCCCCACCACGATGTCACCATCGGCGTCGAGTTCGGCTCCCGCATCGTCCCCGTCGGACCCCCATACGCCGCACCCTCCACCATCTCTCCTAACAACCGCGGCTCCCGCCTCCTCCCCAGACTCCTCCCCGCCAGAAGACTCTCCCGCCGCTGCCACCGCCACCAAGGACGGCGCCGCCGGCCTCCCGAACCCCCGCGCAACCCTCCGGCCGCCGCCACGGGACCTCAAAAGCACATGAAGCTCTCCCTCTGGGACACCGCCGGCCAGGAGACGTACAAATCCGTCACCCGCTCCTATTTCCGCGGCGCCTCGGGCGCCCTCCTCGTCTTCGACCTCTGCCGCCGCCAGACCTTTCTCCACGTCACCGACTGGCTCAACGACCTCCGCCAAATCGCCGAGCCCGACATCGTCGTCGTCCTCGTCGGCAACAAGGCTGACCTCACCCTCGACAGTGCCGATGGCGAGAATAAGCGCGAGGTCACCCGCGACGAGGCCGAGGACTGGGCTCGCCGCAACGGCGTCCTCGAGTACGTCGAGACGAGCGCCAAGAGCGGAGAGAACGTCGAGAATGCCTTCATGAGGGTCTCTGAGAGGATATACCAGAATATTCAGGCAGGCAGATATGACTTGAACGACAGGAGATCCGGCGTCAAGGGCCCCAGCGCCGGAGGTAGCCGGAACGTCGCCCTAAAACGCCCTCCTCAGAACTCTGGCTGCTGTTGAATGGGAGCGGATGCTTGCAGCGTCAATGCTAGTAACCTGCGCCTGGCATAGGTGTAGGAATAACCTAAGCACAGGCCCTGCCTTGCCGTCTTCTCAACTATCCTTGCTTTTGGTCCCTTGATCACATGCTGTCTCTCGAGATCGGTGTATCCTTTCTCGATGTCCTACCTATCGGGTTCTTCTTCTTTTTCTCACGTTGCTTCATGGAAATTTGCGGCAGTATCTACATATATTCACCACCTATCATAATGGCTAATGGCTCGTATCCCGTTCGCCGGTGTCAGACGGAACTGGGAACGGAAGGGCGTGCGAAGCAAGGAGCCCTGGCTTGCCTGGTATAGCGCGGGGCTAGACACTCACGAGTATAGATAGACGAGATGGGGCGCAGGAATGGGCAGGCCTTGTAGACTATCGGTCGTTATCCGGGGAACGACCAGCACCGCCCTAACAGTGGCGATGGATCGGTCTTGCGCTACTTGCTAGCACGAGCAAAAACGAGGCCCCCGAGTTGTTATCAGGGCATATATCTGTTTCTGTCAAGTCACAATCTATAGACTCATGTTACTACACCGGAACTTCGACGATGAGAAAAAAATGACATTCATCTTGCATTAAACTCGGGATTTCCTCCAACGCTCCCGGTGGCGTCCTATTTTCTTTTCTTTCTTTGCTTTTAGCCCACCGCTCTATTTCATCCCCTGGCTCCAGAGGGCCATGGTACAACGTGGTGAGTAAAAAGAGTTACAAGAAATGAGGCAAACAAAGGAAAAGTGTGGGCAAGAAAAGCCCGCGAAGAGTCCGTACACCCATCCCAAATTCCACGCCTGTATACCTAAACGTACAAAATATGAGGGGGAGAGAGTGTAGAGAGTGAGAGTGAGAGAAATGGAAGCGGTGGAAGACTGAGAAGTTTGTAAACTCAAAGACAAGAAAGTATGCAGGGTTCCGGCTTCTCGCCATGACCCGCCAAAATTCGTTATCCAACATGCTCCAGATATCCCTTAACTCATATTGATTGTTGTTTTTTTTGCTTTTTTCATTATCAAAGGGAAATCGAGACTGCATATGACGTGGTCCTCGGTGTCCAATGGAGGACCATCTTCTAGGCTGCTGATCTCAAGCAAGCCGGTAGCGAGCTCTCGATTGACACGCGACACGCGCGAGGGGAGAAAGCCTTTAATCCGACACACGCCAGTTGTTGAACCACTTCATGTAGCTGTACTGGCGGTTAGGACCGGTCATACCCCAGCAGATTGGGATGAAGTAGACGTAGAGACCGATGGTGAGGGTGTAGAGGAAACCAAAAACCGCGTACTGCACGGTCTTGTTCTTGCCTCGGACAAACCAATCGACGAGGAAGGCGAAAATCAGAACAGCGAAGTATAGGGCCGGGTAGTAGTGGTGTACGTAGGTGACACGGGCCATGACGGCAGAGGGAAGATAATGAAGGACCCAGCCGATGATGGGGTAGATACCCGCGTAGTGGATGTGGTCAATGTCCTGGAGGCTCAGTTCCTTGTACCCACGCTGCCAGCGAATGAGGTACCAAGCCACGACTAGGCCAAAGACGCCGATACTGGCAGTCGAGCCCCAGTACACGAGAGGGTTGCCGAGCAGGAAGTATTTGACCACCTTGTCATCCCAGCTGCACATCCTAAGACCGACGTGGAGAATGGGCCACTGCCACCACTTGGAAGCAAGGTCATCCTGCTTATCCGGGTCGGGAACAAGGGCGTTGTTCGAAGTCATCATGGCAACATTGAGGTGGATGAAGTCGTGGAAGAAAGGGGACTTGTACACGGCGGGATCGCTAGGGGACTGCGTTGTCACATTCGTTAGCATGGTATTTGAGATGGAACATGGGAGGCTAAGACCTACGCTTGTCGTTGGTATGCGCCTCGATATTCCAGTGAGTATAAGCATCGCGAGGGTTGTTGGCCTTGGTACAAGTAACCTCAATCTGCTTGAAACCCCACTGAGGGAGGTTGGTGTTGCCAGCACGGAGGTAGCATCCAAGCACGGAATTCTTGAGACGGAATGAGGTTGTCAGGGTTCGAATACGGCTGCGGTCGCTGGAGGCAACATCACGGATAACCTCGACCTTCCAGTGGTCCTTTGCGTCGCCAACGGTGACATTGCCATAGCAAGAAACCTCCTTCTCTCCCTTGGTCACAGGGGCGGCGATGTCGTGGGTGTGAAGGTTGCGGCCAGTCTGGGCGTGGATCAAACGGATAACATCCTTGTCACCGATGAAGCGCGGCTCATCCTCCTCAACATAGGGCAGATCATCGCGGTTGGGGTAGATGAACCAGTCATTGTTGGTATCCTTGTGGTGATAGCAAGTGACCTGCTGCTGACCAGAACCGTCGGGGTAAGTTTGGATATGGGAGTGGAGGAGGCCACCACCATAACCCATGTTTTTCAGAGTCAATCGGGAGCCGTAGGCAACCTCGAGAGGGCTATTGCGTCCGACATCAGTGCCCTTGAGGTTGGCTTGGAAGAGAGAGCTCATTTGGGCATCACCAGGACCAGAGTGGTCGAGAATGAGGAAGTGCAGATAGAAGGAGAACATGTAAACAATCATAGGGATGATAATCAAGCCGATGACGCGGGTGAAGACGTGAGCGCCGAGCGTGGGCTAAAATCGCGGGGCCGGTTAGCTTCAGGTGCCAAGGAATCCACGCCATCTCTTAGGGGCGATGGAAACTTACAATGGACATGCGGGTGTCGCCAAACTTGTTCCAGAGATCCTCGACGGTGTAAAGACCAACGAGGGCAGTGACGAAGAGGCCAACGAGCTTGACACTACACACACAACCAATGCTCAGACCAGTCATGAAGAGCCAGAAGAACCACTCAGGGGCGAAGCTGTTGTTGCGCTGGTTGTGGAACTTTGACCAACACAGGACGGTGGCAAAGGTACCGCACAGAAGCATAGAATCGAGAAGGATGAATCGGCTGATAGTGGTATACGAGTTCTCGCACAGGACCATCAAGGCAACAAGCCAGACAGTCGCGCGCTTAAACTTGAGCTCTCGCGCGGTATAGTAGGCCATGGGAACACAAACGATGCCGAAGAAGGCGTTGAATGCACGCATGAAGGTGTAGTTGACGTCCTCGGGGTATTTCTCGCCCGACTTGAACTCGAAGGAACCGTTGTATCCGGCGAGAACACCGGAAAGGCCGACCAGCATTTTACCCAGGGAGGATGAACATCACTAAGAGAAAGTTAGTCGATGTTTGCATTGATAGCTCAAGGCCCACATTGTCATTTATCGCGATATCGAGGTCTGGGTATCTCATACAAGTAGTATTCATGCTTGATATAGTGGCTTCCGAATTTACCGAAACTATAAAGGGGTTGTTAGTGCCAGCTGCAGAGGGAAGCAGATGAGGGGGAGGGGGTGTTGACGAACTGAGCCTCGTCCCAAGTGACGATGTTGCTAATGCCAATCTTCCACAGACGGGTAAAGGCAGCAAGGACAGTGAAGAGAATGGGCGCGATGACAAACTCCCACTCGTCGAGAACTTGCAAAAGGACGCCTCCTACTCAACAGGGTCAGTTGGCTTCTTTGATTCGCGAGCAGCCGGATAGGCTCGACCGACCTTCTTTGCGAGCTTCTTGTTATCGATGGGCTGAGGAGTAGCCTTGGACACCTCGGTGCCGGCGGCAACCCTTCTCCTCAAGCCATCTCCAAGGTCAGTGCCAGAGGCGGCCACGGCCTTGTCGACGGACATGGCGATGGGTCTTGCAACGAAATCAAGAGTAACTCTCGAACCGATTTGAGATGAGATCGATTAAGCAATCGCCTAAGATGGAATAAAAAAGATATACACGTATTAAAATAACATCGGCGTTGAGAACGAAGTGCTGTCGATGGCGAAAGCTTCGTTGTCGAAGAATGGGCGACGGCGAAAACGTGCCAAAGCTGATAATTAGGGGATAGGGATAGGACGAGTCGCCGAGGAACTCAAGAGGTAAGAAAAGGTCGAAAGGACACGCGATGGAGCTACGCGACGTCGACTGAATAGGGCACCCACAGGCTCCGGTTCGTCAATTAAGAAGAATAGAGAAAATTCCCACGCCTGAGAGAGACGAGGAGAGGAGAAGAAAAAAGAAGATGGAAGTGCCACTGAAAAGGAGTGGAAAAGGATAGGCTCCTGACGGATTTTGTTGGTTCAGGGTTTGGCGATTGGGGGTGGGTTTTTTTGACGTGTTCTAAGAATATCTGGAGGGACAGAGACAGAGATGTCGCAGCTCGTATGCCAATCCACTAGCGTCGGAAAAGGTACATCATTCATAAGCTTTGAGTACCTAGCTTTTGCGGGGATAGAGGGTGGGCTGAGGGCTACCCAACGGTACCGAAAAAGTATCATGAAAAGGGGAAGAGATGCACATGTACGGGTACAGCTCTGATCCATTCACCCAGGAAAGTTCAGCCGCGCCCCTTCTCTCTAGAGAGTAGAGGTACAATCCAGCTGCAGGCCCCCAGCTCTGCTTCCCCTGGAATTGTGACCCGAACGGGAAGAGGGATGTGGCCTGGGCTGATGGATCCCGCCCTTCCACCACTTGAACCATTGGTTTTCCAGGGATCAAATTCATCAATCGTTAATGCCACATATACCATTTTTCCTGGCCTTTCTGAACCCTCGATGCACGCTCCGCAAGTGTGTTGTGTCCCACCCTTGGGGCGAGACCAGAAAGCCTTGGACTGGCTGGCGACTTTGGTGGAGCATCGACTTGCGCAACATCAACTGAAACCGTTGGAATGATTTGTTCCGGCCCTTGGCTGCAAAGGACAATCAGCTCAGCGGCCTCGCATTCAAGCATTCCAACATGCGTTCTAAACGTTCCAACGTTCCATCCGACGGTCCTTTCATAAACCTTGATGGTATCCGCGTCGCGTCCCAATGTTTCCTCTCTTCACACCCCTGGGCAGACGAAAGTGCCGGGATATGGTGCCCAGCTCAAAGGTAATCAAAGCGTTTCTATATATTGACCTTCCAGGTGTTATACCCAGATCCGTCATCCCGGTACCGCGGCAAAGGGATAATATTGGCTCGATGCGATGAGAGAAGCAGTTAAAAAAAAAAAAAAAATTTACCTCCCAATAGATAAATAGACTACGGACTAGCCTCCAATAGAATAATTACTCGCGAAGGCAGCTCAGTCCAGCTCCTCGGCCTGACAGACTTTGGTCCACGATAAACGGCTGACAGGAAAATGTTTCAGTTGACACACGCCAGTCTTGTTTAAACACTCGAAGACAGTCTCCGAGTCAGCACGTGTGTCTGGCGCGTCCCTCATCTTGTGCAGCGTGCGAGCGTGAGGAATAAAGTGACTGTCTCAAGGTTGATGAGTTGGCCAGATCTCCCAGCATCCGTGCAAGAAACCTAGGCATGCCGTGTGCTAGTCCGTGATCGATTGAGGGCTCAAGCTCAAGCTCAAGCTCGAAGGGAAGAAAACGCGTGTCCGGTTAGCAAGCGCCACCGATCGCCGACCAGGATTGGCATTATCGACTTGGTAAATCCAGCACGCCCCTTTCTCACATTTTGAGGCTAGCCCCCAAGATTTTGGGCGATCCGGGAGGTTAAATTCTGGCTGGGGCAAGCTTGGTCGATTTAGTTCAAGAGCTGTTCCTGATTATATTGGTGGAAGACTCCAGTCCAGGGGACACCAGCCCTCCCCATCCATGCCCGTAGGAATACGCTTCACCACATTTGCTTCAAGGTTGTGATATCAACGGTGTATCTTGTTGCGAGCGAATGCTGCCCCAATTCAGCACTCGCACACGTTCTCATTTTCATTCCTTTCCCTTCACGAATAGCTCTTATTCGCGGGGCACATGGGGAGGTCCACAACCTGATAAAACTCGGACACCGCCCTCTAGGGCTGTTTTGTGCTCTATCCTCTTCTCTTTTGGGGGCCTACTATAATGGTGCAAGAATTCGGTCGATCTGGATGTGAGTGCAGGTTTTATGGTCAGAGGATAGCTTGACGAGGGGTTAACCCCCATCCTCGACGTTTCTTGTCATCACCTCACCTGTGAGGCAGGCTTAGACATCTATATGAATCCAACTCCGACAACGGACTCCAGCGCAGCCTTGACCAAACCTTCCTTATAATGTCGCTCATATAGAAAATCCCGGAGGTCAATGATAACCATCAAGTTGTCAGTTAACCCGCGGCAAATATTGAACATTGAAGGTTATCTAAGCGACTGGTCCATCAGGTTGTGAACATTATGCCTAGCCCACCAATTGGACCTTCTCCCATGCACTCTCCCTCGTGCTCTTTCCGACCCCTCGAGCCATGAGAGATCACATGTCAGAGTGAAGGCCCCCTCGTAGTCTCCGCCAACTCGTTCTCCGAAGGACGGGTGGCGACAAAACCTACACGTAGGCTTGCTTTCCTGAAAATGGCACCGTCGAAACGATCGTTGGAGCTGGCTGGGGGCCAGGCCCAGCTCTGGACTGACCTGCTCAGCCAGCCCCCAAGCCACATGCACTAAAAATAAAATAAACCCACCAGACAATGCCCTACTACTCACCCGTGCCTCGATGGATCAATTGAGACTCATGCTACAAATGGCCCATCAGCCCGATCACGTCAACCGAATTCTCTGCTGATGGATAATGGACTGGTTCCCAGGTCGGACTGCGCCGCAGGAGAAGCCATCGCAGCCTCGGTCTCTCATCTTATGTCATCCCCTTTCCTTGACAAAAGTAAGCTTTCCTTTTGTCATGATCCACGGCAAGCACGATGGGTCATCTTCGCGTGATGCAATCAATCTTTAGACAGGTTCAACAGGTGTGATAATATACAAACAATCCATTTCATCCTCTTCCACTCCAGTATTCTCCTCCTATTTACATCACCTCTTTGACCCATTGCCATAAAGTCTCAGGAACCATCACCTGGCCTTGTCGCCTCCCCTTGCCTCTCTCTCCCCGCCTCCTCCCCGCCACACTTTGACCACTTGACCGAGCTTTGGGGTGCACCAGTCCCCTCCTTTAATCCTCACAGGTATCGCCAAGCTCGACTCTTTTTCCGCCCTCCTCCCCCTAGCAAACCCCCTCGCCGTAAACCCTGTATTGCCGTGTTCGCTTTTTTGCAAATGCTCCTCCTGCATTCCCGTCTTATCATACCGCCGTCAAAGCAACAAATTACCCGGCCTCGGTCTCAATGTCCTCGTTAGTCTCTGAATTTATCATCAATCCCGTTCTCCGACAAGCCCGACGTCTTTCCGAAATCTCTCGAGCCGCCCCGGAACAGGCGGCCCCTGCACCAAACCATGCAGCGACGACACCATCCCGGACAAGCCCTCTTCGGCCGGAGCGAGATAGCGATGCCGTCGTAGACTCGTCACCTTCTACCCCTCGCCCCGCCACCTCTTCGGCACAGACCACCACCAGTGCGGAATCGGCGCATACCGCCTCCGAGCAAGGCCAGCAGACGCATCCCGAGCCCCCGGCGACGCCCACTCGAGGAGGACAGGACTCAAATCTGCCAATTACGGAGCCCGCGCCGCCTGGGAGTCGCTTCCCGCCGACGATGGCATGGGCGCGCTCCGCCGTCGCCTTCTGGCTATCCAGTCCCTGGAGCTCGAGCCAACGGAGAAGGCAAGACTCATGCATGATGCACTGATGGAAGGATACCGGAACTCCCAGCGTCAAGGCGTAGACGGAGAGCCCATTCTGCCCGGTATCCCTGCCGGCGAGGCGTGGGAGCAGTCGCTCGCCATGGGGCCCCTCGACGCCCTCAAGTTCTGGCAGCACTCCCTCGGGGATGGCGCGTCAAACGAAAAGTTCGTCCTCACCGCTGATGATGTCAAGCCAACCTACGCAGTTGTCGACGGACAAACATCCACGACCATCCTGGGCTGCCAGCACTACAGGCGAAACGTGAAGCCGCAGTGCTCGACCTGCAACAAATGGTACTCGTGCCGGTTCTGTCACGATGCGGCCGAGGACCATCCCCTCATCCGGCAGGCCACCAAGAACATGCTGTGCATGCTGTGCGCCTGCCCCCAACGCGCATCGGACGTCTGCATCAACTGCGGAGTGACGGCGGCGCGCTACTACTGCAACATTTGCAAGTTCTGGGATGATCACCCGCTCAAGAATATTTACCACTGCAATGACTGCGGTATCTGCAGACGAGGTATAGGTCTTGGCAAGGATTTCTTCCACTGCAAGGTAGGTAACCCCTCTTCTCCCAGGTTCATGTTGAGTTGCGATCACCCCACTTGAGTGTCACCGACCAGCTCTATCTAACCTTGGCCAACCAAAAAAAATAGACATGTTGTGCGTGCATCTCGATCTCTATCCTCGGATCGCACAAGTGTATCGAGCGCTCAACCGACTGCAACTGCCCCATCTGTGGCGAGTACATGTTTACCTCACCGAAACCCCTAGTCTTCATGCCGTGCGGCCACAGCATCCACAGAAAGTGCTATGCGGAACACGAAAAAACGTCTTACAAGTGTCCCATCTGCAACAAGGCCTTCCGAAACATGGAAACTCAGTTCCGCAATCTCGACGCCGCGATCCAAAGTCAGCCTATGCCAGAGGAGTTCCGGGATACCAAGGCCATTGTGCTCTGCAACGACTGCTGCGCAAAAAGCACCACCAAGTATCACTGGCTTGGGCTCAAATGCATGGTTTGCACGTCGTATAATACCGTCGAGCTGCAAATCCTAGGCGGGAACCCTCACCAACACGTGCAACCCTCGGAAGCCTCGACGGCCGCAAACCTGGGACAGTCCCAGGCCTCCCTGATGTCGGTGGGGCAAGAGGCGGGCGGCGAGTCCTCGGCAGACCTGCAGGCTTCGGGGGCGATAGCGATGAGGAGGCGGTATTCGTCCCACGGCCAGGAAATGAGGTTCGCGTTTGACCCGCGTCTTGCGCGTTCGTTGTCGCCCGGTCACGGGATTGATCTTCCATCCGCAGTGGCCAACCGCACGGCAGAAGACGATTCCGAAGATGACATGCTTGGGTTTTGGACTCGAGATGGCGGAGATCGTCTTGTCCGTAGCGACGACGATGACGACGACGAGTACGGCTCCCAGTACGACGACAGCGACTCCCTGCCGGACCTCAATGAGGAGGACGAGGATGATGAAGACTCTGATGACGACATAATTCTTATTGGGCATAGGTAATATATGAGCCTCTTCGCTACCCTTTTTCCTTCCACGCCCTCTTTTTTCTTTTACACTCTTTTTCTGGTTTAATAAGGAGGTTGACGGAGGCTTCGGTCCGGGTTCTATTCTTCTTTTCATTTCTCTTGGCTGAAGGCGTAAGGATGAGCTGTCCTAGGCAGGTGCATGAGGCATGAACATTCATTTTCTATTAATTTACCCTACCTCGTTCTGGGGCCTCCTTTTCTTCCCTCACTACCCCCTACCCTTTTACTTTCCTACCGTTTTGAGCATTGCATTTGGGCTGGGACATCCATCACATTGCGCAGGAATCGTTTGCGGAAGGGCCAAAGGGGGATCGTATCATTGTTAGGTGCCGCGGGCGCCGTGGCGTTTTTGGAGCGGGTTTCGTTTGGCTTCACCTCTCATGTTTACACACATTACGTATACTGGATGTATGCGCGCACGTACTTCTCCTCTCATCCTCCCTCTTTAGAGTCTTTTAGAGTTTTAAAAATCTGTTGCTTCCAAGTTCATATTCCACGCTACTACCTCGGTAGACGTCTCATAGCTTTCGTCGCGTCGGGGTGCTACGCGATCACAGTCGTTCAATAGAGAGCACTGAGGTGTCTGGAGGGGAGTTTCGACTATCAAGCGCATTCTTTAGTTATAAATTGGGTATCGAATTCTGTCATGTCTAGCGTGAGCGGGCAGTATACACTAATGCCCATCATGAGAAAGGGAGCCCTCGAGCTCGACTTCCGCTCAACCCTTTTATCATCAATGGGACGAACTTTCTCGCCGTCACCCGCCATGAGCTATACGTGGTATCCTCTAGATCATCCGCGAGGCAGGCCGCCTCTTAGCTAGGGCGACCGAGGGCAACGTCCCTTTGCACTTCTTGTGCTTCAAGGCGCAGCTCCTTGATCACGGTCTACGCCCAGCCGGTTAGTTTAGGCGCACGAGGAGAAAAGGGGGAGAGGGCAGGGTGACAAGATAAAAGAACAAAGACGGGTCGGAGGGGCGGGGAGGGTGCTTCGTACAGCGAGGGCCTCTGGGTTGACGCCGTTTTCAATCATGGAGATACAGATGGATATAGTCCTAGCATCGAGGTGGCAGTTCTAGACTCGGGGAGAAGATGGAACGGGTGCGAAGAAACGTTAGCTCTTTTAACCCTCGGAAAACCAATCCGTTTTACGAGAAAAAACATATTGTGTTTCTCCCCGAGATAATGCGGTTCAAAGGGGCAAGGGCATGGGGCAATGGGGGCACGACGAACGAGGATGGTGGAGATCTCGTGGAGAATGTCGACGGCTTGCTGGGCCGCCGCGCGCTTGTCGGCTACGGCCTTCTCGCTCTGGGGAGGCATTGTGAGGAAGTTTGGGCCACGGCGCGAGTCGAGAATGCGACGAGGTTGCTTTCTTTGGCGGTGGGTGCTTGGTTTTGGTGGGAGTGAGGTTGGGGACGATGCGGAGAGTGCGGAATGCTGATTGATGGAGATTGATGTGAGAGCTAACAAACCGTGGCGGGGTGAAAACGCGTCTGTCCCACCTCAAGCTTCAATGCAGCTAAGCCGGCTCGAATGATGATCCATTCTAGTCGCTCTCTCGCAATTCTCTTCGGCTCTTGTAATTAATATCACTTGGCCTATTGTACGGAGAATGCCACAATGATTCAAAGTGAAAGAATTGAAGTCTCCTTTTTGTGCATGTGCAGCCCGTAGGCAGTAGATATCATTCATTAAACGCAGCATCCAACCACCCTCATCTCATGAAGTCATAACCCAATCCCGCGAGTCTCCAAAAACCAAAGCAGAAAAAAACCCACATAATGTACAACACCGCCGTGCCCGCTAACAACTCCCCCAGAATAACTCACGCCCTCATTGCCTCGACAAACAACTCCCTCATCCCTTTTAATAAGACGGCGAGATCTCTCGTCTCATTCATCCGGTCCAGCACCTTTTCCACCTTTTCCCTCTCTAACTTGGGCTTGCACTTGCCCACGTCGTAGTCTCTCGACGCCGTCAGTAGCTCGAAAAAGGCTTCCTTCTCCCAGTCCTTCTCGTCAATGTGCGTATAGACAAACTTGAGGTGATCCGTCAGCCCCGCCCCTTCGATCTTGAGGCAGAGGTTCGACACCCAAAAGTCGAGCTCGGGCACGTTGAAGCGTGCCTGGGCATCCTGCTGCTGCGCGTGCGCGCGTTGCGCCGCCAGCCGCGCATCAATCTCCTTTTGCGTCGCCGCGATCTGCGCCTTGAGGGCGTCGCGATTGTCTAGGTGCTTGTCGCGCTGGTCAGCCAGCGTCGCGATGGCGGACTGGATCTCGCGCGCTTCGGCGTTTTCTTTGGCAATCGTTTGCTGGTACGTCGACGACTTGAGCTCGAGGATTTCAATGTCCTTGCGCTTCATGCGCTCGTTTTCTATAACCAGGGTTGGCTTCTTGTCAGACAATCTTGGTGGTTCTTGAAAGTGAAGAGGACGAGGTTTGTGTGATCTCTCACTCCGCGCCTCTTGCGATGCGAATCGACTAGATTTCTTCCATCCTCCTTACCTTGCAGCTCAGCCATATCCATGCGGAATTGGTTTCTCTCCTCGAGAACACGCTTCCTTCCCTGCTCGATAAAGGCGTCGAATTTGGAGCTAAACTTGGCCATGCGGTCGCGCAGCTCATCGAACCCAAAGTTGGCGTTGGGCAGCGTATCCGCGATAGACTGACTCGGCACGAGCATGGACTGCCTGTGCATGCCAGACGTCCTCGACGACTCGAATGCGGAAGACATAGTTTGGTGTGTCCTGATCTTTTTGGTGATAATTTGCTGGCGTAAGTGCGATTCCTGTAGAGGATGTATTTTGGTCGCAAGCCTCAGGCTTGGGCGGGGTGATCTTTTCGGCGTGCTTTGAAAATCGTGAATTGGCTGCTTGCTTGCTTGTTTACCAAGAGCGGGAGCAAAATGCGACCGATTAAACACTTGCGATCCCTGCAAAATCAATAGTCGTTGGGTCAACCACCAAACAAAAGCGACGTGGGGTGTTCGTGACTAAGCAAGACTTATTGTGCCTGGACCAACAAGGTGCGGGCAAACCACACCGAGATCTCGGTGAGCGTGGAATATCCACACACAAAAGTCTCCTGCAAGGAAACTTAGATTAGGTCGAAATTTTTTGATGCATCCTTCTTGCATGTAGCCTGACGTGTCCCTGCCAGTATACGAGTACCCCTGAGATGCGCAACTCTGTGCTGTGCCTGTGAGATGCTCATGTTCAACGACATGAACCACAGCCCGAATCAGTGCCCAGAGCCCCAGGTTTACAGGGCGCCTGCGAGTCCAGATGGCTGGCCAAATTCGTGCGCAACTCCCCTTTGGGCACCATGATTATCGTTCAGATGAAGATGATGACGCCGCAGTTGGGATATCCGATGCGGACCGTAAAAATGAAGATAGTACGCTCATCGTTTCTTTTGCCCAACGCACCTTGCACGTTCATGCAGCATATGAGCCGCTCTAACACATTGCAGCTCCCGAGCTCCGGGTGATCCGTGGATATGAATCTGTCGCCGATGCCCCTAGGAGCGCCGATATTGGCGAAGTCAAACTGCTCTATGAAGCGAAACGTATGCAGGGGCGATGGCTGAAAAATGCGTTTCCCGAGGTCGCCATGGGCGACCCCTACGTATCCAGTCTCCTCGCGGAAGCCGCTGTGGACCCCGCCCTGACCGGCGATCTCCCGTCGTACCGCCCGCAAGTGGTCGCCGGCGAGATTTCCCGCCTTGAGAGCTGGCCGCAAGGCTTGCCTGCCGTCCCCGTCCCCGTCCTGGCCATGACGACGGGGGAAGGTGGCCAGATCCTGCGCCTGATGCGCATCACCGACTCCTTCTGGACGTGGGGCTCTGACGCAGATGTGGCCCTGCAGATGTGGAGCCCGAAGCCGGATGATCAGGAGGATGAGTCGTACTGGTGTAGGAGTGCGGCCCCCATCACACATGTCAAGTTTGCCCACCACATGGGCAAGACGGCGCCACTGCGATGGCTCATTGTCCAGAAAGACACATCCACGACGATCCTTAGCCCGACCTACCATTCGGTGCCAGTGGCATATCAAGATTCGGCTCTCGAGGAATTGCCCGTCTCACGAGTGGATCCTAACCCTCTCGTAACCCTCTCGCTAGGACATACCGAGGGCCGCTCACATGCCGATGTATCATTCAACCCCCAACCTCAGACACGTTGCCCCAGCTTGCCATCATAGATACGCTTGGCTACTGGAGCATCTGGAATATCAAAATTAGCACCGTGTCGAGCAAGATCCACGCTCAGGCTACCCTATACAAGCGCGGCCATCCTTCTTGGGATACCCCTCTTCACGGAGGGGAGTTCGGCACCCTCTGGTATCATCCGCCTCCTCTCGAAGAGTGGGACTTTAGTCAACAAGCCCCGGAAAATCCTACCGAAGACATCGGCATCGGTGGTGCGGTCCCCTACGTCGGTCTAAGACGCTCTTGATGTGGGACCGCACGACCATCCAGCTTCTTGACACGGATAGAAATTTCGTCTTCGCCGCCGTCCCCATTACGGCGCGTTCGGCGAGCCAAGAGACTATCCTGGACGTGGTCCCGAACCCCGCGGATCTGAGCCAAGTATTTGTCCTCACCACCGCCTCCCTAATATGTCTCGACATTTGCCCATCGGGCGAGATAGCGCGCGAGGTACAGCCCGAGATCATCCAGGCGTTTTTGCACGGGCACCCTAAAAACATGACGCTTCGAATGTCGGCCACTTGCATGCCGAACATCGCAGATGGAGGTAGTATCATGATAATTATCTTCCCTTGCAAAAGCTCGCAGGTGGATATCTTTTGGTTCTATGGTACTCCAGATTCACCTAGCCCGGGGCAGTGCTCGTATCAGACATTAGACCTCGAGGGCGAACAGGATACGGAGCTCGACAATCTACGCGAGCTCGTTGTCTTGCCGCTCGACATCTCAAGAGGGAAACAACCCATCGGGTCAGAAATGGAGGCCTTGTTCGATGAGTCCGAACTTCAATTCCACCAGCTCATCTCGTATGGAAGGCGGCAGAGTCTAGGTTACTGGATATGTTTGACTGCTAAGCGCGGGTTATATGAAGTCACAGCGCCCACGGCACGAAGCGAGAAGGAGATAAAGAAGCACGAATCCCTGTTGGCGAAAAGGAGAACGCGGTACCTAAACTACATGGGAGACAAGTTCGCAGTCCCGGATGCCCTGACAAACCCCGAGACAGCCGTGGGGCTGGTGAGTGGCGTGTTGGAATTCGAACCGCTCCCTTCAATCCTTCGGAAGCCGATCATCAGGAGAGATGTCCGCATCGAGGTTTTGTTCAGTGCATTCTCTCAGGGGCTCTGGAAGTGGGGCCCGGAGTTGCGCCTTCAGTCTCTCGCGGCCGTTCGTCATGTCGTTCAGACAGCGGCTGCGACCGGCTCTGTTTCGACGAGATCTCTGCTAGAGTACACTCGTGAAAGACGGGAGGAGGAAGAATTGGAAACCACACGACCGGCCGGTGGCCCAGACTATCTCAACGATGACGAAGAATGGGCCGAGGAGCTTGATCAATTGATTCATGCTGGTCTAGGCATGCTAACTGTGACCGATACCCATCCGGATCCCCGTGGCAAGTTGGCGATGACATTCAGCAAAAACTGGCCGCCATGAAAAGATGGATGGCCGCGAATTGGTCAACCCCTGAAGATGACGAACCAGAAGAGCCGGTCCGGATACACCAGGAGGTCTTGGAGCATACGGCACGGCTCGAGCTGCTCTCGTACCACTTAATCGGGATGAACCCGTCGTATGAACACTCTCCGGCCATGTCCCTCCCTCCATCCTCTTCTGCAGGGTACCCCGGCTCGTCGCAGGATATACACTCGGAGTGGACACTTCCAGTCTTCTCCCAGGAGCCTTTGGTGCCAAAATTTCCCGCTTCAAGCCAGAGCGCAAAAGACAAGGGGAAAGCGACCGCCCAGGCGGAGGAGAGCCTCGCGGCCATCGACCGCCTGGCCAAACTCGCCATCAGCATCGATAGAGATTCGGAGCTTGCACGGGCACCGCAGAGCACCGTCCTCTCCAGGTGGGAAGATGCTGCCCACGATGACTACGTCCCCTTTGTCCAGCTCGGCTCAAAAGCGAAACAGTCCCGGCTGCAGAAGAAGAAGGACAAGGTGCTTGAGAGGCGCCGGATCAAAGAAGACGCTTATAACCGTCTCACCGGCCGGGGTCCCGACTCCTTGGTGCCTCCTCTTCGCAGATGCACTCGCAGCTACCGCACGCGCAGACCCAGGTGCCGGCGTCGTCGCAGGCGATGCCCGCGTTTAGTCAAGTGCAGATGCCCATGAGGCTGAGGGAGGGAGAACCGTCGAGTAGCCAGGCTACGGGACCAGGGATGGGATTTACAATGTCCCAACCTGTGAGTGGCGCGTTTGGGCAGCGGGGCCCCGTAAAGAAGAAGAAGAAGAAAGCCGGTGGCATTAAGTAGAGTTAGTTTGCGATTGCATTATTAGTCGACGCGAATATCAAGGCGTGGGAGAAGTTAGTTACCAACTAACAAAGTCCGGTTTATGGATCCATTAGAAGTAACGATGAGATGAACAATAAATATGAATTGCCTCGTATTTTCTTGGCTCTTTTGCTCGGGGACATTGCCCGGCAAGCCACTTTCAATGTTCCACGGGATTGCTTGACCTTGCAATTTAAAACACTACTTAGATAGCGTCAGTGATATAAACCCTTGTGTTCCTCGAGTATTGAAAAAGCCCCTTTGGTTGATGTGTTGAAATATCTGAGTGGTACTTCTGTGGGAGCGCGAAAATCGCAGAAAAGAGGGCAAGCTGTGACTTTTTATTAGTGGTGATGACATTGTAAGCATCATGGTGAAGCACCCCACCTTCCTCATCTTCATCCCACTTCCTCTTGCTCCACCTCTCGCCACCAACGCTCAACTAGCACCCTAGACTCAATATTGTATCCCGAGATCCGTGTTCTCATATTAATTCGATCCAAGTAACAATTACCCAAGAGCAAAGCATACAGAACAAGGTGGAAAGGAAACCTCTACCTTGTGTATCCCAGTATGTCTCACCACTGTCACGATGAACACCACGATCACTCTGGTCACGGCCATGACCACGCCGGGCACGATCATTCGGACGATATCACGCCGGCGCTCCAGTTCTCGCTCTACCAGCACATCAACTTTGACGAGATTGTCACGCTCAACGAAGCGCGCTTCGGCATGGGGCGCGATATCACGAAGAAGACTTGGGCCGAAAGGCTCCAAGACGAACCTGAGCTCGCAAGCGATGCCGATGAGCAGCTCATTATTACCATTCCGTACGTGGAGAGGAATACTCTTTCCCCCTTTGCCTATCCCTTTTGGGATTCTTCTTATAGGCATCTTTTACTACGATGGACCCTTCAGTGGGTAGCATGCTACAAAGCGAGCGCTAACGTTTGATGCTCCCCTCCGCTCCCCGCGTAGTTTCACCGGGCAAGTGAAGCTCCACTCCATATCACTGCGCACCTCCAACTCCCCTCGGCGCCCAAGACCCTCAAGGTTTTCATCAACCGCGAAGACCTCGACTTCTCCGCTGCCGAAGAGGACCACCCCACGCAGTCGTTTGAGCTCTCGCAGACCTCGGACGTCCAGGAACTGCCGGTCAAGCGCGCCCTCTTTGGCGGCGTCCGGCGCCTCTCCTCTTTTTCGCCGACAACTTTGGCGACGGCGACGAGGACGTCTCCAGGATTTCGTACCTCGGCTTCAAGGGCGAGTGGATGCAGCTTGGTAGGGCCCCTACGAACATTCTCTACGAGGCGGCGGCGAACCCTAGCGATCATGAGGTCAAGGGTGTTGGGGTCAACCAGATGGGTCACGGTATTGGTGGAGGAAGAAGGGGTTCTAAAGGAGTAAAAGGAAATCTAGAAAAAAGGTAGAAAGCAGTAAATTTTGATCTAAGCAATCAAGACCAGGGCTTGAAGCAATACCTCGTTAACACCAACTTGGACGAAGCTTTGTACCATTCTTCTTTGTTGAGTGCATTTTGGTTATCGCACTGTATACCAACGCGTTGCTGACCACAACACTAGCCACATGTGGCTGATTGCTCGTTCGACACGCCAATTGACAGCAGCTCAAGGGAAAAAATCTCGAAAAGGTAGGAATCCTCCCTTTTGATGAACCAGACATAGACATCAAGGGCTTTCACGACCCTCACCCCACGACATTCTCGTCATCCGCCGCCCAAACTTGCGGGGCCGTCGTGCTGATTTCAACTGATTCAGCACTAATCGAATATTATAATCGAAACCGTCTAGCCCAACCCGAAGGCAAACCAAAAAAGGCAGCCAGCCTTCTCACGACACCAGATGGCGCCCCGACTCGCGCTCGGGGTCCGCCTCCCGACACCCTCGACCCTCACAACCGCCGCCCCTTCCCTCCGCCCCATCTCTCTCCCCCTCCGCCTCCTCCCCGGACGACGACCCGTAACGTGCAGTACGGATGGAACACGGCGCCCCCGCGAAGCAAGCACGGGCGCTTCCGACAAGTCACCTCGGGCCTACCCCCGTTGACGACGGGCCCGGCGGCGGCCCTGCAGCGCAAGGAGGCGACGACGCCACCGCGGACGGGTGTGCTCGCTATCAAGAAGGGCATGAGCGCCGTGTACCAGGGCAAGCGCCGGATCCCCTGCACGGTGCTGCAGCTCGACCGCGTGCAAGTCGTCGCGAACCGCACGCGCCAGCAAAACGGCTACTGGGCGGTGCAGATCGGCATGGGTGCTCGCAAGCCGGACAACGTGACCAACGCGCAGCTCGGCTACTACGAGGCCAAGGGCATGGCTCCCAAGACGCACCTTGCTGAGTTCAAGGTCAAGAACGAGGCTGGCCTGCTGCCCGTCGGCGTGCAGCTCTGGCCCGACTGGTTCGCCAAGGGCCAGTACGTTGACGTCCGGGCCGACAGGAGGGGCATGGGCTTCGCCGGTGTCATGAAGAGGTGGGGGTTCGCCGGTCAGCCTGCTAGTCACGGTAACTCCAAGAACCACAGGACCCTGGGTTCCGTCGGTGGCTCGCAAGGCTCCGGTTCTAGGATTCACCCCGGCAAGAAGATGCCTGGTCGCATGGGCGGCAACCAGGCTACGGTGCAGAACCTCAAGGTGCTCCAGGTCGACAACGAGCTTGGCATCGTCGTCGTGCACGGAGGTGTTCCCGGTCCCAAGGGCTGCGTCGTCAAGATCCAGGACTCGATCAAGAAGAGAGATCTCACCGATGCACGAATAGCCGCCATCAACGGCATGGTCTTGGAAAGGAATGTGGGCACCGAAGAGAGGTTGGAGCAGGCGAGGCAGCGACATTTGGAGCTAAAGGAGGACAGGAAGAAGGTTGCCTTTGAGAGGGCCATTGCGCGTCAAGATGCCGAGGCCGGTGCTCCGTCGAGCGCTTAGGCTTGCATGATGTCTCGCCATACTTCCCTTTTCCTCGCCCCCCTCCCCGCCTTTCATTTTATCTCGCGTCTGCACGTCTTGAGAAGCATCTCTTGTAACTATACATGTTGTACATCTAGTCTAGAAGGAAGAGTCTGAATGGGAATACAAGCTATTTACGAAAAAAAAAAAGATTTTCGAGGGTATTGTCTATAATCAAACACGTTGATCCATCGTTGATCCCTCTTGTTGCACAAGCGCAGCGCGGCCTCCACGATACCGCGCTGGAAGCTACGGAGGGTTGCGTCGGACCGGTCAACTCCCCAACCCACGCACGACACAAGGGCGTAGTAGAGAGATTTGGCGCTTCATGACGGCATTTCACCCAAGGAAGGGAAAAAAACCCTTGGTTCGATCCCCTCCACAATATTACGCAGCCCTCTTGATACTTCACTGTCTGTGGCCCCTCGTTACCTAGGAATCCTCGTCGTCTATTAGGTGTGCGCCGGGAATGGCCCTGAACGGATCATTTCCGTCTAGCAGGTCAATCTTCCTCCCAGACTCGTCGCCATCCATGACGAGGCTCCACTCGGCGGTCTCGAAGAGGCCTCGGGCCGCGGGGCGGAAGCTCCTAAAGGTCATGGTGGCGGACCCGCGGGTGCCCTTGACCTTGAAGTGGACGTCGATGCGGCCCTTGAGCTGGTTGAGCTCGCCCGAGATCCAAGGGATGCGGTGCTGGAAGTAGATTTCGTCGCCCAGGAGCTCGCGGGCGTGCGTATTAGTGCGCAGCGCGTAGAGAGTCGAGGCGATGACGGAGGAAGACGACTTTTGGTAGTTGAAGATGGCGATGGAGGAGAGGGCGATGAGGCCGAAGAAGATGGGGAGGGAGCGGGACCAGCGGAAGGAGACGGACTCGACATCTAGCAGCAAGAAAGAGGGGCAGGACGCAGGATATTAGCTTCTTTTGGGTCCTTTTCTTTAGACAGCAATGAAGGGGACCCGGAAGGTCCTGTGCTAGCAAGGAACCGAGAGACAGAGAGAAAGAGGAAGGAGGGGCAATTGGGAGAGATGAATCTGCGTACCTGGAAGTTCGCGATCGGCACGGCGCTCCATCAGCGTCTCGCCCGCCTTGGGAGCGCGCGTGATATGCCGCCTTTGCGTCCGCGCGACGTTGCGCAGAGCGCTCTGATTCCGTAAAACGGAGGAAGCGAGCCTCCTTTGGATGGCCCGGGCAAACATGGCTTGAGATTTAAGAGGGTGGAGGAAGAAGGAGAGTATAAGGCTGGAGTAGGGAATTGGGAAACAACAAAAGAAATTCCCCCTTGGAAAAACCCCAAAGTATCAAAGAGAGTGTGTTCTGGTAGTTGGCCTAAAACCTGTCGCCTGGCGCTCGTGGTGATTTGGGGTCCGTTATCAAAAAGTCAGCCCACCACCCAAGAAAAAAAGCGATTCCGAGTTGCTAGTCCTCCACTGATTGATAGCCGACTAACCACCACTGACGGGCTTGAGCAACGTACTGAGGGCCTTTGTTAGTGGCACCTGCGTTCCCTCCCGTCACGTGCCTGCCTCGCTAGTACTGCCTGGTACATAGTGTAGTACCAGGGCGCGGCGGCGTGGACTGGTGGGTCAGTTTGAACGAGCTCAAGCCACACTCACCCATTAGAGAAAGCCACACCAAGCATTTCATCCCCACAGCTAAAAGGCTACAGGGGTGTCAAGGCAATGACGACAACATCCATCCATTGATGCCAAAGCTCTCCCAAGCTTCCTCACCCTCACCTTGAACCAACTCCTCCTCCACTGCTATTCCCACCTCCAACTCCTCGACTTTCTCGACCGTCCCACTCAACAAACCAACCTAGCAAAAATACCAAAGAAAGACAACCCTTCAGGGTAGCCCAACCATCCCCTTGCTATGGAGCAAGAGCCCCTCACAACCAGGCTACGCAAGCCCTTTGCCTACCAAGACTCGGATTCCGACTCGCTCCCCTCCGCCATAGATGAAGAAGGTGAGCGCGCGGCAGCCCTCCATATCCCCCTCTCCTCTCCCGCCTCGTCGGAACCCTCTCAGAAGACGGTTTTTTTCCTCTCGCTTTTACCATGTTCTCCCCGTCGCACAACCGCTAACGCACAACCGCAACAACCTCCAGAACAAGAATCCCTCATCCAAAACCTCTCCCTCAAAAACTCGTCCCAAAACACAACCTTTCGCCAACTCCTCATCGCCATCCCCATCCTCTCCGCCGTCCCCTTTCTTCTCCCTTCCCCTCTCCTCTCGCTCCTCACCCGCCTCCTCGCCATCAAGTCCCTCCTCGCGACCTCCTTCCTCATCTACGCCCTCCGTCCCGAAGATACCGGCTTCGACGCTCTCAATGCCTGGGCCGCTTCCCAACCCGCTCGAGATCCGCGCCAAGCCGCTACCGGAGGGCGCCGCCCTGGTGGGCGAGGAGGACCCCGCTCTCTTCGGGCGCGCTCGGTGTCGCGTGGCGGGAAGACTCCCGCTCATGACCTGGCTGCCCTGGCTCAACGTCGGTTTGTCCTCCGTCCTTGTGCTTGTCGGCCTCGTTGCTCGAGACGGCTCCCCGCCCTTCTCCCTCGCATGCCTTCCCGCCATAGTGTATGGCTTGGCGCTCGCTGCCAAGATCGTCATGGCGGGTGTTGACCCTGAGAGCGAGCTTAGAGCTCTCAAGTACGATTATAAGGGTGCCTAAGCGCAGAACAAACTATGCACCCCGCAATGATTTTCTGCCCGGCGTCTTTTATATCTATTTATAATAATAGCATGTTTCGTGCAATTCATGTACTGCGTCTAGGCTTACCCTTGGTGAACAAGCCTACTACGTTCTATATATGGCATTACTTGATGAATATACCCAATACCCACCCCTTGAATTACCCCTCCAGTCTTTCCCCCATGCATCGTCTTCACTTTTGCCTTTACACGCCGCATACTCTTTAAACCGGCCAATTATGTCGTATATGGCAGAGAATACATGGTAATGAAAGAACAAAAGGCAAAGACTTGGCTTCGAAGCAACAACGTGCTTTTTGCGTGGAAACAAACGTCCCCACCCCATCCTCTACCCAAAAGAAGCGGAGAACCCCAATAAAATAAAGAGAAAAGAGTGCAAGGGCTGTTGAACTTGGGAAGAGAAGAAATTGCTCCATCTCGCCGCTCATCTATCCAGACTTTCCTTCGCATTCCCGCCAACTCTTGGTTTTTTACCCCCTTCCTTCAAAGACCACCACCCCGTCGTTAGTAAATTCAAATGTCTATAGACTCGGTAAAGCGTAAAACCCCATGGGTTTTCAGGACGCCGTCGACACCGTCAGGTGGCCGTGCAAAGGGATCGGCAAAGGGGCTGGGTATGGTGTGCGAGCCCGACATATCCATGACTAAAGCCAAACCGTGGGACTTGATAGAATCGATGAGGGCCGGAACCATGTCCTAGAGCAGAATGTGTTAGCTGGTATGCGTCATCCACGCTGCATCATGGTTTTGAAGCAATCGAATGAAAAGAAAGTGGCGAGAAGAGAGAAAACGAGAAAGGGGAAAAAGAGTAAAACAAAATAAAACAAGGATAATAGGAGACACGCCACATACCAATAACCGTGAACAGCAGATGAGACCCATAAAGTTGTTGCTCGTAGCAATGCGGACCGCCTCCTTGACGGACGTTGTTCCCCGCCCGCTGCTCTGAATGACATTGGGGGCCGGCATACTCTCCTCTCGCCCGAGCTCGTTGCACAGGAACACGGGGAAGTTGGGTTGCTTCCAGTTGAGCGCCGTGCAAAGGCTTGCGTTGTACGAGCTGAAGACGATGGAACGCACGATATCGGGGAATGCCCGCGCTGGGCCCGCGCGTGGTCAAAAACGATGGAGAGGATCGAGTCTGCAAAGGTGTTCAGGTCGACCGCGGGGCCGAGGTTCCAGCGCTTCTCATCCTCCTCCGTGGGATAAACGACATGGATGTTGACGTGCATCCCATGGGGAATGAGGGGTAGCGCGTCCACGAGCCTGATACCGGCTGTGGCCAAGACACGGTGCACGTCCGAGATCTCATCCAGCGGCCGCGAAGGAAGGGCAGCAACGAGCTTGCGAGCCGGGCTGTCGCTCGTCAGGGTGTTGAACTGCTCAAAGGTGAGTCGGCAAATGGGGGTATCTAGGGGCCCGCATGTCAGGGTCCAAGACGGCCACAGAACCGGTGTTCCGTCGCTCGTGTATTGCACGTATAGTCTGACATAGTCACCAGTAAGACTGGATCCGGTGACAAATGTGCTCGTGGTTTCTTCGAACTGACTCGTGGCCTTCCAGTACGTCTCGAAGTCCGTAATCTCAAGAGTCTGCCCCTTGAAAGGCTTGATGACTTGCGTGCTGAAGCTGATCTGACCAATGGCGCGAAGCCGGGGGTCGAAGAGCGGCAAGCAGCAAGTGCCAGAGTTGGGGGTCCTAAAGGTACTAGGGAGAGCCACCGTCTTGCCAATAACCTTTGCGCCATAGGTGGGAAACACATCAAAATCAAGCGTAAACGTCTCCAGGTTGTCGACCTGGAAAGAGACGAGGCGGGTATCCTCCTGGAAGGAAGCATGATGTTCTTGGGTATAAGATCCGACACCTTGGACGAAATGGTGAGTCGGGCCGCGGGATACTTGCCGTCGTGGAAAAACACCATGGCCGGCTCGTCAACTTCGTCGAAGCTAAGCTGCACCACAGTCTTGGTATCCAAAAGTTATGACCATACCTGCGGAGGGGATGATCGGAGGGGAGTTCGAGGGCGGGGATGGCGTCGGGGTCCAACGCCATGGGCGCAGGCGCGCTGCTGCTTCCCAGAGGGCCACTGAACTGCGCCGTAGGCTGCCTCATCAAGGGACTCGCTCTTGCCCTCTGATTGTACGGAGTCAGCAGCTTCATACATGTCAGGTGCCCTTCCCAAGCCGCGTAGTAAACTGCCGGAAGGCCCTTCTCATCTACAATGAGGGGATCCGCGCCCGCTTCGAGTAGGGCTTCCAGGCACGGTACGTTACCCTCGCTAGCGGCGTGGACTAAGGGCGTCCACCCATAAAGCTTGTCAATCTGGTCGAGATTCGCGCCGTATTGTTTTAGCAGGCCGAGCATCCTAGGTGTCCTGACGGACCTGGCCACAAGATGCTGGGGGTATAATCCTTCCGCATCAGGAACGATCCTGGCCCCGCTGCCCAGAAGGAGTTCGACTACACGTAGGGATCCTCGCTCGCAGGCTAAATTTAGTGGGACATGGTCCGTGTCTGAGGCCGCGTCGAGGCGGGCTGATTCGGAGACAAGCCTCGATACACACTCGAATCGATCGTGGATGATGGCGTGGAGCAACGGCGTGAAGTTGTCGTGATCTTTGAGATCTAGTGTCCGTAAATCGGCTTTATGGCGAGGGGTTAGTTAATTTGGCATGGAACAGCTACGCGGTGGGAAGATCACGATTGCGGTTTACCTTGTAGTAGAGCGTTCAGCATCTCCAACCACCCGTGCATGCTAGCATAATGGAGAGGCACCCTTCCGTAGACGTCGGTCCGGTCGGCGGCAACGCCCTTGGAGAGGCCGTACATCAGAACGAACGGTTTGCCATAGATGGCGGCTTGGTGGAGACAATTCCTTTCGTTGATGTCATCCTCAGACTGGATATCGACAAGGCCCGATTCTAGTAGTATACTCAGGGTGTTCTCTGGTGCTTCGTGAATGGCTGCGAGGAAAGTTCGGGTGACACGGTCGCCTAGAGGGATGCCGTCGCTGCCTGATTCGTCGCTAGCCGCCTTCATACGAACGAGGAGGTCCTTGAGCGATTCAACGTTACCGGTCACGGTCGTGTCGAGGAGGATGAAGTCGACATCTCCGTCATCGGTGCCTGGGATGTGCTGGCTCGTCACCACATGCTCATGTCGAACCTCGAGGCCGACATGATCACCTTCGGCCCAGGCGCCGAGCTCTTGCAAGCTGGTTGTCGCCTGGTCTGAAAGTTCGCTAATGACGACAGGGTTGAAGAAAGGTTGGACTTCGACTGCCCTTGAAAGGTAGAGCTCCTTCGTCTTGGATTTAGATGTCTTGTCCCATTTCTTGAGGATCTTGGAGAACGCTGTGCCGTTGACTTCCACAAACTGCTGGAGTTTGTTGAGGTCGGCCGCAAATTGCTGAAAGCCCTCCTCGAGGGCCGTAACCTTGGCGGACCTCCGAGCGTTCCCGGGGGCGGGATTGAAGGGCTTTCTTTTGTCGAGAAGCGTTTTTAACCTTATTTTAAGCTACACCGCAAGAAACCCCTTGGTTAGATATGGCGCGTTAGGGTGCCTGACCGGTCAAGGGTATCTCAGCCTTACCTCTGCCTCTTTTTGTAAGTAAAACGCGTTGACCTTTTCGAGTTCTCGTTCCTGCTTTAGGGTTAGTATACCTGCGGCCGCGGTAGCCATTTCCACGGCTCTAGGTTGCAGTTCATACCAACTGGAAGAAGAATGTCGCTTTATTCGCCTGAAGGGAGGCTTGGGGATCTAGAGGTGTGGAAGGGCGCTGGAAATCATTGAGAGTGCCCAGCGTCGGTGTCGCTGACAATTTCTTGATGAGCTGTGGAGCGAGACGGCATCGTCAGCAAAACTGGATCCACGGAGCCAGGCCTCTTGGCCACAAAATGAACCTATACTGGGCACGGAGTGGCAGGACAGGCTCTCCTTGGGCGCACATGGACAACCCCTAACCCCTCGCCTGACTGGCAACTTCACGGTTCGCCTTGGTCGAGGGTCAACGACCGCTTCGTGGCTTCTGCAAGTCACACGAGCATATATGGACGCGGCCACGGGCAAGGAGAGTACAGCCGCAACGCGGACCACAATGGTAGGTAGCGGTTTCAAAGAGGGAGGGGAAATATTCATAAACTGGAAGCTTGCAAGGGGGATTGAATGTGCAATCGGGTATGCCACTCCCGGAAGCGGGCTGCAGGGGATAATGATAGGCGCTCCATACCTTTTTCAGGGCCTTGTAGTTAACAAAGCTTGCAGCGTATTCAGGCACCTCAAGCTGGCGCTTCTGGATATGCTTTCCGAACTTCCTAAAAGAGAATTAGCCACATGAAAAACGAAGGGAGGGGGGTGGATGAGTACATTTTGCAGCGTCTTCAGCCTGTAGGCCCCACAGGTGCTCCTGAGGGAGATAGGCTGGACAGAGTGAAGGATTCCAAAGAAAAGCAAGGTCCACGTCACGCAGATGCGACTGAAGAAAGGCCCCTGCGGCAAGAGGAAGGGAAACAACAAGGGCGGTAAGCTACCGAGGGCGGGACTGCAGGCAGGAGAACAAGGCTTGGAAGAAGGCAGACGAGTCCGTCGTCAACACCGGAAGAGGGGAGAGGGGAGATAGAGGCCCAGAAATGTGAATGTAGAAGTGTAGGAGGGTGGCCCGGTGTAACTGGAGATAGGTCAAAGGACGTGGCTTCTTCCTGCAGACGAAAAAGTGCGTTGCTTGCGAAGGAAGTCCACGGATGCGACAGACCGAGAGCACGTGGTGAGAAGTAGAATTCTCGAAGGCGTCCTTGTGACGTTGCCGGGGTTAAGGTCCACTGAGATGATAGGCGTGGTGGCGATGGCTTGAGGATCCTGGACGTGCTGAAGTCAAGCCGATGTTAGTGGGAAAAGGACAGGCAGCTGGTTAAAGATGGTTCAACGAAAAGCGAAGAGATCTCGAGGGTGAGATGTGACAGGAAACAGTACAGATGGCGAGGTGATGGTAGGATCAAGGTTGAGCGAGGTAAGGCCAGTACTTGGAGGGGGTCGAGAATATGAGGGCGGTCCATGTTGCGGTTCGTGAGAAGGGACTTGGCTCATCATGGAAGTGTGCCCACCCATGCACACATATAGACACACAGTGGCCGTGTGTGGGGTTTCCACAGGCTCGGTTACTTGTTCCCAGAGAGAAATGAAGTGGAAAGGGGCGTGTGGATTTGGAGCAGCGAGTGACAGCCGTTGTCAAGAAAGGATAGGAGTGGGAATCCTGAGGCAAAGGGCGCGGGGAGGTGAAGGGGTGAGAGCAACAAAGGGGGTGGGGTGTAAAGACGCCCATCTATGCGTGGAGAAGAGAGGAGGCTCAGGCGTCCATGCACTTGCGAGCGAAGAAGTGATCCGAAGGTATGGGTGCAGGGATGTCTACTACAAGCAGTAGACAGTGAAGAGGGCATGGATGAAGTCCAGGAGCGAGGCATTGTTCAGGAATAAAGAAGAAGCGGGAGATGGACAAGGCATGGGAAAGAAATGAGCTGGGTAATGGGACTCACTTGGATGGAAACTGATGTTAGAGATGCGAGCGAGGAGGAAACTCCATCATCGTTGCGCGTAGTCAGTGTACGGTAAGGATGGGAGTAGCTAAAGGAGTGCAAAACTTGAGTAAGTATGCCGTCAAATGGTGAGGCGGTGTAAAGCTTCCTTGATGGAATACCCTAGGGGCGTGGGAGATGCAGACAATTCGGCCAAATGGAACGAAGGAGACGCGAGGACAAGAGAATTGAAAAGCGAAGGTTCAAGGGCGGAGGATATTGGTTAAGCATAAGGCGGGTGGCGCTTACAAGTGAGCCGATGCCAGTCGAGGACGCTTTGCCGGGGAGAGCGGGACGAACGCACGAGACCCAAAGTCACTACCGGTTCGTGCGATGGCCGAGCTGACTAGGCCAGGCGGCAGGGTTGGCCCGGGGAAAGCGGACGGAGCCCAGGAAAAGTCTTGGGCACGAAGGGGGACAGAAAAGAAAGGGGGGACCGAGGGAAGACAGGAAGAGCACTGGCTAGCAAAAGGGTTTGCTTAGCTGCAGGCTCGGATGAGAGAGGGGATTATGACACGCAAAAAGAACTGAGCTTTCGCACGCTGTGGTCTCCCAAAGCGGCTTCGGTAAATGGGCGAGAAGGGCTTGCAGGATATAAGAGCCCCCAGCTGGGGTGAGAGATGATGGGGGAGGGGGTAGATGAACAAATATCAGGGTTCCATATAGTGACGTGCGAACTGGTTTAAAGAAATGAATCGATTGATCACTCACCGATGACAGGCCCGCCGAGGCTGCAAGTGTGGTGGAGTCCTCACAAGGAAAGCGCAAGGTGTGGCACAAGTTCACCTCCAGCTCAGAGCGAAATTGTAGGACGATGGTATGGACGTGGTGAGATGGGCGTAGATGGGCGCAGGTGGGCTGCTGAAGCTCAAGCAAGATAAGAGAGGGGGAAGGGATAAAAAGAGAGGCACGCAAACTAAAAGGCACGAGCGGCAGGTCTGGGTCCTGCTTGAGAGGAAGAGGCTCAAGGGAAGAGCACAAGCTTCGGTGTAGGGCGGGAGTAAATGAAATCTGACTCTTCACTTCCGGGCGCATTGGCGGGGTGAAGTTGGGTATAACTCGAGATTGGGTGACGGCACAAGCTCGAGAATTCGCGGGTGATGGAGACGAGTAAGTTTTTTCTTTTTCTTTTTCCCCCTTCTCCATTCGCTAACAGTTTCCAATGTACGGCACCACAAGCTGCACGTTCTGTTGTTGTTTTTAGTGCGTCGGTACAACACCTCAGGCTGCACTACCTGACTCAAAACAGCTTCCAGTGCAGGAGCAGGACCGAAACCATCAAATTGATCACTCTCGATGTGCACATAGACTGAACATGTCATTGATAGACCTAAGCCGATATCAAGATCTAGATAGACGGGTCAGGGCCTGCCCACTGTAATAATAAACCCCAAATTACCTCTATACGATGTCTAGAATGAAACAATCACGGGAAATGTTGTTTGTTTGGTTGATCAATTGAACCAACCGATTCCCTTCACCAAAGAACAGCCTTGAGGCCTCATCCTTCTCAAAGACAAGCAACTTCAGCAGAAGCTCCACCATTTGACCCTAGCGGCCTCTCAGTCGGCGCTAACACCTCAAGCTACAAGTACGAAATCGGTCTCAATTTCATCCAGATCCATTTGATCCGATATCAATCCGTCCATCGATGGAGTCATGGATTATTTTGGACCAAATCCCTTCACTCCACTGTGTATACCCTAGCATCGCATGTGGAGTTGGCTGACAGGCTCCCTCGAAACGGGCGAGTATATTGTGTGCGTGAAGCTCGCTCGGCTTGAGCGTAGGAGAGCTACGTCTCGGCAATAGATCTAGCAACTGATCGGGCAGGGTCACAGAACATGAACCACCACGTGCTCGTAAAATGCGAATGCCCTTTTTTCTTTTTTTTTCTCTTCCTTGTCCGTTTCTCGCCCTCTTTGGTCCTTCTCTTTCTCATTCTTTGGCTATGGCGGGGTTCCTTGTATTACCAACTTTGGCCAAGCGCGATCAAGTTGAGTGAACAATCAATTACCAAGAGTACAAGTACCTAGGTTCTCTTGCGCAGAACACGGAATTGTGCGAGGAAAGCGCCTTTGGTGTAGCACAGCCCCCGGCGCAGTTGCAACCCTGACGCCCATCGACCTCAAACGTTGAACTCTAAAGCTACAATATTCCGAGTATTTTCAGACGGTGGATCCGGAGACGCCATTTCTGCTCGGCATCAACTGTACGTACCCTGAACAGACTCCTCAAGAGAGTGGATTGGACTACGGGCGAATCAAGACTAGCCAGCTCGTTTACGTTAGTGAACCAGTCGACAACTTGAATTAGAGCTGTGCGCCCCTTAGCCCAAAGAGATTCTAGAAGCCCTCGAATAAGCAAAGTCTGGGCCGTGGATCTATCAAGCTACGGTCCAACTATATCTATTGGATTCACCACCTACTTCGTACAAGTAATGACACCTTGAGAGATCGGGGGCAGCCCAGAAATACCAGGGCAGCACAGGGAAAGTGGTAAGCCTAGAGGAGGAGAAATCGAAACCCACCTTCTTCACCCTTTGTCCTTCGCCCTTTTCTCGACGTCAACCTTTTCTCCAGCTTGCCGCGCAAGGGTATGCGCGACCTCGGAGAGACTAGTCCAACAGAAACGGCACAAGATGCCGAAAAGTAGGAAGAAGACGATGGAGCACTTCTTCCTCCTCCTGCACTCCCAAGATACACGCCCTAATTTGAGGCTAGAGATACCTAGGAAAAGCCTTCAGGGAGAGGTGATGAAGATCGCAGATCAGCGGACTAGGTGGGATCGAAAGGGTCCATGGCATCCCCATCTCCTAAGTAAATGATCTAACTCGACCCACCAATGTAGGCGTAGTGTGGGCGATTCTCGATACTTGTCTTCGGCTCCCCTTTCCCTGGCCTCGTGTCCCGTCTCCACTCAATAGGCACGGTGGTTACGATTGTTGATCTTGGGCTATGTGTCGTGTGCCTCTTTCTTAGATGCCGGTGCATCATATTCACCTAGACCTTCTAGAAAGCTTGAATCTCATTCTCTGTTTCCGTCTTTTCTTTTCTTTTGTTCCTTTTCTGCTGGGGTCAACACCCTCCTGTTGAGTTACGTCACTGGCTTGGGTGTGTGCCTCGAGCACCAGATATTCATGGGTCAAACCGATGTGTGATTCGGCAAGTTTTGGCGACCCCGTCCCGGCTGGGCTTGATCTAATTATACATGGATTTTTTGCAGGACAAGACGACTCCGAAATACACCCCACTCCACTCAGCCAGCTCAGTTTCCCAGAAATCGCACGAAACCTCGCGAACAACGCGAACAACAATGGGCATGGAGTAATAATTGTGCTGGGCGATATCCTAAATACGTCTTCTCCCCAGAGCTTTGCTAAAACCGATAATATTTAGTGGCTGGTTGGTACCACGTCGTCTTGTGGGGGATCCAGGCTCTGCGGCATATCGATTAGATGGATCTCTATAATACAGGGGGTGACTTCTTTGCTTCCGACCAACTTGAGGGAACGAACACTGCACGAGCTCTTGGCCAACCAAGTGTAGCAATTGGCTGGGCCATCAAGCAATAACGTTGGCAATTTTCCAGCACTGGTGTTGGCATCGTCAACCTGCAGCTTGCAGAGCAGAGATATGCCACACCCTTCCCGCGATGCCTAACCCGGTCTAGCTTGGTCCCCCATTTTCACCATCTCTCTCCGCCCTTGCCCCATCGCCCGTCCCTCGGTCCACACAAGACGTTCCAAGCTTTAGTGGCCCTAGTCTCCTACGTCGAGCATTCTTGCCTCCTACTCAAAGAGACCATAGAGCTGCAGTTGCCCTTCCCACGCTTTCCGTCCAATGGCATGCTCGAATTCGACCTCGTGGCCCATCGACACGCTACGGGCGAGGCTGAGATATCATGTAGAGCTACACTTCCTGCTTTCATCGCGCATGGTGCTTGACTCTGTCGGTTCCCCACGACTCGAGGTGGGGAAAGAGAGCCAAGTTGGCCCAAACCCCCGCCGTGCGGTTTGTCGGGCTCGCATGATAGAATCCGGGAGCACATGTCTTCGCGTGCCTTTCCTACTCGAGCGGTTCGTCGATCCCTAGCTGATGAATACCACAATGTTGTTTATTGATTCTCCCTCGTGGTGGAGCACTGACCTGCGAGTTTTCAATGGCTGATGACAATTGCGCCGCGCGAAGTTGCATGGGACAATGGCGGGGTCCATGATGCGGGGTCCTCCCTTCCTAAGTTCTTTCACCCTTCAATCCCACCAGTTTCAAGCTGGGTCAAGGCGAGGTTGGTAGAAAGAACGGGTGTACTCCGTACAAGAGAGAATATGTTGATGATGCCTCTTTAAGAACTTCCCTGCTCTCATCGAATCCGGACATGGTTTCCGTTGAGACGGTAATAATTGATACTTGTAGAACTATCCGTGGACCACACGATGCCTGCTTCTTGCTCTTCTCTTCACCTCGACTATTTTCTTGCCGGATAATACAGAAGGACCGTCTGCCCTCTCTAGCGCCGTGATCGTTCCAACAGCGAAGCGGGGCTCTATAATGTCTCACGGCCCTGAAAAGTGGAAAGCGCCCGCTCCTGTGCTTACCGCACCTATGGATAGGGCATCCAACGACACGCGCGCGATCGCACGAGGGGAAAGGGGGATACGCCTTGTTTGAAAAAACACTAGTACGGTAGCCAGTAGATTATTTTTTATTTCTTTTTTCCTCTCGGGTGTGTGACCTCGGGAATCTAGTCCGCTTGCAGCAAGCTTAAGGTTCTCTTGGCGTAGAATATGGCGTAAACGACGAGGGGACGCCCAAGGCCTGCGCTGCTCTAATATACACCCCTCACGAGAACGTTCGGGGGACAACGGGTATGAGAGATTAGGAGAGAGAGAGAGAGAGAGGCCGAGATGGGCAACACTGTGAACACAAGGAGAGAGAAGAACAGCATGGAAGCAGAGCCCGAGACACCCCGTCGAGCTGGTCCACGCCCCTCGCGAGACTCGTGATTCCGCACCCATCTGAAAGCATCCCTTGCCTATTTCTTATTTGATAAAAGTAGACGGATACGCCACGCCAGCTTCGTGACTTCCCGGGCTCTGTTACGTCCCCTTGTTTAACCACGTGCTCACTTGCCTCGCTACGGCCTCTCTTCCCCTTGATTTGGATAAGCCGCCTTGCCCCTTTCTTGTTCTCTCCTTGATTCTTCCTCCCCGCCTCCGTTCCTCCTCATCTCCTCCCCCTCCTCTTCGCCCTTCGTGATCTATCTCCCTTTTGGACCGCTTCGCTGGTCTGTTGGCGTGACCTAACCCACCCACCCTCTGCTTTCACCTTGACTCTTCCCGCGTTCCTCCGAAGACGTGTTCCTTCGTACGCCAGAATGGGGTCCTATATTCCGGCAGTAAGGGGGAAGGAGGGGAAGAAGGTGGTTTAATCACGAGGGTGTGCTTTGATCAATAATCATGCTCGGAGACAGGCGCCGCTCCGCGGGGCTGGGAAGTGAGAACGGTGTGGGAGGTGAGTGAGAGGTGAAGTGGGCTAGCGGTAGCTTCCACTTCGTCATATTCTCTCGTGATACTCAACGCTAGCTGAATCATTTTGGCAGCTCTGATTTCTTGTCTTTTGTGAAAAATCATGATTATCCTACTGCTAGGCTCAAGCGCGCCTCACCGTACCATCTTACCCCAAAACCACCCGGTTCGGACATTCACCCAGTGGGCAACAATCTTTAGCCACCACATTCACATCCATGCTGCATACATGACCAACCTCTCCTCTCGCATTGGCACTATCCTCCCGTTTTGACGTGAAATCCCTCAAGTCCCCATTCTCCCCCTCCCTTTCGTTGCCTCCGGAGTTCCGCATAAACTACAATACCGCTCAGCTCTTGGAACCGGCATCCGTGTTCGACTTATCATCCACGAGGCTGTCGGCCATTGCTTCAGCCGCCGCCTTGCGCAACCTCTCCGCATCATCAGCCCCGGCGCCCTTCGAGCCCGATCCGTTACCGGCCCCTGCGCCGGCGGTCGTCGTCGCTGCCTTGTCCTTGAGGTCTTTTTCGTCCTCGCTATCTCCGAGACTGAACGGGTCGTTGTCCGTGATCGGGCTCGGCTCAACGGCCGATAGTGGCTGCCACTTGCTCTGCTTGTTGCCGGGAGGTGTGGCCGTGTCTCGGGCGCCGAGCTTCGGCGATGAGTTATACGCGTCGATCTCCTCAGTCTCCTCCCTGAAGGCTACCCTACGGCCGTCGTTTGGCCTGGGTGACTTGGACGGTGGGGAGGCTTGAACAAATTGGGGTTTGCAAGAGGTCTAGGGTCCCGGATGGGAGCTATTCGAACGAGTTAGGAATACTTGCCGCCATCTCAACTGGACCGCACTCTCCAAACCAAAGATAGAGGGGTCATGGGGCAAAGGACAAGGCGTGTCTATACGTACTTCCATCAGCCGCGAGCTTCATGCCCGCGAAATCATCGGTAATGAGCTGTGGATCGGCATCGTAGCGATCGTAATCCCCACTCCTCCGGCTGGACTCGCCGGGTCTCCTACCATAGGCGAGGTGCTGCTGCTGCTGCTGCTGCTGCTGCTTCTGCCGCTCTGCTTCCTCCTCCTCAAACGCATCATCAATCTTCTTCTTAAAGTTCGTGATCCATGAGTTGACCTTAGTCTGCGTCTCGAAGAAACCCTTTTTAGGTTCTCGCGTATAACGGGTAGGTCATCGTCTAGGAAGCTGTGTTCCCTATCATAGAGTTCGTTGGGCTTTAGGCCCGTTTCATGCTGCGCCTGCCTATTGTGTCTCGGGTCGCGAGGTTGCCTCGTATGTTGGTGTCGGTCTTCGTATGCCCCTTGCCTTTCGTAGTGTTCCGCTAGCTGTCGCGCGTACTGTTCATCCGCCTCGAGCTGGGACAAACCGCTGCCGACCCCAGCGACGGGCCTAGGGGCTGCGGGGGCGGCGCAACCTCCTCTTCATCGTCCTTAGCTGCGTCTGGGTCCGTCATCTCTGTGGCACCTTGTTGTTAGTTTTTGTTTTGCAGTTCCCCCCGTTCCCTTCCAAGCCCTGTTCTCGTTTTGGGACATCTCGCCTGGGCGCGGGAGGAGGACCAGGGCTTTTGCATTCTGCCCAAAACTAACCTAGGAGAGCATGGAAAGCAGGCTCGACCTGTCCTCGACTAGCCCTCAGAACCGCCTTAATCACGCCATCTTCCACCGTGGGGAAAGCTTCCTTGAGGGTGAGCTCGTTCTTCTGCGCCTCCGTCAGGGGTCGGGGGTTTAGGAGGGGAACGTCGTCGGTGGCGCCACCCGTCGGGGAGGCGCCAGCCGCGCCAACGGCACCCCCGAGGTGGCCTTGGAGGTATCCGTCTTTGCCGCCGCGGGGTCCTGCACCACCCCCGACTCCTGCACATCATCGTCATCGAGCTCGAAAGGCCGAGCCGTGGTCGGCGACTCAGGCATATTTAGGGTAGTTTTGTCTTGCTATTAGGAGGGAGGAGAAAATGGCAACAAAAGGGAGTTGCCAAGGTCAAATTAGCAAGAGTTCTGAGAATTTTCCCTGCCTGGGATGGATCGCGTGGATGTGGCCGGAAAGGATGCATAAACTGCGCCTTCGCGGAGCCGAGCACTCACGGTTTCAGCTGGTGCCGACATAGTCGTGGGGCAACCGATTTGGAGACGATTTCTTTTTTATTTCCCTACAGGGATCAAGGTTGGAATTTGGTCGCGTCGGGTAAAATAGCTTTCAGGAAGACAGGACAGAAAAGAGGTCGGCTAGAGTTGATCGGGAGATCGCCAGAGAAGGTGTTGCAGATGGGTGCCTTCTGCTTCCCAACCTGAGAGTCCTAATATTAATCGGGGTGTTGCCCCCTCTGTGGGATAACAGCACATATTAACAGGCTACAGTACTGGGACTGAGGGGCAACCCCGACGACGTACTGGATGACGCACAGAAGAACTTTGACGCAACCTGTGCTTCCTCTGTGCCTTCGCGAGCTTGCCTGTGAGAGCTCCTTTCCAGCTGATCGCCAGCTGGCAACTATGCACCCAACAGGTTAGAACTCGGAAATACATGTGATGACATAATTCCTCACCATTATCACATGGAACATGAGCGTCGTCAGACCTAGCTCTCCGAAATACGGTGGTACGTCAATCAATCGGGAAGTCCCTGGCGGACAATAGTAGTGGCTACCCACCTGACGTTACTTCTACATTATTAAGTGTCGAGTATCGATCTAAGAGAAGTGCACGCGTATCTGGAAGAGGTGTACCAGTCGATAGGATTGAAGTATCTAACAACAAAACATAACCATTGGGAAAATGGCCTGCAAAAAGATGCATCAAACAAGAATAAGCCTCCGCCCAAAAAAGGGTATCATGGTGAATGCTCCTAGCCAATTCTGTGCCTATGCTTTCCAGATTCCCTAAACGCCTTGCCGGACCGAAATGCATGTGATAAGAAAAGCAAGTGCGATAAAAACAACAAAACTATGTACTTGTAAGAGATCGGTTCTAATCAAGGACAATGATGTCCTTTGGTCTGATGGGCTGATCGTGATATGGGTAGGACCGTCGAGTGAGGTGTTGGGGGTGGGAGCTCGCCGGCACAAGCTCGCGAGGCTGGCCTCGATTACGGGTGAGATCGCTGTGTTGGGAGGAGGGAGGGTAAAGGTGTTGGTAAGGATGGTCGTGAGGATCACCGTAGGGTCTATCCAAACTTGTGAGTATAGGGAGGCCGCAGAGGACTTTTTGGGAACATACGGTTCCATGTGTTGTGAAAAGTATGGGCCAGATTCAACGTGCTGCCTCCTTGAGGGAAATCCTCCATTATCAAGCAGCTCACGGGTGGCTTCCCATATCGCGGCTCAGGGCTCCGGCGTTCTATGCGTCTAACAAAGATGGGTTGCATGGGGCCCTGGCGGATGTCACCTTGGCTAGGACCATAGCTTGCATCAGCATAACGGGGCGGCGCAGCGGGGTGAAGGATGGATGGCCGGCCTGGCCCTCCATTTGCGCCAAAGGGCTGCTGTGCAGGGTGGGGTGTCTGAGCAATCGGGCCACGAAGATTGACATAACGCGGAGCACCCACGACGACCTCGCGGACGTTGACGGCCTCACCATCGTGCCGAGAGGAAGACACGGAGTACCGCGAAGCGGCAGTTGGGTCTCGAAATTCAATGTGTGCTGGCTGTACCTCACGATACATCTGCCGGCTAGGAAGATGCTCCCTTAATGCCGGTTTCGGGTCCACATCTGCATAGGTGGAATGGTGGTACTCAGGTCGGGTAACATGGTAGTTAAGCTCCGCAGGGTAATGCGGTTGGCCATTCAAGTGATTCAGATGAGTCACGCCAAGGGACGGCAGCCTCCCCTCTCCATAGTCGCCTGTGATCCGACGTCGCTTGACATGGTGTTCTTGAGCTTGGTCAATAGGGGGTAGTAAGTCTGAGGATTAGAGTACATTCCAGGTCGGTCATCGTCTGGGCTTTGTTCACGGGCACGCTTGTGAGCAGGGATGGCACGGATAAACCGTGGGGCCATGGACACAGGTGCAGGGGCCTCAATGGACCGAATAATGATATCCGAGTAGAAAGGCTCTGTGGGTTGCTGGCTACGAGATGACGGGTTGGTGAAGCTGCGGGTCATTACCTGCGTAGGGGAACGTCTGGCTTCATTTAGATGAATGGTACGGGACAAGCGCGGCCCTTGGCTGTGGTCAAGCTCAGGCGCGGTAGGATGCCCACCGAACACCGGTTGGGCAACATGAGGGCCGCCAGCCCTCCTCGCAGGACTGGGGAATATCACTTCAGGATTGGCCTGCGCTGGGTGAACACGGGATGGGGAAGCCATTGGGGAAAAGTCCAAACCCCTAGCGGGAAATAGCCCATTGCTCGAGGTTCTGGCCAGCGGCGTGCCTTGCGGTTGGTGCTCCACGTTGTCTTCGTGGCGTCTCCTCTCCATGGCTTGCTCCCAGGCGGCTTGATATCGGTGAAACCCGCGCTGCTCCTTCTTGCCGCCTTGCGGTCACGTTTGCTGAGACGTGCATTACCTTTAGTCCGGTTTGGAGTGGTCGGCACCTTTGGGGTTACATGCCTAGAGGTTGGGGTCGGGCGAGTCCTGTTCCCGGCCCCGCTGATGGTCAAGGCAGCAATACCGGCCTCAGGCCGCTCCAGAACACGGGCGGCCCTGTGGGCAGCTACGAGGTTCGCAGCAGGAGGTGAGATGACGACAGGGACATCAGAGTCTTCGCCAGTCTCTTCGTCGTCATCCTCCGAGTCGGAGATGACAACAACTTCTCGAAGAATAGTGTCAAGCTGGTCACGTCCGTTTTCTTCATCACCACGCCACTTGACGATTATGTCGAGACAGACTGACTCAACCGTTTTCCTTGCACGCTCCCAAGTAGTTTGTTTTAGCAAAATATCATAACGTGTGTGCCTATGCCGAATATGGGCCAGGACCGCAAGTTGTACTCGGCGGGATAGTGTCAGTTCCGGGCAAAGGCCTACGACGGGGCCGCCGTTGGAGGATTTGCCCTAGATAATCGTGAGTAATGACTCTTTAGGTGTAGCAGAATTCCGGTACAGGCCCTACCTTTCTAAACGCATGGTCAATGATCTCTTGACGATCCGTGTTGGGAATTCTCGGAAATAGCTCTCGAAGAGCGGCGTCGGCCTGCGCATTAATCTCTTCTTGACTTTCTGGGATCGCTTCTGAACGCCGAGGCTGGCAACGCCATGTGGAACGGGTCGGAGGTCAAGAGTAGCCCTAGCGTCTTCAACAATCATCTCGCGGAAATGATAACCGATGCGGCATGTATGCAGAGACAGCTCACTCGAGTCATCCTTTGACGTCTGATGTTATGGGAAGGATTAGATTAGTTGTGCACGTAAGAAAAGAAAGCATCCAGGGTCCCTGCGAAATCTTCGGGCAATCAAATACTAACCGACACCACGAAGACCATCGCGTCTCGCTCTCGAGATAGATCGACGCATAAAGTTGTCAGCTCCGAGTTGCCTACTGTAGGGAGAAAGGTATAGCCTGGGGTGGCTCAGTCTCGATGGTAATCTGCATGTCTGAGTTAGAAGCGGCAGCTTTGCCTTTCTGTCTTCCTAATTCTTGCCCAACTGAAGTTCGATCTACCTGGCTTTCTAGTTGCTTCTTCTTGTCCTTATTTTCAACTAGTTCAAAAAACGACTGATGTTTTAGTTTAGGCTGGGGAGGGGGTTTTTAGCAACCAAGTCTGGCGGCAATTTTGCTCGAGTCGAGCTCGGCTTGGTCGCCTTTTTGCTTTATCGCGGACATCGCCACTAGCAGCTGATTTTTCTTTCTCTTCTCCATGTTCTCTTTTGTTGCAACTTCTTCCCTATCCGCAAGCGAGTCTATCGAAACATCGCAGGTAGTGACGATACTGTCGCAGGCACACCTAATAAGGGGGAAAGGAAATTAAGAAAAAAATAGAATGGCTCAAAAAAAGAGAGAAACGCGGCAAGGGAGGGAGGATGAGGGAGAGAGTATGGCTAATGGTAGCCAGCTTCTTCGTTCCCCTTTCTGGTTGTTGGCGATCGGCGCCAGCGATTGTTAACGAAGATTATTCGATGATAATCAGCCCAAGGTGTTCTTTGACCTCCGTGATATAGCACACTCGAGACGACCATTCAACTTGGATATATTCTCCAAGGGCACAGTGATCCAGGGTAGCAGAAGGAAAGGAGTTCAGGCTAGGGAAGGGGTCGCTCGAACGCAGAACCCAAGGCGGCGCGGCTGCTGATGCCCGACGGAGTGTTGGCTAAAAGATGCGCAGGAAATGAAAAGCAGGTCTACTCGGCACAGCTAGACGATGGTTTCTCTCAAAGAAAACCACCGACAGGTCGTGTCGTTTGATGACGAAAATTCACGCGATGTACCGTTGTCACGGTTTGATGCGAAAAGTCAGGTTCTTGAGCAGCGCAAGCAACTGCTGTGATGAAGATTAAAAAACCAAGAAGGATATGAAATGGCCACCAGATATTTAGGCTGTCAGCTTGGACGGTCATCGGGCAGGAACGAGGCGCCCGCATCACGTGTCGAAAGCTTATGTGGTGTGAGGTGCTCGGGTTACTCGCCTCCAGCCGCAACCGTGTCAGCGGTCGACTCCCAGGACACGCGAACCTTACTAATCATGCTCTTTGGGTCAAGATTGCTTCTTTAGATGCTAACCTTGTGTGGGATAATAAACTACATCAATACCGTACCAAACCCAAGGGCATCAGGTGTTTCTACCATAGCAGCCGTTCACAGGCCAATTAAAAGAGAAGATGAGGCTGGGGCTGGGTCCTTGTGCCCAACGCAGCTCTGAGCGTCCGAGTCGCATACCCTGTGCCAGCAATTTCCACTGGCGATGCCTCTCCCTACTAAACTCCCGGTTTCCTCGCAAAGAGTGAAAAGTTGATATTGGTCCAGAAGAACTCCCCCAAAAGAAACAAAAATAAAAGAAAAAGAAGAAAACAGAAGACGAAGATATGAAAAGAAAAGAAGGAACTAGCATCAGCCTAAGTTCGGGGCCGCGGCTATTCGAACAAGATTCAATCAAGGAGGACCCTCCTCCAACGCCTTAATGCTATTTTTTATGAACTCAAAGGAAGAGAAGAAGATGGCGTTAACGGCACAAGAGCGGCCCATAGACACCCCGAGGCCACGATACATATGGCGCTTGAACCATTCGATCCTTGGACGTGGCTCTACTTTTGGCCCTTTGAGTATAAGAGCGAATTCTTTTGGTAAATGCTCTTTGCAGAGTCGATGGGATCTGGAGAATTCGCATCAGCCTTGCCACGCCGGGAGACGACGGGAGTGTACGAATATTCCGGGACTTACATATCGCCGCCCAAGAAACGATACCACAGAGCCCCCTGACATGAGCACTGCCAGTTTACGAGTATAAGGGTATTCGCCGCCCAAAGAGGTGACGAGTTGCTTGCTGCTTTCATATACCGCAAAATATATAGCCGTTCCGAGGGTGTCGCGCACTGTTCCGAGTCAATGGACGCCTTGGGGGCCACAGGTGCCAGGAAGGAAAGCTTACATAAATGAAGGTTAAACCCCGTATATAAACCCATAGCACCTCTGTGCTTGATGATGGTAGCCATTGTCTTTAAGGTGCCCTTGTTCTGGTAGCTCGCAGCCACAGCACGGCGCTGGTCGCAAATGTTGTTTCCTTGCTTTGCGCCAGCAACACCGATACTTGGGCGCTTAGCTTGGTCAATTCGAACGGGCAGGCGAGAATGGTGATGAACGACCCAGCTGTCGCGCCAGCGGCGGCGAAACATGCACAAGAATACATGTTGGGGAACCTCGCCTTGTCACTCGTGCGAGATAACACATCGACGCCAAAGTTCTTTTTGATCCAGGCACCATATTCATTCTTCGATCGTACATATATTGAGAAGGAGATTGTTCGGACGAGTGTCACGCTGGCCATGGGGGCGACGACGCCTTGAAAAGAGAGAATATCAGCTTTCTCGCCGCTTCACTGGCTGCCACGCTAGAAAGAGTGGAACATGTACATACCGCGGAAGAAACCTCGGAGGTGTTCAGTCTTATAGGTGTGTCTTATACAATCAATGACACCGTTATATTGGTATGTTTGCATGCGAGTCTTGACGCTGTCGAGGGGGAATGCGGCGAGAGTGGAGATAACACTGGCGCCGCTGGCAGCTATCTCTGTCCGGTAGTGAGTCGCCCACTCCTTTGCAACCCCTGTAATCCCCCGTTTTCAGGCATGATTCGGAACGATGGAGTGTTGACGGGAACATATCGGGATGGCCGCGGAGCTGTCCCGCTACGAATACGAAGGGGAGGTCGGAGCTGGGTGCCTCTCGTCCCGTAAAGCTGTTCTCCTGTTTTGTGTCTCTTATTCTGGCGCGTGGTGAGGCGGGATTCTTTGGTTCGGCGGTGGAAGCGGTCGTGGAAGAGTCCCGCAGATTGATTTAATGTAGGACGAGTGTCGTTAAGGAGAGCAAGGTAACGCGCGTAAAGTGGGATACGACTCCTCAATGCCAACCTCGAAGACGTTGGGGGAGCGCCCGGATGAGTCAGGTGTAGGTCGTCAAGCGGGTTTCCTAACTGCAAGTGTGCCGATTTGCTTCGTCCTCGATAGACTGGGCCAGCTCGGACATGGACGGTGTAATGATCCGGAGAGAGGTCGACGGTCGAGGAACCATGCCTTGCGTGATATGAAATCACGATGTTGGTGGCTTTTGCGGGGTTCAATGCCTCGAGCTCAGGAAGGCTACAAGAGACATGTGGGCAGTACAGAGTGGTGGTGACGGGAGCTTTGAACATGAGCCACCTTCCCCACCCAAAACCTTTGGCAATCATGGTAGTTGAGCGAGCCAGCACACCCTGCCTAGTATCATGATGGCGAGGGCCAACGAATCAACTGTGACCTCTGAGGCTCGCAGTACCTCGCTGCACAGGTCTGCCTGTTCATCAACGTTTAGGACGAGGGCAGCTCACTGTGTGGGGCAGGAGGGGCAACTGGTGACCTGAGCACATACGTCACATGGCTACAGTGCATGCCCACTAACAGGGTACTGTTTCGGGCCCCTCTTCCCCAAGTCCCAATGTGAACCCAGCTGCCAGCGTGCTGCAATCAAAGAGAGTCAATTGTCCATTGATCAACTGGATTGATGGATTTGATTGAATGAATTCAATTGACCACAACCGAAAGCAATTCCCGCCAACCCAGGCAGGCAGGAAGGTAGGCCGGGAGCCTCTAGCCCCCAACGGCATGGAAGCTAGCGGTTTGGAGCTTCCTAGAGTCCGGATTGGCCGATAACAAGCTCTCCTCGTGCTCCTATCCTCGGTTGTAAGCGCAAATCATCATGTAACAAAAACGTCACGGAGTCAACCACGGGAGCGACGGCGTAGATTGATTTCTTTCCGAGTCAAGATGCAATTAGAGGCCCCTTTCAACATTTTGAAGAAGGCAAAGTGGGCACAGAACGAAAAGGCGAGAGAGAGAAGGATGGGGGAGGAAAAGAAGATAAATTTCGAAATTCAGCAGGAAAAAAATAAAGAAAAACAAAACAACTCTTCATGTTACGAATGAAACAATCAAGAGAGAGGTGTTGATTGATCGATGAGGCCCTATGCCCCCTGCCCCCTTCCATCAACACACATGCATCTGATGGCTGATGGATACCAAACCCCAGTCACTCGTCCCACGCACTTCTGTACATTGATGCTAAAGAGCTCGAAGAAGTGAGAGAGTGCGTTAAGGAACCTGGAAACTACCACGATCGGAAGCCTAAACGTGGACGCACACTAGTATTCGCACCGCAAAATCTCGTTGTGACTATTCTTTGCTGCAAGTGATCGTGGTCTGTCCTGAATCGTCCTAGGGGTAGAGATTCACCTTTCCGTGTCCAAGAGCAGTTTCACGACTCCAATGTGACCATTTTCTGCAGCCCAGCACGGCTAGGACAAATCCGCGGGGATTCTGTTAGACACGAGTCAGGTCCCGGTAAACGTTGCTACCGAGTGCGGGAGAATTGCACTTTCGTGGGCGGCCGACACCGGACACGAAACCTCAGTGGAGCTACTCTTCGAGAGCGGTCAAAGTTGGCGTGGGTGAATAGATGCCCACGACAAAACAGCTCGCTTCTAGGCCGCAGAGAACAGGCACGGGGCCGTGGTAGAACTCCTGCTCTACCATAGGAGAAGCGGGGTTACCCCGGGATAATTTTCGCGCCTCCGGACACCGTTCTCGAGAGCGGCGGGGAACGGCCGTGACGCATCGTCAAGCTTCTGCTCGACACAGAGCAGGCCAAGTAGACTTCAGGGAACATAGTGTAGACGGCCGGACACTGCTGTCATGAGCTCTCCCCGTTCACCCCACGCTGCTATGGTTCAATCAGCAGCTTCAAGTAGAATTCTTATCACGGAGTTTTGACCCTTGTCGGCAGTCAACCATGAGGTTTGCGTTGTTGCCTGAGTTACATTTTACAAGGGACATAAGCCCTTCTGGGACTCGATGACAACATTATGAAGCTCATTAGAGTTGCTGGCTCCGATTGAAGAGTAGACAGGGGTGCAAAAGGACGAATGGTGGGCCTCCGTCGTTCATGTCTGCTCATGGCGTTGAAGCTCAAGTACCTTGGGGACGGGGTTGTAAGATGCTGGCATACCCTGCCTTGCCTGCCTCGGAAAGAGCTGCTAAGTGAGGAGCAACACAAAGAGAAAGTGTATAGGTCGGTGGGTTTTAGATCGGCGGACGCGACCTTTCCTAGGTCTAAGATGTAGGATGTGGTTCATTTACTATATGTAGGGGATGTCATGTCCCCCGTTCCCGTCCAGGCCTCTGCTATCAGACACATTTGAGTCCATCAATCGACATTCAAGATGAAAATGACGCCCACGGCAGCGACTCATCCACCACTATATTACATTAAGAGTCCCAAGCAAGACCCTCCGGAGCTACCTCCAATACCTTTGTTCTAATGGGGGAACAGACTAGAAATCGGCACTGGTACAAAACCCCTAAGGTGCTTCTCGGGAACCCGAGTTTATACAAGGATCGCACTTCCGACGCGCTAAAATTACAGAAAAACTCATATGTCGCATCTTATTCCGACGAAGGCGGGGTGGGAAGGCCTTGAGAAGCACTTGGCCTGAGGCGATCGTCAATGGATATGGCTTGAGGTCTTAAGCCAAAACCCTTGCCTTGGCGAGTGCTCGCACGGTGGCCACCCCGCTCAAGCGGTTCTCATGCGAGGCTGAGGGTTTGGGTTGGCGAGAGGCCAAGAGGGGATGCCTCGCAGTGAGAGGTGTTCGCTCTCCTTTACAGGCCGTTAAAGAGAGCATGTTAACGAAGGCACAGCCCCATCGTCTTGTTCAACATAGCGACCGTCATATTATAATGGCGGTAGGATGTCCCGCCATCCTCATCGCTGTGCCTATATCGTTAGCTACATGTGAAGAGGAGAAAAGGAGAAGAGGAGAAGAAACCCGCCGGCTCCGCCTTCCTTTGCCGAGGAAGAAACGACGGTCAAGAGGGTTAGGTCAAAAACAGGGGGAAATCGCACGCACCGCAGCCCCGTCGCTCCAGAAGGACCCTTCTTGCCGTGCGATAAACGCTGTTGTACCATCTTCCACGTCGTCTTCTCCTGTCTCCGACGATACCACGCGACCTTGAGCAGATTCCTCAAAATCTTGTGCTCGAGCCCCCGTTCCTTCGCTGCCGCGTCCAAAAACCAGATGGTCCGTCTAATGGCGTCCTTGTCGGGCGCCGCTGCCACGCCGCCCGCGGCGTCTTCCCGAAACGCCCGTCGCAGCTGGTCTCGCGCCACGTACCGCGCCGGCACCGAGTATTGGACCGCCCGTAAGAGGCCGCGGTAGAGGTGCCTATAAGCATGTATGATATCCTGCGTTGCCATGGCTCGGTCAAGAGTGAGCTAGGCGCGAGAAAAACGAAAAAAGCGTTGTCAGCTTTTTCCAGCCCCGGTGCATTGAAAGAGTTCCAAATATCTCTAAAATGGGTGGCGGATGCTGATTACGACCGTGTATCTCAAGCCGTGCCTGATTGGTCAGGCACGGACCTTGATTCCTTTTCTCACACGACAACCCATCGATGTATCGCAAGATTCAGCCTGGGTCAGCTCACTGAAAAATGCTGCGAGAAGGTGAAAGAATGGGCGACATTAAATCGTGCAGAGTTGGCAAATAAGGGGATTCCTCTTTAGTAGAGAAGGAGGTCCATAGATGGTATATCAACAGGTAGCAAGACCGCTCGCCTATCTCTCGGGTTCAGGGCATGATAATGAGGCGATCTAAGGACGGAGCACAATTTAAACATCACTGAGGCTATCAAAAAAATCGTTAAAGTCTACATCGGCCTGGAGGCAAGGCTCATGAGTGACACCCAGGTTTGGCCTTCTAAGCTTCCATTGTTTATAAATATTCCTATTAAGATAAAAGAAGTCCTCCTAGACAATGATGTTCATAAAACCCTCGGAACGGATTAGGGGAGAGTAAAGAAAAAGGATAAGACAGAAAAAGAAATGTGTAACGAAATCAAGGTATATGAGTATAGTATAACAGGAGAGAAAATGTGGCAGTCTTGCGCTTGACCGTCTTGCTTCTTCAGCAACCAAAAAGGATAGGGTGAAAAAGGTGAGTGAGATGATGAAGATAGATCCCGAAGCGCTGGGGTTTACAGCTAGGGAGCTCGGCGCCTTCTGAGACTTTGAGCGGCTCGCTAATGAGTCAAGCTGTTGAAACGTTCATCATCAACCTCAAGTAGCGCCATCTATATGCAAGAGCTGGTAATCAAAAAATAAAGTGTAGGGAAGTTAGCACCCCCATGAAGTTGTACAACGGAGGGTGAAGATAAATTAGTCGTCTCCTTGTCGAACCGGGGCATATCTGCCGCTACTGCTACCGCTGCCAGCTCTGCTTCGGCTCCCATTTACGACCCGAGAAAGCCAATTGGTGATTCCACCATCATTCGGCGACGTCGAAGGTTTCGGGTGCTCGCTTCCTTCGAGGTCTGGGGGATCGAGCGTAAGACCAGGAATTGCGTTTGACGGGGTGAAGCCTGAGCGACCGCGGAAGTCGGAACCAATTGGCGAGCCAGGGTACATGAGAGAATCCGTCTCCGCACGGAGTGAAGGCGTCCCGGCAACGGTGCTCGCATCGCCAAATAGGACATCCATATCCTCGAGTCGGACACCGCAGGTTTCCGGATAAAGAAAGTACACTAGTCAGGTGACGGTGATGGTCAGTGAGAAGGTCTGCGAAAGAGTGTTTTATCAAGGCAAAGACAAGTGTCAACATACCGACAACGAAACTGACAGCACACCAGAACGCATGAACCAGGTACAGGCGCCAATGGATGAGCTCCTGGAAGACAGGAGTGGTCTCACCAACGAACCAGTTGAAGGCCCAGTTTGTGGCAGTGGAAAGACTGGCACCCTTGGAGCGAATGCTCAGGGAAGGATCTCGGGCGGATAGAGCCAGGGGATCGGGCCCCACGAGTATCCAAAAGCAGCATTGTAGATCATGACAAAGAGAACAACCATGGTAGGAGTATGTGCGACGTCAAGATAGAGGAAGTACGCGATTGCGGAGAGAGCGATAACCATGGCGACGGCGCCACTGAGGAGAATGGGGCGGCGACCCCATTTGTCAACGATATACCAGGGGGATGGTGGACAAGAAGTACGTGATACCGTTGATGCCGGTCATGAGAATGGCGTCGCGACCAACCCAGCCAGCAGACTCGAAGACGTAGGGAGCGTAGTAAGAAATGACGTTGATGCCATTCAACTGAGCGAGGGCTTGGGCGGACATGGCGATCAACACGCGAGTACGATACTTGCGGAACATTTCGGAGTAGGTACGCTCCCCTCCTGGCGTTGCAGCAGAACGTCCATCTTGATATTACGGAATTCGTCGCGCGCTTTAGCATCATGGATATCGCCGCCACCGTATAGGTTGGCAATAACAATGATACCTTCTTCGTCGTGGTCGTTGTCGAGTAGCCACCTAGAGGGGGGACAAGATTGATGAGTAAACGGTTATATATTGTAGGGGTGATCAGGAACGGCGAGATATACGACGCATACCTTGGTGACTCTACGATGATCAAGCTGCCCAGTCCGAGCAACCCACCCATGATACATTGCATGAAAAGAGGAATCCGCCACGCCATGTTGTTGTTGATGAAGCTGCAAAAGTAATCAACCCAGACGGACGAGGTGTACCCAATGATGTTGCCCGAGAATTCGATACAAGCCAATTTTCCACGATTGTGCGGGGGCGAGATCTCAGACTGGTAGACGGGGACGATGGTAGAGAGCATACCAACTCCGAAACCTGCAACAATACGGCCTGCCATCATCATGAACATGCTCGAGGCAATCGTTTGGAGAGCGCCGCCGACGAAGAAAATAATGGAGCCGTATAAAATCGTTTTCCGGCGTCCGATGATGTCTCCGACACGCCCTACGATCAAGGATGAACAGAAGGCGCCGATTTCGAGGATAGCAACCATGGTGCCAATCTGGGCCTTGGAGGGCTGGTTGAAGTATTCATTAAAGTGGGGTCCGCTGGTGTTGAGTTAGCACCTCGCTCCTTGTTCCAAGAAGATGGGGTACAGGCCGAGTGCGGGGAGATGTTCAACTTACGTGATGATACCCGACATCACGCCTTGGTCATATCCAAACAAAAAGACGCCTAGTGATACAAAGATACTCGTAAAGTAGCTGTTGGTTGTTAGAGTCTGTAACAATGTCCACGGAACAGCCTATAGTCATTTGCTTGGGGGATCGGGGGCGAGAGTATCAACGAACATTAGGGGCGGCCTGTGAGGCCGTGAATGGGATTGGAGCCCATGATGCCAGCAATGAAGCGTTCGGCACGCGGAATGCGTCGAGGAGTGGCACTGGGAATCTCTATCGCTTCTTTGTCGAAGCTCGGGCTGGGGAGTACGAGTCGCGGTGACCGGGGGCTCCGGACTCTAACCTTCTTCTGAGACCGGCGGTAGCCGTTTAGCAGCTCGTCATGAGGGCCGTCAGCAACGCTGTCCCGAAGGGGGTCTTCGCCGTCTCCCAGCTGCTCGGCGATGTCGCCAGAGTCGCCGACTAAGCTGGTGTCGGAGGAGCGTCGGAAAAGTTGCCCGGCACTATCGCCCGAGGGGCTCAGCAATGACGTCGATCTCGAACCAAGGCCCGGGCGCGGCTGTCGTGAGGGTAAAGTCCGCAGGGGTATGTTGGAAGGGAGACGACTGGAATTTGAGTCCGGAATTTTGGGCGGCAATGGTGCTGTTTAGCAGCAGCACCTTTCCGCAGGAGACTCGAGGGGAGGCGGGTGAGGGAAGGGGGTGAGGGAGAAGATGTAGTTGATTTGGCTTTCCAAGTCCGGCAGCAGACTTGCCTTGAGGAAAAGGCAACAGTCGGCAAGACAAGCAGATGGCTGGCCTGTCGAGGTGTGTGGGGACTGGACCTGGTGCAGGACTAGTACAGTACAAGCTCTACAGTGTGATTGATGCAAGGTGACCCTGCACTGACTCTCGTACTCCTGCTTGGTCAAGACCCTTGCACTGTCTGCCCGTACTGTACTTCCCGCTTAAGAGGCTGTGGGTCCTAGCCTGCACAAAGTCGCGACCGCAGTAAGAATGAATGGATCAATCAATTGATTGATCAACAATGTGGGATGGGGATTGGGATGGGGATGGGGGAAAGCCTGGAAGGAGTTGCCCTCGTGTGAGAGTGCAGCAAAGGGGTCAGGCGGGCTTCTCGGGCCCAGCACCTGAGCTCCCGTGAGAAGCAATCGAAAATACCTCTTTAGTCGAGGGAAATAGTGCTGGTGACGACGCGGGAAGACCTCAAGCGAGCGAATTCGGCGTTGCTTTCATGTGCACTTACTTCCCTGTTTTTGCGTATACCACTCTCGGTCCGTCTGGTTTTCTGATCCCTCACAATCGATGTCGGCAGCAAAGACACGAGAGTAACGAGCCGAGGAGAAAGGCACGAATTAGAGAGGTACTTTGCTTAATTACCTCGTGAACAATCCCTTCGCTTCGGGCGGGTTTTGCGGGTGATAATGATGACAGCACTGAGCAGGGCGGTTTATTCGTTCCCTCCCATAAAGCCACCGTGGGTGCGTGAGCCAGATGACCCTTTTTGCTGCGAGAGGAGCCAACGGCCAAGAAAGCACAGGGGTGGTGACTCGACAGAGCAGCAGGCAGCGGGAATCTCGATGGCGCTGCAAGGTTGAAAGGCAAGCTTGAAGGAGAGATACCCCCAAAAAAGAAAAAAAAAAAAAAAAAAAAAAAGGAACAGCTCAAGCCAACCCAAGAAAATATCCTAGACTAGGACAAGAGTCTGGAGGTCTGGAGCAGAGTTCGCGGATTGATTGCCGCTGCCGCAGGTCGCGTGGGTTCTCGGGTGACCTTAGCCAGCGCGTTGCGGTGCAAGTACACGATGATTGACAGCTAGGGGTCAGATGGACAGACTGAGGTGCACTCTCGGTCGAGTGACAGGGGAACTAAGGGAAGGTGGGTGCGGCGGGGCGAACGCAGAAGAGAATGTGCTGATGCGTGGAATTGGGACACGCGACCAAGTGGAATCGAGACTGGCAGAGACACCCAGCGACGCAGGAATTGATGAAATTGAGAGATGCAATGAAGAAGAGAAGTAGAAACAGGATTTAATTCAGGGTCAGATGCGGGATGAAAGAGAAGAGGTGTCAAGATGACTCTGGGCCCTTTTTTTTTCTGCCTCTCTTTATGAAAATTTTAACCAGGTTTTCAGCCCCTATTCCCAGCAGGTTTCCTTTGCCTGTTTTCCCTGGGCCGCGTTTCTCCCAGCACTGATGCAAGATAAGGGCCCTTGATCCGAAAAGTGATGGATCTTCACGCGTGGGGACAAACGTCTTCACCATCAAACCCAACCTTGACTGTGCAACAACGCACTGTGTCTGTTTTCTAGAGAGCGGGTCTCTAGGGGCATGAAGGCTTTATCTAGTGTATGAGGCAACCCCCAAGTCACCAAAACGCGTTGGAGGCAGCAAGAACGTGAAGCTCGCGCTCTAGTTTTGACGGCCAGCCGAAGGCACGGTCCCACTGCCATCGAACAACGGAGGCCGAGAACCCCGCCCGGTCCAGTATAAATGCGCCGAATATCCCAGCCTAAGGCTGGTCCAAAAGCCAAGCTTCCGGCGTCCAATCTTGAGCAAGATCGTGAAGATTCAGGCCGTATTTGTCTCTAGGTTTCGGTACTGTGTGTTGGAGGGCTCGTACGAGGCATTCGAGCCAAGAGCTTGAGCGAGAAACAACTAGAGGATTGGCGAATTATATTCTTCCAAGCTCCAGAGAGGAATTAGTCACCTGTAGCCTCCTACCCTAACAAAAGGAAGCTGATCAATATATATAGATCCCTATGTATACCCGCCGAAATATGGCACATATGGGATCTGATTTGGCGTACTTCACCTGAGTTTGTGTCGACAATCATCTTCTTGCCATCGGACCGTCGAGCCTGGTCGAGGTTTGTTCAACTGTCGGCGCTTGAGATAGCTATCTGAAGGAACTTATCCCGAACTCAATCAATTCCCCCATGAGAATCGCCCAAGGCATGCATAGCACTCGGGGGTAGAGAAACACGAATAGGGAATCGAGCCCACTCTCTCCGGCCGGTACCGCATAGCTTTGCCCCTTCTCCGGCCTTCCTCCAGCGGATGCAAGAGTATACGCTAGCTCAGAAAGTGATAGGCACCCGCATCGATGTCGGAGAGCCCCGATAATGAACGGACCCAGCGGAGAGTTTCGATTTCGCGATCGATGGGTTATATCAGCAAATGTGACAAATCCCTTGTCACGGAGAATATCATCTGCTCACCTCGTGATACTTTCCCTTGAGCAACCGAGCTCTGTCCGTGCCATCCTTTAAAGTTTCCCCGCATCCAAGACTTCTATTTACTAAAATCTTGGGTCTCGGCACAGAGAGCTCGTGCCTTGTTCAATGGATCCAATGCATGGGAAGACATATTTCCCGGGTTTGCTTTGCGATATTGGGTTGGCCTTGTTTTTATGCCTTGGCCCTTGCCCAGGTATATATATATGCCTGGCAGACTCTCCTGACACAAACCCTACATATAATCTACCAGAGTTCTTTGGGGACAGGGAGGGGTTGACGAAGGGAGCAGTAACCTTTGGAGAAGCATTGCTTCTCTCTCCCTCTCCGAGAAAAAGAAGGCTCTTCGGGTCCCGGTTTGGGTGTTTCCTCCCGGCAACGGCATGGACCCAGGAGGAGGTTCCCCAAGGAACTGTAATCCTTGGTACTGCCTCATGCATTCTTTGAACGCCAGCAGTCTCATTCGCTGGCCGTGAGCTCGATTTCTCGCAGCCTCTTACCGTTCGGGCGCAATCGTCCATGTAGTTCCCCGGTTTCTCCAGCAAACGTTCCCACAGTGGCTTACAGTTCATGGGGATGGGGATTCCTAAACTCGAATCCTCTTCAATTTTCTCATGAAAATCTTTGCATGTTGATTAAACTGGTGTTTATTTTTCTTTCGTTTCGGCTAGAGCAGCTTAACCAAAATCTTGACGGCATAATCATTAACACGGGACAGAATATCCATGGGCGGACAGCAAAGCCATGCTTCAAGAGTGATTGGTAGACTCACGCTGATCACACATCCGTCTTTGAGCCGTTGCCACCGTTAACCAATATTACGTACGTCCTTTGGTCGGCTTCATGTTCACGACATTGCTGCTTGATCAATTAGTTATATAAAGAAAAGAGTGGGGGAACAATCAAGGTGAGCATGGTAAACACCAAACAACGGGCCGGACGTGTTTCTCAAAAACGAATGCATAGAGGCTCGTTGACTGATGGCCACGTCTTTGTGAGCCGCAATATCTCAGAATAATGATTCCTCCCAAGGTGCGGGTGTGTGTGCACTCTAACCTGATGAGGTGCAATGGCCCCGGGCGCAACAATGGGCATGTGCGCCCTCAATCCCTGGCAAACGGGAGGACCCTGAACAGCATGAAGACCCATCTCTTAATAGAATGGCCACTGAAACTAATCAGGAAGGTTCGAAAGTAGGTCATCTATGCACGGATTTAATGAACCCTGGTCCGTTTAGACGTCCTCACCTTCCGAAGAGCGCCTTTGACGGAAGCGCGGGGCACGTTCATCCCTATACTGAAGATGGCATCTCCGTGAGTTGTGAACTGGCGTAGAACTTTTGGAGTGGCTCGACGAGGAAGGTGACAAGAGAGTCAAAACATCATGGTCGGTACTCGCAACAGGGCTGTGCGGAGCTGACACTTGTTGTGAGTCTCCCGGGAACATGGCTAGCTTGTCCGAGGAGCTATTAGCGGGTTCTATAATTATCGGCGGAGGCGAAGCTCGACGAAATATTCTTGAACCTGGAGAAGGCGAACAAAAGCTGCTCCGCCTCATCCTTTTATTCCAGCTCTAGAACGTCTGATGCTCCGGCTTACTTTCATTTCTTCCGCTTCCGTACCTGGGTCTAATACGTCAAGTGAGTGTGGGCCTAAGGATGAAAAGGGATGCAGTCCGGACCCGTTGACCACTTCTCCGCCTCATCCTTATGGGCCTGTGGAATAAGTATTTTGGGAGCCATTACGCTCTGTAGGGAAGAGAGCCTCCCAAAATCGCGAGTTTTGGTCTTTTGACCTCGGTATTTCGCATCAATAACCTTGATGTTTGTGACACATCCAGCTGAAAGGCGAAGATTTCTCGTATGGCCCAATCGGCATGGCTGAAACGCCAATCACCCCCTTCTCATGGGATGGTGCAACAATACAGTCTTCAATGTTCTTTCTGAAACGGAGAAATGCCGTTCTCCAAGATGACCAAGATGACGAAGATGACCAAGTGAACAAACGATCAAGGACCGAGAAATACAGAGATGCGCGGGGCCTGAGCAACCGATCTAGCCCTTCATTTGGCTCTGCATATTCTCGTTGCTTTTTCATAATATGGCCCGACGCTTTCGCTGGCACAATTCTGCTGCCAGCTGTTCCTTCGTTTGTCCCACTTAGCACACAGGGAAATGGCAGAACTTCATGCATTCAATACATCAGGTGTCGACTCGATTAGGTGGTTGGCTCAAGTCCTGGCCGAGGCCATCGTGCGGCGTGGCATCTTCATGCACCACCTGGCCAAAGAGCCACTGGCCATGTTGGCGGCCAACAAGGTGACGCAATCGACGGCCTGGCCTCAACCGACCTAAAAGAACCTTAGCAGGGCCAACCTTTAGTAAAAGAGGGAGCCTGACTTTGAAGCCTAAAATGAGAGAAGCCGAGCAGTTTGGGGTAGTCTGCGTCCGTTCTCAGCGGGGCTTTCCGCCTCCGTCTCACTTCAGTCCTGGCCTTTCCACTTTGGTTTTTCCACTCACCCCCAAACTGGTATTACGGTCGTTGTCTCAAAATGTTCTTCCCAAGGGCCGAACGGGCACATGGCCAAGGAGGATCGCTGGGTGTTTGGGAAAGTTCTTGGCATGACAAAAGTTTTCCCTTCCTCTCCTCTGTAGTGTATGTAAAGTAAAGTATTGTTAATAATTATGTAGTCTCGCGATTGCTACCCACCACTCTGGAAAAAGCGAAATTCTTTTGGCAGGTTCTAAGGTAAAGTTCCGTTATGTTGACAGGGGTGCCCGGAACGGCCTACGTATGTATCCGAAAAGTGCTGGGCACGGCATATCACTTCATGCGAGCCACTTGTAGGCTTTTTTCGAAGAAAGGAAAAAGGGGCGAGACGAGAAAGAATAGCTGAGATGAAAAGAGAGTAGGTCCCTCGCCCCAGCCCTTTACTAAGAAAAAGAAAAAAAGAAAAGCGAGGAGAGAGCGACACCAAGCCTCCAATATCATCAATGGGAGAAGGGAGCGTCATGTCATTGTGCGGATCTGGGAATGTGTAGCGTATGTACGTACTTGTAAGCGACGTTGAGACAGAGCACGGCTCTCCATCGTAATTTCCCTTCCCAGTTCTGTATTGGAGCGAGCGTTGAGAGGTGCGGGCCGGCGAACGGGCTCCCTTCCAGGGTGGATGACCACATTTTGATGGGATAGAGGGATTTCAATGTGACTAGCTGTCCACCTCGGTAGTCCCTCATAATACTGGTGTGTTCAGTCTGGAGGCGTTTGACGACAAAAGTACACACTCTGCATCGCATCGAGAGCAGAAGGCGGATGGTCGAGGCCTCGTCGATACCAAGGCCAGGAGTATGTACATCTATCCATATGTATCAATTAGCAAGGGCAGCTCGCCGCCCGCAACCACCATCAATCGATGGCCTGCATGGCCGGCATGCAGTTTCTCCCCCACACACCCACACAGGGCAAGACACAATCTTGGGTTATTAGACTCAAACGACTTGGGAAACGGGATGATGCACAGGGTTTAGGTTTCCGATGCATGAGGCACATGCACCCTTCCAGAACGAAGAGAAGGCATGAACGGAGCGCACAAATGGCCCATTCTTTCGGAAAGGGCCTCGCTGCGCTTCGTCTTTCGGGACTTGAGAAAGGCTGCGAATCCCACGATTTTTGTGAAGTGGGCAAAATGAAGGGATAGCTTCTGGAGACGAACAGGTTGCATCCTGTCTCGCCGTTGCGCTCCGGATGCCAAAAGGACAGGGTTCTTTGGTGGCATTGCGGAGCAATGTTAATTTTTGGCAAGATTACTTGCCTTGATGAGGGCGTTTCCTCCCCTCCCCGTCAGACTTGTACCCGACTATGCGTTTGTATGCGGTGTGGTACATCCTCGAGGTTTCTTGCAAGGGGCGTGGCCTGCTTTTCTCTCGGCCAATTTCGTTTCTGGGGTGCACCACACCTGGGCAATCCCGTAATAATTGGATATCGCATCACCGAAATGAAATCATTCAATCAAGGGATAACGGAGGCCGGTGACATGAGGGGAAGCACGGGGAGGTGGCAATTCACACACAATCTAAATGCCCAAAGAAAGCTGGAGAGGTGGATAGCGAGACAAAAGGAAAAAAGTAACAAAAAGAAGCAGCGCGGAGGAGCAGGAAGGAAATTACCAGGATAGGGCCAGGACGAACGTCCGTTGCCTCCGCAAACAAGAGTGGCGGAGGAGTCCAGATCAGCCCTCCAGCTCGTCGACATTGACTCGTGCCATCAATCCGAACTTTGAATGTTGCTCCATGCGAAGATCACCGTCACGCAGCAGGGGCCGGGCATTCTGGCACGATGGATGATCGATCTGATACGGGAGGTAATAATACTTGGAGAACCAAGCCACAAGCTGCACTCCTCGAAAACGGTACCTACTTTGGCTGGGCTTGCCCAAAGCTCTTGCCGGGAGGGCTACGCCTGGAGGAGCCGAGGGGTGGCTTAACGGGGCAACCGTCTCGGCCTTGGAATGGCAAGAATGGCAACCCCAGACAGTTTATACACTACCCTGGTCGGGTCAATTTTCAGGATAGACCAATCAGAACCCCGGACCTTGATGTCGGCTGGAAGGGAATGTCTCCACTCTTTAGCAGGTTAGTTAGACCCAGCCGCTAAAAGATGTCGTCGGTTCCTGCCTCCGTTGCTGGCAAAAATGTAAAGAACGGAAGGGAATTGATGGTTGTCGCGGTTTGAGCATTGAGACTTATATTGCCTGTCGCTGTCCTCGGTCGTCAATCCCGCCCCATTCCCCCGAGGTATATACCACCACATCCGCACTCCCAGCTCTTTTCACGCAAACAAACCAATTCACCAGACCTCACGATTCTCACACCCTTCGATCAATCGAGTTTTCTCTTGTCTGCGCGAAGAGATATTTCCCCGATTAAGAGCTAGAAATTCGCCTTCGCCTGCCATTTGGATTTGCGTTTGCTGGACAGTCACCTTCTCAGCACCAGTGTCGAAGCAACGAGGTTGGGAAGGAGAAAACCCACCTAAAAAAATACGACGCTATCCACCCAACCGAGCAACCGCCAAACAGCTCCCAACCACCTTGCGACTCGAGGTCTAAAACGAGAGGGAGGGAAAAAATAATAATAAGGGTGCCATAAATTTGTCGAGACAAGATTTCACCGTTGTACTCTTTCGAGTCGCTTGTCTCACCGCGACAACTGTCAATCAAGCAATCGCATCACACTTTCGAACCTGTCAATCGAATCGAAGCCGACCCAGATCTCAGCGTGGCCACGGCGACCGGCCATTCCCCTTTTTGAGTGGTCCCTTTTTGTTCCTGCGCCCTGCGCCAATTAAACTCAATTCAAACCTCAGATTGTGGATTGACTCGACAGTCAGTCCGCTGACGGGTAGAACTTGAACGATGGGGTCAACACAGTTTGGAAATTTTGAGGTACGTTGCACCCATTTGGAGAGGGCTACCGCAATGCGCACTGCATTCCCACGCTTCCTTGTGCCTTGGGAGGCCCAGAAGCCCGAAACTTGTTCTGAGCTAACAGCAACCCTGTTGCAGAAATTTTGTCGCGATTCGACGTTACCAGTCTGCAATGTACGAACGAAACCTCGATTTGTCCCACTGAGAAGCGCGTCTAGGTCTAACATTTTACCCTTTAGTTGCTATCCGAGAGTCACAATCAGACCGGGCCATGGGACACCGCCGATAGTTGCCAATTGAAAGGAATCTCCCTATCGGGGGTAAACAACTGGGGAACCTGGGCTCGATTTTACTTTGCGGCATTGCAATTCTTGTCAGCATCTACCTTCTCCTGCGAACCAGTCGAAGGAAGGCTGCTGTCGGCAGAGTGTAGGCTTCTACCTAACCTGGCGCCCCCGCCCATGGTTGTGAACCTTGACTGACCGTTTTCTAGGGAGATCCAATTGTTCTTGGTCGGCTATATCCTAATTTCTATTTGCGAGATCTTCTCCGTCGGCGAATTCCCGCTGAGCGGCAAAGTTCGAGTGGTGCGTTCCCTCTCTGTCCCACCTTGTCTCCATCGAACGCCATTCTTACAATCGGTGCACCTGTTCCCCAAATCTATGACTAACGTGGGCTGTTTTGCGTTTGGAACAGGCCTTTTCCGCAATCCATATCGGGTTAATCGCTGCGACAACATGGATCCTCATGCTCAACGCCGTTGTTGGTTACCAACTAATCGATGACGGAACTCCTCTATCGCTAGCGCTAATGGTTAGCTCCGCCGCGGTCTTGCTGATTGGCACGGGCTATATTGCCCTCGACACTGGACTCCAATTCACTGGTTTCTGGGAGGAGAGCTGGACAGCCCCGAACCGAAACATTGCTCTTTACGTCCTCTATCAATTGGCGCCACTTGTCTTCCTCGTCGCCTTCTACATCCTGGAGGCTATCCTCGTTCTCCGGATCCTTGGTGAGAAGGCGCCAATGCTTTATCTAACCGGGGCCGCTATATTGTTCGCCGGAGGCCAAGTCATCAACTATGTTGCCAGCCCCCACATCTGCAACGGCACCAACGGCAAGATCGACGGAGCGATGTTCGAGACTCTGTTGACGCTCTTATCCGTCACGCTAGTCTGGATCTTCTGGTCATCCATCACCGAAGACGACTGGCATAACCCAGTCGGCCCTACCTACCCCTAAGCTTAGAGCCTGGGCGGTGGCGTCTTACATTTTCTGTCGTTACATGTTCAGTGTTCCATCGAACGGAGTTGGAGGTTCTTTTTACAGGGCGGCTTTTCACCGGCTTCGAATTTTTTCCCTTTCGAGCCTTTTTTGTCTTCTTTTTCGGGATTAGTTCTCGTCCTTCATGTTCATTCTTTTGCTCCTCTATTATGGAGCCACGAATTGTTGAAACGATCATGAGGCGATGTCGATGCGCGATGCCGATGCTCTACGATGACGAAAGCTGAAATGGCGACAGAGTCAGCGCGGCAACCGGTTTCGGCCTCTTTTCAGTCACGATCTTTTTCTTTTACCATTCATACTCTCTTTAACGTCGCCTCAAAGAAACAAGATGCGCGAGACGAGGTCGCCATCATGGAAACCCAGGGGGAATGGGGAGGAAACGGTAGGGGCTGCAACTAAGCAAGGTCAGACGCCAGTCAGCTATAGCCCTGGCTCTTGGCTTGGTTAGCCTCGAGAGGGGGTTCTCCAAAACGGACGTGAAGGGAGCAAGGAACGGGGACGTAACGTTGTATACGAGAGAAAACGGAACGTTGGCGAAACCTGCGCGGAGACTAGGTGGGATAGCCTCTTTTTGGCCATCTAGTACATAACATTGCGGATGGATCCACGGATGTAGTTGTGTTGGTTTTAGAGCTGTGTCTTTTTTACGTATACCCAAGTTAGCGTACATAATGGATGATGGAGGAGGAGGAATCAATGAGACTTATAGTGCCTTTAGTCTACACTCGGTGCCTCATAGCTGCACGAAATACAATTCAGTAATCCTGCAGGAATATAGTAAGTTTGTTCGGTCAATGGTAGAGCGCGGTCTTGGTCTTTTCGGTAGAGCTATTCAGCACCTTCTTTGCCATGAGTTGCCTTTGTCCTGGCAACTCGAGCATCCCAAGATGATTAGGTGCAACGAAGATAACTAACGAGGAGGAAAATAAAAGTATCTAGTTTTGTGGATTGGAAGCCTACATGTGGCCTTCCTCGCCTCACAAGGCATCGAAGTCTGGCGAGGCTGCCTAGTTTTGCTAGCAAAGGTCGCCGCCCCACCATTGTATTGAGACCTTCCCGCACCTCAACCCAGTAATTTTTCGCAGCCTTGCAGGCAATTCACAATCATCTTCCTCAGACCCCCGAAACACGACAACAATCCCGACGTCTCCCACCTCCCGCCGCGACCTTTCGCTAGGCCTGGAAGATTAATTAGCCCTTGTCGAGAATTTTATTTTCGAAGATCTGCGTATCTACTTGACCCGCTGCCAGTCGAAGCTCGAACCCTGCCCACGATGTCAGACTCGGACGGCGAGTTCGTCGCCGACGACATGTCGGACGACGACCTGATGGACCATCAGGTTACGAAACCAGGAGACCCAAACGACCCTAAAGGAGGTCGGCGGCGGGGTAAGAAAGGTGGACAAAAAGCGGCGTGGGAGGACGTCAAGAGGAGCTGGGACACAGTAGTTGAGGGGCAGGACGGCAGCCTGTCGATCGCCGAGGTGATTGAAGCCCAAAAGCGCAAGCGGCTGCTGCGGGACACGACACCTCTAGAACGAGGTATCATTCGGCACATGGTGCTCGTCATTGACATGTCGTTCGCCATGGCAGAGAAGGACTTGCTGCCTACCAGGTACCGCTTGACGATGACATACGCGGCCGAGTTTGTGAAAGAGTACTTTGAGCAGAACCCCATTTCGCAGATGGCCGTGATAGGTATGAAGGACGGCGTGGCAGTCAGCGTCAGCGAAATGAGCGGTGACCCGGCAGGCCACCTGGAGAAGCTGGCGAAGTGGAGGGAGGAGGATCCCAAGGGTAATCCAAGCTACCAGAATGCCTTGGAGATGTGCCGGGGAACCTTATTGTGAGTGCAACCTCCCCACAACCGCTTCTTGCGGCCATAGTCATAGCTGGGCATGCATTTTTGGATTCCTAACGCCGTGGGTATAGTAACACGCCTTCTCATGGGACGCGAGAGGTTGTGATCGTCTCTGGCGCCATTTTATCTAGCGACCCGGGCGATATCAACGAAACTATAGTAAGCCTAATACAAAACAATATCCGCGTCTCCATCATCGGCCTCGCTGCGTCTGTCGCCGTATGTGAAGACATTTGCAAACGAACCAACGCCGGCGATACAACGCAATACAATGTCGCTATGCACGAGCAGCACTTTCGCGAGCTCCTCCTCGACAAGACGACGCCACCCGTCACCCGCACCGAGGAGCAAAATGCTGCCAGTCTCCTAATGATGGGCTTCCCTCCCGCACTCTCGCCTCTGGCAACGGCATCAACTACTGCGCCTGCCACAACACCCCGATGAGGGAAGGGTACCGCTGTACCCGCTGCGGCACCAAGGTCTGCCGCCTCCCCGCCGACTGCCCCGGCTGCGGGCTCACCCTCATCCTCTCCACCCACCTGGCCCGGTCCTACCACCACCTCCTCCCCTCCGCAACTTTGTCGAAGTCCCTTGGTCCGACGCCTCCAGGTCCGTGGCCTGCTTCGCCTGTCAGGCCCCCTTCCCCGAACCCCCAAATCCAAAAGCGGCGCCCCCACAGATCATGCAACCACAAAACCCCCAGAGGTCAAGGGCGTCAGTGAGAGCGGCCGCTACGCGTGCACCAAGTGCCACAGTCACTTCTGTGTTGACTGCGACGTCTTCTGCCACGAAACGATCCACAACTGCCCTGGCTGCGAGGCAGGTCTCCGCAGAGTCCCCCAAGACGCGCAAGGCGGAAACCAACGGCAATTCTGTCAAATCAAGTTCCGCTAATGGGCACGCCAACGGGGCAATGGTCATAGACTAGGGTAAAGCGGAATCAGGGTGCTTGGCGTGCTTGCGTGTACAACAAGGGGACTATTCTTTTGTTTTCTCTCTTTCGGCATTCATTTTCTCTCTTCTCTCGTTTTTCTTTCCCAGCACGATTTTACATGGCGCAATAGGCATCGTTTGTGTCTACACGAACCCTCCAAAACATCCTCTAAGGAATGATCTATATGAAGTCAAATTACATCACATACAACCTAAAAAAAAGAAGCATGGAAGGATAAAGTTTGGTTTGAATAGCATTGAGGATGCGCCAAAGCGCAATTCATTCTGAGTGTCTAGCTTATGTTCTTGATACCTATTTCCAAAAAATGATACTCAAAAACCTCGTCCTCTGTACACAAACAAGGGCTAAATCCAAATACAACCGCATAGGATAATGCAAGGGCATAGGCGAAGAATCAAAATAGAAATGTATACAAAGCGTGATCATAACTCGTCAAAGGAGACAGTTCTCCAACCTAAGGGCCCCAGAATCTTGAAGTAAGCCTTCAAGAAATGCGCCCATCTCCAACCAATATTAGAAGGAGACCACGACAAAAGGAACGAGGGGTCTGGAAAGGAAAGCGGTTATGTATACGAAAGAAGAAGTAGGTGTTAGGCATCGCGGTTATAGGTTGCCCCTCGAAGCTTGCTCGCGCTCGATCGCCTCAAAGAGACTCTTGAAGTTGCCTGCTCCAAATCCATCGAAAGCGTTTCTCTGGATAATCTCGATGAAAACGGTTGGCCTATCCATGAGTGGCTTCGTGAAGAGCTGGAGGAGGTAGCCCTGTTCGTCGTAATCGATAAGAATATTCAACTTCTCGATGGTGTTTAGATCTTCTTTGAGCTCCCAGTTTCTCCTCTCTGTCTTGAGCCTCATGCGGATGGTCTCATAGTACGTCTTAGGTACGTCAATGAACTCGACACCGCGACCCGGAGCGCGGCCACGGCAGTAAGAATGTCGTCTGTCAACAGAGCGATATGCTGCACACCCGGGCCGGAGTTGAAGATTATGTACTCTTCAATCTGAGACCGCTTCTTGCCGGGAGCAGGCTCATTGATGGGCATCTTTACGATGTTGTTTGGAGAAGACATAACGATGCTGTTGAGGGCCGAGAAGTCGGTGCAAATCTGCGAGTCATCGACGGACCAGAACCGGTGGAAATCTAGACACTGCTCATAAAATTCGCAAGCGGCAACCATCTCATTCCAGGACTGGTTACCCACGCAGTGATCGATGCGGTTCAGCGGTACTTCAGGGTATTGAACCGCAGTGGGTCGGTGCTCAACGTTGCGGTATCCTGGCAGGAAGGGGCCGGTGTAATTGGTACGTGAGATTAAGGTGTGGGTAGTGTCACCGTAGGTTCGGATCACGGCGGTCGTGACATCGCCATGCTCGCCGTGGTGGCTAGTCTTAGGTGGGCGAAGTGCCGAGGCACCTTGCTCAACGGCCTTGTTATAAACGCCTTCTACATTGTCGACTTCGAAGGCGACGTCCTGACTGCGTCGCCATGCCTTTCGAGATGGTCGTGGATCTCTTGCAAGAGCTCAGCCTCTTCTGTAGAGATCGTCTCATCACTAGGGAGATGCTGGTAGGATCGGATGGGGGACGTGAAGACGAATCTGACATCCTTGTTGGCTACTATGTAGGACGCGAAATATCGACTTCCGGTCTCCAGTCCTCGGTACGCGATTGTCTTGAAGCCAAAGAGAGTTGTGTAGTAGGATGCGGCCTGCTTGGCGTTGCCAACCCACCAGGTGACATGATCATAGCCACGGAAGTTGGGGCCCGGTTCTTGGACGGAGAAGTCCTGTGTCGGGAGGCCGGCAGCGAGGAGGGCCGACCTTTGCGGCGGCGAGTCTGTGATAGCGGAGGGAGCCATGGCTAGATACACTATAGGAAAGATACCGGCTACGTTGTTTCAGAAACAAAGGGTTGGGTAAATGCTGGCGAGGGCCCCGGCGATTATAAGGAGCGGGCTCAGAGAGAAGAGAGATAGAAGATGCGAGTTTGAAAACCGCCAGACTTCTACTTGGTTTGATGGAGAAACAGGTTTATCCGGGCATAGTGCTGGACTGGGCAGGAGGGCTACGGTTGGAAGGGGCACTTTTATGTTCTACGGCAGGATCGGGAACGGGGAGCCGACATCTGATTTCTTGGATGGGCGGAATGGTTGGACATCGAAGGAAGCCGCCGCTCGGCCTAAGAATCACGAAAGTTCCAGAGGGCGGAAAGGTCGTCACCAAGTTGGCTTGACCGAAGCCGAGAGGCTGGCTAGGTCACACTTGAGGTCTGACCCCACAAACACCCGCAGGACGGCCACGGTCGGCCCTGGGAAAGAGAGACATGCGGCGGTTTCATGGTAGCCGCACGTACGGACGCCTTCCTCCCTCTCCGCACTCCCTTCGTTAGGGCTAGCCAGGAAGAGCGATGGGGAGGGGGCCAGCGCGGGGACTGGAGAGGGAGGATCTCTCCAGGTTGCTTGGCCGGACTCCTCCCTGGCATGACGTGTTGGATGGTCGGCCCTCCCAATCCTTCTAGCAAGAAGGGAAGGAGAATCCGCCCCTCTCGACGGATGAGGAACATCTGATGAAAGGACTATTCGCACTCGCGGAAAGGCACCGACTCGAGTCGGGGAGACCTTGGCCAGCCGTGGGAAGCCGACAATGGCCGGGCTGATAGCGTCGGCTTATGGTGCCCCACGCTCCTGCTGTGTCTCGTTCGGCTGACAGTCAGAGTTCACTCGGGCAGTTGTTCACAGCTGATAACATAAATTTTTGAATCAGGGCCGGCTATCTCGTCATCAATTTCACTTATCTTTTAGATGGAGCCGATGTGGTTCTCTATCTCCGGTCGTGGAGCTCTTGGGCCCCATTCTCCGCCGATTTCCGGTTCTCCCAGAGGCGTGTATTGCAATCCCCTCGAATTCTATTCGCCACACTTGCCCGCCCGCCCGCCCGCTCCCACCAGGCCGATCTGTCGACCTCGATAACCCAACCCCAACACATTCTCCCAGACTCAATCCCTATAACCCTAGAGCAAGCATCTTCAAGCCCATACCAGACTCTTACCAGTCCCCTCTCCTGAATTCATTCCGTACATCAATACCCCGAGTATCCGCAAACATTGCTTCTTGAGAGAACACATCAGCTTTACTCTCGGATCTCCCCTCCCCACCATCTTTCAAAATGGCTTTTATCTCCCTCAGTAGGAATGACATCAACGTCCTTGAGAAAATCAAGGACCCCGAGGCCGACCCTACGGCTGTCGTTCCCATTGACGCCAACCTCCCTCGCGACCCGCATGTAACAGACATTTCAGAGTATACCGACGTTGTGAAGAGGGAGCGCGAAATTCTGCTCGCTATCCAGAAACTCGAGCTACAACTTGCCAATCTGCAGCCTCGGACGATATCGGAGCCGGTGACTTGGTACAGAGACTGCCTGTCAAAACTCAACGACATGATTGATGAATATCCAAAGTATGCCAGTGCAAGGAACAATCGCGCGCAAGCGCTCCGGAGGTTATACGGCGATACCATTTTGATCGGAACACAGTCAAACAAGGCCCTTATATCGCAACCCGACGAAGCGACCCGAAAACGTGCAGCGAAGGTTGTCTTGGATGATCTGGATGTGTGTGTCCGGCTCCTTTCTCCGTCTAGTGCCTTGAGCCCTATCTCGCCTCAAGCGGCAAAGACCTTATCGATGTCGTACACACAGCGCGCCGCACTTTACCATACCACAGCAAGGTCATTCTCCGAGAACCTGGCGATCCCAGAGGACCGGCGTGAGGTAAATTGGTCCAAACTGGATTTCGAAGAAGCCGCCGCCAGCGACTTTGCTTTGGGTGGCAGATACGGCAACGAGATCGCCAAAGGCTTGGCTGTGAGTGTCAACCCTACAGCGAAATTGTGTGGGCAGATGGTGCGCCAGGCGATGAAGAAAGAATATGGGCCCGCATTCGCATCATGACCCTGTAGATTATCACCATTCTATATGAAGTTACGTCCAAATTGCGTGCATAGTGAGGCGGGATTTAGCCCATTATCGGCGTCTATCAGTCGGGTTGGGTTGGTTGACATTTTCATGGAGTTTGTTTGGAGAGTCCGACGCGACTAGTATCACTCATTAGTATGCCTTCAGAGCAGGTATCTTAAATATACGTTATGAGAGGTTTTCTCTTTCTTCAAGTCCTCGTTACGTACCGAAGTGCCAAGTCAATGATGTCCTGGTTTGTCCTTCCCTTCTCCAGCTCCTCCCGTCGTATCCGAGTCACGGCCGCCCCAACGCCAATGAAGATGGCAAAAATTGGGTCCATGGCCCTCGAGATGATATATGTTGGGGCGCCATTTGCCTCGGATTTCAAATGCGAAGTGGAAATCGGATATTTGCAGTTGATGCCGCTCGGAGCCAGGTAACGAAACAAGCGTTGACGACTGGGTTTAGTGACTCGAGATTACATGGATGTATGCAAGATGCCTTCGTGCCAAACCGGCCGCGGTGCCTTTCGAGGTGAAGGTTTGAGCGGTTAGGTAATCAGAGAATCAAGGGATTGGCACGAGCCACAACCACCCAAGCCATCTGAGGCTGGTACTAGCGGGAGCTTGAATTGCCATCTTTCTCAAATGCGAAGAGGGGCAGGCTCAAAAAGACAGGGATCGGAAAAATACCGGCACGTGATCGCACTCCTTTTGCCCCAAATTTCTGATGCCCACACAATCCCAAAATTTCTCGTGAAAATAACCCCCGATTCAGACTCCAGCCCAGCGGAACCACCCATAACTTCGTCACCAAACACCCACCGACAGACGAACAAAATGAAGTTCCTCAAGGTCGGACGTGTCGCCATCATCACTCGAGGCCGGTATGCCGGCAAGAAGGTACACAATTGCTCCTCGATCCCATCGTTTCTCGTCATTTCGTGACGGCGCAACATCCCCGGCCAAGAGGTGGAAGCCGACGATTCCAAGAGAGGGAAAAAAGAGAGAAGAGAAAACGAAGAGACTTCAAAGGATATGGCAACCTGGGGGAAGAAGGCCGGGGAAAGAGAATTGGACTGCTTTCAGGAATCACTCTGGGCTGAAATTTTTGAAGTTTTGAAAGCTGACTCTCGTCTTTTCTTCCGCCATTATAGGTCGTCATCCTTCAGCCCGTCGACAATGGCAAGAAGCCTCACCAGTTCGGCCATGCTATCGTAGCTGGCATCGAGCGATACCCCTCCAAGATCACCCGCCGCATGTCGAAGCCTCGCCAAGAGAAGCGATCCAAGGTCAAGCCTTTCATCAAGGTGATAAACTACAACCACCTCATGCCCACACGATACACGCTCGAGCTCGAGGGTCTTAAGGGTGTTGTCTCTGCGGACACCTTCAAGGAGGTTTCCCAGCGCGAGGATGCCAAGAAGACGGTCAAGAAGGTGTTCGAGGAGCGATACACCAGCGGAAAGAACAGGTGGTTCTTCACGCCTCTGCGTATGTCTAAACCACTGTCCACATTCGCCTCGTCGCGCCTGCGGCCTCCCACATACCTCGATGAGGAACGCAATTGGCTAACATGGGTCACCCGCCCGTTTTTTAGGATTCTAAGCGTTTCCTCTTATCACTCGGCTGGGGAGTTGGGTTGGCTTGTTAACAGCATCCGAATGGCATTTAAGAACCGTCGGTTTTACGGGCTCAATACAAAAAGAAGACATTGACATGACCAAAAAAGCTTTTCGTTGTTATCTTTCTGATAGGTGCTGGTGATGACTGAAACGTGCTCCGGAAAAGCAAGTGTACTCGAATTTGGGAGAGGGACCTGCCCTATGTGTAGGGTAGTGAGTTTCCTACCGAAACGGGCGGCTCCCCTAACGCAACGAACCTGTCGGAAATGGTATACCCACGACTCCGCTGCTCCGTATAACCTGGGTTGGCGTCATATTTTAGAGATTAGAAGGATGCATCTTGTCAACATCAAGTCTTCATGGATCAACTTCAGTGGCTCCCAGTCCAACCCGAATAGGTGCCCCGCTTGTAAGGATGTGTCATTGAGCTACATCGTTGATACGTAAACCTTTCCACCGTCTCCCGGTTGGTTTCTCGTGAGATAAAACAGCATATCCTGCAAAACATCTTTGTAGGAGCTTGGGAACTCTGGAACGAGAAAGGCGGAATAGATATTGAGAGATCCTCGCTGCTCTCTGTATCTGTATCGCACGCAGCCTTGCTTTTCCAGTCCTATTTCCCCCTGCTAGCGGGGAGAAGAGGCAGGATTTTTCTAAAGCAGTCTAAGTACAGAAAACTCCAAAACGCCTCGCAGCCGCGCGGGGAAGATGACAAAGAAGATTGGTGCTTAAGAACCATGTAAAAGAAACAAGTCATCAATGGATTGCATTCTAGTAGCCTTAGACCGCTTCGCCTCCCAAGGCGGACATTTTATCGAAAGGTGAAGAAGGTCTATAGCTGCGCAGGAGCACGTAGAGGACCAGGAGAGAAACCGAAATGTGGAGAATGCGGCGCACAAGTGGCCGCTTTGCCCCTATGCTCATGGCATAGGCACCGGAGTCGAGCACGACCTTGACGACGGCCTTGTAGCCCAACTTGAAGTAGACGATGCCGGATAGTGCAATTGTGTAACCAAAGGCCTGGAGGAAGGTAACTTGAGTGTTCCAGATAATCATGGACGCAATGACGAGGATGATGTCCTTCAACACCCCGCAAAGGGTGAGGATGACAGCCGAGGTCTTGCCAATCTGAGAAGGAAAAGGCGTTAGTAGTTTGAAGAAGGGATAAGAAAGGACTATAAATATGGAGCAAATCGAGACGAAAAGAGGGTCCACATCCAGGCATCCGGGTGCAGACTTACAAGAGACACGGCAGCCAAGTTCAGAAGGAAAGCGAAGGTGCCATTTACAACAAAGTTGAAAAGGCCAACATTGGCAAAGTCAGCAACGCTGACACGGGGAATCTCAAACACCAAAGCGACCATGAAGTTGAGGAGGGCGCAGATGGGAGCATAGTAGTAGATGGAGAGGAGGGCGTCCATCTTGTACTCTGCGCTCAGAATCTTCTGAACGAGGCTAAGCCTCAGAGCCTCGAAGATGACGCCTGACAGCTGGAACAGGACGCCGACGAGGACAAAGTCGACCTCGCCGATGGAGGCAAGGAGCACGCCAAAGGCTATGACGGAGACATTGAGCAGGACCTTGACATCGGGGCTGCTGACGCCGAGAAGCCAGCCGGCCAAGAGGACAGCGACCGGGGTGGTGGCCTTGAGCATCTGGATGAAGGCAACGGAGAGGTAGAGGTAGGCGAGGTTGTTGCAGATGAGACTGAGGCTGAAAGTCACGCCAATGGGGACGATGGCGCGCATGTACACGCGCCGGTTCATCTTGATCTTGTGCCTGCCATTGAGGACGTTGGTCCACCGGGCCATGAACTGGGTGAGGATGGAGGCGAGGCCCAGGTGGTAGGTCGTTAGGATGATGGGAAAGCCTACATGAGGGTGGGGTGGGGAGTTAAGTACTATGGTTCCCCGAAGAAAGGGAGTGTGAAGGAGATCATCTATTAGAGGACTTACGGAAGTTGAGTGTATCGAGAATCCATTTGTTGTGTAGGATGACGGAGGAGCTGATGGCGATCCATGCTCTGGTAGTTGTTAGGATCCATGTTAGCAGGTTTGAAATTCGGCATGCGGCCAATCGACCAAAGGAATACGGCGCCGGCGCCGGGACCGCCGCGCACCGCATAGTTATTTTATATAAGGACAAGAATGAAAGCTGTTTGTTTCCTTACATCACGTAAACAAAGGCCGGCGTTGACTGCTTCTTCTTGGCCTGGAATCTGGTGTGCGGGTCACTGTCTATCGTAGGCAGTATCGGGCCCTTTCTTGGGGCCCACGGGACCTCTCCCTGCTGAGACTCATGACTGGTCGAGGAGGTTCTTTTCTTCTTTGAAAGAGAGAAGAACGAAAAAGACCCCGGTAGCGAAGAGCGAAGAGGCTAAGGAGAAGGGGAGGGGCAACGAGTGAATTGAACGAGAGAAACCACGCAGGACACGTGGGGTGGCGCCGGGAGACGCTCACCGAAGGAGTCGTGATAATCCAAGTTGGGAACTCAAGGATTGACGTAATGCGACACGAGGAAGGTCCAGCGATGAAGGAGAAAATCGCTAGCAGTTAAGCTGGTAAGAAGGTGGTTTCGAACGGGCCCATTCCTCACACAGCATCGACTTTGGATTAAGCCATATATTTTTGGGCCGGTTTTTTCTTTCTTTTTAAGATTGACGTGTCGTTCCGGAGCTCTTGACGCGGGAAGGGGGCCCATCAATGGGAGCACGCTATCTCAATCACCCACTTGTGTCTCTTTGATGAACAAGAAAAAAGCCAAGAGCCAAACGGATCTTAGAATGGAAAGCGTTCTCGGTGGGAATATCTAAAGGAAAACACTGCCACTAGATCTACCTCGTGTCAACCCATGGATCCGATCGACTGCCTCGCCATTCTAGACCTAATTTGTCGTCACGGCTAATATGCAGAAATTTCAACGGAGAGCGGGTTCTTTTTTGCTCTCTTCCTGCCAGTGCCACAAATTCCAGCGAGGGTTTACTCTTGGAGATGTGGGTCTCAGAGACCGTCCGTTTCATCGACCGGGTTAATATCTTGAGTGATAGACAGAGATTGCTTGCAGCTAGACAAGTGTGGAATGGATGGCTGCGAGGTGAGAACAGGTGGACTTTTCTAGAAAGGGAAGTGGGGTCCCTCGTTGTGCCTTTGCTGCTTCGGCTGCGGCGTTTTCAATGCGCAACGGTCGACGGACACGTTACGGATTGCAATGATCCGAGGGGATGGGTTAATTACCAACGCCGAACGCCAAATCGAGATTACATATAGAGAGAGAGATACCGCCTCTGTCGATGTGTATGTGTCTGGTTTTTCGTGGTGGATGTCCCTTCGAGAATCGGCATCCGAGTCTCCATCAATGATAACATTGAACGATCAATCCGCCATGCGCATCTTCTGGCGCTATCCGTGGGGTCGATGACGCAGGTACGGTACAAAGCAGTGGACATGATTGACCAACAAATAATATTGGGTTCTTGAACTGGTGGCGCGCGCGACCCCTGGCAATGCCCCATTTCCCAGGGGGCAAAGGGGCCAGGGTTCCTCGACTTTTACGCCCAGGCTCAAGCTATTATTATTACCAAGTCGTCCTGGTTGTAAAACGGCCCCTCCCTCATCCTTGCACGATGGAAATATATGAAAAAAGGAATAAAAGAGCGTGGACTCAAGGGCAGGCAAACAAACACAGCTCTACAAGCCAGGTTCGCCGTTCAGTGAATTGGTCCATGGATCCATCCATTACATGTAGTGCAGGTGTTATCCAGCCTCTTCGACGGACTGCTGGGCCAGCGGTTAGAATGAACTCAAGCGCGCTCAACTTTGACTTTGGCTTCACACACTCCATAAAGCGTGTTGAAAACATCCCCCCAAAACTCTGTTCTAGTTCAGCTTGAATCACATCACGGGGGCTGAGAAGGGATTGTCTTTCTGGGTGAAGAGTAGGCCTTTTCATATGAAATCTTACTCTGTGTAGGAATTTCTCGGATTGCTCTGGATCGAGTTTCACAAACCCCTTCCGAGGTTGCTCGTCTGTCTTCCAATACATTCGACACGAACCACCTCACTATCCACTAGGATGCGAGATATTGCCATCCACCCATAGCTCACGGTCGACATGTCGTCGACTTCATAGCGTGCATGTACATAATAGACGCGCGTCGGCGGCGACAGACTTGGCTGACTGATCAACGATATCTTGTTTCCATCTTTGGAGAGCGCCCGTATGTAACCACCAAAGGTGGAGTCTTGATGACATCCATCCATTGGAGCCCTAAGGTATCAATCCCTACATGTATCCATCTACTGACTAAAGGATAAGAAGGGCAACGTCTGGTAGATGGTGAAATTTGCTCATAGAGGAAGGAGGGTACAGCTAGTGTGTTCTTTTCTTCCATCACGTATTTATCTGCCGCCCGCCCAACATACCCCAGCCACTCAAGACTAATTGAAAAGCAGCAAGGGAGAAAGAAAAGGGATGAGAACAAAAGCACAAATTCCGCACCTTGACATTTGCTTCAACTCTTTCCTTAACCCCGGCAGGGTCTACTCAGCCTTATCAAGGGATACAGGATGGGATGGAGGGAAAGGCAGACTGAATGTACATGCAGATCAGGGCGAGGTGAGAAAAAGACAGACAACGCAATGGATTGAGTGCTTTAGGGTAGTTTTAATCGATGAAAAGGGTACATTGGGCCGCTAGATGGAGCCTGGATCGACGAGTGCTAACTACTAGTAATATGACGGGATAGAGCTTTGCCAGTAAATTGGCCTTGGTAACAAACCAGTTTGGGTTAATGGCCCAAAGACCCCGTAAAGCCAGCGAGCCCGCTCCGGCACCGTTTCATCTTGGCGACTGTCGCTCGAATACTTTCTTGTCTGCTGCTGGGTGAAGACGTCAATCCTTGGTACCAATCTTCGTGTAATTGCAAAAGCCTCAATTATTCTATGCACACCTGGAATCTTTCGCTATCGATCTCTTATTGATTAATCCCAGTGTCCCATCCCCCGCCGCATCTTAAGTTAGAAGAAGAAGAAGAAGAAAAAGGGAGATCAAGCATATACTTTTCTTTGTCCGGCTCACACCGAGTGTACTGCCCTCGGCCGCCCTCTAGCTTGCGAGCGAGGTACGCGCCAAGTCACTACGTGGCGGCTGGATTCGCCATGTCTGAACTGTAGGTGGTGATCACTTTGGCCTGTCCCTCTCTTGGACACGCACGCACGTCTCGTGGAAGGGGAAGGAAGTTAATCTAGAGGGCTAGTGATATCGACGTGCTTGTCATCGGCGCCGGTCCTACAGGCCTGGGCGCCGCCAAACGCCTCAATCAGCTTGTAGGTCATTCTCCGTTGTCAGTGATTGACGACTCTTCCCTTCCCCCGCTTCATGAATTTCACGGCAATCGTAGCGTATGCTGATTAGCCCATAACAGAATGGCCAGTCCTGGTTGATTGTCGATTCAAACGAGAAGGCGGGAGGGTTGGCATCCACGGACACAACCCCAGAAGGCTTTGTAAGTGAACATTCCGCCCTGTGCCCCAGAAGTTCCCCTCATGAATCCGCGTTGACCCGAGACATAAGTTGTACGACGTTGGAGGGCACGTCATATTCTCTCACTACAAGTACTTTGACGACTGTCTTGATGAGGCCCTGCCTAAGGAGGAGGACTGGTATCATCACCAGCGCATCTCCTATGTGAGATACAAGGGCCTCTGGGTCCCGTACCCCTTCCAAAACAACATATCGATGCTTCCAAAGGAGGACCAAGTTCACTGCGTCGACACCCTCATTGACGCCGCCATGGAGTGTCGAACCGCCACTACGAAGCCCTCCAACTTCGACGAGTGGATCCTGCGTATGACAGGCAAGGGCATCGCTGACATCTTCATGCGCCCCTACAACTGGAAGGTCTGGGCAGTTCCCACGACAAAAGTACGTATGCCTTCTTCTGCCAAACGCGAGAAAGACGGGGAGCTAAGCCACCGCTCAAACACACCCCTTCCCCTAGTCGGGGTATTATCTATTCTGACTATATTGCCGCTAGATGCAATGCGAGTGGCTTGGCGAGCGCGTCGCGGCCCCTGACGTCAAGTCCGTCGTTAGGAATGTGCTGCTGGGAAAGGTCGCGGGCGGCTGGGGGCCGAACGCAACCTTTCGCTTTCCCGCCCGGGACGGAACGGGCGGTATCTGGAGTGCCGTCGCCGCTACGCTTCCAGACGAAAAGAAGCGATTCGGGGAGCGAGGCACGGTGACTCGCATCGACGCTTCGGCCAAGCTGGCCACACTGCAGGACGGCACAACCATCCGGTATAAGAAGCTAGTGTCGACCATGGCCCTCGACGCGCTGGTCAAGATGATGGGAGACTCCGAGCTGGTCTCCCTGTCGAGCCAGCTGTACTACTCGTCTACTCACGTCGTCGGCGTGGGAATACGGGGCGCCCGCCCGGAGAAGATTGGTGACAAGTGCTGGGTGAGTTGGCCGGCAGCGAAGCTAGATACCCCCTGTCAGATTCCGGTCTGACAGCTAGCCAAGAACCGGGAGAGGTGGATTCGTGCTGACGTCTTGCGTGCTAGCTGTACTTTCCAGAGGAAAACTGTCCGTTCTACCGCGCAACCATCTTTTCCAACTACTCGCCGTACAACCAACCCGCCGCCGACACCCAGCTCCCCACCATGTTTCTGGCCAACGGCCAGAGTCCAGAATCTCAGGAACCGAAGCCGGGCCCGTACTGGTCCATCATGCTCGAGGTATCGGAATCTTCCATGAAGCCCGTAGACCACGCGTCGCTTATCCAAGAGTCAATCCGGGGCCTCATCAACACGGACATGATCAGCCCAGAGGATGAACTCGTTTCCGTGTACCATCGGCGCTTCGACCATGGCTATCCGACGCCGACTCTCGAGCGGGACGCCGCGCTGGATCAACTGCTTCCCAAGCTGCGGTCTATGGATATCTACTCGCGGGGCAGGTTCGGTAGCTGGAAGTACGAGGTGAGCTTCTTCTTTCATGACCTTTTTCGGACATGTACCCAGCGTCAATCATAGTTGAGCGAGCGGGTGTCTTTCCCCTCTCTTCGTCTTCTTCACATCCCCACTAATGCCTGTGGCGCCGTGTGCGCCATCTCTAGGTCGGAAACCAGGATCACTCCTTCATGCTCGGGGTGGAAGCAGTGGATAACATCGTAAACGGGGGCATCGAGCTAACGCTCCATTACCACAACGTCGTGAACAACCGTCGAAATGACGAGCGGCGCTTGGGCTAGGGAATTTTTCTTTTTGGCGCGCGGGGGCATGAAATGTCATGCTATATTGGAAGACTGCGTGAGCTCTTCTATGGACGAAGGGTGCGAAACGGCAGCGCCCCGGTGAGGTAGGCAAGGCTTGGTCCTTCTTGTTGTATTCCTGTGGAGTATGGATCGAGCCGGCGAGGAGCTTGAAAGTGGTGTAGCACCGGAACAAGAGGGAATGGTCTACATATATCTCCATGGATCCATCTATATCTAGAACTAAATATGTCCATCTATAGGTGCATGTTGGGGGCTGGAATTGCAAACCTCTCAATCAAGAACAATCTTGCGGCACTCTTCCCTCATAAATTTGGCTCCTTTCTACCCTCTCGTCTGTTTCACTCCCTTGGTTTTATTGTAGTGCGCAAGGAAGTATTGGAGGTCCTACGAGCCTAATAGTATACGCCTCGTGAGGAGCCTGGGCTCGATGGGCCTGATGCATCTCCGAGTTGTATCTCACAAATTCCCACAAAGCACATCCCCCATAAATGCAATGGGGGCGGGGAGAATGTACATACTCCCACATTTGGTACCTACCGGGCAACAGATCAGACGCACAATGGCGAAGCGGGAGCCAAGCTTTGCGAATAAGCTTATTGTGGTACAAATGTGAGACTCACCTTCCTCATCCTTTTTCCTCACTTTTTTGTTTTCTTAGTTGTTAGTTCATATTTATTTTTTATTTTTATGACTCTTGACAATTCCCAGGTGCCCTTCCACTGCTCTAAATACGTGTTGGCGATGACTACCTCGGTACCGTGTCTTCAGCTCTCATGACAACGCCTGAAAAAAAAAAAAGATTTCGGGTTCTGAGATGGGATGACATCATCCGTTTCACCTCAACTATGCTGTGAAATGTGGACATGGGATACACACAGCGGCGGGTAGAATGGTGCGTGGTGCGTGTGTGCGTGCGTGAGTGTGCGTGGGTGGACGTAGGTGCACATGCTTTTGCGTGGGGCCGGGAGGAAGCTGACGATCGGGGGCAGGCGAGATTGCCCCGGACACACGGACGGGGATCTGAAAAAGCAAACACTGACCCCACTGCCGAGTAGTTGTGGCGGTGTTTCGTCCCGAGCTAACCACCGAAACGCATTCGAGCAAGCCCATCCTAATGAACCAGGGAGGAGGAACTCCAAGTAGACGCCCAAAAAAAAAAGAAAAAGAAAAAGGAAAAATGAAGGAGGGAAAATGAAGAGGAAGAAAAAAAAAGAAAAGGACCAGGCAAAAATCTCAACACGAAAGGGGGTGTGAGGGAAATGAGAATGCACATCAGCCTACAAAACAGATATCGCGACGGCAATGGTCTAATATTCATGAGGAGAAACAGAAACGGATTGACAAGGGACACTGCGAAGCGGGCGGCGAATGGGTGGTCAGGCGTAGTTGTGTGGCCAAGTCCTCATGACCACACTGATCCTCGAACCGCTGTTTTGCCGCCTCGCTTTGGAGGGTGGTGTGCGTGAATGGGCAAGATCTATTATGGATGAGTTCCTTTTTGCCTTCTTCTATCACCTACTCTCGTTTTCGGACCTTTCGGGATTGCCACCATGGCCTAGAAACACCTATCTGGGTAGGTGCATTGTTTTCGAAAGAGAGAGAGAGCGAGAGACCAATATCTCGAATGAGAAATGGCGAGTGTGTGGGGGAAGTCGAAAACAACCCCTACCGAAGAAAAATCAAACACAAGACAAGCGCAGGGACAAGAGAAGGGAAGAATGCAAGCTTTGGGGGAGAGTGTTGTCGAGGCGCCTTGTAGGCCTAGCGCAGGGCGAACATTCTGCTTCATCCCGGCCGCGCGCTTTTACGGATGGGCAACGGCAGACGGAGGGATGCCAGCATCCACTGAAATCACAGACTGCCGGGGCTTAATTTGGCCTTGATGTTACTATTACTCGGTACAGACCGCCCCGGAAAGACCTTTGGCAGGGCCCCCTTGTACCTCCTCACCCCAAGCCTTGAATCCATGTAGTCCATGAGATGTTTGCTTGCTCCTGAGTCGTTGGTGGAAACGCTCGAAACTAATTCAACCCCTCTCCATACTAAGGTACTTTGGTCCAGATATATCCATTCCATAATACGAGCAACACATGAAGGTGGACTTTCATGCGTGGCTTGCCTAATGTGATGAAGATGAGGAGCCTCTTTAGGCATGAAAGGAATTCGGCCTGCGTTGGTGGCTCCTTAGGTTGGCTGCACCAGAGGCGGAAGGCGCATCGATTGGTAGCGGTCAATGTCGAGTGGTGGATGGACCAGCGGCATCGGCAAGAGTCCTGGCACCGTCTTCAAACGATGGAAGGATTTGTCTAGCCACTTCTCCACAGGTCATGTCTTGGCTTCTGTACGAGAGCCGTTAGGTTGGCTGTGGTTGGCGTGGATATGGACGTGGTCGTGGATGTGGATGTGGATGTGGTGGCGCTTCAAACCACCCGCTGCGTCCAGTGAGATTTTTCTTTTCGTGATTGAATTTCGTTCGATTGGTGACTAGAACGCCGGATCGCGTAGATTTGATCTTCTCAAAACCAAGGCGTGGAGCCTGCTCCTGGGATTGTCGTGGGCTGGGCTGGCCCATCGAATCGAGTTCTATCCGTCAAGCGTAGGTCTGGACGGATGCCTCTACCAAGTATTATAATTGATCCATGAATCTTGATACCCTTGGTCTGGCACGAATGCACCGCCAAGCCACTGATGGAGCAGACCGACCCAGCCCGACGACCACCGAGGGGAGAAGTTGGTTTTGAGCTGGGCTGCCGAGTCATGTCTGAAATGACAGGTTCGACAGTGCCGAGGCCAGAGTCTTTTCGCTCTGGTCAGATGAGAATGGCGCAAGTGCAAACGAACTAAACTTAAAAGAACATGATAGGAGAAGCCAAAAGAGGGGAGCCAGGGCTTCCTTTTCCGCATCCCATCAGTGGACGAGAGTGAAGATCCGTGGAGTGGACTGGATCTACATAGTCAACGAGCCTTTGACGCTTCAATGGTTGGAGCAGGGCCCCACCCGAATCTGGTGCCCTATTTTTCAAACCTTGTTTCCTGCCCCGCCATTTTCCATCGTCTCTCTTGTTTTTGGGGGCTTTTTGCTCGTAATAATTTCGGATAAAAAGCATGAAGCCCTCTTGACATTCTGTGCATGGAGGCGAAGGGAAGTGCTTGCTCCCAGGAACGACTCTTGCTTCCATTAAGGTGGATAGATCCATTGAGTTGCTTGACGAAACAGCAGCGAAGTCAACAATCCCGGGCTACAATTGATTCATCGACCCATTGCACTAGGCTCCAACTGAGATCAATTGATGCCAAGTCACAGTGTATTCTTTCCATGTCAGCTGGCGTTGAACATCAATTCAGAGATCCAATCAATCTAGGATCAAGGGACCCATTACCTGCACTATTATTAGAGGGGTGGTTTTGGAAAGTATACCTAGTTCCATCGGACTCGGGCAACGACCACCCGATCTCCACGAGGGAGCTAAACCTGTGCGTGATAGTGCACCTCAAATTGACTTGAAGGAATTGATCTATCAAGCCCTGTGAGGGGTTGCAGCGTTAGTAAATGTTTTCCACGATGGATCAATCGTGGGCCTGGCCTTAACTACTTCGTAGCATTCCTATCGCTTGTCCATCCCCCAAAGCCTGCAGGCCTGTTCATGACGCGGCAGCAGAGACAGTGCGACATTTTTGGGGAGAAAAAAATCATTGCATCAGCCACAAATGGTCCAGATCTCCCTGGTCCTCCGAGCTCTGACCGTGGCGCGTTCCGCCTTCCGTTGAGGTGAATGCATGTTACCAGGAGTTCCCCTGCACCTGCACACACACCAAGTTGCTTCTCTGCTCTGCTTCCTCATCACATTGCGCGCGCCCATCCACCTATCCGCTATTACCTGGCCGGCCCGTAATACGCCCCAATCTCTTCGAACGCTCTCTACCTTTTGTTAGCCACATCCCCATCCCCCCAAATCCCATCCCTGACTCCCGATCGAGGACTAGTCAAAGTCACCCAAGATTCCTTGGTCACTCTGCCGAGCCAGAGTGTAAGGTGTGGGTGTGGACCCACGAAGCTTGCATTCGCTTTGGTCGCCGCACCTTTTTCTCTCCGCCTTGCCCCCTGCCTTTCGCCTCCGAAAGCACTCCAGCGCTCCGCAACAGCAAGCATCCACTATCAGAGCCTCCACCAAAAGGGCAAGCTTCTTGCACCTGATTCCTCGACGGCCGCTCTCCCACCATCTCTAATTCCTTTGCTCGACCCGTTTTCCCCTCTGCTGTCCGACTCGATTTCGCCCATCTCGTCGAACGAAATATGCCCGCAACCATCGTCGCCTCTCGCTTCTCACTTCGATGACGGGTCGATAGGGCCTATGATTCTCGTCAGCCACAGCTCCAAGGCTGCTCGGTCCACATCGCGCGCGTGTGCTTCCATATGACACCGCCTAGATCATGGACAGCGCAACAATCGTGTCCGACGACCTGTTGGACCCTCCCGTGCGGCTCTTTGAGCGCCTGCGCCAGATCGCCGGCTACACCTGGGACGACTCCAAGCCCCCGTACATACTAGCTTCGATGCCTGGTAAGTTGTGTCGCCGAGAGACAGTTTCTATCTACCATCCCCGCCCTCTCCCTTCTTTTCTTCGCGTCCCTCGCGTTCGCTGCTTCTCTTCTTGTTCTGTAGCTCTGTGCTTCTTGGCCCTGCCTTTCCGTTTGCAGGAAACTCCGTCCCCTCGCTTCCTTTTGATGCCCTGCTCGAATCCCACTGGCCGGCATATCTGTCTGGTTGGGTGATTAATCGACTGACTTCTGTGTCCTTGGCAGGCTCGTCTGTGGAACCCGCTTCGTCTCCCCGTACACCTCGAGCCCCCTCATCATGCTTCCAGCCCAGGTTCAGCCTCCCGCTTCCCCTCCGGCCGACCCTCGCCTTCCGACATCTACATATCACCCAACTTCCACCTCGAGGTGCAACCGGATTCCGCCACCACCACCCCCTGCCCTCGCCCCTCATGTGCCTGAGATCTCGTACATCGAAGAGCCCGTCATCGCCCGTATATCCTACCAAGTACTGAGAGAGGAGCGAGCTTTCCACATCACAAAAGCTTGGTGTCCTCGGCGGACCCCGAAGGCGAGCACATAATCAAACCTCTCGATCTCCTCCGCTTAGCCCATCAGCAAGGGGACCGCGGCGCCATCGTCCTCGCTATCTATAGTCACCCTGGGAACAATGCTCTCCCCAGGCTCATCGATTTAGGTCCTGCCTTCTATACCTCTCGCAAGCAAGGCGATAGCTTTCACGCCTCCATCAAAAACGATTTCCGCCTCGACCCCCATCAATCTCCGAGACTTCCTCGACTTTGCCATCGGTGCTGCTCAGTGCCTCGAGATCTTGCATCATGGCCTAGGCATGATTCACGGCGAGATTCGAGGTGACGCGTTCCATTATAACATAGAAACCAATAAAGTTAGGCTCGTCTCCTTCGGTTCTGGCGTCCGCTCGTTCGAACACGGGTTGACCAGCACCGGCTGGTTGGCCTTATCCCGAGAGCTCGGTGCTAAGAATAAGCTGCTTTACATCAGCCCGGAGCAGACCGGCCGCATGCCCGCCGAACCCGACATTCGGACGGACATCTACTCCCTCGGCGTACTCTTTTGGACCCTCTTGACGCAGCAGCCGGTATTTGAAGGCGAGACTCCTCTTGACATCGTCCAGGGCGTCCTAAGGCGTCGTATCCCTGCTGTATCTATCACTCGAAAGGACGTACCCGACGTGATCAGCAAGATCATACAAAAGTGCACGGCAAAGAGCGTAGGGGAACGATATCATTCCGCGAGCGGTCTTCGGCATGATCTCACCAAGATACAGGAGTTCCTAGGTGAATGTAATTGGGCTGCTTTGAAGGAGCTGGACATTGGGACGAAAGATGTCTCTTCTTTCTTTATGCTTCCCACTACCATGATTGGGCGAGATACCGAGCGGACGCGCCTCGTCAAGGTCATCGAACGACTCGCGATGAGCCACTCCACCAGCCAAAAGACGGGAGGCGGCGCCAACCGCTTTTCGGACGCATCCAGCTTTTCCAATGAGTTCCTGGACGGTGCTGACGGCTCTAGTGAAGGCGCTAGTTCCGCCGATGGGAATCAGAGGATGAGCGGGTCGTACGCCGCCACCGTCTGCTCGGACCCGCGGCAATCCAAGAGCAGCTTTTACCCTTCGCATCTCGCGGAAACCCAGACCATCCACAGTATCAGCAGCGATACACTGCCGTCCCCGGCCTCCGGCCCAATGGCGAGGGCACCGAAGCCTTGGGAACGCCACCACTCAGTGTCCTTCGAAACGAGAAGCCTTATGGAAAGCGCCATGACGGACCGTGATCTCAACCGCCAGAGCGCGGTTGAATCTTCATCCTCCTCAAGCTTCTCTCGAAAATTAGGGTCGGTCAAGTTCAGGCAGCGCGGCCATACTGAAATCATCACGATCGAGGGCGCTGCTGGGCAGGGAAGTCTTTCTTGGTCCAGTCCGTCTTAGCAGATGCTCGCAAGCAGGGTTACTGTCTTACGGCAAAGTTCGAGGCGGCAAGGCCCACTCCGTACGGCCCACTCCTCAAGTTGCTTTCCTCACTCTTCAAGCAAGTTTGGGGAGAGAGGGACACGGGGACCCCGTTTCATTCCGACCTTAAGCATTACGTGCGCCCGGCTTGGCCCATGCTCCATCCGCTTTTAGGCCTGCCTGAGTTCCTTCTTGGGCGAGACGAGGACGACAAGGATGAAGAAGATGGAGATGAAACAGAGGATGGAAATGGAGATGGGATCCCGATCTCGGCCAGTCCAGCCCCCGTCGCCGCCGTTTCGTCCGCGATAACGCAACGATCTGCCTCCACATCTTCTAGGCCCAGGATAAAGAGACGAGGCTCGTCTCCAGGAGCTTCTTCGAGGATGACCCGTGTCTCGGTTGCCAGCTGTCAGAGCTCGCAGGACTTTTGCGCGCCGGCGCTGCCGCCAAGTCGTCGAGGCTTCTAAACACATTTCTTGACGTGCTGCGCATGTTTACCGCGAACAAGTTTGTCTGCTTCTGCCTCGACGACCTTCACTATGCCGACGACGAGTCGCTCGAGCTCATCTCCCAGATCATCGCGGTCCGAATGCGCATGATGATCATTCTAACTTATCGTCCGGACGAGATATCTCCAGAGAGGATGCATCGGATCCTTCATCCTCTTGACCTGGAACGTAAGTAGCAACTTGCCTCCTCCTCTCCCCGCCCCATCCGGCGCCTGAGTGGGAATCTGGATTTTGCTAACACAACTCATAGAACTGCCGCGTCTGGGCGGACCCATCATTACCAGGATCGTCCTCGAACCACTATGTGAGGCCGATATTGTGGAGTACGTCTCCAACACCCTAAGCCGGCCGAAAGAGGAGGTATTGCCGCTGGCCCTCGTTATCCAGTCCAAGACGGCCGGTAACCCGTTCTACATGAGGGAGATGCTGAATGCATGCCACCGGAAGAAGTGCATATGGTATGACTACCGAGACAGCCAGTGGCACTTCGACCTTGATAAGCTGTTTGATCAGTTTAGAGGTGAAAAGGATTATGATGTCCTCGACACCGGATTCATCACTCATCGCCTCGGCGAACTTCCCGCGGCTTCCCGTTCAATCCTAGCGTGGGCCGCTCTCCTCGGGCAAACCTTTTCTTTTGACCTCATACTTCGTCTCCTCAGTGGAGATTTTATCAAAGACGCATCCGAAAGTGACTTCTGCCCCCTTACCCACCTATACGCAGCAGGACGCCATTGCCGGGCTCCAAGCCGCGATACAGGCATATATACTAGTTCCTACAGACTCTGACGATCGCTTCCGCTTCGCGCATGACCGCTATATCCAAGCTGCTGCCGATCTCGAAGAGTGCCACTCCCGGAGGATGCATTTTGTCATTGCACAAACCCTCCTTAAGCACTACAACACCGATGACTCTATGCGGGATAGCACGGCCCTGCACATCTGCACGGCTGTGGATCTCATCAGGCATCATATCAAGATTCGCCAGCCATTCCGCAATCTCCTCCTGGAGTGCGCCCAAGCTGCAACGGAGAAAGGTGCTAGGCCCACCGCAGCGAAGTATTATAGCAGCGCCGTGGCGCTCTTGCAACCCACCCCTGGGTTGATGGAGCCGAAGACGTCTCCTATGAGGAGACTATCCAACTCTACCTCCGGGCCGCAGAGTGTACCCTCTTCATGGGCCACCATGCGGCTGCCAACGGCGTTCTTTCCACTATATTTAAGAGCGCTAGATCTGCACTTGACAAGGCTCCGGCCTACGTTTTGCAGTCGAGAATTTTTGCCCAGAGCGGCGACGCAGAATCCACTTTGAACTCCCTCAAGGACTGCCTCGTCGCGCTCGGTGTCAAGGTTGACCAGACGCCCACGTATGAGAAATGCGACGAATGGTTCGAGAAGCTTTCCGTCAAGATCCAAACCACGAGTAGGGACAGTCTACTTGTAGCTAAAGAGCCGATGGACGCCACACTTTCATCTATAGGAGCCGTCCTCGTGGAGACTCTGAGTGCGGCCTGGTGGATCGATCCCCTGCAGTTCTATAGCCTGACCTTGACCATGCTCAACCTGCACGTCGAGTCGGGCGCGTTTCCGCAGTCGGGTATGGCCTTCATCCACTTTGCGATCGTAGCTCTTTCCCGGTTCAATATGGTGAAGTTCTCCGTTGAGCTGGCATCAATCGCCCTGGAACTTCTCGATAAGTACCCCGATCACTTCACCGTCTCTCGAGGCCACCTCACCTTTGCCCACTTTTTAGCGCACATTAGCTATCCCATGTCCGATACCGTATCTCAGATGGAACGCCTGGTAGACTACGCTGCACTGGGCGGCGACCGTATCTCGACCATCCTTTGCGTTGGCATTTGCGCTCTTGTCAAGTTCTACGCGAGCGAAAACTTGGCGGACCTGGAGGTCTTTTGCCAGTTTGGCTGCGAAGAGATTCCAAACTGGCACCAAGACTCCCGCGGCGGCACCTTGCTCATTTTCGTGAGGCAAACGTGCAAGGCGCTTCAGGGCAAAACGAGGACGGATGACCCCGAGAACGTGATGACGGATGAGCATCACGACATGGCCGTTTACAAACAGTGGCTTCACGATCATACCCGCAACGGAAACCGTTCCCTCCTTCTCTATGAGACGTTCGAGGTGCTTGTCCTCTTCCTCTATGGGCATTACGACAAGGCGATCGAAGTTGGCGAACGCTGTCTGGACAGTATAACCAAGATTTGGTCCTCGCGGAACAGCCGACTGACGATGCTTGCGTATGGCCTAGCCCTCTCGGGCCGGTTCCTCAGGATGCTCCCGGACCCGCGGCTCGCCGATACGGATGAGCTGAGGGCCGAGCTAGATCGCACTATCACAACGCTCAAGGAGTTAAAGAAGAAGGTTTCCGACTGGGAGACTGTTAACAACGTGAATTACTTGGCTTGGTCGAAGTTCTTGGAAGCCCAAGTCGAAGAACTTAGCGGAAATGCCGCCCTCGCGATTCAGCGATACGAGGAAGGCCTAGACCACGCAGCCGAGAACGGCTTCCTGCTAGAGCAGGCTCTCGGTAGTTACCTTTTAGGTGCTCTGTTCCTAAGGCGCAAGGCCAGGAGGTGCGCGAGAGCCGTCCTGCGTGACGCGACGAGCTTGTACCGACAATTTGGAGCTTTGGGAGTGGCCGATCACATCCAAGAAGAGAATGCCGACTTCCTCAACGACTCCCGCGTCTACCCCCGCCTCGTTGACATGGGGGTCCAGACAGATTTCGCCACCGAGGTTGGCCACACGCCGTACCGCACGCATGCTAATAACGATGAGGATGACGACTTGGCGCAAAGTTCACAGCTGGCGGATACTAAGGGTGACCGCATCGGCGCCTGGCGAGGGTCTATGCACATGCAACACGAGGCCGGTGCGGGCCTGCCGGCGCTCGATATGATCGACCTGCATGCCATCCTGCTCTCCTCTCAAGCCATGTCATCTGTACTCCAAGTGGACGAGCTCCTCAAAACGATGTGTGAAGCCATCTTACAGACCTGCGGTGGGTCCGCCACACTAGCATCCATCGTCGTCGCGGACGAGTCCAATGGCTGGTTGCTCGCGGCTAGCGGTGACCCTGAGCGGGGCGCGTCTGCTCACATGCCCGGAATTCCCATTTCGGGGACATCTCTTGTCGCGGAGAATGTGGTTCTCTACTGCACGCGCTTCCGCGAGTCCGTCTTCATCACGGACCTCTTGAGCGACGAAAGGTTCGGCAATGTCAGCGAGCCGTGGCTTCAGCGGAATCCTGAGAGCAAGGCGGTGATTGCAATCCCAATCTCGCACGGCGAGAAACCGCTCCTGGGGGTGTTGTACCTCGAGGGCGAGCCCGGCTCATTCACTGATCGCAACGTGACTGTTCTGCAGCTTCTTGTCAACCAAATCGGCATTAGCTACTCCAATGCCATGGCGATGAAGGCCGTGGAAAAGGTCTCGGCCGAGTACGTATCAGCTCTTTCGCTCCAAAAGGACGCGCTTGCCAAGGCGCTAGATGCCGAGACCAAGGCCAAGAATGCAAAGGCCGAAGCCGAGCGCAACGTCAAGCTGGCGGAGGAAGCCGCGAGGGCCAAATCCATCTTCCTTGCGAACGTGTCGCACGAGCTGCGCACCCCTCTCAACGGCGTCATCGGGAACTCGGAACTTCTTAGAGAGAGTAGCCTGAACCGGGACCAGCTCGAAATGGCTGACTCCATCCGGGTGTCGGCCGACCTGCTACTCACCGTCATCAACGATATCCTTGACTTCTCCCGCATGGAAGCCGACAAGATGAAGCTATACATTAGCGCCTTCAACCCAGAGGAGATGGTCCGGGAGGTCGTGCGTGCGGCCTCGTACAGCAATCGCGAGAAGATGACGCAGGTGCAGATTATACAGGACATCAACTTACCAACCATGCTTATCTACGGTGATCCTATCCGGCTCCACCAAGTGCTAGGGAACCTCATTGGCAACAGCCTCAAGTTTACCGAAACTGGGTCGGTTACTATCGGCGCACGCGTGGAACTCGAGACGGAGGACCGGGTAAGGTTGACCTTTTGGGTAGAAGATACGGGCATCGGTATACCACCGCAGCAGTTGGCCAACCTGTTCCAGCCGTTCAGTCAGGCAGACGCCAGCACGGCGCGCAAGTATGGCGGGAGCGGGCTAGGACTGAGCATCTGCAAGAGTCTGATCGAGACAATGATGAAAGGAAGGATCCAGCTCGAGAGCCAAGAGACCGTGGGCACCCGGGCGTGGTTCACCGTCACTTTTGAAAAGGCATCGGCAGACGCCATGCTCGGTGATGCGGTGCACTCCGAGCCAGTTTCACCGGGGTCCCCCATGGAGGCGAGGTCGTTGGCGGCGGAGTCCTCGGAGTCAGACCACGCATTGACGCCGCATCCGTTCCTAGACCTATCGCAGATTCCCAAGGAAGAGCTCCGGGTCTGCATCGCGGAGGATAACGCCATCAACAAGAAGATTGCCATCCAATACGTCAAGCTACTTGGATATCCCAACGTTGATGCCTACGAGAACGGGCAAAAGGCGGTAGAAGGGCTGCGCGAGAAAGCGGCCGAGGGAAACCTTACCACATCATCCTGATGGATGTACAGATGCCTATCCTAGATGGGTATGAGGCGACCAAGGTGATACGCAAAGACCCCATAGAGGCGGTGCGGAAGGTTCTCATCATTGCCATGACGGCGTCAGCGATTCACGGCGATCGGGAGAAGTGCATCGCGGCGGGAATGAACGATTACCTGGCGAAACCCGTGAGGTCCGACGTGTTAAGGAAGAAGTTGGAGGCGTACGTCGGCCTCGCTGTAGGGGTAAGTCAGGTTTTTCTTGAGTCCACGGGAGTCACCATCCCTAGGGCCAAAACCAGCGTGCTAATCGTGTCTATGTAGGATGGTGAATGCAGAACGCCGACGCAAGATTCGGAATCGGGGAGCGGGTACCGAGAGGAAGCGGTCAACGGACACTCGAGACGGCCGTCACACAATGGTAGCTCCTCGGGTAACTCGCCCCGCGTATCAATCGCCAACGTCGGCGGTGGGAGCCGGACCTCAAGCGTCGGACGGGCATCGCTGAGCGGGCGCCGCTCATCAGACCTCGGATCAACGACCGACTTGGGGGCCTCGGCGAAGCGGCAGCCCCGGAAGCTCGTCAAGAACCGCGGAAGCAGCGATCTCAGCCTCCCGGGCCTCTCGCAGCCACCTACGCCCTCACAGGCGGCGAGCCCGTTAATTGGGGGCCAGGACCCGGCGGCGCGCCTCACGCGCCGAGCCTAGCCATCAGACAAACGGCGGCATCCGAGAAGGAGAAAGAGAGACCCAAAGGGGTCCTGACGAAGAAGCCCCCAATCAGGACTAAGACCAACGGGATAGAAGATCGATCACGATATGCCACCGCCGCTCCGTTGCCAGCCCTTCGACATGATGATCGTTAAAACACTTTATCTACATATCGACCCTCCTTCTCCTCCTCTTCTTACCCCCTTGTCACGTTTATATCCATCCTCCATCTTCTTCCACCCTTCATTTTCCCTTTGTTTGCCTCTCAATTATCCACGGCACCAGGGACCTTTTGTATCTTTGCCTTTTTTTTTTCTTGGCTGGGATTGCTTGGGATTAATTCAGTACACTAGAAGGACCCGCAAACGTTTGATGAAGATTCCAAGACGCCTACTCTATTTCCCTTATTGCGCTCGTCCTGATTCTTCACCCCCTTTCTCCGTCCGCCAATTAACATATCTGAGAAGCATATCTGGGTAGCCGCATTGCCCACGTTTGTCCTGATCTGCCCTGCTTCTTTGCACCTTTCCTGTTACCAAGTTTCGGCTCCATCCTCTCGACGAACGCCGTATATCACAACTGTTCACCGTGAGGCATCATATCACCAGTCGATAGCTATAGGTTATGGAGGGTTGCCTCGGATAATAGGACGTCTCGACTACTCGTGGGTAGAGACACCAGCACCGAGACCTTCAGATGACTTTTGTTTTTTCTTCCCACAAACAAAGGAGAGATGGAACAACGAGGCTTAGGGAGGCACCTGTGCCCTGTATTTCTTTCTTTTTTTTTCTTTTTTTCTTTCCGTTTCCCCCTTCTTGATATGGGCACTGGAGAAGGAGAAGGGATGGCGGACATGAAATTTGCGTGGAAAGAGGAGACCTACACCGGATGATACCATTTCTTGTTGTAAGAGTGCGTTCTGTTACCGCTCTTCTTTCCTTCTCCTCTTGCTTTTGTTTTTACCTATTTGGCCTGTTCGTACACATTTTTCTCTCTTATTCAACACACACCAAGCTCATTTTCCCCATCCTATCACTGATGAAACCCATGTGCTTCGTATCTCGTTCGGCCGTGTCCTCGCCGTTAGTAGTGAACCCAAGACGCTGCGCTAGGTTTCGGTCTTTCTCTCATCACCATGGCCGCGGGAGCATGGTCCCAGTCCTGGACAGTGGCTCACGGTTCAGGGGAATAGGGTCTAGACACGGCACCTCACCAACCCTTGGTTCGAAAGGGACCGACTAGAAGGCAGGAAGGGCTGCCCGCTGTTGCCACTAGTCCGTGAATTCTAGCCTGTGTGAAACCAACAACAACCACCCCCCTCCTCCTTTCCGCGTCCAAAAGCTTTTTCTTTTTCTTTTTCCACAAAAGAAAAACAAACCCATGATATACCAAATGCCTTACCAGAGGCGGGGGCTGGGATTCTGGATCAACGAGCCAAGAGAGAAGAAAGGGGGAGGGGGCGCAAAATCAGCTTTCGGCGAATGAAGGCATCTACTCCTATCTTCACTACACGTTACACGTTTCTCTCCCCTCCCGGCCCAACCCAACCCTTGCTAGCCATGCGACAGGCCCGAGCCTTGACACTGGCACTGACAGGGCCAGCGGACGACGAGGGGGGCTGTGACAGGGCGAGCAGGCGCGAGCCAACGAATTGGCAGCGCAGCTGGGAGCGGGCGCTTCTCAAGATCTCCTTTGCACCTCCCCCTTCCCTCCCCCATTTCTTGCTCTGCCTCGTTGCCCCGGTCGTTTCTCCGTCCCTTTCCAAGCTTGGGCAAACATGACCAGGTTCGAGATCTGTGGTTTCCTTGCCCGTTCCTTGCATCTCTCGTGAATAATAAAAGACACAAGAATGGGGGCGTGAGAATAGTACGGAACCGTTCACAAAATGCAGAAAGGTTGTGATGAGGCGAAGGGGAAAAGGCCGAGGGATGCCAAAGGGCTCAATCTCGCTTGATCGAGACGAGGGCGGCCGTTTTGGGTTCCGGGGGATACTCACTGCGTGACCTTTCCCCCTTCTTTTTCTTCTTTTTGTTGGGTAAGGATGGGTAGAGGAGGACTGTCTAATAGTGGTCGCCCTGTTTCTGGGTCTGAATGCTCCTCTTCCTTTTTCCTCTCTCTTTTTATTTCATTTTTATTGAACCCCAAAGGTAATGTTCAGATGCCTCGTCTTGATTTACCCATCTTGGCCTTGTTCTGGCGCACTGCCGGGGTAGGCTTCCCTCATTGGCAAACGGTGGCTATTACTTGTAGTCGTGTTTGAACAGCTCTTGCTCAAAGACCCTTGATCTTGGATAATGCACCCAAACTCGGATGTCTCCGAAGAAGCCAACAAAAAGGAGCCGAGGGGAAGAGGAAGAAATGGCGGTTAAAGAGAAAGGGGGAAGGCACCGAACGACTGAACGCCTCGTTCGACACATGTAACAGAGCCCGACATGCACGATTACATGTCTGCCGTTTAGCTTCCGTTGTGCGTGCACAAATTGTCAGCTTGCTTGCTGGAGTGTAGTGTATGACTGATTTTGCCTCTCGGCGGCCAATCGAGGGGCGAAGGATGGGTGACGCGACTGGAAAGGTTGTGGGGGATGGTCAACAAGACTCAAGGAGAAAAAAAAAAACTAAGAAAAAGAAGAAGAAAAAAAAAAAAGAAAAAGGAAAACTGTGCAAGTAATTGGAGTGCGAGTGGGCCAGTGACCTTCATTTTCTCGTACTCTCTCTCGGGTTTCTTTTTCCTTGCCCTTCCTTGATCCCGGTCCCTTCTGCGGGCACCGGAACTAAGAACGCACACTCCCCGCATGCAGACGTGGTGTCAGGCGGATATTAGAGGACAGGTGCAGGCGGTGGGAAACGTGGGCTGGAGCCCAGGAAGAGGGCGGTGCTGCAAGAAATACGTGCAGGAAGTGGGAAGGGGAAGAAGAAGAAACGGAAAGGAAGCCTGCTTTTTCCCCTTTCTCTTTCTCTCGTTTCCTCTTCTCCTTTCCCTTCCTCCCCTATTCCTAGTCAGGAGTGTTTATTGTTTTTGTTGTTTTGTAGACGTAATCCGGTGCCTGTCATCTCTCTGCAGCTATCAGACCCATCCATGCATCCGACCTCGCATCGCATGCTTCTTGACTGTAACCGTAACTCAGTCCCGCTTGTTTTGGTTCCTTTATTTTCGTTATTTTCTTGCCTTAAACTCGTGTTTACCAGCAAATTTACCTTGTTCTGTTCGCCCTTCCATCTTATCCTTTGATCAAGGTGCGGCAAGATATCTTGAACGCAGCCGAGATGTCCTTCCACTTTCCCAAATCAACACTCTCTCGGGAGTCGGAGTGGCGGGAACGAAGGAGATCCGTCATCCTAAGTCGGCTCAGTCTGTTACACAAGGGGCCAGGAGTCCGAATGGGCAAAAAGTGGGCGTCCTTGCAAACGGCACAAAATGGGTGAAGCATCAGAGCAAGAAATACAATACCCTCGGAATGCTCGTGCAGCCACTCTCGGACTTCCAGGCAGGTCAAGACGGCTAACCTCGACGCTTGGGGCTTCAATAGGTGCTCAGGTCTCCATCGAGGCGCAGGAGGCGGAGATGAGTGACAAAAATGGCCAACGAAAGTTGCTTCTCCAGACCCGAGACAGCGTGGCGTCAGGGGAGGTCGGTGGCGCTGTCACGGGCTGTTCTTCCTTTGGCCTTCTTTTATTCTTTGGCTTGGTCTTTTGGCCTTCCATTTTGAGGCAGGACACGGAACCGGGTCCCGCTCAGACCGTTGAGTCCCTCCGCTCAGGGAAATGGGGATACCGACATCTGGACCTCATTCTGATGCGCTTTTCTTATGCTGTCTGTCCCTTGATACCCCAGGCCTCTTTGGTTGCCTTTGGGGTTTCTTTTTTCCTTTTCCTTCTTCTTGATTTTAATCGTCTTCTTCCACGGTTCTTCTACCTCCAACTATTGCTCTTACCCATCATTCTCCATTGTCTGTTTGGTTTAGGTTTAGTCACTACCTCTCCCCCTCTTCACCAGACCCTTCTCACCCCCGTCCGAGGTCCTTTTGGGAAAGAGTGTTTTCCTGCAGCTCCGAGATGTGGCGCCTGCGTGGGTGCCACCTAGACGGGTGTGTCTGGGTGTGCATTTGATGGCGGTAATCAACCTGTGACAATCGTACAGGTCGATAGGGGGTATGACAGAGCCTGTACGCGCTACGAAAAAGAAAAATAGATGAGAGCATAAATAGCGAGAGAAAGAGAGGGAGAGTGTGTACGTGGGTGTGTGCCATCGATGGTTGAGAAGTCTCAAGGATGTTGGTGGGGTTGGGTGGAAGGGCACCTGCGTCGCTTTACCTTGCGGGTTGAGCCCTCAGCTCCTCCTTCTCTTTGCTACCAGAACGGGGCAGGACGGGGCTTGTGTTCACTGCTCCTTCTTGTTCCCCTTTCCGGTGCATTTATGGGGTGAAGGAAAGATCGATTGAATGGGTGCGCGCGACGAGGGTACATGATCGTTGACAGCACGCTTGCCCCATCCGGGGTAAGACGGGGTGGGGGCAGGAAGACTTCCAGGTGTTCCAGAGTCATTCTGTTCACTAGCTTTTCCCCGGAACCAGGCTCGCCCAGGTGTGTGGGTTCTCTGGGATCCCCAGTCTATCCGCAACCTCATCTGGCCTTTCATTGAGACTACGAAGTACTTGTAGCCATCGAAACCTCAACCCGCCGAGATCTTTGGATCCAGATATTATTAAAAGTACTCGGCGCATTATCCACTCATTGGGTTCAATGTTGCTTCTATTACACTACACGATAGCCACAGATCATACTTGCTTCTTCTCTCTGCGTATCATTGAGTACATGGCCGTATCCATGGATACCGATTCCGTGCATGATGGTTTTGTGGCATCCTTCCTCGATCTCTCATTGACGTGCTTCGATCCACCAACATCGGAAATGAGGAAGTTCGGAAACCAGGAAATTCTTATGCGGCGCCGGTCCACAGAACCGAAGAAAACGAGAAAAACAATTGATGTCCAAGGGAC